TAGAGTATTATACCGTTAGATGCCTTAGTACTAGTAAAGTTAGTAATAGTAGAGACCTATGCGAATAGCGTAGGGCTTAGCGGTAACGTAGATCTAGGTATATACGGTATAGGAGATAGTAGTATAGTGTTTCGATTCGATGTAACGCTCTCCTATGTTTAGTATACATGATTATAGGGCGACCGACGTAGGCTAGGGCTATTAGGTGTGTCCTGAGACCCTAGGGTTAGAAAGGTAGAAGGTAGCATAATAGAAAGGTGCAAATGTAGAAGTAGAAACGAGAGAAGAAACAAGACGGATTTATACTCTACATAATAACTAAGTAGAGTCCTTATTAACTAGTGCTTATCTACGTAGTAGTAGCGGCTATAGTAGTAGCGCTATGTAGTAGTAGTAGCCTTAGAGGAATCCTCCTTTGCGGTTACGGGTCTAGACGCGCTTAGGGAGCTTAGTAGAGTTCTATATACGCTTCCTCTCTACGTACATAGTAGTAAGAAGGGGTAGGAACAAACCCTTCTTACGCTAAAGGCGTCTAGTAGTAAACCGACGTATGTAGTTACCTACTAGGGCCGAACCTAGCTTAGGTAGTCTAGCCATTTTAGGCTAAACCATTAGCAGCTTACCGCTCTCTACTATGCTATCTAACTCGTCATAGGTAGGGACGGGACTAGGCTAAGGACCTAGAATAACTAATTTATAGGTAGCACGAGCGCTACTACGCACCTCCTTAGGGAGAGGGATCTAATCATGCTTCTTAAAGTTATAGCGCAAATACTACTAACTAGTAGGACTAGGGTAGACGATTTAGCCGTCGTTAGAGCGGAAGAGGTTAGACTTAAAGTCCTAGTAAGCTCTATTACGCTATATAGCGCGCTCGTAGACCGAGAAGAAGTAGTAAGGGNNGATAGGCTTTCTATCTANAATCCTNTCCTAGAAATAGTTAGCTACTACTACGCTACTACTACGCTACTACTATAGTAGACTTACCTAAAGGACCTCCTTCTCCTCGCTATCTAGGAGGAGAGCAACGGCGATATTAATTAACTAGGCGCTAACTAGTCGGCTACTNTAGAACGTCTCTACTTCTTAGAGGTAGCGACATATGCTCTAAAACTCCTTATCGTAAGGTGCTTCGGACGCCGACGACTAAGCATCGAGAGTAAAGGCCTTAAGCTAGATCTCCTCTATAATCTCGTTAAATTCTAGTAGAGATAGCGTACTAATAGCCTTATTAAAGGCGTTCTTATTATTAACGACTCCTATTAGAAGCATGCTACGGGCGTAAAGGCTATCGTACTATAGTGTAGTAATGCGAGCATTAAATCTATATAGGATAAGAGGCTCGAACTAGTAATACTTTATACTGTCTTTAGCGAGGCCCTTCTAGTCCTATTCTTTAATGTTGTAGAGTAAGGTATAGTAGGCATTGTTACCTAGTTCTTCGCTAGAGAAATAGGTGCGAATAATTAGATAGACTATAGCCTATAGTACGTAAAACTAGCTAATACTAGGCATAAGTTGTTTACGACGGTCGAAAGCTAGACGAGACTCTACTAATCTGCCCTATATAGAGCGGATGTATTAAGCTGTAAGTTAATTACTATATATAGGCTATAAGCGAGTAGAGAAGCAATTATCCTATCTATCGTATCCGAGTTTCTTAAGCTAGATAGACTCGTATACTATAATAGTCCCCTTAATAGTGCCCTCGCTATAAAATGCTACTCTAAGCTACTTAAGTTTAGTCCTTACTAGTAGGAGACGGTCTATAAAGGGGAAGGATAGCATCTAAGTGTAGCCTATAGTTTCTATAGGTGTTACTATAGGCTTAGGGGTAGGCGAGGATTAAGCTTATATAGCCGTAGATAAGGCTAGCTAATAGTAGGACGGAGAGCTTAATAAGTCGAACGAGGAATTAAACGACGAGTTAAGTAATAATACTAGTATTAAGGGTGCTATAACCGAGTCTATAGAAAGTATAGGCCGTAAGACGGCTAGAATGCTTATTACTCTTCTCTACGAGCGCTATAAGGTTAAAGAAGGGGGTAGCATCGAAGCTAGTATTAGTAGAACTCTCTCGCTTCCGCTAGAGCCTATAGAATCTATAGGTTAAGAACTATTAGGTATTTAAGGGGAAGAGGCTATAGGATAGTAGGGTGTGTTTAATAGTAGGGCTATCGAAGCTAGCGTTAGCGGCTAGAAAGTAGCGGTATTATAACCTATAGAATCTATAGGCTAGGTAGAAGCTAAAACGCGGGAGGCCGATGTTAGCGTAGTAAGAACTTAAGGTATAGAAAGGGCGACCGCCGTACTAAGAGCTAGGCTTAGCGAGCTACGCGGAGCGGTAGGGCGCTTAGGAACCGACGTCGTTTAGCCTATAGATTCTATAGGTCGCTTTAGACGAGGAAATATATTGCCTATCGCCTTAGGGTAGACCGACTTAACTACTTATATAATAAAATGGCGAGAGGTAGTAGCGTCTACTAAGACGTCCTACGTATATACCTACTTATATAGTTCTCTCTTATCGAGAGGAGTAGATCGATTAATATTACTCTACTTAAGACCCTCTTTAGGTAGTAGCGGATTCTAAACTACGATATAAGTAGTAAGATTAACTATCTCGCCTATATTACTACGTACTTACTACTTAACAGTATCCTTAAAATTATAATTGTCGTAGTAGATGACGGATTATAGATAGCTACTATTCGACTATATCTTCTCCTATAGGCTTAGTAAGTGTTATTTCTTAGCCTATAGATTCTATAGGCTAAAAGCGACTTACTTAGGCAATCTTTACGACCTTTCTAGAGTCGGCAAGAGTAGCCGAGTAGCCCTTATAAATGCTATAGTCTACTAGAGAAGATATAACTCTTCGACGTGCTCTATTTATAAACAAAAACATGCTAGTAGCCTTAGGTAGGTAGTTTAATAGCTTCTAATAACGGCTATAGCTAATAGAAGCAGTGATCGTACTTAGTCTCTTCTAGGCGAGCGTATTACTACGGTTATCCTCTTAGGCTACTTTTAGTATATAGTGCGCGCGAGGGTGCTATATAAGCTATAGGAGTAAGGAAGTCTACGTAGGGGCCGTAGTTCGTAGTTCCTTAGTAATTAAGGAGTAGTCGAGAGCGTTAAGGCTCTTAACCTCTAGCGTATACTTACTAAATAATCGTATATTAAGTAGGGACTTAAACTTATTCTTAAGTGCTCTAATAACGAGCCTTTTATAGCCTATAGAAACTGTAGGTTACCTAGGAAGGCCGCTCTTATATACCTCGAGTATTCTTTTAGCCTCTAACTTTTAAATTGTCCTTACTAGTATACGATGCCTCTTATTTAGCGTACGAAGGTTAGGAGATTCGAGCGTAAGGAAGTCCTTTAAGAAGCGTTCTAGCGAATATCTCCTTCTCTAGAGGCGGATTATAGCCTATAGTTTCTATAGGTCGGTTCGGCGAGTGCCTTAAGGTGCGCGAACGCGACGGTAAGGTACTATAGTAGCGTACGAGTCGTCGTTAGGGGCGTCGGGTAGTATATAGCTATCGTTACTATCGAAATCGTCTTTATCGAGCTACTTAGTAGCATCGGCTTAGTCGATAGTAGCATCGATAAAAGGGTTACTACTCGAGGGTATAATGCGACGCGCTATTTCGGCCATTTAAAGCCTTTAACGCGAGCCTACAAAATCTATAGGTTAGATCTAGGACTTTTTTAGACCTGTAGAATCTATAGGTTAAGAAGTTTCAGGAAATCGATTTATAAATTAGTAAAAATGTAGTACGAGAGCGTAGTGTTAGAATGTAGGAAATAGAGGGTCGAATTTCTAAAGGCCTTCTACCAAAATCGTAACATTAAGTCCTTAGACGCTCGAACGAGTTCTTACACCTTACGCTAAAGCGAAGCTCTAATTAGCCTGTAGAATTTACAGGTGTAAAATACGACGCTACGAAGTAGTTCCCGCTCTGCTAAGTCTCGTTCGAGCTTCTAATTAATGAGATAACTTAAAGACGACTCGACCGCGACTCGAGAGGAAGCCCCAACCTCCACTGGTCGCCAAAGAAATCTCAACACCACTCGCACCTCCCCACTAGTCGCAGGTGTCTCCAGAGGAAGTCGCGTCCAAGAAAACGCGTTCCGTCATGACTACTCATGACGTGACACAGTAGACCAAAGAAACCGCGACCTCGTCATGATGAACATAAGGTGGCTGGGAACGCATTGACCATCATAGGAAGTCATTTTCGTCGAGAGGGTAACCCGGACGCAAAGAGTCGACGGCGATATATAAGCTCTAGGATGCTTTCACATCTCCAAACTTGTAGAGTTACTTAACATAACTAATCCGATTTCAACATGATATTTTTTCGAGTCCGTGAGGTATATGGCAGGGCAATATTTGCAAATCATATTTCGAGATGTTTTGTCGGGAGAAGTGACTGGCAAACACTACGCTTTAAGCCACGACTCGACGGTGATTTGAATGTCGGCTTAACAATGGAAAAATCTGTCGCATACATGAGTATATGGATACCAGGAATTATTTCACAATTGCAACATGAAGTCGGATTAAGAGAAAGACCATGTGGTTGAATGATGTTATATGGTGGAATAGTTCAAGAAACACAGACACACACACAATAAAGCAGCAAGAGAAGAACACCATCAAATCAGATCAAGAAAACATCGCTTTTCATAAAGAAAGCCATTGATAGCATAATTGTACATGGGTGACAAGAGTTCTAAAACATCAAAGTAGGAAAAGTGAACACGTGAGTATCGCTCCGTTTCAGACACCTCCGCATGCAAGTTTCCGAAAGCAAGGAAAAAGAACGCCGAAAAAGTAATCGTCATCGTTATCGTACAAGTACAGAGCAGGAGAAAACAACGCCGCGCAGTCGTGAGGATAAACAAGAAATACAAGACATTAGTGGGCGATATCGATCGTCCTAGAAGTGATCACCCTTTCTACCACGCTTGCCGTGGAAGTCGATCTCGGGGTGAACGACCCTCATGTGACGGGTGAGGGCGTCGGCGCGAGAGAATGTCTTCTCTTCGCGACAGTACTGACAGCGCACCTTTTGCTTCTGTCGGTTGTGGATAGTATCCTCATGTCGAGTAAGATCGTAAGGGCGGCTAAAGATGCTGTTGCATGGCTTGCCGGTAGACGGGTTGGTACGTGTACACTTGTGAGGACCTTGCTGCGAGTTTCGCTCGGCGAGCGCTGCAGCAGTCATGGAGCTACCAAGACTACCAAGCGCGAGAACAGGTGAGCTCGAGCGTCTATCGTCTTCCTCGGGTGATGAGGTAGCAGTACCGGTGGAAGACATGGACTGCCGAGCGGGATGAAGGTCGCGTCTGTGCTTCTGCAGCTTGACAGCAGAGTCGAATCGCTGATAGCATCCGTCGTTCGGGCATGAATAACTACCGGTATCGGCAGTAGTATGCTGGGGCCTTGGAATGGAAGGCGCAGCCATGCTGCCCTGAGAAGAGGCACCAGGACCCTCGCTCATAGATGACTCCATAGTAGTCAGGTGAGCAGGGAAGTCCGGTGTCTGATCGGAGCCGAAGTCAGTAGGGCGATACGACGCGGGAGCGTATGGGTTGCTAGGCATCTGCGGTTGCTGAGGTGGCAAGAAATTGAAGTTTGTCGAGGCAATGTTTGACTGGTCAGACGAAGAAGCACGGAAGCCAGCAACGTTTGTCGGAGGCGCGGCCATGTTCGAGGCAAAGTTGTAGCCTGAAGGCAACGTGTCTGCAAACAGAGGCATGTCGGAGCCCTCGCTATCGTTGAAGTCGAGTAGAGCGTCCTTGGGCGACATGGTCTTGGTAGCCTCTCTTCGTAGCTTGGGCTGATGTGACATCCACTCCCGAGCGCTTGCCTCTTCCCTCTGCTGGCGCCTTGAGTCAGCGGCAGTAGCCAGGAAAGGACCGGGACCCTTGAAGTTCTGAGGAGCAGGAGCTGCAAAAGGTGAATTTTGTCTAAAAGGAGATCTCTCGCGAGACATGTCTCCCACGGGCGACTGTGATCTAATGCTGTTGGCAGTTCGTAACCTTTCATCAATCAAGTTACGGTGTGGCGAGAGCATGTTGTGGTTGGTCTGCACGGATGGCGGCTGAAGCGAGTCAGAGTTGTTTGGGTTGAAGAGCTCGTCTGCAAAGGCAGCCGACTCTGTGCGGTTCAGCTCGACGCGAGGGGCATTGGCTTTGTAGTCTGGTTGCGAGCTCATAAATAAGTATCGCTCAAACAGTTCCAGATCTGGTACTTCCTCACCATTGGTCGGCATCTTGTAGAGAGGCGGTCTTTCATCGTCATCATGGTCAGAACTCGACCTCGGCTGAGGTGTCGACGGCGAGTCCTGCCCCTTGCTCGACACCGAGTGCCGCGACGAGTGTGCAAAGTCGGGAATCTCCTCGTTGAATGTCGAGTTGTGATGGTCGATGGCCATATTTTGCATGGCCAGATGGGCCGCCGGGGTGTGTGAAAGCTTGGACGGTGCGTAGCCGACCGTGTATGACTGATCGTTGTCGCTGAAGTAGGATGTTGTAGGAGACTGCTCGGCGTTGGCGATGTAAGGGTAGTTGGTGCTCTGCATGAACGGCGATGAAGGGCCTGTCGAGTTGACCGTCGACTCGGACGCGTTTCTCTGGTGGCCTCGACCTTGTCCTTTCCGCAGCAGTCCGGTAGATTGGTTCTGCACAGGAAACATATGCCAGTCGTTTGTTTGTGCCAACGATTTCGTATCGAAAGAATATGTGAATGAAGGCTGTTGTTGATATGATTGATCCAGTGTCAATTGGTGTGGGGTGTTGATCGCTGGTGTTGTTCGTTTGGTCGAAAAGGAATCAGGTGTCGATGAGTTGAAAGAAGATCGAATGCCTGAGCAAGAGAAGGAAGTCCGATATGTCATAATTTCGTTCAGGGTCCGGTGAATGACGTCAATGAAATTTGAGCTAGAGCCTTCTAGGCAACTCTTTGCTGATCTCTTTCTTGAAGGGGTCACGGGGTATCCGTTGAATTGGTAATCTGCGTCCTGCCTTCTGTCCTGATCTCTGCTTTGCGTCTTTTGGCTTCAATCTTCTCGAGAACCATCCGGAGAGGGTCGGGTGGTTTTAATAAATCTTTGACATGTCAGTCATCGGTGTCTTGGGACTCGGTTAATGCTGGCCGAGTACGTGTGCTGCGCCACGGCTTTTGCTGCAGGCAGATGCATGCCTAGACACACCTTACCGGATCGCGCTGTTCCGTGATACGGGCTAGATGCTTCTGTCCGCACATCACTCCTAAAATACCTACATGATTGTGGTTTCTCCTGGCTTCTCTTCGTGATTCTGATCAATTAGGAGAATGTTCTCTTGGACAACCTAGGCATGAATCGTGAATTCGATCCCGTGAACGAGTCTCATACGAACGGTGAAAATAGATATCAAATGCGCTGCCTTGAACGGATGGTCGACTCACCGTGCTGTCCCGCGTGACATGTTCGAGTCACCGCTGGAGACGCGACTTCCTTGGTGCCTAGAGCCATAACCTCACGCTCTTTGCTTGCTTACCATATTCTGCTTTCGGCATTCTGTGGTATGCTCTAGCTCCACTGTGTTATGGTTAGGCAAAGAAAGCCATAGCAGATCTTGGTAATCGAGCGTTGAACCCAGGGTCCGATCGGATAGGGCTGCATGTAGCATGCAAGCCACATGTAAAAATCGCGACCCTGTCAGCAACGGATTCCGGAGATGGCCTACTCGCACCGAGTACTACTCGCAGTACATTCGCTCTCACCGAACGAATTTTCGGGTACTTCCTGATTTAGCCAGCTGCACGCCAGCTCAGCGCATTCTTCGCACCTATCACCAGATTTTCACCTTGTTGAGTTCCTGCATGCTTGTATTGTCGCATGCGTCTGACCTTCCAGAAGAGTGTTGCATTTTACACAAGCCACGTTCGACCCAGCCACAAGCACAGATGTGGCTGTCAATGACCGCATCCGTGGCTGAAGCATCGTCACCAGCGCGACTCGGCGGAAGCAAAGCAAGCACAGGGGGTTTGAGCAAGCGACGGACAGGTGCAGCCATTCCTTTTTTTCTGGCACGCTGCATGTTTGATGAGCGTGGAAGCCACGTCAGAGGGCTGTAAAGTCGCTGGTCGTTTCCATCACTTTATCCTCGGCCAACGGCCATTTCGGCTTAGGCACAGCTTTACGATAAACGAAGATGCTGTGACACCCTGAACGAACTGCTTGAATACCTCCGGAAGATGTCGATTGCGTACCGGAGCCGGTGGTTCAGGCCGACCATCGGATCGATGACCAGTGGCCCTCAATTACTCAGCCCAGCTCTCGTACATGCAAAGCGAACAAAGAAGCATGTCGGTCGACTGCTTAAACGCCTGTTCGGAGATTCGGCTATGTCTGGGTATCGCATACTGACCGATTGACCGCCATCTTCCATGGAGTCCACCAATTGTACCATGAAGAGTCAGACACACGGATCCTATCCTACACTTCCGAGTACCTGCCATGTTCACCAACTGTCGATACGATCACTTGGTTTTCAATAAGACGACAGATGCATTTGGTGCACTCAAATGTGTTGCTGAGGTCTAAGTTCCATTTGTTGGTGAGGCGCAACCGAATATTACTGTCGAGGCCAATCCGCTGCAAGTTGGACGAGAAGAACTGGGAGACTGACGAGTGTATGAATGTCACAGTGGCATCGCCCAACATTATCTGGTCGCCAGACAGGTGGATCAAACCGCCACAGACACTTATGACATTAGCCTCCGTGGGAACATCCTTGACAGAGTCCTCGAAACCTCGTTGTTGTGATCGGAAAGAGCGAGTGCTACCTCTAGCTCGCTCCAATTCAACGTTCGCTCAGCTGAGGGTATCCACCGACAACAAATGAAGACGATCGTTCCCACGCGAATGTCCGTTTTGGCTCTGTCTATTGACATTCGAGCATAGGTTTCAACCAGATCGGCTGTGATCGCGTTGAGAGCAGCTTTAATCATAAGGTCTGATTTCAGCGAACGCAATAATCGAGCTCAAGGACGACCAATAAACACCCATGCGTCGATTTAGCCAAATTGGAGTGCTTGAATCAACGAACGCATTGCAACCTACAGCGATCGAACATACATGAAAGGTGGTCGGAATGGCCGCCAGAGCCTTTCCCGTACAAGGTGTCGAGTTGGTTAGAAGGTACCGGTCAAGACTTGAGCGTCAGACATGTTACGGGCTATGGTCGTTGGCGTGTAAAAGTTCAAGGCCTATCAAGTAAGGTCGCCGCCTTGAAGATTGCCTTGTTTAAATTGGATATTCTGACAGAGTTTGAAAACATCCGAGTGTGAGGTCCAATTGCTCTTTTCGAGGAGATGCTGGAGTTGGAGAAATTGACACGAAGGTACAACGATTATCTGCCAGATGTGAAAGTAAGTGAGAAGGGGATGATTGGACAGAACTCCAAGGTGAATGAGACTACACAGACAGTGCTCGAAATTATTCCATCAAGCGCATGTCGGACTTTTGATGTCTGCTCGCCAGTGCCTGGAACATAGTCTCAATCTGGTACAAAATGAGCGGTTGTACTCTCCAGAGATTTGGTATAAGAGCATGATCAAGACTGCGCAAGCGTTGTAGACAGCAGCACAACAGGTGGCATCCGGGAGCTTGGCGGAAGGGTCGAGTCCGGGACGAATGTGGGGAAGGGAAGTTGCTGGAAGCTCCAGGTCTCTCCTAACTTTGGTCGAGTCGAGTCTCCTTTAGCCTTTATTCACCTCTGGTCATCCCACAAGACGTCCAATTTCTTGTGAGTTTCGTTGCAGAGCCGTCATCAGGCATTGAAGAGCAGCCTAACATAGTGACAGATTCTAATCCTGCTTCTCACTCTTGGTTGAGCCGCTCGTCAGTAACGGTTTCAGCTGTAGGTGCATCCCCGTACAGCAGCCGCTCCTCATACCGACTCGTCCACTGACACTCATGTCGCAGCATCTTCGACGGTTTTCTCAACGGAACTGGTATAATCATGGCTTCTGAGGCTCCCACCGTCTCTGGCGCTTCTGCCGACAACCTGACGCCTGCCCAGCGTCTGGCCGAGAAGCACGACGACCACAAGCCCTCGATCGAGGAAGTTGTCGACGAGGAGGACCTTCTGCACCCTCCTCCTTCTGCTTCAGCCACTACTTCGTCGTCGGCTGGTCCCTCGACTGCCGCTCCTACCCCGGCTCCCGAGTCCACTCCTGCTCCTGCCCCCAAGAAGGCTTCTGTCCTCGACACTCAGTCCGAAGAGCTCTTCCCTTCCCTTGGCGCCCCCAAGTCTCGTGCCTCTGCCGGGCCTTCGCCATGGTCCAAGAAGCCTGCTGCTGTTGGCAATGCCAACGGTCTTCGCAATGGTCAGGTCTCCAATTCGACCCCTTCGCGTAACTCGACTCCTGCCTCTGGTGCTGCTACCCCAGCCTCGGCCAATGCTGCTTTCCGCGGTGTTTCTCTTCCCGGTCGTCACACCGAGGCCATCTCCTTCGCTCCTTCGCAGCTCGCTCAAGCCAAGGATCTCAAGAAGCCTGTCTCGGAGATTCTTCGTGACATCAACAAGCGCTCAAAGGCAAAGGTTGAGATGAGCCAAGGCGCCGGCGGCTCCTACGCCTTCAGAGCCACTGGTACCACTCCTAACGATGTCCGCGAGACGTTGAAGGAGGTTGCTCGCCAGCTTGGTTCCAGAGTAAGTCTCGGCTTAGCACAGTCGCATAGCCAAAGTTGCTAACGAGAAGCAGCAAAGCATCAAGGTCCCCGTCCCTCTTTCCGTCCGCGCTCACATCATCGGTCGCGGAGGTGCCAACATTACCGCTCTCAGCCAAAAGACTGGTGCCAAGATCCAGGTTCCCCGTCAGGAGGACATCGACACCTTCGACGACGACGACTCTGCTACGATTGATGTAAGCATCGAGGGTGATGCCGTCGCCGCCGAGATGGCTCGTCAAGAGATTGAGAAGATTGTCAATGAGCGCACATCGTCGACCAACATGCGCCTGAAGGATATTCCCGCCGAGTTCTACCCCTTCTTAGCTGGTGCCCACAACTCGCGTGTTGGCGACCTCGAGAACGGCCGCGACTTGAGAGTCCAGATCCCCCACTACCACACATGGGTCGAGCAGGCTCCTCCTCAGTCCGCCGCCTACCGCCAGCCTCCTGCTTTCGTCCCTCAGGCTAGCTTGCCCATCCAGATCGCTGGTGACCGTTTGGCTGCCAACGAGGCTCGCGCTCAGCTCGAACGCCAGGTTGAACAGCTCAGACGTGAGCTTGTCTCAGACCAGGTCGCCATCGAGCGTGGTCGTCACCAGTTCATTGTCGGTGACAGAGGCACTTCGCTCCACGACTTCCTTGCCGAGACTGGCTGCGCCGTTATCCTGCCTCCTGATTCCGAGGACGACGAGAATCTGACCATTGTCGGCCCTGCCGACAGACTCGACGATGGTTTGAACAAGGTCATGGAGCTCGCTTCCAGCATGGCCATGGCTAGCGTTGACATCTCCCGCTCCTTCCCTAACGCTCCCCTCGGCGCCCAGGCTCACGCTCGTAACGTCACCAAGTACCTCCAGCAGAGACGCGCCATTCAGGACCTAGAGCGTCTTTACAACGCTCGCATCGTCGCCAGCACTGCTCGTAACGGCCCCACTGCTTGGGAGGTCTACTCTCGCGATGGTAAGAACACCATGAAGGCTCGCTCCGACATCATGAACCTTATTAGCGGACACCCTCCCACTCGCCTCAACCCTGTCCAGGTCCACCCCTTCTACCACCAGCACCTTCGCCAGTCCGCTGGTCCCCAGATTCGCGACCAGTTTGGTGTCCACATGGTTGTCCCCGAGGACTCGGACAGTGACGACGAGATTCTCCTTGTCTATGAGGGCCCCTCTTCGGCTTCTGACTACCAGCTGCCTAGACGCCAACCTGCTGCCAACGAGGCTCAGGACTTCGCTCGTTCTTTGAAGGAGGCCCAGCAGCACCTTCTTGGTCTGCTTAGTGGCCAGCAAGAAATCGTCTCTCGCGATGTTGATGCTCCTTCCAAGTTCCACGACAAGATCAGAAGACACGTCGACCGTGAGCAGTCCAGCCTTCCTTCAGACCAGATCCCCGTGCAGGTCTTGTTCGGCGGTCAGGGCGCTCGCAAGGCTCCTGCTCAAGGTCTGTCCGTACGTGGTCCTAGTGACCGTGCTGACGCCCTTGTTGAGAGCCTGCTTGCCTTCATCGAGCAAGAGAAGCAGGATGAGCTCGAGCGCGGCTTCACTCTTACCTTCGACTTCCCTCAGAAGTTCGCCAACATCTTGATCGGAAAGAAGGGTGACAACATCAGAAAGCTTCGTGAGGAGTTCGATGTCGATATCCAGGTCAACGATGGTAAGGTCGAGCTCAAGGGTCCCCAGGCCAAGGCCAACGCTTGCAAGGCTCACATTCTTGCTCTTGGCAAGAAGCTCGAGGACGAAGCTACTTACGTCCTCAAGGTCAAGCCCCAGTTCCATAAGGACCTGATTGGTACCAAGGGCAGTATGGTCAACCGTCTCCAAGACAGATACAACGTCAGAATCAACTTCCCTCGTTCTAACGGCGCCGAGGCTGATGATGCCGCTGAGGGTGAGGGCCCTCGCAGATCGGCTCAAGCTCCCGATGAGGTCATTATCAAGGGCCCCAAGAAGGGTGCTGATGAGGCCAGAGAGGAACTCCTCAATCTCCTCCAATACACCATGGATACCTCCCACACTGCCACTGTATCTGTTCAACAGAGCCAGCTCCCTTCCTTGATCGGTTCTGGCGGTCGTGAGCTTGATGCTCTTCGTCTTGCCACTGGTGCCCACGTTGATGTTCCCAACAACCGCGAGGCTGCCGATGCCTCTGGACGTGTTGAGGTCAAGATCAAGGGTTCCAAGAAGGCAGTCGAGGAGGCCAAGAAGCAAATCGAAGAGGCAGCCAAGGTCTTTGACTCGACCGTTACTCGTACTCTCGACATCGAGAAGAAGCACCACCGTAACATTATTGGTGGTGGTGGCGCTAACATCCGCAACATCGTCATTCAAGCTGGCGGTCCTGACGACAGACAGAAGCTTGCCCGCATGGTGCGCTTCCCTCGTGCTGAGGCCGAGGGCAACACTATCCGTGTTGAGGCCAACCAGTCTATCGCCGACAAGATCATCGAAGCCATCCAAGCACAAGTCTCTAACCTTGAGAGCCAGACCACTCAGATCATCGAGATCTCCCCCGAGAAGCACCCCAAGCTTATCGGCCGTGGTGGTGACATCAGAAAGAAGATTGAGTCAGAGTTTGGTGTTCAGCTTGACATTCCCAGACAATCTGTCACTGGCGCAGACCGCTCCAAGGTCAAGCTGACTGGCCGTGCCGAGAACATTGAGAAGGCCAAGGAGCACATCGCTGCTCTTACCAAAGACGCTGAGAGTACCGACATCCAGGTCCCACTCAAGTTCCACCACGTCATTGCCGACAACGGTCAGTTCTTCCGCCGTCTGCGTAGCGACCTCAAGGTTTCTGTCGACCACAAGGGCCAGCGTCCTCCTCAGCGTCCTGAGGCTTTGTCCACCCGCAAGGCTGGTTCTGGCATGCCCCTGATCACCGATGATGCCACTGGTGGTGCCTCGGACGATAACATCTCTTGGGTCATCCACAACCTTCACGAGAGTGCTCCCGAGGGCGAAATCACCTGGGCCTTGTCTGGTGCTTCCACCGAGAGCCTCGAAAAGGCCAGCGCTCGCGTCAAGAAGGCTCTTGCTGATGCTGAGAAGCTGACTCACGCTGGTTTCCTAGTCCTTCCCGACCCCAGCTCCTACAGAAGAGTTGTTGGTCCTCAGGGCAGTACCATCAACGACATCCGCACCAAGACTGGCACCAAGATCCAGGTCCCCAAGGCTCAGAGTGGTGACGAGGCTATTGAGATCACCGGTACCCAGGACGGTGTCGAGAATGCCAAGGAGATGATCCTCAACGCCATTCAGGGTTAAGCCAGATAGCAGAAGAGCAGGATGACATTCTAGCGTTTGTACTTTCGCATGGGTGCGTCGGAGTTACATGGGCATTTGCAAACAAAAGCAACAGAGAGCAACCATCTATATCATGATGTGGTTTCTATTTTGGATGGGATCCAAAAATATCTCGAAAAGCTTATATTTCGTATTATCAAATTTTTCCTTCAGTCATTTAAACACAAATTGTAAAGGCCATTGTACAGTAACTGTTATTCAAGTTCGACGTTGTCTCGCATCGTGACCAAGAAACAAAGATGGCGACGAAGTCTAATTGCTTCAAGGTCAGTCTGTCGAGGCAAGAGCGACTTATGGTTCTGGCTGACGAGTTCCTGCTAACTCTTGACCGATCATTTGGAGCAATTGATAGGTAAGCGCGACCAGGTACATATCCCCAGTTCCTCTAACTACTTTCACTCTTGGTGACTTTCACAGTTCCCATCTGGCTGTCATGTCTCCGAAAGACACGGTCTGCTTGAAACTCAGACGCACCCGGAACACAACATAACCTCCATCAAAGCAGACAAAGGCGCACTCTCAACTTGACACCAAGCTTTACTCACAGTCCCCCGGAAACAGAAATGGCGACAAAGCGATAAACTTGGAAACAAAGAGGTCATTGGGCTTCGAGGGCTGAGATGTATAAAATATGGCGAGTTGATGGAGGCGCCTCCTTTTCTTTTTTTGTTTTCTTCGTAACACACACACACACACACACACACACACACACACACACACACACACACACACACACACACAACCTTTGGATTTACTTTTCTGGATTTTTGATATCGTAGAGATGGTTGGGACGCCTGCGGAGTCTCCACGTCGTCGCTCGGCGAGACTTATAGCAGAGGAGGCCGAAAAGGAGAAGCAGGCCAGGCTGAAGAAATACAACCTGCCCGATGACGGTCATCTGGATTTTGAGAAAAGGACTGAAAAGATCAGGGGTTTCGACGTCACTCGCACGATCTTGGTCAGGACGACTGACTCCGTCAAGGATGATGTCGGAGAATGGGCACGCAAGGCTTTCTACCAAGATGCAAAAAACAATGTCTTCTATCCGGGTCAGATTGTGAGAGCGATGCTTCCTTATCCGCAGTGCGATCTTGACGCCCGCTACAATCCACCTCATGGAGAGATTGCCATGATGAAAGCAGGACCCGTGGGTTGTAAGATGCGCTTTATGGTCATTTTGTGGACGACCAATTATGGCATGTTCGGGCTTCCGTAAGTTCATCCCGAAGAGTCTTGATGTCGTTCGATGAAAGCACTTTCGACACCGAGCATGACTTTTTCCGCCTTATCAATCACCGTAATCTACCGGTTATATGAACAACGCTAACTTGACACTTTTCAGGATGTATACCTTCCACGGAACGACATCATTTGAAAGTCTATCTGACGAACGCAAGAAAGATTTCGTCGGCATAGGGATAGAAGACCTAGAGTATGAGACTGGAGAAACCACCCATGCAGGAATGCCAATCATCATGAACATCAACCCTAACGCAGACGACGCCGACAAGGTCGACCCATGGGCTTATATCGATCTCAGTCGCCCCCACGCAATATGCACGGGCGAATACCTCGAAGAAAACATCGGCTCCATCGACGGAGATGAATACCTGCGTCTCGTCAGTTTATACCTGTTCCGGCAGGAGGATTGGCTCAAAGCGACGTTCAAAAAGTTCCAGAATACTGAATACAGTGCTGAAAAGTTGCTCAAGCCACTACCAGTGACCATGGGAAGACCGGAATTCGAAGACCTTCCGATTTGGGCTCGGCACATGGCCGAGGTCGAGTTCAGACAACAGATCAACTCGAAAAGAAAGGAACGCAGAAAGTTGAAGGTTCCGGGTGCTGAAGTGGTCAAGAAGCCCAAGACGAAGAAGAAGAAGAAGTAAAGCGGCTTTCGACTTTGCAAGAGAGCCCTTTAGACAACATGTGGTTTTTTATAGAGAACATGTGGTGAACAGAAATTTCCGATGTTTTCTTGTAAAGACTGCCCGTTCTTTCCGTAGAACGATTCTCTAATTTACTCGTAATTATTACCTTTTTCTGGCTATGCTTACCCGTATACCTTTAAAGGGAGGCTGTGCTTAGGCGGCCTACCGTATCTAATCCATTCTAATTCAACTTCTATACTCTACTTAACTTCTTACTATCCTTACTATATAACTTCCTAGAAGGCCGATATAGAATAGACCTTAGTACCTTACCTTTTTTCTTAGAAATAGAGGTAGCTACGGCTATCAATTAAAGAGTATCGTTGCAATTAGAATTAGGACGGAGTAGATATTCTATACGCAGTATACGAAGAGAAGAAGACATAGAGGATAGAGAAACAAAGAAGAAGAAACATAAGATAGGCAGCACGGAGATTCGAATACAGATTCCGGGATATTAGCATACTACATGGTCTCTATGGAAAACCACATGTTCTCTAAAGGGTCCCCTTTGCAAGTCTTTGTCTAAATGCGCTTGCGATTTCCCTCTACTTGGAAATGTGGAAGCGAAGTTATCACCATATCTCTTGGTTCTTTTGTAGTTTCAATATCGGGCGCATATTTGCTTTCTATGCTCTGCTTATTCTTCGCCTGTACTGTACATAATTAGTTGGTTCGAATCCTTGTAGACGTCATCTTTCGATGTCCTTTACAATGCTTCAACTTGTTTCATTGACCGAACTTCGATTCCTCATATTTTTGACACGGACAAAGAAAGAGTCAGCTGTTGAACAGCGTGTCTCCAACATGCTGTCTTTCGTTTCCGTATCCGGACATCGCAAAGGCCTCACAAAGCCATGAGGCAAGTTTCTGTATTCGGCGCTTTCTTTGTAATGACAAAGATTTCCAAGGACTCAAGTATTGAGCCATCGATCCCGATCAAGACTCACATGTCGACCATAACCTTCGCTCCACCAAACTCACTTACATACCACTGTGTCTGTGGTCAGCCACTGGGAAGCCCTTTGAAGCTCTACTGCCATAATGCCACCCAAATTGGTGTTCAAGAGAATATCGCAAGCCGGAGTAACTGGCGGAGGAGCTGGCAATAGTGGTGGAGTACAAAAACCATCCTCACCGAAAAAAAGTCCGACAAGGTCTTCGAACAGATTAGCCGGTCTCCCTCCAGATGCCGTGGCACCACCCGCCAATGGACCAACGTACACACTCAGAGATGAATTCAAAGAGACACCAGAAGGTGTACAAATTGCTCAGAAATGGGTGTACAAAGACGATGTGCGATCAGAGCTATTCGCATGCTATAACAACTACAAGGCCGAACATTTTTATCCGGGGCAAATCATCAGAGCTACAATGTCGAATTATCAAACCAATACGAAAGTGTCCTTGGACGATCGTAACATAGCAACCCATACAGATGGGCCTGTATACAGTAAGAAAAGACCAGTAGGTACCACATCCCCCCTTTCTCGCAGAACCTTGCTAACTGTATCCTCTACCCACAGATGGTAGTGATGTGGAAGACAAACATAGGACTTTTGTGCCTGCCAATCGTTTCACAGTCTTCAGAGTCGAGCTACAAAGACGGCAGTCATATGTGGGACGAGTATGTGAGTGCAAAGGCCGTAGACAAGGAAGAATGGACCGCAAAGACAAAATGGCATGGACCATCAGTACGCTTCGTCATCCTGGAAGGTCACCACCGGAAACCCTATCTCAGAGACCAAGAAGTGTATGTCAATGTGGCTCAGCCTTGCTATATCGGCAGACAAGAAGAGATGGATCTGAATATTGGATATCTGACTGGAGATAGTTATGCTAGGCTGATGGCTGCTTTTGATTACAGACAGCATCAGCAGAAAGTGGCTGCTTTTGGGGAGTATAGTAATGAGAAATACACACCGGCGAATCCAATGGTGGTTTGGCCGGGTGATCCGAAGACTGCTGGTGGTCTGCGGCAGGAGCGGGCGGCAGAGCAGGAGAAACGGATGGCGCGTTCTTACCCGAGATTGGACGAAGGACTGGATGCAACGAAGTTGGTGAAGAAGTTTGAGCTTGCAGGCACAAAATGATTCCTTCCTTTCTCATGACATCTCTTACCATAGTCTATACATTGAAGTCGTCAAAAACACTTTTTCAACATGGCACGTCTGGGCAGACAAATGTCAATCAAGACTGGAGTTCTTGCAGCCTAGGGATGTGATCCGAGCAACTCACAGCGTAGCCCAAAACAGAATTTTTCAGAAGTTGCCCTCGCCGCACGTTCAAATCTTTGATGAAGTATCCGATGAAGCACCTACCGCCTATGCCTTTGCATGCTAGCTTCAAAAGTAAGAAGGGCATAAAGTGCAAGGCTGAAAAAGCGGCAGGAGAGAGAAATACGGCTTATGAGATGAGAACCGAGGACACCAATGCGATATTCGCCTGAGTTGATGTATGCGTGGAAATAACGTTCATTTGAAGATGTTCAAAACAATCTGCCGAGACTTCTGATGTGGGAGTTCTTTGTTGTCAATTCGAGGCATGCGTTTGAGAGAGCATGAGCAATCGAAGGAACGATGGTCTTTGTTGAGAAATATTCTTACTTTCAATCTTCCGCTTCCGGCATCAGAGCAATCCTTTGTCCCCGTCCCAGTGTCGAGTGCATATAATGACACCTCTGAAAGCCGCTGGGAGCTGCAAAACGTGTTTCCGTATTCCAAACTGCTTCTATCAATATACTACGAAATGTCTCCACCCAAGAGATGGGGATCCAGCAGGGTGTCCAACTCGAAAGCGAACGGCGGAGAAGGCGAGGCCATGGGAAACGACACGGGCCTTCGTAGACACTTCAGCAACATAACTCGCATAGCACGCCGAAACACCAACAACAATGGCGGAAATCGTCAACGAGATTTGAATGAGGATTGGAGGCCGCAGACTGCGGATCCAACAGGCGCGGGATCGACGGGGGTATCAAGCGTGGGTGAAAGGGAACTTACCCCCGAAGCACCTGCATCAGCAAGAGCAGACACGGAATCGGAGACCCCCGGATCGCCCTCTACCCCTCTCAAGAAGGGTTCACCCTGGTCGCGGTTCAAGGCGAGGCTCCGTGAGAGCCCCAAACAGAAGTCTCCCTCAAGAGATTTCAGAGAAGATAGCCCAGAATACGCCGAGCCAATCGACGAATATGAAATGGCTCGTTCCAGAGCAGGCTCGATCGCAATACCACAAACTCCGGCAGAGCAGGAAGTCGAACCAGAACTCGTTCCTACCGCCGAATTTGTCGACACATACACGCCGAACAGTTTGGGTGAATCCCGTGACGCAGATGATGACGAAGTTATCGAATTCTGGTTCCCTCAAGCTACTGCAACACGCATGGCTACGATGAACCCTCCGTCTAATGATGTGCACCTGTATCCTGGGGTGGCCACTCAGCTCGTGGGTTCCGAGGGTGTGGAGATCATCAACAACTGTGAGGCTAAATTCACTCAAAAGACATTGCAACGAGTCGACGACTCCGACCCCTTCATCGATAGGACAATCGGAGTCTGGGCCGATAGAAGAAAGGTCGATCACAAGATTGTGCGTCCCGGTGACATAATCAGGGCCATCCACAGTGTGGCTCAAAACGACCTCTATCAACCCTATCCGTCATCGGAAGTGCGTATCTTCGGTCACGGGCCCGTATTCTCCAAGGTCAGACCATTTGTGGTCCTATACAAGACTGCAGAAGGCATGCTATGCTTGCCCCTGTTCTCATGCCAGTTTCTCAAAGTCGGAGGAGTGAGTGCTCCAACCGTGAAAGAGTACATGAGCATTTGCACAGAAAAGAGTGGAAAGGGTAACAAGTGGAAGGGCTTTACACCCGTCAATGGAAAACCACTTTCCATGGTAGTATACCCTGGTCAGAGGATGAAAAGTGAGTCATTTGTTGGCATTGCAAAACCAGTAAACATCTCCAGAAGCGAAGCTGTCAAGTACAAACAAGCCAGGCTCATGCCCGAGAGCTATGTCCGCTTGGTGGAAGCCTACACATTTAGACAGCATGAAAGGCTCCTGTACGCATATCACGAAGTCAACTTGAAGTATCCAGGTGGTATCGCATCGCCGAAGGATATAAACCAGGAGTGGCCTGCGCACGCCATCTCAAATGCGAAATCCAGATATACCGGCAAGGTCGGATTGACAGCGGCAAATGTGAAAGACTCGTTCACAGTCAATCGCTAATAGGGAGAGATGGTTGGAAGAGTCGAAAGAACGTAGGAGATCGGCCAGAAAAATGTGTTCTGATGTCCGATCGGTTGGAGTAGAATAGTCTTGACTACAGGGTCGTTCGAGGAAAGCGAATCTGTATCTTAAACGTTTCGTGGTGTTGTCGATGTTGGTGTCTTTCCTAAACCGTAATTCAATGCGCTTATGTATTCTCTTTAATCACGCTTGAATGCATCTAGTGATCCGATAATTGACGCTTGTGTAGCTGGGTTGATGCTAGAGGACTGAATAGACGGGTAAACCAATGTATCCGATATATTCGAACAAAATCATCTACGGAAAACGAGTTTGACGAAGCCGAGTACTAGTCTGTGGAAATTGTGTCAGATTCGTTGTCAACCTTGTCTAACTGTCATATTCGACAAAGCTCGCACAAATCAAAAGACCGGATTTGTGTTTCCTTTGTACCGGATGCGGTAAGAACAAGGAAATTACAGGACGTTCTTGGTATGAGCTCGAGAACAAAGATTGCCGATGAACATGAGCACTCTTTGTTTTGATTCAAATTCAAAACTGCGAGGACTTCTCGACCCACGACCTGTCCAGAGAGGTAAACCACCATAGAATTCACGATGGCCGCAACCAACGACAGCGAGAGACCGAAACCAAGTTCACCCCTTACGTCCCCCAAAAATGACAAAATCATTGACAAGAAGGCTGCAAAGCAGGCCCGAAAGAAAGCAAATAGAAAGAATAAAAAGGGAGCCGCAGGAACAAATGACTCACTGACTATTGAAGTCGCCGCAGTCTCTGAGACGGAACCGACCATATCTCCGCGGACTTCACCACGCCTTGCAGCCTTGAGAGAAAAAGAGGAAGCGGCCCAGGAGATTCTTGTAGCCTTGGAAGATAAACAGGAAGCGGCCCAGGAGATCGTTAACGAGTTGGAGCGAAAGATCAAAGAGCTCGAAGACTTTGCAACAAACCAGATCTCGTCCATCATGCAGATCGACGATGTTGCATTGCGATCTCCTCAATTCTCCATGTTCCCTGAACTACCCAATCCATATCCAATGGCACGAAAATTCAAGTCGTCTGAAGAGCGGACAGAGGTCGGACATCGACTCACCAGGAAGATCCATTTGCAAGATGTAACGGATCCTAAAAATCCAAAGAACATCGGACTCTGGGCAGTTTCCACCTACCTCGCAAAGGAGTATATCATCCCGGGCGAGATAATCTTCGCGACGCATGCTTTTTCCAACAATGACCTCAAGCTCAAGTTTCCGAATGAATGTGTCCGGATATTTGCGGACGGTCCAGTGTTCTCAAAGTTTCGACCGGTATTGTACCACCTCTATCCTTCGAAAGAAATTTGCTAATCTTATCATCGTTTTAAGATGGTTGTATTGTGGCACAACGAGAGCGGTATGATGTGTGCACCGATGTACACACTGAGTACCAAGCACAAGTCAGCTAAGCAGAAGCTCGATGACCTTTCGCTCGGGCGTCAGAAGGAGTTCATGAGCATTACCAAGGTTGGTGGCAAATGGGAGGGCGAAGATCTAGCTAACGCCAATGGCCCCCCGCTACGTTATGAGCCAGTGTCAGATACAAAGGATCTAGAGGAGAAGGCGTTTGTTGATGTGGCGCGCATAACTTGGATCGACAGATACACGAATTTCAAGCCAGCACAAGCTTATTTGACCCGAGCAAGTTACTTAAGATTGCTGGATGTTGTGACTTACAAGCAACACAACGACCAGTTGGAAGCTTGTGAAGTTCACGAACTCTATGGTTGGCCAGAAACCCTCCCTATGATACCATCACGGAAAAGGACAGCCGCACAGAGGGAAAGGTGGCTTCAAACAGGGTTGACCGAAACAGAGATTGATGCAGACGCGGAGTAGTTTGGGAAACTTGGAAATAAGAACCACCATGCGTTAAGTTCCAGCGTAATTCCTCAGTATTGATTCGGCGTCGTAGGTTGCAAACCTCTCGAACAACATGATTGGCTTTGCTTGCATGGCCTCGGGAACATCGTAGACAACGGCGTTATCTGCGTTATAGTATATTGTGGTACCAAATAAAACTTGTTCTTCGTAGTCGAATCCGTGATCCAACGGACAGCAGAGATCTGAGATACACAGACTGCTGTTGTCGTCGTGACTGAAGTGGCAGGCTTTGTACTGCTCGACTAGAGCACACGTTCTGAGCAAGTGAGCAGTCGCTTCTTCATTGGCCGATGTTGCAAGCTGTATCCTCTTCGCGAGCTCTTGTCCAGGCACAGTCCTTGCGGCTGCAATGCTTGCAGCAACGTATCTTTTAGGCTTGTAGAACTCATGTCTGTGATGGTGGTCATGATGGAAAAATATTCCTGTCTTGTGGAGCCACCTCGAGATCTCTTTTGCGACATGTTGGAATGGAACTGGACTGCTCATTTTGTACTCCTTGTGTTCGCATAAGCCTTGGATGCCCATGATCTCGAGATAGTGTTGAGCAATGAAATTATGGGCGAGTGATAGAACAGGGGCGAGTGAAAGAAGGCTTGACGTTCGAAGTGCGCGATTTGGCTTCGATCTAACCAGCTTTTTGTATCTTGGATGTATTACGGCACAGCAGTCAGAAGCTATAGATAGCAGTCTCAGTCGACCGCATTGTGCATTAATGGTGGCGCGTACTGACGCGGGCGCATACTGACTCGGTGCTGATTGGTGGCAACATTCCCAGTTCGCGCGTTAAAACGTGTCTGAAACATCGACAACTCCAAACCATTGCATGTAAAAGCTTCTGCGTAAGCGTCGAGAGGCTGTGTGGACGAGGACAACGGAAACCATCGAACCTGCGCTAACTAATACTTACTACCGGTTCATATCAAGTACTTCGTCCAAATGTTCTTTAGCAATCTCGGCCGCCACCAATTCTCATCAAGTCGGCTCTCCTACCGTGCGGGAACCAGAATGGTATCCACTATAGTAGGCGATTACTCCGGTCGCGTGTATGTTCGAGGCAATGTACTTCAGCACAATCACGTGGACGATACGCTTAGCATCTTCAAGGCGAAGTAAGTTTTTATGATGTTGCTCACACTCCATGAGGTAACCACACTCATGAAAATTGATGTAGGTCCGGCACCGAATCTTTCGTCGTAAAACGCGTGTCTCGACCATTCTATGATTTGTCCATACGTCTTGCAGCCGAATTTGCGGGCACTCGCCGGCTTCGAATGCACGTCGATTGCAACCAAGATGAAGGGGTTCTGGTATACCCATACTTCGATTCTACTCTACTTGCTTTGATAAAGGACGATCCCGAATTGGTACACACACAACGAAAGAAGATTTTACGCTACACTGCGGAAGCTATACAAGAGCTTCACAGCAAAAATTGGATCCACATCGGTATTCTAAGAACTCGAATACTTCACCGCGGACTCCTTGGCTGACATCAACTCATCTAGATATCAAACCGGACAACATTTTGGTCAATTTGGATGGCGGAGACATCAAAGAGATCGCCAATGCTGTTTTAGGCGACTTTGACATTGCTTATCGTTTGGAGGATGGAAAGGCGCTTCGAACTCGCCATGCGATTGGCAACGCTATGTGGCGAAGTCCCGAGGGCCAAACGGCAGTAGGCGTGACCAAGGCTTCAGACATCTATTCATTTGGACTCGTAGTAAGTCGTTATTGAATGTCTAACATCCTTTACTGACGATCGGTTCCAGTGTATATACGCCATGGGAGGGGGAGAACTACTGCTCCTAGAAAATTACCAGGACCTGGTTCGCTTTGGTATCACGCCAGAGCAAGAGGTATTGAGTCGACATTTCACCTACTTCGGACCTGTCCCAGACGCACTCTATAGGCATGTCGGGGACGAAGTTGGCTGTGCGCTCCTAAGAGACATGTCTAAGATTGCGGACGCAACAGTCGAGAGTCAGCCTGAACGCAGGTTTCTCTACTGGAGCAAGGAGCTTGGTCCAGTGGCCCAAGATGCGATTTCTCAGATGACTACACTGGATCCTACGACTAGACCGACAATCGAACAGGTGTTGGCGCACCCATGGTGGCAGGAGGATTGATATCATCACTGTAGCTTAACCTTACAGCCTTAGCGACTGATGCTGGCATCCATACCGAATGTAGTGAGCCTCAGATGCAGACAGAAAGAAAGAGCGGAGTGATGGCAGGAGTTCAACGCCTTCCCACCAACCTCCTTCCTCATGTGTTCATGAAAGTCGGATACGTCAACATTCACCAAGGCCACCACTCGTTGTCGAACTGATCTCGAAAGACAAGATCCCTCAGCAGAGATGAAGCTGGCTCGAAGCTCTCGTAACTTCAGGCTTCTTGCACAGTATTCTGCAGGTCGTGACTTCTTCGTCTCGTCGACAAAAGCAGCTTTCAGATTTGGTTGCTATTTCTGCTTTGTGAACCCCAGTCGTAAACGTTGAAGGCCAACGAGCATGCTGCTCCACGGACTCTGCAGCGGGCCAGGACGGATGTGCATGTCGTGCCACTCAGCACCCTTACGACAGCTGCGATGTCCAGATAAACACCACTGGCAAGTTTCCCAAACCCCCCATGTGGACTCGAGGTCGACGGCAGACAAGAAGCATGGCCTCGGCACCTCCATCACAAAGCCAAAGACAACTTCCGTCCGTCCAGTCTCCAAGAGTCGGGAGAAATCGGGGCAGTTAGGACGGCTCTCCGCGCTGTCGACGGAAATGATCCCCGCAGTGTGGGGGATGTGCGTTCTCCACCTGTGTGGTCAGCGAGAAAAAACAACAACAACTTCACTCTCCATCTCCACGCAAAAATTCGAACGATGTTGTTGGAACACCGTCACGGATATAGCTATGAATACAAGAGCTACAGACCCTTGATCAATCTCGTGCCTGATTTTCCGGAGTAACCTGGGCGTTGGGTCGTGTTTCGACACGCCTCTCATGAAACAAGCAAGCCCATTGTTTTACCCGCGTAACTTAGCTACCTTGGTGTACCTCTTGAGCGAGCGAATAGCGACGCGCCAGATCTACCAAAGTTCAATCCATTGGACGAGCTGTAGAGACAACGGTTGCTGCCATTGGACGCGGGGCAAAGGTTAGATGCTGGCAGCTGCTGATACAAGAAAGTGACTTGTGATCGACCCCGCATCTGTTCGCAGCCTCGAAGGAAGGAGCTTACGACAGTGACCTCCTTCATCAGTGAGTAATCCGTTCTTTTCGTGCTCGAAACTTCTTCACTCGAGCGAATCGTAGAATTCCGGACGGTCGAAACCCTTGTTGAAGACTTCGAGGTACATCCGCAATTCCGATATATATACATAGCATCATCTGCTTCTGCCTCAACCATCTTCTGCGATTGATACATCGACTGTTCTTCTTGTCTGCTCCCATCTGCCTCACCGAAGGACGTACAAAGACGTCGCCGGCAGTACCATTGACTCCTCTGCGGGAACGGCACTCTCAACAATACGCATCAATCCGGATTTTGTCCGTCAAGGTAAGCAATTCATTTCGCCGTCGACGCAGGATCCCGAAATCAGCTCGTGTGGTTGCCGAGATAGCCATAGTTATCGCGGATAGCAACATGTCCTATCGCGGCTTTAAGGCCTGGAACCAGTTTTGTATGGACGGAACATCTCGTGTGGAGAGCTGCCGGCTGGCTTGACAGCTCTCTCCACACATCCCGATATCAAACCGTCTTGCGCAATCACATTGATGGATTCATATGCGTGCTGTTGCGCAGTTTCTTTTTGGATAAGAGTGACTGGCTGACATATTCTGTGTTCCCCACCACAGAACAAACAAAGACAACCATCTTGACTCACTTCGAAGTTCCGTCACTGCATCTTAGCGCGTAACCGAGGTCGAGGCTCCCATCCATCCATCCTACCTTCCATATAAGCAAACATAGGATCATTCTTCGAACACTTCTGTCTGCCAAACATGAGCACCACATCGACTCTCTCCGAAGCCGCAGCCGCTGCCCGTAATGCCGCTAAGGACGCACCACAGGCAATGAAGGCCGCCGCAGAGAACCCTAGAAAGGCCACCCAAGACTTCCTTCACACACCTCTGATCCGTGCCGCCTTGCCCTTCGTCAACGGCGGTCTCGCCGGTATGGTGGCCACATCAGTCATCCAACCTGTCGACATGATCAAGGTCCGTCTGCAACTCGCTGGTGAAGGTATCAAGACTGGACCCAAGCCTTCACCACTCTCAGTCACTCGCGATATCCTTGCCAGTGGCAGAGTCCGCGATCTATACACTGGCCTCAGTGCAGGTCTTCTCAGACAGGCCGTCTACACCACCGCTCGTCTCGGCTTCTTCGACACATTCATGGGCACCTTGACCAAGAGAGCCAAGGACCAAGGCAAGCAGATCGGCTTTTCCGAGCGTGCACTGGCTGGTCTTTCCGCAGGCGGATTGGCAGCCATGGTCGGCAACCCAGCCGATCTTGCACTCATCCGCATGCAGAGCGATGGCTTGAAGCCTGCTGCCCAGCGTGCCAACTACAAGTCAGTCATTGATGCCTTGACTCGTATCTCTCAGAAGGAGGGTGTCGCCGCTCTCTGGTCAGGTGCCGGACCTACCGTCGTTCGCGCCATGGCCCTCAACTTCGGACAACTCGCCTTCTTCTCGGAAGCGAAGAGCCAGCTCAAGGACACATCTTTGTCACCTCGCACACAGACATTGACTGCCTCAGCCGCCGCTGGATTCTTTGCATCGTTCTTCAGTCTCCCCTTCGACTTTGTCAAGACCAGACTCCAGAAGCAGACCAAGGGACCTAACGGAGAAGTGCAGTACAAGGGCATGTTTGACTGCTTCAAGAAGGTTGCAGCCGAGGAGGGACCCTTGAGATTCTATAGAGGCTTCTCGACGTACTACGTACGCATTGCGCCCCACGCGTAAGTATGATCTACACATATATGATGAAGATTGCTGACATGTACCACAGTATGGTGACACTCATCGTGGCCGACTACCTTGGCTTCCTCACCAAGTAAAGACGATTGACAGACGAGACAAGCAAAGAAGGAAAGGGGAGTGTGAATACCTAACAGACAGTAATACCCAGCAACGGAGATCGAGTGCTTTTTCATGTAATTACGAAGCGAGGCCAGGTAGCCTAGCCATGGACAATAAACCGTTGTATTCGAGAACGAGATTGAACGACCTAGATGCGCATCGTATTTGTGGCAGGCCACCCGGAGAACGGTGTCGTCAAGCGATTCTGCCACGATTTGAGTAGCCAAAACGTGATTTTTGAACTCACCTAGAGGTTCAAGATGGGTTGTTTGTCATCGAGGACGAAAAGGATGTCCACGATGGAAGATGGAGAGAGTGGTGAGAGGAAAAGGCAATGGCTTAGACGATATGCAAGCACTCGGTCAGGGGAGGGTGTAGCATGCAGGTATTCGTGAGAATATCACGTGGGAGTGGTGTATATGCAATGCCACGAGTATCCTTGGTCTTGGCTCAATGAGTGCTCGAGAGGCACAACGATATGCATGAAGAGGTGTCCAGAAAGCGTCTCCAAAAGCTCATCTCCATGGGCTGATCTAGTAGAATAAAGGTTGGGTGCCTTAAACTCCAGGACGAACGTGAAGGAAGGCAGGAACGATGGAACGGGAAGTGGACTTCGAAGTGGAAGGAGTTGGGCTTGGCATTCGCGGGCGCGCGACCCGAACGCGTCTTCCTGAAATTCGACCCTGGGCAGCTTCCAATCTCATCGATCAGGCACTCGCTCTTCAAAACGTTGCGCATCATGTCACACAGAACGAGACATTCTACGGTAGCATCAACGCCCGCTCGTGGTACGGCTGGCCGCGCGAGCACACTCGGCTCAACACAACGACCAGGCACCAACGAGCTTCCACCTTACGAACCTCTACAACATCCTCTCAGCGTAGCCAGCCGCGACAAGCTGCGCGTACTCGCAAACCCCAACAAGTTCCAGGCAAACCACAACTTGCTAGCCGAAGTCATCTCCTGCTTGAGTGAAGCTGCCGCCGAGATCAACGAAGCTCTGAGCAGCAAGGAAAAGGCTCTGGAAAAGGCCCGCAAAGCTAGAAACGATGAGGACCCAGCTGCCAGTCAACGACGCGTGGAAGAGATGGAAACGGCACATGAGGAACTACAAACAAAAGTGGACAACATGACTGCGCAAATGGACAAGGATGTTCGCAAGATGATCGATGTCGACAACACAATCGAAGAAATGCAGCACACCCTCACAAACCTGATCAAAGACGTCTCGAATGCTGCCACTCAACGCACGCAAAGGTCTCAACGCGGTGTTGACGAAGAAGAATACCCAGACTTCGACCCCACCGATCCGACGAATGCCACTCAACGTCCCCTGGCCGTCTCGTCCCTCTTCACCGAACGTGTCTCTCGAGCTAGAGACCGCTACACAGGCCAGAACATGACCGAACGCTACTCCAAGAATAACCACTATGTTGGCTTCAAATCCATCGTCCACGATGTCCGCTACAACCAAAACGAAGACAACCCTCTCCCACCCGCCCACCTCTGGTTCCGCGAAGACCGACCTTCACATGGAGAAACGGCGCTAGGAGCCGAAGATTCCGACGACGATTTGCAAATCGCAAAAGAAACGATCAGCACGAAATGTCCTTTGACGCTTCAAGAATTCCGCGATCCGGTCACAAGTCGCAAATGCCCTCACTCGTTCGAACGCGAAGCAATTACTTCCATGATCGAAATGCCCAGCAATCCCATCCGCACCGAGGGCGTTAAGGCAGTCCAATGTCCAGTAGGAGGATGCCAAAGCATCCTCACCACATCCGACCTCCACAGCGACCCAGTACTCAAACGCAAAATCGCCAGATTACAAAAAGCAAACCGCGATGCAGAGGAAGATAGTGATGAGGAAGGAGGAAACAGACCACACAGTATCGCCAGTGATGACGACGACGCTATGGATGTTGATGCGGGGGAGACGCCGGTGCAGAGATTGAAGAAAGAGAGGTTGAGTGGGAGAATGAGTGCTTTGCCGCCGGCTTCTAGTCAGAGGAGAAGAGGCAGGAGTGAGGTTTTGACACTGATGGATGATGATGAGGACGAATAGAGGGAGACTTGAAGCTTGGATGACCAGGCACAAAGCTTTCGCTAGGAACCATAAGCCCGTAGCAGTATTGCATTTGCAGTCTATCGAGGTCATTCAGAACGAAGCAAACGTTTCGATCTTTTATCACACGAAACTGTACTTGAACTGCCCACTCCTAGCTCACGTTCCGTCATCTTGACATTCTGCTCAATCCTGGTTGGATTCATGGTCTTGGTGTGCAGATTTTCACTCTTAGTATCACGCTTTCTATCAGTTTCTGGTATCGAGGTTTTCGTGTCCCGTGGTGCCATGGGACAGTATTTCCTTGTCGAAATCTATTAGTTGTCGACATGGCTTGATAAGGCAGGGGTTCGGTGCAGAGACATTGCAAGGTCAAGCATGGGTTGATGTCATGCTGTGCGAAATTGGTTATGGACCTTCAATATGCACAATATGTATGCTTCAGATATCAAACTTCTATAAAAACATAACAACATACCAGACTATTCTTTCTACCATCCCACGACCATAACCATTATAATTTACTCCCTTTTCCGACCACATATGTACTTCCAATTTCATCTCCTACCCTCCACTCAACAGAGCTCAAACTACAACGCTCTAAACAGATCTCTCCAATCCCCTCTCGACCTCTTCTTCTGCTCCTGCACTCTTCCCTCCTCCAACCCCCTGGCAGCAACGCCGGTATCAACTCTCAACTCCGGCTTTCTCCTCTGGCTTTGACTTCTCTGCTGTTGTTGCTGTTGCCTTTCCTTCGCCATCTCTCTTCTCCAAACCTCTGGGCCGCGGCTGGCACTTCTGCCTACCGTCTCCACGCCGCGATAGTTTGTGTGCAGTGTAGCGTCAATGTTTGCAAAACCTTGTTGTGCTCTACGAGAAGATGGCGCAGGACGAGGACCGAGCGGTTGACGGGGTTCGATGATGGGGAGGGTAGGTTCTTTTTCTGACTTGAGAGCTGATTTGTTCGGATGAGAAGAGAAGCGGCCGGTCAGGCGGCGGGAAGCGCGAGCGATGGATTTGCGGACGTTCCATTGGCGGCGTTTTGCTACGACGAAGAGGACGAGGAAGATTACTGTAGAGGTTGTCAGTGGTGATGCGGAGAAGAGGGAAAGAGGAGCAGGGATCTTACTGCCTAGGCCCACGCCGATGGAGACGACGCTGATGATTGCTGCGAAACCTCCTTTGCTGAGTTTGAAGCTTCCCGAGTCGCCTCCTGAGGCGCCGGCTGCGTTGTCCGCTGCAACATCTGCTGCTGCTGAGGCACTGCTTTGTGATCCGCAGGCTGAAGGAAAGGACGCCGCGGCGGAAGTCTCGACAATTGATGATACAGAGGTGCTATGACTAGAGGAGCTTGAAGTCTGGCTGGTAGTAATGGGAATAGTGTAGACTTTGTTACTAGTCACGAATGCAGAGCTAGATGTGGATGTCGTACTTGACATTTTCGACGATGATGGGAACAGTCCTTTTTCTGTTGTCGAAGAAGCTCCAATGTCTGAGCTTGTTGCCGCTGCTTCATCGCTGTAGGTCGAAGCTTGGATCAGCGCGGTTTGTGTGCTTTTGACCTGCGCGGCGTTGGTATCCACAGGAGCAATAGCCTCGGTCGCTTGAGTCGAAACAACTGCGTCGACGGTCGCTCTAGAGATGCTGGTTTGTGATATCGAAGTCGCTTGGGATGAAACAATCGCGGCGAGCAATGTTGAGGGTACAGATGTCATGATTGAAGTTGAAGAGCCATAGATAACGGCGACGACAGTAGCTGGTGCTTCAGTAGATGTGAGTTGGGTATTGGTCGCCACGCCTGCATTAGAGCGGAGCTCAAGGCCGATCGGAAGAATCGTACTAGTACCAGTACTGATACTGCTGGGACTAGGCTTAGCAACAGAGACTTCCACTAATGTGGGTGAATGGCTCGAATTCGTGTAGTTGGGCGAAGGAGCCACTTCGGGCTGAGTCGATGATGCCGAGGTAGATGAGAGCTCAACAGTAGACGAAGTGGTGCTCGCTAGCACTGCGACAGTCGAATGTGCCAATGCTTCCGATTTTGCAAACGAGATGGCTGCTGCCAACTGCGACGATGACAATTCAGCAGCATCCTCGGCAGCTTCGTCCATAAGAGACTGGGGAACATTCGTGATGGTTGACACCGACGTTCCGACTTTGCTGGCAAACACTGTAGCTTGGACTTGTGCCACAGTCTGTGTGACCTTGATGTGCATCGTGCTAGTTGACTCTCCCTCTGAGCGCAACTCGAGGTGACCGGTTTGTAGTGCTTGCCAAGGAACCGATTTCGTGATCAATGTGGCAGGGAGGTGTTCCATGTATACGGTTGATGTTCCCATACGAACTGCATAGATGGTACTGGCGGCGTTCGTGACGGTTCTGGTGATATGAATATGGCGAGTGCTGGTGACTGTCTCTTCTTCGGGAGCGAGAGGCTGCTGCCATAGGCCGGCTACGGCAGCGAAGGCAAAAGAAGGGAATCGCATGATTTCTTTTTTGTTTCCAGAAGTAATCGGACTTGGAAACCTCTCCAAAGGATGATGGTAGAGATCGAGGAAGGTGCAACGAGAATTAGAGATCCAGCTCAAACGAAAGAACAAAATAAACGCGACACAGAAACAGCAGAAGGAACAGACAGCGAAGGAGAATGGAATGCAGGAGCAAAACAAAAGACAGTACAAACCAGGAAGTCACGTCTCAACCTACCTATTTCATGGTCCAACTTGTGACTGCTTACGCGCCGAAGCCCATGTCGAAAGCCCGTGCCACATGTTGTGCGCCTCGCATCTTGCGCGCCAATCACTTATTTTGTTATCCACACAGCATATACGGAGTGCTGATGATGACCTTGTTCTTGATCTTAACCGCCCACTGGGTTTGTTGATGGAGCCAAAAAAGTCCTAAGCTTAATTGGCAGCGGCTGTCGAGACGATGATGCTGCTTGTGATTGGTTGGACAGATGTGGCGTGCAGTTCAAAACGAGAAACAGTTGCTACAATACTCGGCCATGTGTGACAAGTACCTCGACCATCTGCAGCCACCAAGATATGCAGATGGTTGCACTTCCGTGACTTGTGGTGACATAGGCACGATAACAATCACGGTGGGCGGATTGACTGGAAAAAGGAGTACTTGTCATGGAAAAAACTCGGCACATCTCACGAAGCTTCCGACAACATCTGGTGGCCGCGACCTTCTTACACCTTGTGCAAAACCACAAACAATTCGATACTGGATTATCCTCTACAAAACTCTTTCTCTACCTGTTCAGATCTATAAACTCGGCATCATAGTAAGCGTCGTCCTCGTCTATCTGATCATCTCCCACGCCCATTGCATTCCATTTTGCTCTATCGTCACTCATGCGTTGTAATGCTGGGGGCGTAGCTGTGCGTGTATCCCTCATGCCTTTGCTGCTAAGCGCGCCCTCCCTGGCTAACTGTTCTCTGAATTTGAAAGCCTCAAGAAGACGAGCGTAGCTTCCGTCCTTGAGCATAGCAAGCGCATCCTCGAACTCGTCGAATTTACCGACGGTCACGGGCCGTGAAAGATCAGCAAAAGAGCCCGCTTCCAGGCCGTAAGTACCAGGATGCTTTAACATGATCAGTGGTGGCCCGTTGTGCAGTGCTAGGCCATAGTTCTTCCATGCGCTGCCCTCGTTATCGTCACGCCTGATCGGCATATACTCTCGACGTTTAGCGGGTGCGAGATGCTGCAATTTAAGACCTGACTCGGATTTTTTCGTCTCCGGATTTTTTGCCTTCAGTGTGAAAAGTGGCACACAGGTCATCTCACTGTTATGATGCCAGAGTATAATCATGGGCCTCCACTTTGCTATCACCGGGCCTCGAGGATATATGCGTACGAGGTTGCTGGGATATTCTAGCTTGAGGTCGTTGTTGGGAACTGCGTGTAGAGCCCGGATCACTGTTCCTGGGGCCAACCACTCCCGGAGGTGTACTTGTTTGATCGCCCACGCCCCAACTTGTCTCGTTGGTTTGCCCGGCTCGGTTTCTTCTTCCAGAAGGACCCTTGAGACAATCCCATGGCCGAACGGTTCATGAGCTTGGCTTCTGTCGACAATGATATTTCTATGGGCTTGCATAGGTACTTGTTTGGCCTCTCGCCCGTACACCTCAGGATCCTCAGGGTACGCATTGAAAGCAGGAGAGCGCTGAAGGTGTTCTGGTTCATCGTCTTCTTCCATGTCTCCGGCCACCAGCGGGTAGTCGGCCTTCAGAATCAGTACCTCCTTCATTTTTTTGAGCCTTTCGTCCACAAGGCGAAGTCTCTTCTCTTCGACTTGTACCCGTTCCTTCTCAAGTCCAATCTGCGTTCTGGGCGACACAATAGCCTTACCGCATATCTTCTGGATGTCCTCCGTCGTTTTCCCCGGGATGAGATCGGCTAACATTTTCGATTTAGGTGAAAGAGGCGGCGATCTCCTCGGAGAACTTGATTTCCGACTTCCAGATGGGTCTGTTTTGCCCTTCTCTACGCAACTGGATGATTTCCTGATCGGCATAATAATTTTGCCATTGTCATCCATCTTGTGCTTTCGTACAACTGGATCCTCGTGGTTCTTGAGGCCTTGCATAGCTGCCTTTGCCCCGGGGCCGTGCTTACGCTTTCCCAATACCATGATCTGATGTGAGTAGTTTGAAAGAAAAAGAAAGAGACTGGAATGTCGATATTCTTCTGCGACAAGAAAATAGGTTCCCAAAAATCTTGCCAATTGAGAGGCCACTTATACTGAGGCTTACCAAGTTTTGACCGGATGCGGAATACATCTCTTTGTTGAGAATCGCTGCAACAGACATCTTGGTGGGTTGATTCGTAGACAAAGCCTAGACTCGACGGTCTTTGTTGACCTCTGGAGCGAGCATGATGTAACATTTGGCCTCGCAATCGAAGAAATGGTACACATGATCAATTTCGATTTGTTCTTGTTATTCGTTGAATCATCGCCCTGTGAACCCATCCCATGCAACCATCGAGCCTCTATAGTAATCATCTCCTGGCAGTATTCGCAACCTAACTTCGGCCTATCTACTGCTCATACTTGTTGTACCACCGGATCATGCATACTCGATTCATGAATTTGCCGGACTAGAGGCCAAGCGAACAATCTATCGGGCTATCTTAAGACGGGTGGGCTTCAGGATGTGTCCAGTTTCTCGTGCTGAGTCTCCGTGCAAACTTTTGTTCGACAGACTACAAGTGCTTCCTTGGTATGTTGTGACGTTCGTTATTCATCTTGCTCGTATAATTCCAGGTCGGATGAGTAGATGAGTGTGACGAAATATATTGCTCAATTGGTTTATTGGCAGATTGGATAATGAACACTTCTCAGCGTAGGCCTTTTCAAATTTTGTCACTCTTGCCAGACCGACCGTTTTCGATTTTCGTTCGTCAATTTTTATGATAGGGCGGAAGCTTTCAGAGGTCAATTTGTACCCTAAGGACAACAAGAAGAGTCCTGCCAAGACAAAATATTTTATTTCTCATTTTTCTTGGTCTGGGAGAGCCTGAAACCCCTAGAAGATGTGTTGAACCGAGTATAGAGTGAAGCTGAGTCTTTCCTCGGCAAGCAGGAGCTTTCTGTTTTGGAAAAAACACTTCCAGATTTATTCACTTACTGATCGAGGAACCTAGTCATATAATGAAACCAAGTTGGCTCTTCTGCAAGAAGATCGGAGCTCTGGCCCAATTGGGTAACCCTCATCAACTTCCAAAAACCTCCCCGAATCTGAGCATAAATAGAATCCAGAGGTTGTGAGTTCGACTCACACCTTGGTTGGTCGCGTTGACGATTTGGTCGAAAAGATGTTTTCCCAAGTTAAGTCTTGGTTTTTTTGCTCTTTTGTATATTTTGTGTGAGTGAATATGAAGACACCCCCATTGCTGCGTTTTGCTGGCTTAAGAGTCATTCATGGATTGTGATTTGCGAATCAGAAGTTTAGTAGAATTTTTTACCGGGTGCATTGCATTGATAAAAAAAAACAGTATCTCGACGCCGTACATAGTTGAAAGCAGAATCACGATTTGACATCACCATGTCAGAGCAACCACGATACACCAACATTGGTTTCTAGACCCGTGTGAAGCGTATCTTCTCCATCCTCGCTGTCTTGTCGTCTCTATGCCTTACTTTAGGCTTGGGGACATGGGCTTCTTGTGGTTCATAAAGTTCTGTCAAAGTGGCTGTGCTAAACCTGTCAAAGGCCCCGATCCTGTACTCCATCTCTTTCACTTCGAGCAGATCGATTAGCTTTGAAAACTCGCCGCCGTCAATGTGACCGACATCGTCGATGATTTTTTCGAACTTCGAAACCCAGTGAGGGCGAGAAAGGTCGGCATAGCAGTTGGGTTCCAGTTGATATGCTTGATTCGTTTTCATCAAGAGCGGCATACCTGCCCAAGGCGTGTTCCCTTGCCAAGTCGCATTGGTGGTGATGCTCACGAATTCGTTTATTCTGTCCTCGTGCATTTGGGCTTCCTTGAGGGTGTACAGCGGAACCGCAGCCACACCATTGAAAGTCCGCCAAACCACTATCATCTGAAGAGAACAGCGTCAGTGAAGTTTTGGAGAGTAGTACTCGGGTACATAATACTTACATAACGAAACTTAGCACCGATAGCCCCGGCTAGCTTCGTATGTCCAATATCGCGATCACGAGGGTGGACCTCCAGATTTGTCTGTGGGTAAGCATCCACCACTTTGATAATTCTTCCTGGATGTAGGTTTTCGAGATTGACGTTGAGGGCCTTTTCAGCATACGGCCTGATCACATTTTTTCTTTCGTTGTCGTAGAGGACGTGTCTTTCAATTGTTACGCCATTCCAGGTTTGTTCTTGAACTCGGACGTCTTGATGGGGGGGTAGGTTCTGAAGGCGCCTAGATCTCCGGAATTCGGGCTCGGGTGGTACTGTCTCGGTGGTTGCGGTAGGGGCAGCCATGATTGCAAGGTTGTAGTAAGTCTGTACGAGGTAACGTCAATGCGGCGGACATTCCAGCTTTTCAATCGGCCATTAGGTCTGACCTTCGAGGATGATTAGTCTTTGTGTCTTTGTCCTCTTCCATCCTCTAGCTATTTCCGGAGGAATTGAGCTCGCAAGAGGTTGGCTCTTTGTACCGTGAAGTTTGACTTCGTACACCTTCATGAGATCAAAGGACTGGACAAAGCAGTGATTGCCCGGCTGATGTTGTTCTAGGGCTCTAGAACACTAGTCACGAGGAAAAAGAAGAGCACAGAAAGAATTTTGAGGTCTCGAAGCAGGCATGCCCTCGGTCCCAGAGATCTTTGAAAACATTTTTAAGACGTGTTATATACAAAATAAGATGAAACAACCTGCAAGAGGCAAAAGAACTGGATTGTCATTTGTCGAAATCTGGCTTGACGAGAGGGAAGAAAACGCTAGCCGTGAAGTGTCCATCTCATCTGAGCGAAGGAATTCATGGTTGATTGAAGACGTGTGTTGTTAAGCCTCTGTCCAGGAGTAGGCTGCCAGCTGTGCAGCGCATGTTTATTATACGTGCTACCGTAGAGCGCGAAAGCTTGGTTTCTGAGCTCATCTTCCTTGTATTGCAACAAATCCATCAACCTGCAATATTCGCCACCACTCATGTAGCCGACATCGCAGATCCTAGACTCTAGTTGGACGTGGATGGGTTCAGTCAAATGTATGAAAGAGTCATGGGCGTATTGCGTATTGTGTATGGTCATGCGTAGGGGGAGACCAGCCCACCTAGTATTGCCTTGCCATGTGAGGTTGTGGCTGATGCTGACCATTTCAGCCCACCTCGCTGGTGGAAGGGGTGTGCTGCTTTGGTGCGTGTACATTGGCAAGCACAACAAGCCCGTAAATGTTTCGTGCAAGACTACCATGACTCTCATCTTTGCGGCGACAGGGCTTTGATGGGTTGTGGCAACATCCTGATCGTTAAAGGCTCTGTCGAGGACAGTTTGAGGATGGGCATGTACCGCCAGAATGATTTGTCCAGGGAAGAAATGCTGTCTCTGATTTCTTCTGTCTACCCGATAAGCCCATTCACCGAGATCTTCTCGTTTAGCCAGGTTGTATTTGATTTTCTTTTTAACGTTGACATTCATATAGTGAATGTATTGCCTTGCTTCGTACAAGGTGAATTCGTCGCTTGGGGGCAAGCCTTTCAGTCGACGAGACACTCGTGGACCAGGTGGTGCACTCGGAGCACGTCTCGGAGGCATGGTTAATTATTATTGATTCCAAGGTAGGGTTGATACAGTAATGCACAGGATCGGAAGAAAGGTTTTTGCTGTTTTTGGTTTTTTTTGTAGGACAGTCCCCAATCACAACATCTTCCGGAAAAAGACAAAAGTTCTTTGAGGTCGATTGTGGGTCTTTGTTTTATGAAGATTGCCAGATACCATATCCGGTTTTTCTTGTCATCTTTGTTCAGAAAGCTCAATGCCGATTGATGATTCCCCTTTCATCTGCGTCGTCTGGACTTTGGGGTGTCGGGTCAGCAGGTCCTCTGATGGTTGGACTCTCGCTTTTCCAGTATTCGAACTTCCCTACTGTGCGAACGCCTAGTCTTTTCAACGGGAAGAAATTCGAGCTACCGTAACGATCGACTTCATCCCAGAAGTCTAGAGTGAAGAAGTTTTGTATGAAACTCATCTCCACTGCATACTCGCGTGGGACGTTGCCACTCCCCCATTTTTTGTGGCTCATTAATGCTTCTCTGTTGTCTTCTTCATCCTCAGGTTCAGGCCATTGGTAAGTTGACAGGATCTGTTAAACTGTCAGCGTGCTGAGAGTAAGTATCATTAGAAGAGAAACCCACATATGGAAAACCTCTATCTGTAGTCGGACCTTCGATGACACCTGAGTACATCAGTTGCTCCCATTGAAATCCCAATTCTGCATGTCTAGTATCTCTGTAGTATGGTTCGACATGTGGAAAATATCGACAGCGCCATAATGCGTGCATGACTTCATGAACCATTGTTGTGGCGAGATTGAACTTGACTCTCAACCTGGCCGATTCTTCGTCGCTGCCAGGAGTCCAATCAATCGCATCTTGGACAGGTGAGACTTCTCTGCATATGATGTTGATATGTTCCTCGTCCAGGACGATCTCCGGTGACTTCTTGTCGCCTGTTGTGTATCCGTGAACCTGCTTGTCGCCAGTCATATCTTTCTCAGTCCACATGATCTTATTTCCAAGCTCGTAGAGATCCTTCCACACCTTTTGTCTTTCGACCTGACTGGGGTTGTGTTTTCTTTCGAACCAGTATACCTCACCACCTAATCTTTTAAGGGTCTTCGCCGTGATACTGATCTTTTTATGCGAGGGGACGTCGAGCATACCTACGATATACCCAATCATATGTTCGCTCTCCAGCAGAAGTGTAGCCAGTTGTAGGACTGGTTTCAGCCTTTCCCAGTATTTATTCGTTGTTGTCGTACATAGTAGGTCAGTCGAGTTCCAGTTGTCTCGACGAAAGATGGGATGTATTCGATGGAACTCGTGCAGCTTTCCGACCTTCGACTTCTTTTCTAATGTGAATGGTTCTTCAATGCTATAACATAGCCCTTTGGCAACATCCAGTTTGGCGCGCCACCTTGCTGCTTCCAACATTCGTCGACGAGTGTAGCCAAAAGCTTTGTCGACACATATTGTCTCGAGGTTGACGTACCCGTAGTCGTCGAGTTTGTTCAGACTGATCTCCCTTAGCAACGGATTGTTTTCGTGCCATTGATTTCGAGCATTGCCACTTTTACCACCACTGACCGACGCGTCCGAGGATGAGCTCGAGTCGTCGAGTTCCATGTCTTCAGCTTCTTCCATATCAGTATCAGAGCCTGCGGCAGAGCCAAGAATTTCCGCATCGAGAGCACTCAGACCTTCGCGGTCGTTGTTTCGTTTGCTGTCCATGGAGTCGTCCGAGTCACCAGTCGTGGCCGAAATCTTTAAAAGTGAAATGATATAGACCTTGTTCAATTGTATCCCAGTCGAGGACGCTGATGAAGTGACAACACTGAATCCGGTCATCGACAATGAAAACCTTATCATCGAAAGACTTGCATGTGATGATGAAGAAGCTGCCGTGAAGCAATTCTTTGTTCATCGTGCCTGCCAAAACTTTGACTCAAGATTTGCAAGAAAAACACCGCTTGCCATCAGGAGTCGCGATCACCTCAAGTATTGTAAAAGCTCTTTTTCAAGAGGTGATGAGTAAGTTCCAATGGATTTTCGAGAAGCGCTGCGATCTACTTCGGTCAGACCATAAACAGAGAGCGCGAGCACGGGCTGCGCAGCTTTACTTACTGGGAGCTGAAGATGAATATTGGTAGGTTGTGAAGAACGAGTGAGTGGTCTCTGGTTTCAAGACCGTCGAAGCCGCGAACCCGATACGACAGGAGGAAGTCACAATAGCACCTCCATTTCTTCACATGTGCCAGTGAAACGCAGCTCTGGATGCATTTCTTTCACGGTCGCTTTTCTTCTTGACTGGGTCGGCAATCAACTTCGACTTCCTCTTCAACATCGACCTCGCACCTCACCATCACGTTCAAATCATCCATCTTACATCACACAATGAGCGCAGCATTGCTTTCGGAGAAGTCTTTGGCTTCAACTATGGCCAAGTGAGCTTTGTCGCTTTCAACTCTGAACCTGGCTGACGATCGTGTAGACTACAAGAGAGCGGCGCATACTCGGACTTCCAGATCGTGTGTGGCTCAGACACGTACCACGTCCACAAAGCCATCATCTGCCCTCAGTCAGAGTTCTTCCGCGCCGCGTGTCGCCCACATACATTCCGAGAGGGGGAAACCAATGTCATCAAGATTTCTGCTGGTCCAGGTCGGGACATTGCCTTCTATTCCCAGCCTCTCGATGAGAGTGATTTTGATTGGGACTTGGATGTCGAGACCACTGCAACCGTCAAACTCATGGTCTGCTATCTCTATCGCCACGATTATCTCGAGGAGGAGACTACAGAAGCCCTCAAAAAGAAGTTGACTTTATGCGGCACCAGCAACCGCAAAGGACTCCTCGCTGAGCACGCCAGAATGTATGCAATGGGCGATAAGTACGGCATCTCTGGGCTCAAAGCACTAGCAGTTGCCAAGTTCAAAGATCTCTTCATCCACTGTCATGACGGCCTGGCTGCAGCGCTCATCATTGCTTTCAAAGGAACCCCAGATACAGACAGAGAGTTGCGAGAGGTGGTGTTTGTGAAGCTTCATCCATACCGCAAAGCATATAAGGAGAATGCAGAGGTGCAAGCAGTCATCTCACGGATTCCTGATCTTTGTTATGGTCTGTACCGCAAGCTGTTAGCGGATTACTGAGGACACATGAAGGAGACGTCCGACATCGAGTAGCATTAAGGACGCAAGAGTGGCTCCAACGATGGCAGATGGAAGAAATAGCTCTTAGCCCTATGCAGAGATAACAACAGGTCTATACAGACAAAACAAAGAGTCTGTTTTCGAGTACCTGATTGTATCCATGCTACAGACCTCTGGTGCTCAACCACAGCTATCAAGTCTATGGCCTGGTCTCAAAGAAATCATCGTAAACTCGAGAAGTGAAGTGGTATGAGTATTTCGAGAGGCAAGTCTAGCCAAGAGTTTCCCCAGATTCATCCCACTCTGTGACTCCGGCGTTGATGACTCCCGCGCGGCCAAAAAAGTTGAAGAGCATTCCGCGATCACCGTCTTGGACACACGACCGGAAACACTAACAATATGGCGGTCAACTTTCCCAAGGAAGAGGAGCGCATCCTCGCTCAGTGGACCGTATGCGCACTCGCCTTCAACGCGCCCTTGACAAACAGTGACTAATACCTGATCGCAGGAGATCGATGCTTTCCAGAGACAACTCGAACTGTCGGCGCAAAAGAAGCCATACACCTTCTACGATGGTCCTCCGTTCGCTACCGGCACACCTCATTATGGTCACTTGCTCGCTTCAACCATCAAGGACATTATTCCCCGCTACTGGTCCATGAAGGGCCACCATGTCGAGCGTCGTTTCGGCTGGGACACCCACGGTCCGTTCATGCGCAATCGCCTCCAATAAGCAGCTCGGTCTGACAGAGTCTAGGTGTGCCCATCGAGCAGATCATCGACAACCAGCTCCAGGAAGAGCTCGGCGTGCGCGGTCGCAAGGCTGTTGAGCAGATTGGTATCGCCGAATACAACCGCAGATGTCGCGAGGTCGTCATGACATATGCCCAAGAGTGGAGGAGAGTTGTCGGTCGTCTGGGAAGATGGATCGACTTTGACAACGACTACAAGGTGAGGACCAGAAACATTCACGGACAAAAAGAACAAGCGCTGACAAGGCGCAGACCATGAACCCCACCTTCATGGAGTCGTGCTGGTGGGTCTTCAAGCAGCTCTACGAGAAGGACCTCGTCTACCACGGCGCAAAGGTCTTGCCCTACTCGACTGCCCTCAGCACTCCTCTCAGCAAGAGTGAGGCCCAAGAAGACTACCGCGATGTCTCCGACCCTGCCATTGTTGTCAACTTCCCCATCCTCGGCCGCGAGAACGAATACTTCCTGGCCTGGACCACCACTCCCTGGACCCTTCCCTCCCACACCGGTCTCTGTGTGCATCCCGACTTCGAATACATCAAGATCCACGATCAAGAGTCGGACAAGAAGTACATCCTGCTCGAGGTTGGTCTGAAGATGCTGTACAAGGACCCCAAGAAGGCAAAGTACTCGGTATTGGAAAAGATGAAGGGTTCCGACTTGCTCGGTGTCGAATATGAGCCTCCGTTCGACTACTTCAAGGAGGAGTTCAAGGGTGTTGGTTTCAAGGTTCTCAACGACACATACGTCAAGGTCGACGAGGGTGTCGGTATTGTTCACCAGTCTCCGGCTTTCGGTGAGGACGATTACCAAGTCGCCTGGAAAGCTGGCGTCATCAGCGACAAGCGCCCCCCTCCTAACCCTCTGGATCCCTCAGGACACTTCACCTCTGAAGTCCGCGACTTCGAGGGTCAGCACGTCAAGGCTGCCGACAAGGACATCATCAAGCATCTCGAGAAGGCTGGCCGTCTCGTCAAGAAGAGCCAGATTGTCCATAGATACCCTCACTGCCCTCGCTCAAAGACTCCCCTCATCCAGCGTGCTGTCCCCTCGTGGTTCATCAAGGTTGAGCACGTTGTTCCCAAGCTCCTCGAAAACTTGGAGAAGACTCACTGGGTTCCTGGCTTCGTCAAGGAGGGTCGCTTCCACAACTGGCTTGCGTCTGCCAGAGACTGGAACGTGTCAAGAAACCGTTTCTGGGGTACTCCCATTCCTCTTTGGGTCAGCAGCGACTTCAAGGAGGTTGTCTGTATTGGCAGCATTGCTGAGTTGAAGGAGTTGAGTGGTTACACTGGTGAGCTCAATGACCTCCACAGAGATACTGTCGATGGCATTACCATCCCTAGCAAGCAGGGCAAGGGTGTACTCCGCCGTATCGAGGAGGTCTTTGACTGTTGGTTCGAGTCGGGCAGCATGCCTTACGCCTCTCAGCACTACCCCTTCGAGAACAAGGACACCTTCCACGACAAGTTCCCTGGCGACTTCATTGCCGAGGGTCTTGACCAGACTCGTGGTTGGTTCTACACCATGTCCCTTCTCGGTACCTTCCTCTTCGACACATTTCCCTACAAGAACTGTGTCGTCAACGGTATCGTCCTTGCTGAGGACGGCAAGAAGATGTCAAAGTCGCTGAAGAACTACCCCGACCCTAACCTTATCATGGACAAGTACGGCTCTGATCCTCTGCGTCTGTACATGATCAACTCCCCCGTCGTCCGTGCCGAGCCTCTTCGTTTCCAAGAGCAAGGTGTCAAGCAGATTGTCTCAAGTGTCATCCTTCCTCTGTGGAACAGCTTCAACTTCTTCGAGCAGCAGGTTGCCCTCCTCAAGAAGCAATCTGACATTGACTTCATGTACGACACATCACTCGAGACCACCAACACCAACGTCATGGACAAGTGGATCCTCGCTTCATGTCAGTCTCTGCTCAAGTTCGTTAACAACGAGATGTCAGTGTACCGTCTCTACACTGTCGTCCCTCGTCTGCTCGAGCTTATCGACAACACTACCAACTGGTACATTCGTTTCAACCGCAGACGTCTGAAGGGTGAGGCCGGTCAGGACGACGCACTCCACGCTCTCAACACTCTCTTCGAGGTCATCTACACCATGGTTAGAGGTCTCGCACCTTTCATCCCCTTCATCACCGACAACATCTACCAGCGCATCTCCAAGCACATTCCCAAGGAGTTGCACTACGAAGACATGCGTTCGGTCCACTTCTTGCCTTACCCTGAGGTCCGTGAGGAGCTGTTCGATGAGGTCGTTGAGAGACGTGTCAAGCGCATGCAAGTCGTTATTGAGCAAGGTCGTCTCTGCCGTGAGAGAAGAACCGTCTCGCTCAAGACCCCTCTCAAGTCATTGGTCGTCATCCACTCCGACCCTCAATACCTCGAGGACGTCAAGTCTCTCGAGTCATACATTGTCGAGGAGCTCAACATCCGTGATCTCATCCTCAGCTCTGATGAGGAGAAGTACCAAGTCCAATACTCTGCCCTTGCCGACGTCAAGTCACTGGGCATCAAGTTCAAGAAGGACGCCGCCAAGGTCAAGAAGGCCATCCCCAACCTCTCATCCACCGACATCAAGTCATTCATGTCAAGTGGCGAGATCACCATCGAGGGTTGCCACCTTGTCGCGGAGGACCTCAGAGTACAGCGTGGTATCGCACAAACACCCGAGACCAAGCACCTCGAGGTCTCAGTCGACGACAACTGCCTCGTCATCCTCGACAGCTTTGCATACCCCGAGCTCGCACAAGAAGGTATGGCCAGAGAGTTCGTCAACAGAGTGCAACGTCTGCGCAAGAGTGCCGGCCTCGTACCTACAGATGACGTGCGCATGGTGTACAAGGTTGTCAAGGACGACAACAACGAGGTTGACAGCATGTTCAAGGAGCAAAAGCCCCTGTTCGACAAGGCTATCCAAGGTGAGATCCAACGTGAGGACTCTGCCACCGAAGGAGCTTTGGCCGAAGAGGATGCCAATGTCAGAGACGTGCTTGTCAAGTTGATGCTTTTCAAGCTATGATAGATGTCTAAAAGGGATGAGAGAATTTCTGGTCTTTTAGAAATGTTTGAGATATGAGAATTAAGACAAAAGCTGATTTCAATTGATTTTCATTCGTGTTCGTTATGACATTATCGCTTTCTGCCTGCCGCTGCCTGTGAAATGTATGTTAGTCTTCGCTGTCAAATCTCTCGATAAAGGACGTACCAGGTAGCAGTTTTTCAATTGCATGAATTCCTTCGCACACATGTCCTTGCGGACATTTTGGTATTCGGCGGCGATACATTTGCCATATGCAGCTCCCTGGGTTTCTTGTTAGCATTGCGTAGTAGTTGCGTAGTAGGACCCGATCAAGAGAGGACATACCTCAAGAGTGCATTTTGAGGTGGCAGTAATGAGCTTCTCAAGCGGCTTTGCTCGTGGTGTCGACATGATTGTGTTGTGAGGAATTGGTAGGAGGATAATGCTCGAAGGCGTTGGTAGAGAGAGTTGCGATTGGCGATGTCATTGATTCAGAGGTTCAAAGGCGGTGATCGGAAGCAACCGAGGGCAGATCTGCATGTGAAAGCCCGCCCTGCGCTGACCAGTCGCGTTCTCTGTGTGCACTTTCCTGAGACAACAACAACAAGAGTTGCGCCCGTATACGGCCCCATTCTTTTTTTGAGACGACGAAAACATGATACCGAATTCCAGCATTGCATGATTTATCGACACGAATTCACGAAAAACAAGAACGCGCGAATGCCGTCTCCGCCATCAATACAGCGACGGTATAGACGACCGAAACGAAACGCGTCAATAGACGGATTTTTACACGAGCCGAATGCCAGACTCGTCGGGGATTGAGGAGTTGCCGCCTTTGAGTGACCGAGGTGAGTTTGTTCCTTGTCTCTGTCTTTTTAATTGGTGTGATCAACGAGACTGATTGCCTTGCGCAGATATCAACATCCTCTTCCAGATCGTATCCGACGCGCAACAATCGCCAAACCCTCCCTTCCGAGCACTTTTCGCAGCATATGACAAAGTCCTTGCGCAACATGGCATTGCGCAGGAACACGATGGACGCTTCTTCCGCTACCTTTTGCGCTTGGGCGAGGGCCGCGCTCACAATTCTCGTTCCTTGATGTCCAAGTTGCGCAAGTTGCTCGCCAAATTCGACATACACATCGTCGTACAAGATGATCAAGACTTCGAAGATGATGAAGGTGTGGATTTGTCTCCAGCCGACGACCGACCAGTGCAAGAGCTAGGAACTGGCAGCGGAAGAAGAAGTCGCAGGGCGAGCTTCAATGACACAGGACTCGATGAGACTTGGCTTAGTGGTGGACGATTGGAAACTGCTCAACCCGGACACATCCCACGCAACTCATTCGATAACCTTTCGCGCAGCCAGACGCCCTCGATCAATGCGCCGCCCGTCTTGAATGCATCGTCCTCTCGAGGCAGGGTGCATGTACAACCTCAATCACACCCTCGAAGGAGTCACTCCCTGTCAACTCAAGACAGTGTCAGGGCTTCGCGCCCGCCGCCACCAGAGCCTTGGGCTCGCCCTCAACCCCCACTCGACTACCAGAACGGCGCGACCGACGACGATACCGAGTCCGACTTCCCTAGCTCTCCGCCTGTTTTGTCGCCAAACTACCAGCCCCCGATCCATGAATTTCTCGAAGAAGAGATGGAAGACGAAGCCGATTCTTTCCTCTACATGTCACAAGTAAAGACTGCTCGGCGATGCCTACACCGCTTACATCAAGAGTCCTCCCGAAACCGTCACTTAGCCATTGTTGCCCAGAATCACGATGAGCGCCTTCTCAAAGCCCAAGCTTTTAGCATTTGGGCCGCAAAACTATCCGAAATTCGTCAAGCTGCTGAGACAGAACAATTCTTTGAGCAGTACGAGAAAAGAGCGACCAGGGCAAGAGACCTGTTCTTGTTGAACAAAGCTTTCACACACTGGGCGCAGTCCACAAGTGACGAGATTGCCAGAACATCTGTTGCTAGAAGACACATTTTGCGCACTCGCTACTTCAACGCTTGGCGCGATATCACTGCTGTCAATGATCTCAAGTGTCGACGTTTGGGCTTGCGAAAATGGTTCTCGGTCTGGAGAACAAATGCAGCTCGCAAAGCCATTGACAACGAGCGGGCTGTTGCGATATACGAAGAGAATTTGGTCCGAAAAACTTGGTGGAAATGGTTTTGGGCTTTCTGCGAACGCAAGGCTCCTATTTGGCGTGATTATCGTCTTAAGCAGTCTTGCTTTCACCGTTTGACAGGTGCTGTTGGGCGTCTCCGACAACATCACGCTTCTGCTGAACATACACGTGACGCCAGTCTGCTCAGGAAGACCTTTGGTATAATGGTTGCGCGTCGAAATGCGATTCAATCAATGAACCAGATCGCAGAAGAGCAACACCAGACAAATGTGGTAGGCAACTGCTTCCACCATCTGGTGAAGGAGTCCAAATTGGGGCACGCATCGAAGGAGATTACCACTGTTGTGTCAAGGCGGGTTCTGACCACAGCTGTTTCAGTCTGGCGCACGAATGCCCACCTTTCCCAACAAGCCACTGCTGCAGATCGGCAACGCATCTTGCAAAACGTATGGAGGAACTGGAACGACAACCTTCGAGCTCGTGCACTTGCTTCGAAGATCGACGATCGAGTTGTGCTCGAAAACTTGTACAAATGGGTCTTGCATTCTCGACTCGCTCTCTTCCGCCGTGTTATGGACAACAGACTGCAAGAACGTGCACTGCAAACTCTAAGTCTGAGGTTGTCCGAGCAGCGTTTCCACCTCGAAGAAGCCGCAATGATCTTCCACGAACACAAGCGTAGACGCATGATGGCTTCTGTGATGCTTCGATTCCACGGCATCTCTAGGGCTGACGAGATGATGGAGCGACAAGCACTGGAGTTCAAGAACACTCGTGTCATGAATGCCGTTCTTCCATACTGGGTACACCGAACACAACACTTGATGAAGTTGAATCGCTGGTCAAATGATGCTAGATTCTACTGTTTGGCCAGCAGCACACTCAAGAAGTGGAAGGAAGCTACAGCCGAAGCCCAGCGAAACAAACGCAGAGATGCCTATGTTGAGATGAGAAGTCGTATCAAGCTTCGCATGGTTCGCAACAGTTTGGCTGCTTGGAGAGAAAGGACAAATATCGTCAAACAGCTTGATGAAGTTGCTATTGATCGCGCTAATAATCGTCACATCAACGCCGGCACTGCCATCTTCAACTTGTGGCGCGACAGAACCCAGCAAAACAACCAGTTGACCATACAAGCCGAAGAGTTCTCTGCGCGTGTTCTCTTTCTCCGCACTGTTGCCACCCTCGTGTCGAAGGGCCAAGAAGTCTTGCTTCATCACGCTCAAGCTCTCACGCTACGTTCTCAAACTATTGATCTGCTCGCAACAGAAACACTCAAGAAGCTCAAATGGGCACTGTTCTGCCATCGACGCAGTCTTGACTCTGCAGCAGCACTTGAACAGCGCAACGCTCAACAACATCGTAGGAATATGTTGAGATATTGGGCCGAGCAGGCTTCGAGAAGGAGAGCAGCGAGGACATTACCACTACCCCTGGATCCTCAGCAGGACGACCTACCCGCATCTCCCACAAGAGCCCGATCACCAGCTATCGCGTCCGCGCCCACGCCTGCCCCCATGCCTCTCGTACCGTCATCAAATCTGTTCAGCAGTCTACGATTACCTTCCGCACGCAAAACTCCAGCACCGGCGCCTTTGTCTGCACAAAGCCGTCTCGCACCCCTCCTCGACGACGATGAAGAATCAGATGTAGAGGAAATGGACTTCGGTGCCACGCACAGAGCCGAAGAATGGACATCGTTTGATGTGTTGCGTGATGTGATGAACAGGCCTGTTCCATCGTTCCAACCTGCGCCACAACAGCAGTTTTTCCAACAGCAAAATGGCAATGGTAAACAGCCAGCTCAGCGCTTCGACAGTGTGCTTGCTTCGACGCCGGTACCAGGATATATGGCAAGGACACCTAGCAAACGTCAACGTGCTAAAGCACTATCTTCGATCCCGTCGTCTACGCAGGGAGTGAAGAGGGAAGTGGTTGTTTCTACTACACCTGCCCCCGCCATCAAAACTACTCCTGCGCCGATGAGGAACAACAACGTTAAAACTCCGCAAGTCACGCCTTTTGAACGCAAAATGCGAAAAGGAGGGTACGGTAGTTCGTTGGGTAGTACAGGTGGTGGTGTAGGTCTGGCTGAAGAGAGTTTCACACCTGCTACCTTTCGCAGGACGAGATTTGGTGGGGCACCTGGGCTGGCTTTGAACGGGAGTGCAGCACAGCAGACGGGGAGGAGTGTCCGATTCTTTGACGTCGGAGAAGCTAAAGAAGAAGTGGATGGAAAAGATGGGGCCTGAGAATTCGGTATTAGTTTTGATTTCTTGATACCCCTTTTTTCTGGTCATGATCTCAATGAGATTTATCTTTCGATTACTGTTCCGAATTCTTCCTTCCGATCTCCTGCTTGATTTATTATGCTGATTATCATCCGAGATTGCGTTGATTCATTGCTCTATATCTTACATGAATGCTCAGGAGCATACGATGTCCACAGTATAATTTCCACCAGCCAGATTATCAATCGTGATTGTGCCAGCACTGCCATCTTGGTGTGCAGGAGGCGATGGCCCCCATACACCACACTTCCATGGAGTCGATGCCACACCTTTATGTCCATGAACCTGCTTTACCCAACTGAACTTCTTCCCATGCTTACCACCAACATCACTACCAGTGACCTTGACACTAGCATTGCATCCAGGAGTGTCGAGTACAAGGCTTCCTTTGGTGCCAGGTGGGGTAGAGAGAACATAGCTCGCTCCCTTGGCAGTGACAGAGTAGTTGCCAGAATAAGTGCCATGGTCGACCTTGAATCCAGCTTCCACATTCGTCAAGTTGCCAGGTTGGGGGTGAGCAATCCAATTGGTTGCATTCAGCACGTGTAAACCAACTGCAAAAGTTGACAAGGCCAAGACAGGACCAGAAGACCAGCCGTGGGCATGTGAGATGCGTGCGTCGTCTGCATAAGCAGGATAGTGCAATGCGCCGCTAGTATCGTAGCCTTCGATGTATGTGCTATTCGTCATGCGCGGGTCATCCAACATGAAGTCGGCCCACATAAATTGCATCAACTCGATAGCACGTTGAGGTTGACCGGCGAGGAAGTGAGCTTGCAGTTCAAAGCCTGTGATGAACGGAGATACAGTGGTTCCTGCTTCGGGAGCGGGTGCACCATAAGGTCCCCAGCGTGCAGCGAGGGCGCTCGAAATATCAGTACTCTGGTTCGCAGACGCAACACCAGAAATGATGGACCACACATTTCCATCTTGGGGATGTAGAGTAGTGGTCTCATTATCCTTGTATAGCGAAGCAGAGCTGTCCCAGAGGAGTGTGTTTGCAGCGCTGACAATAGTTGCAGAAGAATTTTTCCAGCTAGCGATGTGAGAAGTATCGTTCACAGCATAAGCGAGAGTTACAGCTACATCCAAAGTGTGCTTTAAGATGCTGTTGGCCTCGATGTTGTGACCGCCCATGCCTTCTCTTAACCAATCGAAGCTTGAAGTGACGTTGGCTAATCCAGTCTCATCCACAAAACTCAAGCTGTAATTCAGAGCAAGCTTGAATCTGTTCCAGTTCTGTTGTAAGTATTCGTCATCACCAGTGTAAATCCAGTAGTTGTGCAATCCAAGGAGCGTGAATAGATGGTAGTTGAAGCTGAAGACTACCTTTCCAAAGTTGATGAAACTGTTCTCAGGGAACACGTAGATGGGTTGAGCAAACCAAGGGAGTGCTCCAGTAGTAGCGTTTTGACTCGCAAATAGTTGCTGGAGAGAGAGCTTGACGGTGATGGCGTCGTCCGTGGAGAGGAATACTCCTGGAACAGAGATGGCAAAATCACCAGGCCAGACGAGCTTATCACGCTTAGGACCGTCGGTAAATGCTGAGCTTCCATTGGTCAAAGTGCTGTTGGACCACCATACTGTCGGTGTGTTCGGGTCGGTGGCGTCGAGGTCGACCAGAGAGTTTCCTGCAGTGGAAGGAATGGTACAGAGTTGATCAGTATATGCACCTGCATATCATTGGCATCATGTCATTTGTGAGCTTCGGACATGTGCAGATACATACCAGCATACCATACTCGGTTGAGTTTCTCATCATTGCTGTGGAAATAGCCTGTGTACTCACCAATGCCGTCATCAGGGAAATGTGGCATGGCAGTAAAGTATGTCTGCAAGTGGCTGAGGGTAACATTGCCAGTGGTGTTGTGGTAGACGTTAAGATATCTGAAGCCACCGCGGTCATGAAGAGGCTCAACCGAGTAATTGCCTGGTCCAGTAATCTTGAACCACAATGTCTCGTCGATGGCAATATTTTGCGTGGCATCGGAACCATCCGGGGAGATCCATAGAGATGACTCGGTGTAGGATATTCCGATGTACTGTTCGCTGTCTGAACTAGAGCTGACGATGAAAGACACCAGACCTCCAATGTTCTTGGTGTAGTCGTAAGTTACGGCTGAGACGCTATTGAAGGTCGTACCTCCAGATCCGGAAGTCGTCACCTCAGCGGCATTGATTACTGTTCCATTGGCCTGGTGGACTTTTACAGGAGAAAGATCTCGCTGAGACGGTGCAAGGATGTACTCGGCGTAAGGCACAGCAGCAGCTGAAGAAGACAGAAGCGTGGTCAAAGCCACAGCGAGCGGACGGCGCATATTGATTATTTTAGAAAGAGGCTATGATCAAGATGATCTTGAATGGGAGCCTGAGTATCTGCAGAGCCCAGCAGCATATATAGCAGCTATATCATCATTGCTGCACTTCGGTGCAATGTCCTCCGAGCTTAGAAGCTTCTGACAAGCATGACGGTGGAGCCCTAAGCAGAAAAGACAACAAGGTTAGCATCATCGTGTCGGCCATACAGATTCGACATGAAGATCTGCATGATGAGAGGAACTCTGGTGTAAAGATGGCAGGGGAAGCAAGGCAAAGGCGGGGTGGGTGCGGGGATGCGGAGTTGTCTATGCAGGTCGAAAGGTTGATCATTAGCGACGAACGGCATTTGACTCCAGCTGTTCGGCCGAAGTTGATTGACGTGATTATGCTTGGATTCGAGGATTGAAACAGCCAGCTGCGGGATGTGGAGGAACAGGCAAACTGCAGACGCGTTCGTTGGCCTGGATGTGATCGCTGCTGCCATCCAAGCCAACGCGTTCATCTAGAGACATTACAGTCATAGCTGTCTCTGATCATTACAGACATAATACTTGAATGCATTAAGCATCTCAAGACGATGTGGTCAAAGGCAGGAGCGAGGTCAAGATGCGAAAAGAGAAGGCGAGGTCGACGTGCCGCACTTTGGCGTCCGTGCGCTTCACATCTCGATGTGCTCAAAATCACCACTGTCACAGTACAAAATATTGGTCGGGTGAGGGTCTCGTTAGTCTAGACGATAACAAATATCTGACTGGAGATGAGGACCGACAATTCTGCTGATCAAGAATGCTTCAAAATAGTGTCAAATCAATAAATGCTTTTACACGACATATATACATAAAGCTGTACTAAATAAACCACCAAGCCACCACCGTCTTCTATAAACAAAAAGCGTATAAACAAAGCGTAAATCTAGAAAATCGTCTATCATGAAGTGAAGGGGAAAAGAAGAACAAAAAAACAAATGGTGCTGGACCATCGCTCAGGCAAGCCCGAGTCTCTGCGGCAGAGCTAGACTACCATTTTTCGAACTGCATCTAGCAGTAGGCGGTGCCGTTGAAGGCAGACTCTGATTTTATGACGCCAGCGCTGATGAGGTCGGTGTAGGACCAGTAATCTCTCTGAGTGCCCTGACCATCGACGAGAGCAGTGGAGTACGAAACAGCAGTCCAGAAGGAACCACCGCTGACGTACTTGCTCCAGGCGTAACGCTGGGTGTTGAAGATCAACTGTCTCTCAGAGATGGCGAGGCTGTTGTTGTACATGGTCTGGAGAGACCATTCGCCAATGAAGTTGGGGAATTTGGTGGCCTCGGCGATGAAGGCAGCCTGACCGCAGACGGCAGGGGCAACATATTGCGAGTAGGTACCGGCGGCAGCGAAGTAGTAAACGTGCGAGTCGATGACAAGGTTGGCAGATGCGTCGAAGTAAGGCTCCCAGAAGGCAGCACCCTTGAAGCAGTCCTGGACCATGACGGGGATACGGCTGTCGACCTTGGCGGTGCGAGCGACAACACCGTTGATGTAGTCAGCAACCCACTGAGCACCCTTGTCGGAGAGACCGGCGGAGGTACCGAAGCCAGAGAGGTTGTCAGAGGCCTCGTTGATGGGGCCGATGGTCCAGGAAGTCAGGTTACCGCTGGCCTTGATGAAGTCAAGGATGGAGTCAACGGCGGCGTAAGCGTAGTTGAGGTTGGTGGTGTTGTAGAAGAAGTCGTCGTGCATGAGAGCCTCACCAATGTCGAGGTTGTTGACACCACCGGGGAGGGAGTGAAGACCAACGATGATGTGCATGCCGTAGGTGTTGATGGCGTAATCAGTAATAGCCTTGAGGTACTGCTGCTGGTTACCGTGGTAGAGAGCAGATCCAGGAACGTTGACCCAGGCGGCGTAGGTGGTAGGAATACGGAGAGTGTTGACACCGACGGAGGCGAGCTGATCGATGGTAGACTTGTTCAAGAATGACTCGTATCTGGCTTCCAGAGTAGGACCACACTGGTCGCCAAGGGTCTGGCAGAGAGTCCACTCGTCAGGGGTGGTAGAAAGGTTGGCGACGCTGGCCCACCAGATGGGGTCGTGGGTCTGTTCCTTCTCGAGCCAGCCACCGAGGTTGGCACCGTTGGCCTGGAAAGTCTTCCAGTTGATGAAACCACCAGCAGTGGTGGGCTGAGCAGTAGCAGTAGAGCTGGCAGTGGCAGTGGCAGAGCTGATGATCCAGGTAGAAGTAGAGGGCTTCTTGCAAGTACCAGCGTCGGCAGAGCTGGAGAAACCGTAAGAGTAAGAAACGGTGTACTTGTTACCACCGCTGTTGGAACCTTTGTAGGTAGCGTAAGACGATGCCCAAGTCTGGGAGTAAAGGTTGCAGTATTGGCCAATGGCGACGTTGTTGCGAGCAAGAATGTAAGTGTTGAAGAACTTGCAAGTGGCCTTGTTGGCCTTCAGGTTGGTGGCACTCTGGGCGTCGCAAGCAGCAGCGCAAAGGCTGGCATCGAAAGGACCACCGGTGAAGACCTTGCTTCCAAGGAAGGTGGACTGGCCATTGCAGTCAACAGGGGCGTCGATAGCGGTGTTGCCGTAGTAAGAAGGAGAGGTGTAGCCATCAGCGGGCTCGATGGTGTTGTTCACGTAACCGTTGCTTCCGGCAATAACGACCTGGAAGCTGCTACGGTACTGACCAGCGTTGTTTGCGTTTGTAGTAGTGAGGTCTCCACCCCAGAATACGCACTTGATGTTGGTTGTCGAGGCAGGGTTCTCACAGCCAGTACCGGGGTCCTTGCTGGGGTCACGTTCGTAGTAAAGGTTGAAGGAAGCACAGCCAGAGATGGCGTTACACTTCTGGGCACACTTGGCGGTGTCGTACGAGGCGAGGTTGGTAAAACCGAGGTATCCGTAACTGCACAATATGGTCAGTACGTGAAGAAGGGTGACAGGTCATGGTAGATGCTTACGCATTGCTAGAGGCATTCAAGTTCTTGAAGGCCTGAGTGTAGCCGGAAGGAGTGGCGGCACCGGATGCAGCGCTGGCAAAGGCAGAGTAAGAGAGGAAAGCCGAAGCAGTGTCGGGAGAAGGGACAGGGCCGGAGCCGCTGGCCTGAACGGCACAGGTACCACGTCTGCGAAGAGTGGAAGAGCTGGTGCTGTTGGTAGTGCTGTTGGAGATGTCGATCTCAGTCTGACCGGTCAGAACGGAAGTCTGGACAGCGGCAGCAGCAGCATCGGAGTCGTAGCTGACGATAAGCTCATCGGTGTTGGTAGGGATGGTAACGTTCGAGGGAGTCTCAACAACATCGACAAGGTCGAAGTCAAGCTCCTGAGGAACAGGGGAAGCGAGAGTGAGTGCCGCAGCAGCGGACAGCAGGAAGAACGAGCGCATGGTGAGATGGAACGAATGTGTTGATGGAACTGTTGTCTGATTCTTCTTGTGACTGGGGGATGAAGATCACTTTATATCCCACCTCGTGTTGTGCTAGTCACCGGAGATCGAACTCCAGAGCTAAGGCATACTGTCAAGCTCTGACCAACAATGTCGAAATATTGATGACTCGGACGCACTGGTCAGGCCTCTTACCTTGGATCTATCTCAATCGATACAGATCGGGTGTTATCTCTTCTAGAAGCCCTAGAAGAAGACCGTAATGGGTTGTTCTTTGTCTAGTTAGTAAAGCCAACGAGGGCAAGAAAAAGCTTGACCTTGTGTAGTTGACCCATCTTTGACATCACAGGAGAAGTTGGCAGCTGAAGCAGAGCAGTACATGGCAAAGCTTGTACGGCTCGCGATACGAGCGACGGGAGAAGAAGGACGGGACCTTGGGAACAGTGGGTTCGGTCTGTGCTTACCGGAGGAAAATCCCCCAAGCCTCGTGCTGCTGCATATAGGGGAAAGATGATCATCTTCTGCAAGATCTAGAAGCTCAGATCATCGGTGCTGGTTTTCACTGAAGCCCAGAAAGATGATTGAGAGTGCACATAGCTAAGATGTTCACAAAAACAGCTCTGTGTTTCGCACTGCGTCAAGATACCGTTGTAAGGAGCTCTTCTCCGTTGTGGTTTCGTGTTTGGAGGTTGAAGAAAACGTCCTTCTTCGGTACCAGAGCCTCCTACACTCTCAGCCGAACCGGGTTGTTCTTGTTCCTTGCAACGGTTGTTTGTGGGAAGCGAGCGATAGGATGCCGAGTCAATGCACCGCTTCCATGGCTTGGTTTGAGAAATTGAAGAAGGGCTTGTAGGATTGGAAACATGAAGGGTTCTCCAGAACCCTAATTCGTCGACGAAATAAGCTTAATGTCATCCGGAAGTGGCTTAGGCAGGGAGAGGCTTGGCAGGCACTTCGGCGAACGACTCCCGCTTTCTGCCCTCATCTCGCTCTGGGTTTGGTATAGCCGCTCGTCTCGTCCGTACTGTGCCGGATTTTGGACATGATCTTCTTCAATCAATCTCCTTATGCTTCGGTAAGCAACAAGAATAGAATGTGAGTGGCGGTATTTGAAGTGCATGGAGTCGAGAGCATGCAAGTGAGCTCCTGCAAAAGACCATCATGTTCTTCCGATCTGATCCGTGAAGAACAGCTTCATACTCGCAGGTCTTTGAAGCATCCCTGTCAAGAATCTTTTCCTGCATTTAGTCATTGCTGTATAGTGAGAGTACCGCTCTTCGGAGTGTTGGTTCATCAGATAGATACAAGAATCATGATGCCCGAACTCTTTCTGTGTCTGATCATGATGCTTGGGATCATGATATCAACCCCGATCATGATAGGCTTGATCATGTCGACAGTCATCATGCTCTGGCCATCATGCTGCGGACAGCAAAATGATAGCCCCCTTCGTAGCCCTACAGCATCCTCCATATCGAGAACAAGGGCTCTCGTTTATCTCAGCTGTGTGATTTTGATACATTGATTCGCGGTTCCGGAGTTGAGCGAGCACATGGTTCTCGAGTGGATCGTGTTTGGCGCGCGCTTGATCGCGTCCCACCCACCTCGCCAACAAACAGATGTGGATCACATCAAGGAGCGAGCAAAGCAGAGCTCGTTGAGACGCATCGCACGTTCATCCACTCTGGAGATCAGTCTTCTGACAACTCTATCTTCACACATCTTGTAGAAACAAGGCTTCTATGATTGTTCTGTCTTATATACCCAATCATGCGTCTAGCCTTCTCTACAGCACATTCTTGTTCAAAGCCTTACCAGCAAACCAGAAAAGACGAATGCAAACAATGTTGCTAGCCCACCAAAGCACACTTCTGAACCCAGCAGCCTGTCTGGTAGTGTTCTGTCTGTACACCCAGAAATACGCCGCCCTCACCAGTGTGTAAATGGTAGCATATCTGTTAACAACACCTCCGTCCAATTTTGCAATCATGGCAGACAGGATAGCGGCGGCGAAAACGGTATAGTGTTCCATGGAGTTGGAGTGCGCGGATTGGATGCGGCGGAGTTGTTCTAGTTGCTCGGTGGTGAGTTTGCCCTTTGAGACGAGTTGTTCGGCGCGGGGAGATTCGAGGTCGTAACGGGGGTTTATATTGTTGTCGCAACCGTACGAGGTCTTTTGGAAGCGCGTGGTGGTGACGACGTAGGAGAAGAGGAAGTTTCCAAGCAGGAAGTATGGCCCATAGTTGGGGAGGGGGGCAAGGGTGTTGTTGGCTGTGAGGCCGAGGGTGGTGAGGAAGGATGCCCTGGAGATGTGTTAGTAAGGTGTCGCATTGCGAGAGAGAGCCGTAACATACATTTTGAATCGATCCTATGTGAATTGCAAGAATGTGGGCGTGTGGGATGAGTAAGGAGCGAGAAGTGGGAAAGTCGATGATGGTGGATGTCTTCGAGCTCCAGCAACGGTCCTCGGAATGTTTCACTCAGGACAAACTCTATTTCACATCATCCTTTGTGCCGTTGTGATCATACGGTATTTGATACTTCAGCTTGATATGTGTTTTCGCTATACCGAATACTCCTCCTGAAGGCAACTCATTGAGCACCATCTAACATCCTCCAAGAATGCCTGCAAACCATAACAATGACGTAGGTGACCCGATCCTCACGATGAACCTATTAGCTGACAAAATCAACCATGGCTTCCCACAAGGCTTCGTCTGTTTCTCCTTTGGGCAAAGGATGATCATCTTCCTCCGTGAAGCCATCCATTGGGACTCTTGTTGCTGGGCATATCGTGCCTACTTCGGGCAACTCACCTGTCTGGAAGTAGTTCCTCACGGCCTTGGATGCACAGAAGCTGGATTTGGGTCAGAAGTGGTCCTGTATGGTTGAGAGAATAACCTTACCTGACACCATTGACAGATGCATGTCCCACTATATCCAAAGCCAAGACGACCGAACCCCGGAAGCCCTTCGACATCTTGTAGGCATTGCGGAGGGGGGTAATGGGGTCAACTACGTTCCCCAGGAGGAGGATAGGATGAGCGGTTGTGGCGTTGAAGTCTCCCTCGTATCTCCAACTGTCACGAGCGTGCCACTGTAGTGTTCATGTCAATCTCCTGCGCTCGAGAGGTATTTGGCGAGGATTCTTACCTGTGTGCAATGCAGTCGGTTGTCGTACGCATCTCCAATTACCCTACTCTGTTCCATCATATCTTGGGTGTAACTCCAGTATTCCTCCTTGGTTGTGTTGGTACGGTCCTCCGCGTCAGTGCAGAAGATTGCATCGCGAATGAGAGCCATGGAAGCTCCGTCGAGCTCCGGATCGCAAGCACGTGAGTATGGTCCCTCTTTCTTGCAGGCAGATGAATAGGGTCCATCTTGATTGCAAGCATACGAGTATTGTCCATCTTTCTTACACAATTCGGGGAGATCTTTCTTCGTCGAGAATGTAGTAACACGTCGCTCAAACGCCGGAGCAGTAACCTCGCCTCTTTCGAGCTCTGCTAGTAGTTCTGCGAACCCGCCAAACCCAGTAAGCGCGCTGTATGCCATTCCGAAGAATACGGATCTCACTTTATCTTGGGTTATCAGATGAGCCGAGGTATGGTCTGTTCCTGGTAGGCCGACAGGGTTATGCAGAAGCTTCTGCATGATGTTGTCAAATCGCTCAGCGATAAAAGTGACGCCGTTGTCGTGATAGAGTGCACAGTTCTCGCGTCCGCCTAACCAGCAGTATTCTGCGAACTTTGAAATGGTGAGATCTGTGTCTTGAAGATTGGCGGTGAGTTCCCCTTTGTACCAGTCAAAGGAATCGACGACGCCATCCAGGACGACTCGCTTGACCCTCTTAGGATACATGTCGGCAAGAGTGGCTCCCAGTACAGTGCCGTAGCTGATGCCCCAGAACTGGACCATCTCTTTCCCAGGCTGATATTCGACACGAGAAAGCAGATTTGTGTCAGAACTTCCAGACGACTTGAGAAGTCTTCGAGCTTCTTGCTCCCTCCATTCGCCGTGCCTCTCAACGATTTCGATCATGTCTCTGGCCACGTTCGATGTAGACATGTGTTCGCCGATACCTGCCTCGATGGCTCGTTTTGAACATGAGTCTGCAAGAGTACGTTGGAGAGTCCAGATATTGCTGAAGGCTTCAAAGTTGCTGCCAGGAGAACCATATGCACTGAGTAATGTCTCGTAGCTCTGGCGCTCGAGGGAGTTGGGGAAACAGCGAAAGTTCGGCCGAGTATTGGCGACGCCTCGAGGATCAAAGCTCAAGATATCGAAGTATTTCGCGGTCTGATTGTCTGCAGTCGGTCCCGCGCTCACTAAGGTCTGGAGTCTCTTGCCCAAGTCGACTGCCTGTTTCTTGTCAGCATGATGTGGCTTGCTCGTCTTTGTTGTCTATGGTGTACCGTTTCCACACCAGAAGCACCAGGACCACCTGTTAATACTGTCAGTGACCAAGATCAGGACGTGCAAGTCTGGGATAGCGCTTACCAGGATTTACAATGACGACGCCACCGTATCTGGGGTCTGTGACCGGAACAGTAGCAGGAAGCCTGACGATGGCTATCTCTACAGTCTTGTTGCTTGCTCCTTCTTCGGCATTCCAGTCCATGGGAACTTGGAGCATGGCACACTGGAAGTCGTAGTAACAATCTTGATAAACTAGCGTCTCGCTTGCAAGCAACTGTTTATCAACTCATGTTAGCGTCGTCAAGGTAAAGAGAAATGATGATTCAACTTACATCATCCCAGGGAAACGTGGGATCTGCCAACAGTCTTGGATCTTGCGTGTTGTTGGACGGCTTTCTGGGAAAAGGCAACATGCCGGTGCTGGCCAGCAATAGCGATGAGGCGATATTGGAAAGCATGTTTTCGAGAACAGCTTGTGAGAATTGATATGTAAAAGAACAAAGCAAGCAATGAAATGATGATTCGGTGTGATGATACTTCGATTCGATGATGATGCTTCTCTTCAATGATGATGTTTCTGGTTGGTGATGATGGTGTTTCTGTTCGGCAAGCTGTCAACAGACGAGTTGTTGCCTTGCTACTTCTCAGCTTGCAGGCGCGACCATTTGCGCTGGGAGCTTGGCAGATATCGTTCTTTCCCAACAATGGAAGATCTGAATCTCTCGTCCCTTCGAAGCAGATCAGCATGCGTCATTTCAATTCTGAGCGGAAGGAGATCAAGCAAAGAGGAGATCAATTCTGATACATGTCTAACCACAACACCCAAGCCCCTTCATCATTAACGCCAATGCTTTTTACAGTAAGAAAAAGGGTATTTACTCCGACGCCCAATCGTGTTGTGTTGAAGAAGATCCCAGTAAAAAGTCCCAGTATTGTACAGTGAAGGGTTGTGGTATCCCTGAAAAAGAATAACGCCGGAGGAATATGCCACTCAGAACAACATGTCGGAAATGCTTTTGATCGAACAATGAAGATTAGTAGCGGTCACCACCGCCAAAGCGTCTGCTTTCGCCGGTGAAACCAGAACCGCCACTTCTGTCACCACGATCGCCGCCATAGCCTCCTCTGCGGTCACCACCTCCGTACCCTCCTCTACGTTCACCGCCGCGGTCTCCACCGTAGCCGCCTCTGCGATCACCGCCACGATCACCGCCGTAGCCACCACCGCCACCGCGAGAGAAGCCTCCACCATTGCGGTCATTTGAGAAACCACCGCGGCTGCCACCACGACCACCACCCTGGCGGCCACCCCAGCCAAAGCGGCCATCACTGCTGCGGATAGGTCTGTCCTCGACATCGTCAAGGTTACCCTCGATGATTCTGCCATCAATGTTCATGCCAGGAACTCTTGTGAGACCAACACGCGAAGCGAGGGCGGAAGAGATCTCCGGAGGGGAAGGCATGCCCCAGGCGTAGCGAGAGAGGTTGTTGATGGCGTTGACAAGAGCCTTCTTGCGGATGAAGCCATAGGTACCGATGTAAGCTTTGTAAGCATCGGCTTTGAGTTGCTTAGGGACGCGGTTGTAAGATTCGGCGACTTGAGCCAGGATGGTAGCTGCCGATTTGGGAACATCTGCCTCACGGGTCATGTCGACGGAGGCGGTGGCCAGTGAGGTGTCCTTCTGTAAGGGAAGGTTGTTGAGCTTGCGAGGAACTTCCTGAGCTTCGATCATAGGTGACAGCAACCAACCCTGACCCTCCTTTCCAGCACGAGCGGTACGACCGATGCGGTGAATGTAGGTCTCGCGGTCACGAGGCATACCAACCTGAATGACGTGGGTAACGTTGGGGAAGTCCATACCACGGGCGGTGACGTCGGACGAAACGAGAATACCAGAAGAGCATTTGCGGAAGTCGTCAGCGGCACGGGTGCGCTGGCCCTGACTCAATTTAGAGTGGATCTCGAAGACGCGAGCAGGGTAGAGGGCACCGCGAACATCGCGGTAACGACCATAGCGACCACGAGTGTCCTGCGGGGGAGGCATGGCATCCTCGTCAACGGGAAGCTCAGTAAGAGCAGCGGAAGCCAGGGTGACCTCGGCGGTCGAGTTGAAGTAGAGGATGGCCTTGAAGGGACGAGCATCGGGCTGAGCAGCATCGGCGATAGCGTTCTTGCACAGCTCAACAATAGCAGGTACAGTGTTCTCGAGGCCGTTGACATGTACGAGGTACTGAGGAACACGAGCGTGAGTGGGCTCCTCGTCATCGCGCACAGTCTTGACAATGTCGAAACCAGGCTTGAGGGTCTCTCTAACCAGCTTCTGGACCTCACGGGGAACAGTGGCGCTGAACATGAGAGTCTGACGGTTCTTCTCCTCGGGCTTGGGGAGAAGGGCCATGATCTCCTGGATTTCGGGCCAGAAACCCTGGTCGAGGAGACGGTCGGCCTCATCGAAGACCAGGGCATCAAGACCGGGAGCCTGGACACCAGAGTACTGATCGCTGAGGATGTCCTTCAGTCTACCGGGGGTACCAACCAAGATGTGGCAACCCTGGCGCTGGATAGCGCGCAGGCCGGCCGACTTTTGTGTTCCTCCTACTGCCGTCTGTACAATGACCGAAGTGTTTGCAACAAGACGCTTTGCCTCCATGGCGATCTGCTCGGCCAATTCACGGGTGGGCGAAACGATGATGGCGCGGATGTCGTCGGCGGTCGTCTTGTTGGCTTTGCGCTGGTAGCCTCTACCGCGCTCACCGAGAGAAGCGTCGGTCTTGAGGATGTTCTGAAGGACGGGGATCAGGAAACCAAGAGTCTTTCCGGTACCGGTCTTGGCCTGAGCAAGAATGTCGTTTCCGTTCAATGCCTGGTTGATGGTGGCCGTCTGCACCTCGGTCATGGTCTCGAGGCCCATGTCCTTGATCAGAGTCTGAACAACGCCTCTGCTGACCAGCTTTCTGTTGCCCAGCTCGGCGAAGGTTGTGATGGGACCATCCTCGGTCTGTTCTGACTGGAATCCAAGGCCTTCCTCTTCAGCGACGGCGGCATTTTGTTGTCTCCATTGGCTGGTCTGGTGCAAGCTTCTGGTGATAAGAGCTGCGTTGTAAGGTCTTGATATCCTTGAAACAGCAGCGCTTCTGCTTGTGCTTGAAATCTGAGCGACACTGCGCGGCAGCACCGTAGAGCACCTTCTAAGAGCTCCCAACATTGCGAAAGATGAGAATACACAAAAACGAGGGGAATAGGGTGATGTAGAATGCTTCGATGAGGCGAAGATAAATTTCCCAAGAGACTTTCACATGGTGAGTCCGTGCTTTCAAGACCCCGGACTGGATCATCGCCTCCGCCGCCTTCGCCGACTTCTCGACCTTGGCGATATCTCAATCCATCCATGACTACACCATTTTTCAAGTGTTTCTGTTTCGCGTCATGGGGAGAACATGTCCCTCGGCAATTTCCTCCTGGATGTCGCGCATACCCAGGTTCTTCTCGTAGAACTCTTTGCCCTCTCCTGGTGAAGCCATGAGCATTGCTCTCATCAGATGCGGCTTCGAGTCAAGAATCTCTCGACAACATTTGATCAGCCACTTGCCCAACCCTTTTCCACGATACTCAGGCGCGACGTACACGTCTGTCAAGTAATAGACTGTGACATGATCTGTGACAAAGCGAGCAAATCCAACTTGTTCTAACTTCTCGGCTCCGGCTCCGTTCCCTTGGAATTCGTTCGAAAAGTAGAATGATGGGTCCTCGAGAGTGGGTGAGGGTGTATCTGGTGAAGAAGGCTCTTCCGCTGATTTCGATGGTGGAAATGGTGGCTGTACCGCGTACACGCCCATCACCAGTGAGTTCGAGAGTATGTTTCGTAGAATGGCAGCAGGCATTGCTTTGGCCCAGTACATATCATCAGAACCGTATGCATTATTGACAAAGTCGTGCGAAACATTGTTCAGGTCGGTCGATATGAGGTATTCCTGTTCGGCGATGGTCGTCCGCCATTCTCTTGCTTTTTGATATGAGGCCATGATTGAGATTATTGTAAAGACGTTACAGTTCCGGCTCTCTTTCATGAGACTTGAAGGGTGACTGCTTGATAAGATACGTCATGAAGCCCTGCCGAGGCGTGACTCGGAGGGTCGTTGGAATTGTCTTTCTGCACTCACACAGCTCAACTGCGTACTTTTAGCAGCTCTCGGTCGCGACGACCACTCGCTATAGAGTACTGGCGGAGGACATCTGGACCTCTGGACTCGAAAGAAACAAGGTCATATCAGAAACAATTCGACCAAGTCCCACGCCATGACCCTGACCACGACACGGACCAAGCGAAATGTCGACTCGCTTCAGCTTCCCACAAGCAACAATAAAAGACCGAAATGCATACAAAAACTCGAAGACGCGCAACCTCAATCCTCGCTCTTTCAACTTCCTCATGAGATCCGACATCACATCTTCTTGCTAGCCTTGGCTAGGCCGCTCTCTGCCACGCTCCTCGACTCTTCTCACGATGATAGCCTAGACGTTGAGCCTGCTCTTCTGTCTACCTGCCATCGCGTCCGCGCCGAAGCTCTCCCTCTCTTCTACAGCTCCAATGACTGGGTCATCAAGACACGTCGCGTGGGAGGTGACACGGGTCGTCTGGATCCCATCAGCAAGAGGTTGATCACATACCAGTGCATACCTCGCTGGCTCGATGCCCTGCCTGACGACAAGATCGCTCTGATCAGGTCCATCGTGGCTATTGGCTCGCGAGGATCCTACGTGGACTTCAAAGGCAAATGGTGGGATGGCGATCGCGCCGCATTTCGCTTGCAAAGGTCGAACGGGCGCGTCACCTACCGCGTCGATGAGCTGGACTATCATGATGAAGAGGTAGAGCGAGAGCCGAAGCAAGAGAAGGACAAGGAAGCTTTCTGCAGCATACACCTGGTCGACCTGCTTAACGCAAGGATGCGCATCAACTCTCGTGGGAAGTGGCTTTGGACGAGGGAGCGCGTACATGATCTTGCATTTCTGCTGTGATGCATCATCATTATTGCCTGCCTCCTCCTTCAGATCAGGTCGGCCGCCTTCACCAGCGTCGGCTCGATCGGCCACGAAACGAAAAGTCTGCACTTGGCAGACAAGCTCACAAGTGCCTTCACAGGTCTTCGACAACCTCTGCAGAACCTTTCTTCCATGGTTGAAACACCTTGGAAAAGGCCTGCGAGGCCCGCGCACTTACAATCACAACGCAAACAGTACGTTACACCTCTTCTTCTCATCCTCTCTCCCATTCCTAAAATGATGATCACACTTCGTTACCCAGCTCACTTTGATGCAACAAAAGTTGTACTTGATGCAAACGCGAATCTACTTCTGATTTTCACCTTCACACTACTCTTCTCAATCAACTGTCTTTTGCAAGCAATGACTAACTTCGAGAATTAGGAACCTTGTTTACACATACAGAGCTGTTGTAGTTTGTATAGAGTGACTATATAATCAATATGAATTTACGAACTTTTAATCATAATCAAACCGTCTTCTCACTGCCATCCTCGTGCCCTTCTGTGACTGCTTCTTCCTCCACTTCCTGTTTCTTTTCTGCTTTATTGTACGTGCCCACGGAGAATATCAAAGCCACACAAGCTACCACAGCAGATACCCACATCGTCTTACAGAACGCATCAGCATATGCCACTCTCTCATCTACCACTTGTCCCAAAGTCGTCTTCCTCGTACTCATGACCCCCAAAATCGCACTAGACGCCGCAATCCCAATACTTCCACCCAACACTCTCGCCTGTGCCACAATCCCCTGCGCAACAGCATGATCCCCACGCTCACAATTCGTCGCCGCCACCAATGTCGAGCTTGAGATCGATAACCCTAATCCCAATCCTAGTAGTACCTCAAACCCATAAGTTTTAGCTTGGACACCATGATGTACAGACAGTGTAGACAGCAACCCACTGCCTAATGCCATCAACGCGCTTGCGATCGCTAGAGCAGGGAAAGAGTGGGAAGCAGTGAGGCCGCCTAGTATACTTCCTACCGCTGCGGATGCGAGCATAGGCAGTAGTGCTACTCCTGCTGTGAGTGAGGAAGTTCCATTGACGATTTGGAAGTGCAGGGGGAGACTGTAGATGGCGATGAAGTTTGCAAACCCCGTTAATGTGGTGACGATGACGGCGGAAGTGTAGATACGACGTTTGAGGAGGCGAGGAGGGAGGATTGTGGAGATGGAGTGGGTGGAGGCGAAGAGTTCCCAGATGAAGAGGAGGGACCAGCAGAGGAGGCCTATGAGTAAGGGGGCGAGGAAGATGGCTTTGGTCCAGGAGTTTGGGGTTAGCCCGGCTTGTTGGAAAGCAAAGACTACGAGGACGGAGGCTGCGATGAGTAGGAAGGAACCTAGGAAGTCGAGACGTTTCCAGGAACGACGAGGTGGATGCTTCATCATATCCTCGCCAGGCCAGGTAAGGAGAAACAAAATTGCAGCAATAACACCGATAGGCCCACTGTGCATCATCAGCAATTCGTCCAAGACAAATATGTTTGAAAACTACTCACTTGATCCAAAACACCCACCTCCAAGTCGTATACCTCGTAACCACACCTCCCACAACCGGTCCCATAACCCCCGCAACCGCAACAACCAACCCAGCCACAGCACCAATCCACTTCTTCTTCCTCTCCTCAACAATCTCCGGCAACAATATCATCGTCAACGAATACAATCCACTCCCACCCACCCCCTGCACAGCTCTAAACCCCACCAACTGAGCAAGCGTCTTAGCAAACCCACATGCTAGAGAGAAAGCAAAGAAGAGGATGAAGGCTAGGAGCCATGTATGCTTACGACCGATGACATCGCTGAGGTTTGCAAAGGGGACGGCAAAACCGAGGTAGGTCAGGGTGTAGGAGAGGGCTACCCAGGTGGAAGAGCGGGTGGCGTTGAAGTCGATGGAGATACTGTAGAGAGCCGTTGCTACTATGGAGGTGTCGAGGAGGGAGAGGAAGAGACCGATGCAGAGGCTGATTATGAGGAGAGTCAATCGCCAGGTTGGTATGGTAGGAGGTTCGATTTCGGAAGGACGCGGTGAGGCTTCCTCGATTGCGAGAAGCGGTGATGCTTTGATGTCCTCCATCTGAATATAACAATCGGGTGGTTCAAATATGGTCTGCTAGCAGGGATGTCTTCAAAACATGTTGACAGGAGATCGTGCAAAGGATATACTTATTGCGAGCTGTCAGACGGACATTTAATTGCACCTACCTTGCGCCAAAGCAGTGTTTTATATAGATACATGCCCAACAATGATCATGCTTATAGCTGTTTTGGGACTCAAATGCGAGCTGTTGTGTTACAAAAGAAGACTTTACACTGCACAGTGTGGATGTTACATGGAATCTTTGAAATCTGGCCTCTATTCCATGCCATGCCACCTTGCTGACTAATTATTCCATTTAATGCTATGTAATCAGTGGAATAATGCCAATTCCACCCTCGTCGTCGTCGCTGTGACCCTGTCCTTCCTCCTCCTGTATAGGCTCCTCCTTAGCTTCCTCGACCGGCAATTCGACACTCTTAAAGCAGAGGTTCTTCTGCCAGTTCTTAAGGCACTTAATATAGCTAAGGTTAGCCGCAGATAGCTAAGCTCTATCCTACGACAGGGTCCTCCTATAGCTACTAAACACCCTCTCTAACTTAGCAGACATCGGATTAATAGAGAGGACGTCGATAGCTATATAAGATAGGTTCGGATAGTTCTGCTATTGCGTCGGTTTAAGCTACTACTTAATAGGGTCCTTTGTTAGTACCGGAGGTGACTTCGTAAAGTAGACGAATTCCTTAGTAACTTAGACTAATGTTGTATACTATATAGATGCTTACTATAAGGCTAGCTTGTTCGACTAGTCCCCCTCTTATAATGACCCTATTAGGAGTAGTCTAATCTTGTCCTTATAACTCGCCGACTATAGAGCGCGAGCTATAGTAATGGCTAGAGCTCGCTATAACTAAGGCTAATAAGTTATAATATAAGCCTCGCGATAGGTTAGATAGAGGAGGAGGGCGGCGGTGTACGCTAGCGTATAGTCGTTAATAGCCTGCCATTTGTCGAGGGCATAGCGACTAGTATAGATAGCAGCAGTAAGGACTAGATCGGAGGTATAGCGGACGATAGATTAATTATAATGCTTTCTAAGAAAATCTATCGACATTAGGACCTACAAAAATGTTAGTGCCTAGATTATTACAGATTTTAGTAAGGATACGGCCAAATTTTAGGTTAGAGATTCTTACTTAGTCTAGAGTTACATTGTCGCCTTCGCATAACTTAGTTACCTATTATAGAGGCTCTATAAACTCGACGAGGGTCTTAAGGAACTGCTAATAGCGATGTTTTAAAGAGCTTTATTCTATGTTCTTATTAGCTAACTATATAGAGCGTATAGTAGATCGGCATTAGAGCCCTCGCTTGATTATAGCTAGCTAGCTGTTCTACCTCGTCGTATTATTAAGTATAGGTACGAGGCTAGTAGTTGCTTTAAACTTACGACGACGACGAGCTAACCTTATAACCTACTTAAAGAACTTACGAAGGTAGTCGACGGCCTTATAGTTAGCAATTCTAGTGCCCTAGCTAATTTTAGCAATGGCCTCTAAGGGCTCCTAGCTCTTAGTAATTATAGCAGTAATAGCTTCCTCTAAGCTCGCAGACATAAAGGCTTAACTAGCTAAGTTAATTTAATGACCGAAGTAGCGTGTTCGATGTTAAATAGGGTCCTATTTAACTAATAGGCGCTCGCGGAACAACGTAGCGAGGTGCTCCATTATAGTGTCGTTATAAGTAGCATTATTAGAGGTAATATAGCTAATCTTCTGCTAGATGTTATAGTTAACAATGGTCTAGAAGAATAGAGGCGCGCACTGTTTACTAGCATAGCCTATAGGTAGTTTATGCAGAGCGAGCAGAGCCTTATTTAATATACTATCCGGTATAACGAATCGAGCTATAATACTAAGCAACTTATAACTGCTATAGTTCGTAGTCTAAGCATCGCAGGTAAAGTAGATTACTAACTAAGAAGTTACAAGTAATGCCTTAAGCTAATCCTTATAAAAATCGTGTTCTTTTTTAACATGTTTAGCTATAGAGTAATGCGTCTTAATTAGCAACTTAGATACGCTAGGAAACACCTCGTCGAGCAAGGTATAGAGCTTACTATTACTAGCGGTACGGAAGGGGATATTACTCGAGGTAATATAGTCGATAAGGCGCCGGTTTAGAGTAGCTCTATTAATGTCGTTAAGAAGGCGAGAGGCGCGAGGAACTGTAGCTAATATAGTGCGTAGATAAGAGCTAGATTTCTAGTCGTGCTTGCGAGTAAGATATAACCTAATATTGTCGTAGTTAGTAGTTAAATACTTATAAGGACAGTCTCTATCCTTATAATAGTAGTACTAGATCTTCTTCTTACGCTCGCGCTCTAGCTTACTAGTGCGCCGAGCCCTTATATAAGACTAGAGCTTATTAGAATTACTACGGGAGGGGGTAACTTTACGAGGGCCTCGTCGATAGAGATTAGGTTATTCGTCGGTATTATTAGAAGTAAGAGGAGGCGTAAGAGGAGGAGTAATAGAGGGAGGCGTAATACGCTATCGCTTCGAGGGTCGAGGGATTAGAGGTTATTAGTCGATATCGGTGTTAGATTTAGCTTTAGAAGCTAATATATGATCCTCGACGAAGATACTCTCTATACGACCCTCTAAGTTCTAGTATTTAGCCTTAGGGACTATAACCCTCTTATTACGAGTAGCGTATACGTAGAGGGTACTCTACTTAGCCGCGCAAAGGAGCTACCTATCGAGGCATTAAAGATGTAGCTAGCTCTATAATTCTAGGTAGTTAGTGTCTTAACTAGTAGAGGAATACATAGTATAAAGGTTAGTATTAGGGTTCTTTAAGGTGCTAAATGCAACGGGAAAGCAAGTAGAGACTTAGCTGTTGATTTAAGAGAGGTGTCAATTTGCGAGAAGTAGTTAGGGTAGTTAGTATAGGAAGGAGGAAGGGAAGCGTCGCGAAGAAAAGTTAGCTAGTATCCGGCACGAACTCGACGCGTCGCTTCGCGTGGCTAGGCCAATCGGAGCTTCCGATCTAATCTCCGAGATTAGATCTAGCCAATCAAACGCGTCACAATCCGCATGACCGAAGCGAGGGTTTTTGGCACGGCAACCACTAGTCTCCGGCGAGTGCTAAATTGCCTCGAAGTTGCTGCTCGGTCGACCCTAGCTAAAAGTTTCGAACGACGACGACGACGACGACGATAAGGTGCCTATTACTGTTGGCATTTGGCATATTCTACTCGATTTACTGATTCTATTCCATGCCAATAGAGTGGAATATTCTAATATTCCACTTATTCCATGCCATTTAACATCCACACTGCTCTCAAACATCTACCGTGACATCAGCCGGCGGACTTATACCTCTTCGCCATTACAGCCTGCAAATGGGACTACAACAGTACCACGGTGTGAGGAGATCCGACAAGCGATCGGCTTCTGCTACCTATCATAAAAGGGTGCGTATGTCACGAGGGGAAGCCGTCGGCATCCTGCTGGAGATATAGTGGTTGGTGGAGAAACATTCTGAACGTTCGTCCTCGGATGCGGCTGAGCTATTGTCTCTCTTGTCGACTCGGTCAGGGCATCGTCGTATAAGCCCTCGATGCAACGCTGAAGAAGTTCGACGTTGAAAAAGTTCGCAGCTAAATATGCATGCATCTGTTATACTCATCGTGCCAGGCCTCTTCAGTCGTCAATACTGTTCTATACCGGTAGCATTTCGACCATAGTAGGAGCTTGCGAACCATCACAAAGTCACCCGAGACATCTTTCGAGCTTGCTCCGTGCTAAGCTCCGGCGGCACGGCAGGGCATACCCTTAGGAATGAAGGGATTTGACAGGTGCCGTTGAACCACCACATGTCCAGCGGCAGAGTGAGTCCTTCTCCACATAAGCAGCAGCTATACTCAAGCCACACCCATGGCACGAGTCAATAGCTAGAAGTAGTCGTTATAAGTACTCCTGATCTTCATCCCTTAGAACTCTATCACGAACTTGCATCACATTCCTTCTTGCCCTTGGTTGATTTCTCTGGTAGAATCAGCGTCACAGTCTTTATCCTCTTGTCATTTTGCCCCTTGCACACTGTTTATATTCTTTGATCATTCCCGTTTCGCTGTGCGAAGCTTGAACCAATCCATTCATACCTGTACCTTTCAGCAAACATGCACTTCTCTCGCATCCTTCTTCCCATTATCTCACTTGTGAGCTTGGCGGCGTCTTCACCCCTTCAGCATGGCAGACGGGAGGACACGGCAACCAGCTCGGTGCAAGTGTCTGCCACATCTACAATCTCCTCAAGCACTGCTTGCCCAACTACACCGGAAGAGGGCACATATTGCGGTTTCATCAACCCTGAAGATCCATGTGCTCCTCAACCCGGCGGTCAAGGTCCCACAATGGTACCAGACACCGTGGACACCTTCATCAACTACAAGCCCTTCCAAAGCATATCCCTGAACAACACTTACGCACCCGGCTACACCACCATCTCCAAAAACCTCACCTCTGCCGCAAAGAACCCCAACAACTACATCGGCCTCTACTACCTAGACACCTACGACGTATCAGCCTGCGCAGCAAAATGCAACGAAGTCTCCACCTGCAATAGCTTCAACATCTACATCGAACGCGACCCCAGCGTCAACCCGACAAAAAACGACTCCACCGCACCCACAGTTTGGGGATACTGGTGTCCCAACCCCTCATCGCTTACAAATTACAAATGTGCGCTTTGGGGTGATGGCATTTACAACTCTTCTGCTACCAACCATGGTCAACATCGAGGTGATTTTGAAGTTGTTATTGCTGGTAGTAATGCTTTTGTCAAGAATGGATTCTTCAACTCGACGATTTATTCGAGTGGGTCGGGTGTTGTGCCTACGATGGGAATGCCTTCGCCTAGTGCTGTTGTGTCGTATACGGGAGCTGCTAGTGGCGTGTCTACTAGCTTGAGTGTATGGGGTGGATGTGCGGTGGTGTTGGCCATGTTGATGGCTTTGTAGAGCGATTGGCTGGTTCCAGTTACTCTTGCTTTTCCTGCTGGTCGGGGATTGCAATAATGACTTTGTGTTTGCTGTTTTTTGTTTGTACAAAATAGTCATCTGTTATGATACCAGATATGTTTCTTGCTACTTATGCTCACTCTACCTCATTGCTCCTCTGTTTCTGCTGTCATGACATTGAGATGGCTGTGCGAAGACATTTGTGCTCGTGGAAAAATACAGTGTGAGCAATAGACGGGCAGCTGTGACTTGCCCAAAAATAATGAGTGATCGCGTAGTGAGAAAAAGAAAGCGGTGAACATGAATTGCATTAACTGCAGAATAATTACGGAAAGAGGATATCATACGCTTAGGTAGGCAAGAACGATCATAGTTGAGCAATAAATCAAAAGAGCAAAAAGAACTTCCTTTCCACCTCCAAGGATCGAACCCACCACCTCCATCCCGTACCGTAAACAAAAAGACAGGGACGGACGTCCCACCTTCTCCCGGCTTCGTATGATATACGGTGGTCAGGGGATCTCCCCCTAGGCCAAACTACCGCTTGGTTGTTCCTAGGTGGATGAAAGAAAGGCGCGCCGGTGAGTATATAAAGGTTGTGACTCATTGTTTGCACATTTGAGTGTGATTGAGGAGTGAAGGCATGATGCTACACAGCGCGCGTCATGCCGTCTCGACCATATCCTGCTGGCCCTTCGCCGACCACGGTCTCGTTGCCACTGTCTCTGCTTCTCCTTTTCTTGATCTTCGCCTCCTCATCCGCATCGTCGACTTCTCTTCCATACAGATACCAGAAAGGCAAAACACCTAGGACAACACCACCGACCAGATTGCCCAACGTGACCGGAATGATACTCTGATAGATGAACTTCCCAACGCCAAAGTTCGTGCCATAGAACATGCCGATGGGTATCATGAAGTAGTTGGCGATACTGTGCTGATAGCCCGCGATAACAAACGCCCAGATAGGAACCCAGATAGTGCAGATCTTGGAAACATATTCCACAGCGCCTAGCGACATGAAAAAGGCGAGAGCGACGAAGAAGTTGCAGCCAATACCACGGAGGAAATTGACGGACCATGCTACGTTCACACGTGCTTCGGCTTGGGTTACGGCGTAGGAGGTCATGGTATCTGTGTCTAGCACATTGCTCCACCAGGCCATGACCCCGGCAACGAATAGAGCACCACAGACGTTCCCGATATACGAGACGAACAGATTCTTAGCTGTGGCTTTAACAGACGTCTTGCGTTGGAGTGTTGTGAATGGAAGGACGAACAGACTGCTCGTGCATAGCTCCATATTTGTCAATGTAACGAGGACGAAGCCCATAGGAAACACGAAGGCGGCGATGAGTTTCGCTAGTGCAGGGTTGGATTCGCGAAGACCAGGGCTTCCGGCAAGGACGATCAGATTGACGAGACCACCGAGAGAGATGAAGACACCGCCGAAGAAGGACTTCACGGCGAGTTTACCCCATGTAAGGCGAGTCTTTGCTATGCCGGCCTTCGTAGTCAGGTCTGCGATTCCTTGAGGGGAGAACCCATTTACCGACGCCATGTCGTTTGTGGCCACCTGGAATCCTTCAACCGTAGAGGACAGAGCGGTGTTTGTTTAGCAAAGAAAGAGAGAATTGCAGCGGATGAACACCAGATATGGGGGAGCCTGGAAACTCGTACCAGCCCACCTGAGCATTTCCATCTTTCTGAAGTAATATACAAACTCACTCCGTCCACATGTGAGTGTCATCCTAGCGTGGAGACCGAACGCCAGGCGAAGTCGGGGGGTAGTATGAGCATATGCGATCTTGAAAGGGTCATATGATATTACTGATCAACTCCCTCAAGATCCGAATGGTGCTGAATCGCTGTCAAAAGGTCCACTCGTCCTTACAAATGTCTTACTCGACTATGGGTACTTGGTGCAGCTGCGGCTTAGATGGAGATATCGTGTACGAATAATTAGAGACAGTCTGCATCCAGCTGCATTTGGTAGAACTGTGTTCCCACGACATGAATCGAGTCTGACGATAATGCTTCCGAAGAGGTTGATGTGGAAGGTAAACAGAAGGGAAAGTGTTATCGAGACATGGGATGACGTAGACGTGACGCGGCAAGGATGCCGAACTCTGAAACTCTCTCGGGCTTTGCTCACCCACGCTCACCTTGCCATCGCTTTGTTGCTCTCTCCATGCTCCCTCCCAAACATACTTCTCGTTGTCTCTGGTCGAACATGAAGAGACAGAAGTCTACAGAATATGTTTCTGCAGTTCCTGCCGAAGCCAGTCGAGCACTGGAATGTTTTGGCGATCGGTAGATGTGACTTTCCTGGGCAACACCGACGTCAAGCTGTGGAAACCGCAACCACTGACGCACTTTTCCTGATGGAAGGCAGGATGATTCGAGAGTGTAGTATGCATCTCTCCAGATGCGACTCCGGCAGACTCGTCTATCTCTGAACCAATTCCGGACATCTCACAACTGCACCGGAAGAATCGGAACACGTCGAGAGCCATCAACTGTCCTCATTTGCATGATATTTTTCTGTCAACCCACACCCCACACTTGACCAACCTCCCCCAAGCACGAAGCCAAAAAGTATACCTCTGCTCCCCCCTCTATCCCAATCATCTTGATATAGCAAAATCCAGGATAGCAGAAGCCAATCAAATGAATCAATTAGAATCTCGAGGCATAGAAGTTCAAACAAAGCCGTCGATAAAGCAAACAAAACTATGAGATATAAAGTCAGTATAATTGTAAGTCTTTCTTTGGAATAGTCATGGAATGATTCTGATATCAGGTTGCAAAAATGATAACTCGATATCTCTCATGACGGAGCAATCATACCAGAAAAAAAAACACAATATCATAAGCGAGCGATGACAAGCCACACGTGCTTGGTATCTGTTGCTTGGATCCTTCGCGCTTGATCTCTGCACGAGATGTGATGTCCCGAGCACGCAACCCCCGCACCGACACTACTGCATGATCCTTACGAGTCGATAATCCTACCTGGCAACGCCACAGACAGCATCCTGTGATATCAAGGTCCGAAAAAACTGTGATTGGTGGATGTATAATTGGAAGTCATTTGTGGGATGCACACGAAAGATTGAAGGAAGAGGAAGAAGAATCTGTGTATACACTAACACTGTAGGGGGGGTATCTTTTTAAAAAGGGAGTAAACAAGAAAACAGCAAGACAAGCATCAGGAAGCTAGACAGCGGCAGATCAATGAAGTCCACTCTCGCCAGTCTCGGCCATGAATTTCTGGCACTTGACAAGAGTCTTGACCATCTCGCCGACTTCCTCCAATCTGCTCAGAACAACCTTGTTGCCCTCGACGAATCCATAGCACTCGTACTTGATGGCGGTCTTGTCGCAGAACTCGCGAACGAGGACTTGAAGTCTGCGCAAGTTGTGGCGAGGCACGCGAGGGAAGAGATGGTGAATAGCCTGGAACTGCAGACCTCCGTGCAAGAAGTCGAGCCATTGAGGGCAGTCGACGTCCATGGTAGTGCGAAGTTGGCGTTGAGGGAAGCTCTCGGTGGGACCCAGGTCGGCTGTAGGCATACCCCAGTGGCTCAGGGTGATTTGAACGTGCAAAAGCATGGTGATGCAGTGAGAAATGAGGACAAATGCAACTCTGATGGGCCAGGTAGGAAGAGTGCACCAGAGAAGACCGTAGCCAAAGACGGCCCAGTAGCCAGCCATGAAGAGAATCTCGACAGGGCGAGTCCACCAAGCAGAGCCCAGGTTGGCGGCACGAGGTGACATGAGGTGAAGCCAGGACAGGAGGTAGAGGTTGAAGCGGGCGATGGCCATGACGGGGTAGTAAGTGTACTTTTGGTAGGGGACGAGGAAGTCGGCGGCAGCGTCCCAGATGAAGGTGAAGTTGTAGAAGGTGCTGAGGACGGAGCGGAAGTAGGTGGGTGATGTGGCGAACAGAGGGACGTTTTGGAGGTCGGGATCGTGCTCAGGCATGTTGGTGATGAGATGGTGGACGTTGTGCGAGCTCTTCCACCATCCAATACTCAGACCACAGCAGAAGTCGGCGATGAAAGCACCGATCAGAGTATCGGCGATGAAGTTGCCAGTAATACCACGGTGACCGGCGTCGTGAGCAGTGAACATGATCTGCTGCCAGAACATGCCCAGGAAGCAGGCGGATGTGAGGTACCACTCGGCGCGAAGGAAGTAGATGAAGGTGCCGAAGAGGAGAGAGTAGCGGATCATCTCCTTGCCGTACTCGATGTATGGACAGTCGTAGTAGCCCTCGTTCTTGACACGCTCATGCAGAGCACGGAAGTCCATGGCGATGGCGAGCTGTGTGTTCTCATCTACCGACGGCATGCTGGCGAGACCCTCGGCGATCTCCTTCTGCTCCATGGCAGAGGTGAAGGCCATGCGGGACGAGTACTCTGCTCTGAAAGCATCTGCCTTTTGCTGTGTGGATTGGTGTGCTGTCTCATCGAGAATGATGTCTCCCTGGCTCTTCTCATCGTAAGGAATGTCGTCGTGTTGACGAATGGCGGCGCGGCGGATAGGCGGCTCGAGGTTTCTCCAGGGTTGAGCTATCCGGCCGATCCGGTATGCTCTCATGCGCTTGAGCGTGTGTGCGGAGTGGTACCTTGATTAATGTCAGCAACCTAATCTAAGCTTGTTTCGTCTTCGACCAATAGCCATGTCGTCTAGCCATCTAGATCTTGGTATGCATCGTCAAGGTGCATGTTGCTGCCAACCCCAGACCGTTTGTTGTTATTTTTGGTAGGGACCCTGAGACCCTGACCCCAGAAAATGCGACAACGTTGACCATCCAGAAAATCATCAAGCGACGTACGCCAGGACAATTGAAGAAGACGACCATGATACAAAGATGGACTTACACGTTGATCTCATCAGTTGCGTCCCTGCCGACCATGTGAAGAATTGCGAGGCGACCGCCGGGGTGTTTGTTGAGCCATCCATCGAGCTTGAGAGCGTAGCCTTCGTGGACGACGATGATGTGACCTTCGTCAATTGACTGCTCAATGGCAGCTGCCGATAAAACCTGGTCGCGAATCATTTTGTTGATGGAATGAATGAAAGACGGAGAGAAAGACGGCGAACGATTTCCAAGGGGAGGACAAAGAAGGCGCGTCCTATGGATTGCGCCCGTCACTTATAGAAGGAGTCGAATTATGAGTGACATCCTGCCGCCTCATCGCCTACGGGGACCGCGTACAGCGACGAACCATCCCCTCCCCAAATTCCGACACCACTGCGCCCCAATCACGACGAACCCGTGTCCCCTAGAGGATCTGCCACAAACACGAAATCTATCCACAGGGTCTTTGAGGGTCTCACGCTGGGGGCGCCAAGGGCCTGGGCTCTAACATGCAACTTCCACCGTAAACACGCGCGTCTGTTCGTGAATACGCCAACCGAAGCCTGCTAAACCCCATGCACGGTTGCGTTAGCGACGACGGATTTGGTTGTGTTGAGCGGCCAGCCGCTGTGCATCGCATCCTGCTGCCTTCGAGAACCCGCAAATACGAAACACGCATACGTTACAGCGTGATGAAAAGGCAATAAACAGCCAACACGATCAACACGGTGCCGCGCAAGGAGTTCGCAATGGCCCTTTAGAGTTCATTCCACGACATTTCTAAAACAAGATTGACAGGACTCGGGATACGGCGAAAGGGGGGGATGAGACAGCGTACTCCATACGCCCTGCTTGCTTTCTTCCCACTCCCAGTCCCTTCTCCATTTAGATTTTCGGATTCGGGGTAGACTCCGCACAAGCATAAAACGGTTCGGGGACGGGCCACTTGCCGACTCGCGCTTCGTGTATTGCCCGCAAGCAAGTACTGCTTTAGGAAAGTCGCTTGGAGGCGGCACAGCATATCTTGGAAGACTGGCATGACGTGACGAGGCATTATTTATCCCCAGCCCCAGCCAGCCCTTGTTCCGTTTGTTTCAACAAGAACAGCTGATATTCCCTGTCCTTTGCATGTTCTGGATGGATTAGCCATGATCATCTCCAGATTCAATCTGTAGTGTAACTGTAGATCGGGGTTGGATGCAATATCAGGGACGAATGAGCACAAGCATTATTCATTGCAGGATCAATCTTGCATATTAGTGCAAATTTGGACCCCTTTTGTTGCATGATTCAGATCCATATATTTCCGAATTGATCTGCGTCTTGTCATAGTGTCTCCGGCCTTTCTCGAATCTCGACCTCTCATATCATCTGTATATCTAATTTGTTCTATTTTCCTTCACGCTCTTCTGGGTCAAAGAGCTCGTGATGAGTGTATTACTGTAGGACCGACCGGCACAGGTATTTTGGATGATCCATTGAGTACTGGATTTGCCTTTGAGAGGGCAGAGATCTGTCTGAAGCTGGTAGAATCTTCCTTGTTATACCAGTTAGAACCCTGCTAGAGTGCGACCCGGATTTTGCGTGTCGATGCAGAGACGGGTAGTCTCTCTCGGTATAGCAGCCGAAAGTGCACATTCATGTACAAAGAATCCGACGAACGTCAGTTGCCAAGGGATGGCAGAAACTCCGATACAGGTACAGCTCAGCTGTGAACTATTACAGGCTTACAGCTTGTATTATACTGTAGCATGCTTACGAGAAGAGACTATAGTGGTCGATGCTATTTCTCTTCCAGATTTGGAGAGCACGTTCTTGCACCCAAGTGATTATGGTGCATTGCCTTTCCCAGTCTATTGTACTGACAGATGGTGTTACTCCGGAAAGACGAGTCGATATGTTTGACAAGAAGGAGTTGGTCAAATTAAAGAAGACATCCTCGTCTCGGCTATATTACCCATGGTTGGCTGTGCGGATTTCGCAAATTGGGCGCACCGTTCCGTTGTTGACAGGAACCGGCAACAATTGCCATCGGTAACAAGAGACATTCGACAAGCTTTGAAAGAAAGCTTCTCGAATTGTCTCGGTCATGCGCTAACTGTACCTGAATACTTCGATTAGCTTTCCACCATGGCAAGGTTGATGTTGTTTGTCCCTCCGATGTTTTCATCTGGCCTGATGAACAGAAGTAAAGTGTCGACGAGGCCCATGCTACGTTCGTGCAAAAATAGTTCTCGAGAGATATCACTGATATTGAATCGATTCGTCGCTGTAGCTACGTGGCGGACTTTGTACGCTCGAAACCAAAAGCGAAATGGAGACCCATCAAAGCTCCACCTAACACCATGATCCCAGCGAATATGGTAAAAGTCCAGCCTACCCCGATGGCACGAATACACGGCGATACTGCAGCGGTGCCGCCAGCTCCTAGTAGGCAACGAACAATATTCAGAGCTGCAGTCGCTGATGCGCTCCGGTCTGGGTACAGGTCAATCAGAAAGGTCGAAACAATGCTTTGGATCGAAGTGGCTGCCCATCCGACGAAAAATAGGCAGGTGATAGACACAGAAACATGGACTTCTTTGTCTACGACCCAGCCAAACACCAGAACGGCAACACATTGAACAGGCCCATAGAAGAGAATCATCCGCAATCGAACCCTCTCTATCGAAAATCTCATGTCCGATTGAGCAAAGCGCTTCTTCCATCGGCGATAGTCTGCGTCCAATAGTTTGCCTGTCGTGAGAGTTCCTAGGATACATCCTACACCATTGGCGAGGTAGACCAGACCGACCTGGAGATCAGACATATTATAGGTCTCCTGAAAGATGGATGAGAGTGCCGTGACCAGCATCTGCCAGACCATATAGTATACGCCGACAAAGGTAATGCTTATAATCGCTCGACGTTCTACCAGAATGGCGATACTTCCAAGCACGTTGATCGACTTTCTGGATGTCATGCTGCCGCCTGCTGGCTCCACGCCTTGTTTGCGGATGAACACCGAGACCAAAGAGACTGCGTATTTTGGCGGCATAACAGAGCCATTGCCAACGAGCGACCTCAGTGTCTCGGGCAAAAGAGCAACAAGTACGACCAAAAATGTTATCGCGTAGATGGCCAGAAACCAGAAGATAGCCCGCCATCCAAGCGAACTCGCCAATGCTCCTCCGATCAAAGGTCCGAACGCGACGGGCAGCAGAAGTCCAGCTTGAAAGTATCCCATGTACCCTCCTCGTTCTTCTCTAGTCGTAACATCACCGACGACCCCTGCACCTATGGCAATGGTACTGGCGCTGCCTGTGCTTTGCAAGCATCGCAGGACCAACAGCTGAGCATAGTTCTTTGTCTCTGCTAAGCCAATACAAGCAGCGATGAATATGACGAAGGTGCATATGTAGGTAATCCGCCTGCCATAAGTATCTGAGACGGCGCCCCACAATGTAGGTGAGAGCCCTTGGAAGATGAGATATCCAGTCACGGTCAGGTTGATCAACTCGATCGAGGACGAAAGATCAGATGCGATTGTCGGAATGGAGGGAAAATAGATGTTCGACGCGAAGCCTGAGAAGGTCGCTGCAAAGGACACCAAAAGTATGATGCATAACTTTTGTCGTTTTGTGTAAATCGAGAAAGGAGTTGTGTCGTCGGTTGAGCAGGCTGAATCGGGGTTGGCGGCCCCTGCTTCCGTGTCGGTCTTGGCATCAAGGTTCTCGCCCTTTCTTGCTTCCTCTGCCTGTGATACTGAATCGTTTCCATTGGTTTTCACCGCGATGAATGTCATTGGTTTGGTTAGGTTGGTCGGTATCAGAGATCGAATTGTAGCTAGGATGAATGTGTCGAGTGAAAGAAGCTGTTATATGTAGCTCTGTTCGGCGGGCAAAGCAACAGCTCCGAGCTCCGAGCTGAAATTCTTAGCCCAAACCTCGGTGCACCGCTCGAGCTCCGACAACTCTGGACAACTTCTCGAATCAAAATGTCTTCGTCGTTGCAACAAACACCGGAGGCTCCGACGTCACTCGGCAAAAGAAACACCCTAGGATTTGCTGGAAATAGACGTGTTGTCTGCGAACCATGTCACTCGCGAAAGTTGAAATGCGATCGCGGTTTCCCCTGCTTGCGATGCATCAAGAAACGGGTTGAATGTGTCTACAAGGAGCCTCCTGAACCAGCAGCGAGCCACTATACAGCATTGAATCCCTTTGCCCTGCAAGATCAAACCCCAGTGCAGTCAGAACAACACTGGCGAGCGAGCGTGCATGATGCCGGTCCAATCTATCCTTCTGCCACGCAAACCGAACCAACAATGTCTGCTCCGAAGACATGGTCGGATTACCAAATGTCTTTCTCGAAAGTTAGCCTGATATGTCCGATAGATGTGGAACGTGTCAAGACTCGATGGCTTGAAGCCTTTGCTCCTGACCTTGAACGCCGTCCTAAAGTTCTTTCCCCAGGAGTGACTTTCTTCACCTTGACAACACTCAGGTCCTGGCCTCGGATGCTCACCCAGTCTGGTACTGGATCACCACCTTTCATTCACCCAAGTCAACTCTGGAATAGTGATTACCCACCCCCTCTTGCAAGATGTGTCAACATGGCCCACATGTGGGCGAACCAGGTCTCTGGCGGAGAGGATATTGTGCGAGAAACCATACTCAGGGAAGCTCAAGCTCTATTCGAGTTGGACGGGAGCAGCTCTAGCAATGATATGGGTCGTCTTGCAACGCTTCAGGCATATCTACTGCTCTGCCTGATGCTGCTACCATCGTCTCCAGACGAGCCCATGAGCATGCCTCAACAAGTCAAGATCAACTTGCAAGAGCTTACCGCTAGGAGCGCAAAAGACGGACTATTGTGCCCTGCTGAGCAGAGTGGCAGCCGGCCAGATCATCTGTCTTGGATCCTTGCCGAAGCCAAGCGGCGCACTCTATATGCTGTATACATGTTCGATGATGTGGTAAACACGTTGAATGAGATGCCCTGTGTGCTCGGTGATGAACTAGGCATCCTACCGATGACGTGCAGCAAGATGCTTTGGCTAGGTTGCTCTTCTCAAGAAACCTGGGAGGAACAATACAATGCGAACCTGGCTGCTGGGAAGCATTTACGTCTGGAAGAATTGTGGATGCATCCTGGCGACGAGAAGACGAGGAAGAGGAGAGAGAGGTGGCTTGCTGCTGTCGATGAGTTTGGATTGATGATATACGCTGTTGCCTCCATCACTCAACTGCATTAAGACACATTCAATGGTTTTGATTCCGCTTTCCCTCACAGTGAATTCATATGTGTGACTAGACTCGAATTTCAAGCTGAAAAGGTGGATTTGCGTCGATCATCGACGTTATGCAGGCATGTTACGAACATGTGCATCGGCCTCTTGCAAGCTACCACAGACGCTGCTATACTTCTCAGCAGCAGTTAGAAACCGGACCCTCGATTAAATCACTCCCAATCGTCCATCATTGATACAAACAATATACATTTGTGCATATCATCGACGCTGCCAGATTTCAACGACGGAAAAAAGAAACAATCACACAATGATTGCTTGATGAGATCAAACTAAGCTGTCCGTCTCGATAGGAGTCCGAGAGTCGTTGTTGGTGTACTTGGATATCGGTTCAGATCAAAGATAAGTGGTGATGTGCATTTACATGACCTTGTCTTCATTCAACTGCGTGGAAATCAAGTGTTGTGATGGGGATTTCTCATTCAGGGGAGAAGGCATACACTAGGGAGCTTTCCAACCAGTCAATGGATGCCAGACGCCGAAAAGACCGCTATGCTCGAGAAACAGATGAAACCAAACTGGCGTCCTCACCATATATACAAGGGTGGTGTCTCGCTCCTGTTCTACTCTTCCTTCTTCTTGGCCTCTTGCTCGCCTTCTTTTTGAGCTTTGCCTAGCTTACTCTTTTGGCGCTTCTCTTGAAGATACTTCCAGGAACGAGTTGGACCAGCGGTGAGAATACCCTTGATCGACTGGCTTGTACTTGGCCAGCTGATAGTCTTCTTGATGCAGTCGCCAACGGCCTCGGGAATGTCCTCCTGCGTTCCAATACGGCGCTCAAAGTCGCCACCTTCACGGCGCTTGATGCTCATCGAGTCCTCATCGGTAGCCTCTTCAATAACTTTGTCGAAGGCCGACCCAGGAATCTGGAACTTCTTTTGGTAGTTCCAGTAAAGCTTTTGGCGGAAGCCTTTAGGTAGACGACGGACCATGTTTCCTCGGCGTTTAGGGTCCATGTCTTGTTGCAGCTTGAAACCGTCCAGACCACCGATGATGTCGTCAGCCGGGATTGCTTTCCCCGAGGATGAAAGGGCATTTGCAATAGCGGCCTCCTTTTCCCAGCCTTGGTCTGCCGGGACTCTGGAGTCGTTAAAGTCCACGTTGGGCAAGTTCTCAATGAGCGGAACATATAGTTGACGGAAGCTGGGTAATTGCGCGTCGACGATATTGGCAACCTTACGAGGATTCTCTCCACCAAATCGAGGGTTCATTCTAGGATCACCCATGTAAGAGATTCCAGCGATTGTGGTATAGAGCTGTCTTTCTGTAAAGTTCTCGGGCAACATGAGTAAAGCAGTACGGACAGCGGCCATGAGGTTGATCTGATTAGCGAGTCTTACTCTTGGGTCATCTCTGAGGATCTTGACAGGCTTCTGAAGGCGACCAGCGATGTAAAGAGTGTTCCATTCGCTGAGATCTCTGCAGATGGTGTCGATGTTGACAACACCGTACTTGATCATGACACCATTGACAGTAATGTAGGGATTGAAGTAGACACCGGCGCCGATACTATCCTGAACTTTGGAGACGGTGTAAGAGCCCAGACTCTTCAAAAAACTGTAGTGGTGGGGATTTTGGCGCATGTTGGTCGAGTGCCAGTGCTCGGTATGGGAGACACCAAAGATGAAGTCGATGATCTTTCCTCCTCCTTCTTGCCATTTAGTCACAGCCTCTGGTGGGTGAGGATGGGGGGAGAAGGATTGAGCGACACTTGCTGCCGATTGATTGGAGGATTGTGTAAAGACACCACTGCCGTATGCAAAAGCGTATCGGATGGGGGCGCGGAATTGCCATAGAACCTGTCGCATAGCCTCTTTGAAGTCTTCGTTGATCTTGATATGCTGATTGGTACCGAAGTAGCGATGGGGGAGCTGCGAGAAGGCAGTGATCTGAGAGTAATCGGCATTGTCTTCCCAGCCCTCGGGCATTGTCTGGTTGGGAGTGGATGCTGCCGAGGACTGTGGACGTGAGGACGCTGCAGTAGAGGCATCGGATGAGTTGGAGGAAGATTGCGTCGAGGACGATGATGATGATGAGTACGAAGAGCGCGTAACATGTTGTCGCAGGAGAGATTCAGTAGAGCGAAGACGGCTGTAGTAGAAACTGGGAATCGGCGAGCTGCGACCTGCCACCAGAGGCCGGATGGGACGGAATGTCTTGAATGCGAATCAGCTTGGCCAGAAATAGAGGCGGTTCGAAGAAAGCATACGGAAAGCATTATAAAAGCCATAAAGCAAGCAGCTTTGGAGGGGTGTTTCAAGCAGTTTTTTCTAAACGGTGTTCATGTGAAGCGTAGGTTATAGGACGGGAAGAAGCATGTCTACCAAGTCGGCGTTCAATACATGGTAGAGAAAGTGGTATGAAGGGCAATAGGAGAAAGTTCTTGAGTAGGAAGGGACAGAGGCAGGACAGAAAGACGAATCTAGGAACAGGAAGGAGCTGGAACCTTTGAAGAACAACCGGCGAATCAACAAGCAACCACCGAGAGGTTTGCGTCAGAAGCTGGGGAAAGAGCCCCACCTTGTGCCTGACACTGCCTTGGCAATCACGTGTCAGACGGGAGCTAAGCTTTCCGTCATGGATGTTGGATGTTTGTTGACGCGCTCGAGAAACAGAGACAGCCTTGCCAGGGTCGCGATCCGACTTGTTCAAGTTTTCGCAACACCTGCCTCGTCGCCGCCAACATGGCAGCTATATCAGGTCTAGATATGTCGATGCTGACATATGCCGCTCGATTGGCCACCTTCAATACCGAGCACCAACTCACAAAACGACGCGCCTCGAGTCAAAAGAAGAAACAAGCCTCGATCGTATCGTGGCCACACGAGTCGCCTTCTGGTGAAGAAGTATGTCTTGATTCTTCTCGGACCATGATACCAGAGTCTAATCTATACAGCTCGCCCGCGCCGGCTTCTTCTTCAAACCCGCACCCGATAGCGACGACAATGCACAATGTTTCCACTGCGCCGTAAAACTTGACGGATGGGAGAGCCAGGATGTCCCCCTCCAAGAGCATCTGGCCCATTCAGCACATTGTTCCTACGCTCTCAGTTTGTCCGTTTCCGACAAGGCCGAAGAACGCGACCCCATGAGCCCCGAACTGGTTGATGCCCGTACAAGCACCTTTGGCGACATGTGGCCGCACGAGCACAAGAAAGGATGGAAGCCCAAGGTCAAACAGATGGTCGAAGCTGGCTGGGCATACGACCCTTCACCAGCAGACGAGGATGGAGCCACCTGCTTCTACTGCAACATGTCGCTGGACGGCTGGGAGCCTAAGGATAGCCCGCTTGAGGAACATCGCCGGAGAGAGCCCAACTGCCTCTTCTTTGCCCTGATGGACCGTTACAAGTCTTCAAGACGCAAAGGTGGGCGTGGTCGCGCTTCTACTGCCTCAAAGGCCTCCCGCTTGTCCACTCAATCCGTGCAATCTACCTTCTCCGAGGCTCCCTCACTAATGTCCTTGGGTGACGCAGGTCCCAATCTTGACGTCGAAGACAGCATCGCCGTGGATACCACCATCACGTCTGACGCTGGGAAGGGCCGCAAGAAGACTACCAAAGGAAAGAAAAAGACGAGCCGCCAGGCGTCCGCCGAGCCCTCGATTAGTTATCCTGCCTTACAAGACGCCTCGACTGCTCAAGACGAAGACAACATATACGCCGTTCCTGTCGACGATGACCCAATGCCTATTGAAGAACCACCGAAACCCAAGCGCGGTCGCAAACCGAAGAACACTCAGGATTCCACAATCATCGACGATTCTGTAGCGGAACCTGCTGCAAAGCCCACGAGGGGTCGCAAAAAAATCAGAGAACCTACTCCACCGGTTGAGGCTAGTCTGGACGAGAGTCAATTGCAGTCCGAATTGCAAGAAGCGGCAGAAGAAGCGGCAGCTCCACAAAGCCCTCCCGCCAGATCTGGAAGGGGCTTCAAGAGGACCAGTGATGGAGTGGAGAAACATTCTGTCATCGAAGATGCGACCATTGATGAAGCCGCCACCAAGCCTAAGAAAGCCGCGAAGGCTTCAAAGGCCAAAAAGGGCAAGAAGGCCACCAAAGATACGGAGGAAGTCGATGACTCTGTAGCCATCACTCAGCCAGAGGACAAGCCGAAACGAACACGGTCTAAGAAGACCAAGAAGGTCGAACCGGAACCGGAACCGGAACCAGAGGTTGAGCTCGAGCTTGAGGAAATAGTAGAGCCGGAAGTTGAGGCACAACCAGAACCTCTACATGCCGCCGAGCCCTTGCAAGAGGCCGAGCCTGAACGAGAAGCATTTGAGAGGAATTTCGAAATCGCCGATAGCGACGCCGGAGTCGATAACGGTGCACAAGAAGAAGTTCAGGAGGAATCAGAAGAGCAGTACATCGACCAGGAGAACATTGGCGCAGACGTCGAAGCAGACGTTGACATGGATCAAGAGAATGGCCAAGGCGAAAATGCATTGGACGCAGAATTCGACAATCTCGAAAACGTGGAGGTTGGTGAAGACATGACAGAGGACGTGGTGGATAACGAGATCGAAGTCGAAGAAGAAGAAGAACAAGTCGTTTCTACCGCAACAACACCTGCCGCCGAAGAGTTCGAACCCTCGCCGACACCCGAGGCCAAGCGTCATTCCGCCGCATCTCTCTCATCTGTACGAAGGTCCGTCGTGCAATATCCGCATCCAGAGGAAGCTGCACAATCGGAGCACTCAACACCACGTAGTGCAAGGAGTCCACAACAATCAGATGATGAGAACCAACCGCCATCATCGTCAACACACGCTCCACCGACCGCCCAGAAGATTGACATGGCAGCTCCTGCGTTGGGTGCCTCAAACTCCGCTATACAACCCAGGGAGATATTCGCAAGCCCGACTAAGACCACGCAAGTCCCCCTTGCCGCATCCACACCTAACCGCTCTCCTACCAGGCGATCGCCGTCCAAATTTGGTAGACTTACTTCATCGACCCCTTGGGTGCCCGTAGATCTCGAGTCGGTCTTCTTCCCTGACTCCGAGAACGAGAATGGAGACGCAGATGATGTGTTCAACAAGTTACTTGAAGTTGGCGGAGCACTCACTTCACCAGAGAAGAAGATGACGGTGGAAGAATGGATTCGTTCTCGCGCAGAATTAGGCGAGAGCAAGCTCAAGAACGAGTGTGAACGTATGGTCATGCTGTTTGAGAAGGAGGGTAACAGAGGTCTGGCGGCCTTGAATGGCATCCAGACATCGTCATGATTAATCAGACGAGTAACGAATTTCGTATCTCTATAGGCAGGGGTGGCAAGGTTATCGGTATGGTTCGGTTATGGATCGATTCTCTTCAGGCTTTTTCAGATACATCCCTTGAAGGCGTTCTTCATATTGAAAGTGTAATTTTTCCGGTTTCCAAGTCTGTCAGTCTTTTGGACTCCTTCTGCCTCGGTTTGTGATGTAAAGTTGTCGGCGACATCGTATCAGTTGAGTTCCATGCTTCTTGTGCCTGCATGTCAATTTCTGATAGACCGTAGATCTACATGGTTCGCAAGCGTATAGGGCTCGATGGCAATTTGGAGATACGCACTTATCGGACCAATCATTCTCAGTGCAACATGACACCTTTTTCGCTATGTTGGCGCAACGCGTAACAAGCGAAGATGATGATAGGTATTGGAGGATAACATTTCATGTTGCGAGGGTTTCTCCGGTTCAGCATACCCGTCGAAGACCATGGTGTGCCTTGCGTGACTGGCGGACCAAGCGCAGCGGGCCGACCCTTCAAGTGTTTGATATGCTCCTTCCCTCTAAGGCTGGTCCTCCTTCTGACCTCGCAAACCTATCGCGGCAATAAGACTGTGTTCAAGCTTTCGCCAATAACGACAAGAGAGGTCAAGACGGCTTATGGCACGCTTCTGCAGACGCCGCAGAAGCTTGTTGGCATCGCTCGCTTCCACCTCTACCGGACCTCCTCCCCAGATTGACAAGTCCTATATTGCCATTCGCGAATGCTATGTCGCATGATACTTCTGCTTGTTCGCCATCGAAGATACTGGATGTCGAGATCAAGTCGACAATCTATTGGCTAGCGTCGTCCCACACTGGCTGGAAGGGACGATAGATAGCGTTTCGCCTTGACTGCAGGCTTGTGTTTGGACGCCCCCGAACCTCAGGTTTTCTCCGTCCCAAGCAGATACATTTTCCTTTGGCCCTCTGATAGGCCATACTCGGTCCTCGTCTTCATCTCTTCCGGCCCAGCCCGCTTCTCTTTATTGATCTTATGCATGAGTTGAGTTTCATATAGGCGAGTGACTGGACCACTTGACTCTTAGGTCACTAACTGCAATCTGATCTACAATTTCTTACAGTTTTAGCAGCCATGGGACAGATATCTAGCCTGCTTAGTGGCTCCGGATCGCCTTGCGAGAACACATCGGTACTTTTTCCCGTCTGCGCAACAACCGACTTATCAACGATCCTATCACGATACCCACACCGCTTCAACTGTCAACTATCTATCCATATATGCGGTTGATCTCCTTGTTCGTAATATATGCTTTGAACGTGGATACCTATCAATCAAGTTGGTCACATAATACGAGATGCGCCTTGAACAAATTTGGAAGGTCATAATCATCAACAGCACTGCATGCTAGCGAGATACTCTACACCATACCTATCACGCCTTCTCTGGGGTTTCGAAAGAGCGACAGAGACAACTTCAAGTCTGTCTATAAAGCTCGAGGTATCTCCCTAAGTGTACATCCTTTGCATTCCATCAACCACTCCATCGTTTCATCCTCACAAGCCACTCTCGCTCTACACAAGCCTTTCGCTGAGATATCCTTGCCCAAGAACATCTCATAAGTCATCATGAAGTTCACCACTGCTCTCGTTACCGGTCTGCTGTCAGCTAGCACCGTCGTTGCTGCTCCTGGCACTGCCATGCGCCGCAAGCGTGCTGATGCTGCCATCGCTGCCTCGCGCGCCGGTGTTCTCAAGGCTCCCAAGCCTTTCATCGCTGCCACCAACATCACCGCTGCCGTTCACGGTCCCGAGAACAAGCACGTCAGCTACTCCACCAACTGGGCTGGTGGTGTCCTCGAGGGTACTGGTTTCAAGACTGTGACCGGTACTTTCACCATCCCCAAGGTCACCGTTCCCTCCGGTGGCAGTTCCAGAACCTTGTACTCTGCTTCTGCTTGGGTCGGCATTGATGGTTACTCGTGTTCCTCTGCCATTCTGCAGACTGGTGTCGATTTCAGCATCCAGAACGGCGCTGTCACCTACGACGCTTGGTATGAGTGGTACCCCGACTACGCTTACGACTTTACCGGCATCAGCTTCTCTGCCGGTGACAGTGTCACCACCACCGTGACTGTTTCCTCCAAGTCCGGCGGTGTTGCCACCATCAAGAACAACAGCAAGGGTACCTCGGTCACCCACACCTTCACCGGCCAAACCGGTGCTCTCTGCCAGACTGATGCCGAGTGGATCGTCGAGGACTTTACTCAAATCTCTTCCAGCGGACAGGAATCGCTTGTTCCTCTTGTCAACTTTGGGACCGTGACCTTCACTGGTGCTTCGGCTACCACCAGCAGTGGTACTAAGATCGGCCCTGCTTCCGCCGATGTTATTGACCTTATCGCTGCCAATGGCAAGACTGTTCTTACTGATGTCACCGTCGGCTCTTCCACTGTTTCCGTCGTCTACGGTTAAGTGGTGCCAGTTGGATGGTGAATGATAGATATGTTGAATAGAGATGATCTTCCTCATTGGATGAAGACGGGGAAGCTGTTGGTAGTTTTTACGTAGATGAACATGAATTGATGATCGAGTTCGAAGCAGAGTCTTTTTCTCCCATTTCCCCTCTTCTGACACTATCGCAATTCCTCATCATATCATGTATACCTATCTACATACTGTCTTGTCTAGAACCGACTCAAGTAGAAGGCGCGATTATCGTCATGGCAAGGTGAAAACATAGATGCAAACATCGAGCGACGAATGCTTTCAGGTGTCTCTCAGTACGTACTCATAGCCTCGGAAGTATGATGCCAACAAAGAACCAAAATTTCTCAACCCTGGTTTTGACATTACTCTAAGCTTGAGCATACTCGAACGTTCCCCGAGTTCCATGAGTATATGGTTTGGTTTTGACTGCTCCAGTTTTGACATCCATGTTTCTTAAGTGATGGTTTGGATTGGGATGACAGGAATCGGCAAACAACAATGATCCATCTATGAGTATACTTTGAAGTATCAGTGGTTTGTGGAATTTTGTGTTTGACTTGTTTGCTGCTGTATAACAGATACTCAGAGTTAGTGGTCTTCTTCTGACGTGTATCATGTCTGAGGCTTTTCTGGTCGCTGCTTTCTTGTGCTAGATTTAGAACGCTTGGTTGGAGTTGTCGTCTGGACTAGATGGAATTGAAGAAGGCATAGAGTTTTCTAACTCGCACAAGTGGGATGAAGATGTTTCTGATGGAGAAAAAGGAAAGAGTTGGTAAGTACGTTCGTCGAGATCGGAGGTCTGCATCATGTTTGCAGGACTATAAGTATATCTTGGAAGGGGCCAGGTAGCTGTAGCTAAGAAGTGCAAGATGAAAAATCTAGTTCAGACAATATGATACATCTATTCGTACAATGAATGCATCCCCTCTATGCCAACCTTGTGATCGCCGGGTCTTCTAGTTCTCCAAAAGATCCACCACAATAGGGGTGATTCTCTCCACACCCTGCGCTTTAATGGCACTAATAGGAATCGCATGCAACTTCTTCCTCCAAGCATTTTTCTTCCCACTAGGATGTATTTCCACCCCTTCCCCAACCTTCTTCAAATATTCCTGCAGCGCCTTGAAATTCTCCCTCGTTTCCGGTAAATCGGCCTTTGTGGCAATGACCAACCACGGCTTTGAGGAAATAGGAGGAAGTTTCAATTCAGGTAAGATGCGAGAGCCATCGGGGTTGAATAGCACGGTGTCGCCATCTTCGAAGATATTTGCGGGTTGGGCTTTTACGAGGGGGGAGTAGCGGACCAGTTCTTTTTCCTCTTCGATGCGGCGTTCGGATTCGGCGTTTACTTCTTGGTCGCGGAGGAGTTCGTATTGGCCCACTTCTTTCCAGAGGCCTTTGAGGGCGGTGATGGCGTCGCCGGCGCTGAGGTCGATGACGAAGGCGAGGATGCCGGCGCGCTCGATGTGGCGGAGGAAGCCGAGTCCTAGACCGCGGTCGAGATGGGCGTCTTCGATTAAGCCGGGGATGTCGGCGATGGTGAAGTTGGTGCGAGGGGGTCCCTTTTTGCGATCGGAGAGGGCGACCAAAGGGCGGCCTTTGTGGTTGTCGAGGACGACTGTGCCGATGTTTGGTTGGAGGGTTGTGAAGGCCCAATTGCCGATGCGGGCGCGGCTGTTGGTGATGGCGCGGAGGAGGGTACTTTTTCCGGCATTGGGGAGGCCGACGAGACCGACGTCTGCGAGGAGTTTGAGTTCGAGTTGGATTTCGACTTTCATGCCCTCGTCGCCTTTAGTGCCGTATTTCGGGCGGGTGATACTCTTTGTCACGAAATGGGGGTTTCCTAGACCACCCATTGCTCCAGCAGCGAGAAGTTGAGGGGCTTCCATTGGTGCATCCAGATCCAAACGTATCGGTGCCGGAGGTTGGGCCATGGCGATTTGCGATCTACGAGGTCGAGGTAGAGGAGGGAAGTCGGCGGAGGTGAAAGATTGTGGCATGGCGCCAGGGAATAGCAGCCATTTGTCTCGTCTCCATTTGCGGGTATTGTCGACGACTCCTGGTTGTTCGTTGTCCCAGTTGGCATCTGCACCCATGGCCTTTGCTCTCTTGTCTGCCAGCTCTTCCTCTGCGATAGGGTCGTGTCGCCACACCTCTCGAACGATAGTACCGACCGGTACGGTGATCAAGATGTCCTCTCCTCTTGTTCCTCCTTGACCTTTTCCTTGACCGTTCTTTCCACGACCAGCTTTTAGAATTCCTCGTCGCGCAAGCTTGTGCAATGAGGTCTCGCCTTGCACGGCCTGGATATAGATATTTCCTCCTGTTCCTCCATCACCACCATTAGGCGGACCATTCTCGATGTATTTCTCGCGCAAGAAACTGATACAGCCGTGGCCTCCAGCGCCTGCATTCAGGACGATCGAACATCGGTCGGTGAAGGGTGTGATGGAGTATGAGTCGGGTGGTGGGTCCAATCGATCGAGCTCACTTTCCGGTGTGTCGTCGAAGCTCTCATCCTCATGTCCTCCCTGGGTGCTGGAGACTGTTGCGATGTGCCTTTTCGTCAGGCATTGAAGCTTTCTCTTCGGTCGTCCGAGTTGCAAAGAAGTCCTCAACACTCGCGGCGCATTGCTCCTTGACGTGTACAGACACGGATATAGAAAGGGCAAGAACATGCCGTTGGGTGTCATTGTGCCTTTTTCCCGATCGCGCTCAGAGCGCAAAGAATAGGTAACGATCAGTGGCAATCACCCTTCAACAAAATAATCAGGCACGTCAAGGTCTCCATGTTGCAAAAGCCTAAAACGGCAGGATTTGGCGGAGATCCTCCTGGGCCGAGGTTTGTCGCCTAGACTTGCGACCTAGGTTGGATCGATATATTACCCCTCAGCATGTCCTATATATTGTCTCCTTCCTGCAGGGTCTGTTGGTTATTATTCATCTTTCATTGGACATATTCATCATGGCTAGCATTCTGAAACGTGCATCTTTCTCACCAGTCGTGACCGGTGCCGCTTTGTTGGTACTCCTCAAAGGTCCCGAGAACATACAACGACCAGTCTATGACTATCTCCACCAACTATTGAAACCTCACAACATCGAACGCTTGATCACAACTTTGAAATGGCTGTTCGCATACGGTCTGATCAAGAATGTCAACGAAGCCATCAACCAACTCGCCCGCAACAACTTCTCCCTCCGCTCCAGCAAAGCAGATTGGGACTGGAACAACGAAATCGCCATAGTCACCGGCGGCTCCTCAGGCTTCGGCGCCCTCTTCTCCAAAGACCTTTCCCAAAAGGGCATCCACGTCGTCGCCATCGACGTAAACCCACTCCCCTCCCACCTCGAGAACAACCCCAAAATCTCCTTTTTCAAATGCGATGTCACCGATGTCGAAGCCGTCAACGCCGTCGCCGCAGAAATCAAATCCAAAATCGGACATCCCTCTATCCTGATCAATAACGCAGGAATAGGCGGTCAACGCCCCATCCTCCAGACCAAACCGGAGCAATTGAAGAAACTCATGGGGGTAAACTTGTTCGCTCATTACTACCTCGTTCAAGCTTTCCTCCCCAATATGTTGGAGAACCGCAAAGGCCATATCATTTCCATCGCCAGTATGGCTTCCTTCTTCACCACTCCCGGCATTACAGATTACTCTTGTTCCAAAGCTGCGGTTTTGGCTTTCAACGAAGGCTTGAGTACGGAATTGAGGACTATTCACCGTTGTCCTGAGATAAAGACTACAGTGGTGCATCCCTTCTTCGCGGATACGCCTATCATTGCTGCTGGAAAAGCCGAGCTTCAAAAAGCTGGTGCTAAAATCTTGGATCCGCAGGATATCAGTGATGCCGTGGTGGATCAGATCTTGAATGCGAGGAGTGGGCAGATTTTGTTGAGTAATGGGTTCGGACCTGCTATGAGGGCATTTAGAGGTCTGCCTTGGTGGCTCCAAGAAGGTTTCAAGAGACTCACGGAGAGTGATCTTTCGCATTATCTGAAGAAGTAGATTCGATGTGGACGTGTCTGTGGTTTTATGTTTCATGTTGATTTTGAGTTAGATATGACTTTGGGTCCATCACCCCTATGTAATGACATTTGTATTTGACTTTGGCCTACAGGAGAGCGAAAGCCAGACCGGACAGTCCGATAAGAGCAGCTGCACTCATGGTTGGGGCAGCAGCACCGGTGGAAGGACCACCGATTGCAGTACCCGTGACACTGCCAGTAATACTACCAGACACCTTTGTAGCACTAGCAGACCTAGTAGCCACTGCCTCGACAGAAGCAGCAGTGATCGTGTAGGTAGTATTCCACCCAGTAAAGGTATATGTAGCGCCACTAACAGGGGTCTTGAGAACACCATTGATATCGCTGTAATTGCCAGTGGCCGAGTGTATCGGGGTAGGTTTTGCGTAGTCGGTAGCATTGTCACCATAAAGGTTAAAGCCATAATCAGTGCAGCTGAAATTTCCACTTGCGAGGCGAGAAGCACATTGCTCCAAGCTATTGTTGCCTGTGGGGTTCTGCTCGATGTAGATTTGTCTGACGAGGTCAAGAGCGATGGGTCCGGGATTCTGATCGGGACAAGTATCATACATCCTGTAGAGTCAGTCAGTCAGATTGGCAATAACAGATATTTAAAGAAGATAATCAACTCACGCAGCAGCTACAACGCCATAGTAGCAGCAGTCGCAGCCGGGAGTTGGAAAGTCCTCTCCCGAATCATCATCATCTGTTATGCCATTTTCGTCCTGAACTTTCTGCACGCAGCGAGGCCAACCGGAAGAGGCTTTTTCGAAAGTGTTGACCACATTGTTGAGATTGCAGCTGCATACTTCAGCGGCATCGGCAGGTGGAGGGAAGAAAGGCAGAGACAGAGTTGCCTCGTCGGAGCATGAGGTGTTATAAGCGACCATCAACTGTTGGTAATCGCAAGAGTAGACCTGTGTAACTTGTCAGCGATATGAGCATATATTCAGAGTGAGAGATTATGCGATACCCTGTTCCAGCAGTTTGTAAGAGCACACTGAACCCTGTTCTGCAAACCGCTGCAGAGAGGGTTCAGATATTCATTGTCGTAATTTTGCGATTCCCAGCATGTTTGCATCTCCGAAGGTGCAGCGCATTCTGTGAATGTGAATGGCGGGTTCACACGATCAAAGATGCTGCTCGCAAATGGATAATCATCTTGCTGTGCGCGAGCAACGGCAGACAGAACCACGAGGCCGCCTAGAATGGTTCTTTTGCAAATCATGATGACTTCTTACCAGTGTTCTGCTGGAAGAAAAGAGAGGAAAGAGGGCGCTTACTGTATAAAACACTTACATTCCTGTTAGGCGACTCATCTTGGCTGTGTCGAAGGATTCAAGCACGGTCGCTAGGCAGCAGTATTGCATCCAATTTGCTGTGCATGAGACGAAACAGAGCCGAGTCATGTCTATAAACATAAAGTGTTGTATACTCGTTATACAAGGCTCAGTCGCACAAGATCTGGCTGGTTGGCGAAACCAGACTGACGGTTCAAGCGTGTTGCCGAGTGACGATGATCTGGGAGAGGGTGTTTCTTCTCCAAGTCCGGAATCGGCCAGTGGTCATCAGCGCATCCTCTCAATTCCGAGTTCTGACAGACGGTTTATCCTTTCGCATCGTGAGCCATAGGATTCAGTCATCTGAACAACGTTCCAAGATGATGGGCAGGCAGAACAAGAGAAGATGTTGCAAGCGTGCTTGGAGAAGACGATGGATCTTCGGCGATCCCGGCGATGAAGGCTCGGCTGGCAGATCACTCCCTCTTTCGATCAAGACATCTTCCCTGACGTACTTTGTCGATGACTTTGAGGCTTGTGAGTCAAAATAAGCAAGCTTTGTATACAAAATATGTGAGTCTAGCTTTTTATATCTCGGTAAGGGTCCTTGGTGTTGTTTGGTTTCTTTTCTCAATATTCCACTCCATCTCGACCACAATGTTCAAGGCGGCGTTACTGGAGACCATCGACGCAGAGCGACAAGATTTGATCAGCTTGCTTCAATCTTTGACACGCGCAGATTCGTCGAACCCACCGGGAGACACAATAGCAGCAGCATGTGTTGTTAGTACATTTTTGGCATCTCGCGACGTGCCTGCGACGCTCATTGCGCCAAAGAGCGATGCGCCGAATGTCACCAGCACCTTTCCGGCAGTATCTCAATCGCCCGCTCACAGCCGGTCTTCTTCTCTACATCAACTAGATGGCTATTCCCCTAGCCGAGTCGACTCTCCTTTCGCCGACAGTGGCATTTCGACACCGAATCCTGGCCCGCGGTTGATCATGAATGGCCACATCGATGCTTTCCCTATCTCCGAAGCCGAAAGATCGCAATGGACGCATGATCCCTGGTCAGCAGACATCGAGAACAACCGATTATATGGACGCGGAGTAGTAGACATGAAGGCTGGAACTGCCGCGACCATTGCTGCATACACATACATCTTCGCGCATCGACATTTGTTGAACGGTACTGCTGTTTTAGAAGCAGTGTCTGACGAGGAAACTGGTGGCCGATGGGGTAGCAAATACCTCTTAAACGACGATGACAGAAAAGAAACCTGGACCGGGGATGTAAATCTCAACGCTGAGCCAACCGGTCTACAAAGCATACGATTTGGCGAAAAGGGCACTCTGCGGATAACATTCACAGTCAAGGCCAAGGGTGCACATGGAGCATATACACATCTGTCGGAAGGCGCGATACGGATTGCTACGAGGCTTATCACTGAATTGGTCAAGCTTGAGGACTTCACGAATTTCGAGGTTGACCCGGAAGTACGGAGATACCTGGACCGACAGGAAGTGAGGGATACAATCGATGAGATCATGGGTCCTGGAGCTGCCGATAACATCCTGAAGCCGACAGTAAATGTTGGAACAATAAGTGGTGGCACCAAGGTCAACACCATTCCTGGCGACTGCAAGTTCGAAGTCGACATACGCCTCCCAATTGGACTCGTGGCCAAGACCATCCTCGGAAAGATCGATGCTACTCTCAAGGACTTCCCCGGAGCCTCATATGAAGTGCAAGAAGCAGCTTCAAATCCACCAAACTCATGCCCCTTCGACCATGCTGTCACGCGGGCTATAGCTAATAACGCCGAACACATACTTGGTCGCAAGCCAATTGCCATTCCATCGCTCGGTGCCACGGACGCAAAGCATTGGAGATACAAAGGCATCCCGGCATACAGCTTTGGACTCTCACCAGAAGGCATGGCTGGTATTGATGAGAGTGTCGACCTGGATGAATACATCAACCTGGTCAAGATACTTACGTTGACCGCATGGGACTTCTTGACGGGCCCCGAGTAGGTCATTGTTCCTGCTTGTTTACGATCTAGAGTCCTTCATGGGCATGATATATTGATGATACACAAAAGCGGATTCCTTCTTGTACATAACATGCGCTAAAATATACCCATGCATTTTCTACCTTTACACCATTGGCATCCGCTATCCACCTTGCAATCGGCTTCATCCTCTTTCCAAAACGTTTTTCGACCTTCCAAAAACAAAAGCAGAAGCCTTTACCAGACACACAGTGACCAGGCAAAAGGAAAGATCAATGGAGTAGCTGGGAATCGAACCCAGAACCTTCTCCACTCAGTAATGCTCAGAAAGCGATGCTAAGAAGATGTCATACCACTAGACCACAACCCCTTGATGTGGTGTGCTCGAGCGGGATCACATATAGTTTTCGAAACGTGCGTCGGGAACCGAGATTCATCCGCAGGCTCTTGTGTCTGTGAGGCCGCTGATCTTAGCAACAGCCTTTGGCGTACTCTTGCTGTCTTGCTTTTCGTTTCGAAACAATGGCGTTCCAGATAGCAGAACAAGTGCAAGATCGATGCGGCACAAGAAGAGCAAGGGCATGATTGTGAATTATGAGACTGCTTCGGAAGGCGCAGCAGACAGCCGGCTTTCTCCATGAAGCCAAGCAGCTCATCTCCCACTTCGAAGCAGCCTCGCCGACGAAGCATCATCCTTCACCACGAAGCCTTCACAATCAATGTCGACCACGTCATTTAACATGCATCGGTCCGGCACAGTATGCCGACGGGACTCTTTTTAACCGCGGTCATCTGAGGAAAGGCGTTGTCTCTGTGGAGGCTGGTGCGGGGATCGTGGGGCGGACCAGAGATCGCGGCATGCCCTTGTCGATCATTGACCAACTTCGAAAACTGCTATATTGTTCCTCCAACCAGCGACAAGCACCAAGAGTTGTAGTGGGTGGTACCTGCATTTTATTATGGTTGAAGGGTTCGGTTCGGCAAGTAAGACCTCTATTATACCAGGACTGTGGGCAAGGTGGATGAATTGATATTTACCGTGTTGGACTGCTGTGTAAGAGAATTCACAGGTAGGTTGGAATAAATACGCAGTAGGTTCGCCGTTTGCTGTAGGCAGAGACTCAAGTTCACAGACACGATGAAGTTCTTCTCACTACTAGCTGGCGCCGCCGCATTGGCAACTTCCGCCGTTGCTCAATACACCAACAGCACACCAACTGGCGACATCGACCATGTCACCATCTTCACACCTCCCAGAAACTACACAGTTCCCAGGACCCTCTACGCACGCAGTGTTCTTCTGAACCAAAACTGCGAAGAGGACAATGTGATTCTCGCAACCTGGGAGAACTACCTCTACAACAACAACTCGAACCCTTACTTCCCCATCTACCAGTCTTACGATGGCGGCCACACTTGGTCAGAGCGTTCTCGCGTTTATGATCAAGTCAACGGATGGGGACTGAGATACCAGCCTTTCCTCTACGAACTGTCTGAGCCCATTGGCAACTTCACTGCCGGCACCATTCTGCTTGCTGGCAGCTCCATTCCTGACGACCTCTCCGAGACTCAACTCGAACTCTACGCCAGCACGGATAAGGGTTACACCTGGAAGTTTGTCTCCCACGTCGCCCATGGTGGTGAGGCTCTCCCCAACAACGGACTGACTCCCGTCTGGGAGCCTTTCCTCATGACCTACAACAACTCTCTCATCTACTACTACTCTGACCAGCGCGATCCTCGCTACGGTCAGAAGATGGTTCACCAAGTTTCGTCCGATCTCCACACCTGGGGTCCCGTCGTCGATGACATCGTCTACGGTACCTACGACTGGCGTCCTGGTATGCCCATCGTCTCCGAGCTTCCTCTCGGCCAATACATCATGACCTACGAATTCTACGGCGCCGAAGAGGCAGATTTCGCCGTCTACTACCGCATCTCCACCGACCCTACAAATTTCAACGCCAGCATTGGTCGTCCTCTCATCGCCACAGACGGCACTGTCCCGTACGGCAGCCCTTACAACGTCTGGACTCCCGTTGGAGGTGACCTCGGCACCATCGTCGTCAGCTGCGGTAACCTGGGTGAAGTCTTCCTGAACCACAACCTCGGTGCCCCCGGTGCTTGGACCAAGATCAACACTCTGGAACCGGCTTCGTACACTAGAAGTTTGTTGGTTCTTCCCGGACAGGAGGATATCTTGATCGTTGGTGGTGGTGTTTTGGGTGGTGAGCACAATGCTGTTACGGCTAGCTCTGTCAACATCAAGCCCAAGGCTCCTGCTTTTGCCAAGTGCAATGCTAAGAAGTGAACAAGCGATATATAGCTCTTCTAATGTGTATCTAATATTGGATCATACGAACTTCCCGCCAACTGCTATCGATGTAATTGTATGGCCTTCGCTCGTGCTAGAATCGTCACTCGACTCTCTTGTTGCAGCAACTTATGATGATGCACTTTATTAAAACGCACGACACTGACCAAAAAGAACATGCCGTCCAAAGAAAGCGATTACCTCCCACTTCCCAAATGTATCTCATTTATCTTCGGATCAAATACACCGTGAAAGCATGCCGAGAACATGTCGAACCAATTAATTTTCTTTTCTCGTCTTTTTTCTTGCATCAGGATAGAAGCAGGGTGACACAGTTGACGATGCTTTCCGACCACATATCCCATTTTCTCGCACAACCACCACCTTTGGGAACTTTGTGTTTTGGTCACAATATAGCTTAGAGGCCTTAAAATGGAAGGCCGAACTCTTGAATCGACATGTCTTCCCATCGCTGAGTTATCACCAAATATAGCTTTTCCGTCTGGCTTTCCATGACTGTCAAGACGAAACACAATGACACAAAGGGCATTCCTGCTGCAAACTAGTGTTCAGGCTGTCGAGGTCGAATGAGCATCGCACAGGTCACATACTGCAGTAGCTGGCAAGAAGACCATCAAACAAAGGTTTATGCGATCGTTAGCAGGCAACCGACCCTCATGTTGATGCTCCGATGATAGGCCATGCATAACTGTTATGCCGCTACACACATCTAGTCTTGGCATTCTTTTACACAGCATAGCCTTGCATAAAAGCAATTTAATGTCACACCCAAACACTGGAAGCTGAAGACAGTAGATCGGAGTGGGAAGAAGAACAAATCGCTTTTTGACATTTACAAATCATCCAAGAATCTAGCATATTCCCATCTATCGCATGTACCAAAGCTGCTTATCCTTGGTCTCTGCACCCTTGATCTCCCAGTCCATGGAAATGTTCAAGTTACGCTTGGCATCCTTGTTCTTCTTGAAGGTGACGTTTCCAGAGATGACGGTGCCTTGCTTCAAAGCTTGGTCGTCCTTTTCGGTGGCGTCGATCATCAAGACACCGCAGCGCCAGTGGGTTTCGGGACCGAAGGGGCTGGTGGTGAAGAAGACGGTCTTGTCGTCGTCGCTCTTGGGGGGCTTGACGCTGCGGAGCATGCCGGCGGGGATCTCATCCTTGCGGGACTGGAGGAAGAGAGTGTCGAACCAGGTGCAGAAGCCGTCGAGGTTGTCGATGTCCTTGTTGAGAGTGAAGCTGACGTCGGAGGTGAAATCGAGGTCGGCGACCGTGACGGTGTGGAGATCGAGGACCTTGAAGGGGAGCTCGTCTGTTGATCTGCCGACGATGGTGTCTTTGTTAGGGTAACGGACCAACGTGTCTTCGTAGATCTTCTCCATCATGGAGGTCATGTCGAAACCGTAGACGTCTCTCCAGAATGTGATGTTGTCTGAGATCCAGTCTTGGTCGGCGAGAGGGGCGAGGTGCATGGTGCAGTGACTGGGAACCATGAGACCGTCGGGCTTGAGGTATCTGTCTCTAGCGTAGAGGACGGAGTCGAGCATGGCTTCGTACAGAAGGCAGTAGCCCATCCACTCGCTGACAATGATGTCGACCTTCTCGATGCCATCGGGGAGTTGGATCTCCTCAATCTTGCCTCTGACACAGGTGATGACCTTGGACTGGCCGTTCATGGCGATGTTGGCGCGAGCCTTGTTGATGATCTCGGAGTTATCGACAGCAATGACGCGAGCGGCACCGGCCTTTGCGCAGAAGAGAGAAAGGATACCAGTACCACAGCCAACGTCCAGAACAGTCTTGCCAGCAAAGAGATGCTTGTTGGCATAGATGAAGTCTCTATAAGCATCTGTGCGGACAGTGTCCTGGAGCATGGTCTGATGAATGTCGTTGTATGAGTAAGAATCGAAGTATCCGGGATCCTGGTGGTTCTCGTTCTTGGTCTTGCTTGAGCCAGCCTCGCCCTCCTTGGAAGGCTCGTTCCAGCGGTCATCCAGAGTTTTCTCGACAGTTAGCTTGTACTCGGCGAACTGTTCGCGCAGACGAGCCAACTGAGCCTCGAGCTCGGCAGTCTTGTCGCCGGATGAACCAATGGGCAAGTCCTGTCCAGCGGCATCTTCAGAGTCCAGAACATCATCCAGGGAGAAAAGCAGAGCATCGTCTTCCAGAGCAGGCTGCATGTACTTGTCGTCCTCGAACAGAGATTTTGAAGAAACATCGGGCTTTTGGTTGCCGTTCTTGGCCTCGCCGCGAATGTAGTTGACAAGCTTGATGGCACCGAAGAAGTCAAGGCCTTGTTTTTGTTAGGGGAAAATGAACAGATCAAATCAAAATCGGAAACGTACCCACCAAAATCTTTTGTAATCTTCAAGAAATCGAAGTTGTGTTGTTCGGCAGCATATTTGATCATGGACGCGGCATCAGGAAATGTTTTGTCGCTGAAAAAGTCCTTGACTTGGATGTCTTCATTCTCCTCGGGCTCAGCATCCTCCCAGCCCTCGCTGTCTTCACGCAACAACTCATCGATTGATGAGGTGCTCGAGGCGTCTGAGGAATCAATATCGTCGCGAACCATTTTTGGCAGGTGTAATTGATAGGCCTGGGACTTGATGGCCGGCGGGCAGGAAATATTTGCTAAAAATGGGGTCGCGCTTAACTCCGTTGTTTCTCCGAGAAGGTCAGCGCCCCTCGAAACGTCATGTGAAATCACGACATTGATAAGTGCTGTACTCCTTCAATGAGTATCACCCACCGCTATTTCTACCTGGGACCGCAATAAAGACGCCATGGCGCCCGACAGGGGCTCAACGGACAACCACGACGACATGGACGGGCACTCGGATGCAGCATCGGTCCTCTCGTCGCGTGCCCAACAGCCGCAGAATTTCACCCTCCGCTCGTTGCTCCTAGGATTGGCTATCGGCACTGTCATCTGCTTCTCGAACACGTACTTTGGCTTGCAGACAGGATGGGTCTCTAGTATGGCCATGCCTAGTGCGTTGCTGGGCTTTGCGTGGTTCAAGGCCGTATCCAGGACCTTGTCGTACCCGTTCACTCCCGTCGAGAACGTTCTGGTGCAGTCTGTCGCTGGATCTGTTGGCACCATGCCTCTGGGATGCGGTTTTGTTGGTGTCATACCAGCTCTGGAGTACCTCCTCAAGCCCGATGAGACTCAAGGAGAAGGCACTGGTGTCCACCTTTCCCTTACAAAGCTTATTGTCTGGGCTGTGGGCATCTGCTTCTTCGGCGTAGTCTTTGCTGTGCCATTGCGAAGGCAGGTCATCATCCGCGAAAAGTTGAAGTTCCCTTCAGGCACAGCGACGGCCTTGATGATTGGAGTCCTCCACGGAGGAGAAAAAGACGCGAAGATCATCGACATGGACAACGAGAGCGAACATGAAGGAAGCAATCGACAAGTTGAAGAGGAGGAACAGAGATTGATTGCGGGTGCTCCGACACAACGCAGAAGGCAACAACAAAACGTCCAAGCCCAGACTTACGGAGATGAAGAAGATTTGGGAAAGGACGATCAAGCCAACTGGAAAGGCAGGATCAAGCTTCTGACCGTCTCATTTGGTATCTCTGCCATCTATGTACGTACCTTACAATCCAATTGTTGCGCAACAATGTGCGAAACCAATCTGTGAGCTCACGTGTATTGTCAGACTCTCATGTCCTATTTCGTTCCTCAAATCCGCGATATCCCATTTCTAGGCATGTATCTAGCAAAAGACTGGCTCTGGACACTGAACCCATCACCTGCCTATATCGGTCAAGGTATCATTATGGGTCCTGCAACCACTCTTCACATGCTTCTGGGTGCCATCATCGGATGGGGTGCGTTGTCTCCCCTTTCAAAGGCCAGAGGATGGGCACCTGGTGCTGTGGATGATTGGGAAAAAGGTAGCAAAGGCTGGATCGTCTGGGTCAGTCTTGCCATCATGCTGGCAGATTCCATTGTCAGTCTCGGCTGGTTAGTACTGCGTCCAACGATCCAACTTGCTCGAGTATTCGGTCCACGAGCCAAAGATAGTATCGCTAGAGGTACCTGGAAGGAAGACCTCCGCAATTTTACTCATCCTCATATGAGAGGGTACAGCCCTGTCAACCTCAACGAACCCGATCATGGTTCACCCGAAACTGATGGCTTGATATCTGGATCTACGCAAATTAGGAAAACTATTCAAGACACACCAGAGCCAGATGCGCCACCTGAGCATCTGATCAGCAACAAGGTCACCTTGATTGGACTTGTCCTATCTCTAGCCGCGTGTGCTGGAGCAGTACATTACGCGTTCGCAAATCTCATTCCCTTCGCTCTTACATTATTGGCATTGGTGCTTGCTCTGCTCCTGTCGATCATGGGTGTACGCGCTTTGGGAGAGACTGACTTGAACCCGGTGTCTGGCATCTCAAAATTGACCCAGCTATTCTTCGCTCTGGTCACTCCATCGGGCTCGCCAAATGCGGTGATTGTCAACCTTATCGCCGGTGCCATCAGTGAGTCCGGCGCTTTGCAAGCGGGTGATCTCCTCCAAGATCTCAAAACTGGGCATCTGCTCGGTGCGAGCCCGAAAGCGCAATTTTGGGGCCAGATTATTGGAAGTGCTTTTGGAGCTGTGATCAGCGCTTGTATCTACAAGCTCTACACCCGAGTGTATGAGGTTCCTGGAGGTATGTTCCAGGTACCCACTGCCTATGTTTGGGTATTCACCGCACGTCTTGTCACTGGACAAGGTCTGCCTCCTATGGTGGGAGAGTGGGCAGCTGGAGCAGCAGCTGTATTCGCTGTTTTCACAGCTCTGAGAATATACGGAAATTCGACAGGAGCAAAGTGGACTCCCTTTGTTCCTGGAGGAATTGCAGTAGCCGTTGGTAAGTCGATATTTCGCGTACTAATGCAGGTACCGAAGCAATGTGCTGACAAAGATATTTCCAGGCATGTACAACACTCCTTCTTTCACCCTGGCGCGCACGATCGGCGGCTTGATCAACTGGTATTGGCGCAGCTGGCGCAAGGAGTCGGAGACACCCATCATCATTCTCGCCAGCGGTCTCATTCTGGGCGAAGGACTGTTCAGCATAGTCAATCTGGGCTTAGCATCTTTGCAAGTCCCGCACTTGTAGGGTGGCCGCCCGTAGTCGTCCGTGGACGTTTTTGAGTGCATGAATCATGTTCATGTCTTGAATAATGAATGAGTAGTAATCATAGTAACCTATTTTTTCGGGAAAACGCGTCGATACAGCAAAAACTCAAGTGCCGTGTTCCTGGTGCTGGGGAGAATGATGAACAGTTTGATACAAATTGAGTTTGGTACCCTGCCAAGGCGGACGCTTGGAGGGGGCCGAGGCAGCGAGACGCGGGTCCGGAACGGCGGCAACCACGGCACCGACGATTCTCCCAAATGCCGTTCACTCTGATGGAACTCTTGGGGCATGTGCTCCCGACACTTGTCTATAAACAACATCATTCATCGATCAGTCGTTGATCAAGTGGTTATGGCTGATGAACTAGCATCACGCAAACACACCCAAGTTTCCTTTTTGTCATCATCTCGACCCTTGCTCCTCGTGGCCTGTGGAACTGCGGGATATGGCAGCCGCGATCCATCCCAAGGATCCTCCGTCGTTTCAGGTGTTAAGGAATCTTGGAGACTCGAAAGCCGTTCGCGTCAATCTCATGAGCTCGGCCTGTGAAGGTTTTCTGACAATAGTTTGGCTTGAACTCAACCCTGCACAGCTCTGCTGTCGGTCGCGAAACCGAGCTTGAAATCCTCCGCTTGCAAGCGAAGATAGTGGCTTGGAGTAGTCTCGCTCCTCTCGCTAAACTAATCAACCGTCATCAGCCTCCAGGGTCACGGCTCACCAGCAACACAAGCACTGAGCACTGTTCCCACTCCTCCCCTGATCGTGCAACCTGCTGGCTCGAGCGGGCGATCATGGTCCACAAGCTTCTTTGCGAACGAGCAGTCTCGAAGGACCGGCCAGTTCATCAACGTCTTCGCACTAACGAACATATTGAGACCTGTGTGCAAGAACGCCTTGGGCCTGCTTTATCGCTTCAATGCCTACTTTCTGTCGATGATCTACCACTGCAAGAAGATACGTGCGCTACAGAAGACAACGGTCTGCCGCCATAAAACATGCTTTTCGCCTGCCTAAACAGCATTCATGGCTGTACGAAGTCTCGGCTCGCTACCGGCATAAATCAATCTCCATAACGAAAGACTAGGCGAGGGGCCTATCAGCCACCGGGCACTATACAGCAATCTGCCGTAGCCTACCTAACAACCGCATCTCCATCATCATGCCACGCCATTGTAGTAAAGTGGATCTGGAAGGGTTTCACCTCGACTAGACATTCTAGGTTGGTGAAGTCCCCAACCCGCAAGGGTTTCAAGATTGTAGACAGGCTTTCAAGCCACCCTTTTCGATCAATGGTGTCCGTTCACCTAAATTGTAAAAAGTAACGATTCCTCAAGAGACCCATCTACTCGGATGCAACAGCCTCCACCCTCCCTTTTTGCTCAAAGCCTTGACCTTTTGCATTGCTTTGGGTCAATCTTCATGACCTGAGGGGACCCCCAAGACTTATACCACTCTTCTTTTCATATAATCTCTACATTGACTCGGCGAGCATGAGTAATGAACCCCAGCATATGCCTCATGAGGTGCTTGCTGCTGCTATTCCTGTGTTGATCTATTCTTTCTTTTGTCTTTCCCTTGGAGTACTGCTTGTGACTGTCCTACATAGGACTAGGGATGGATTCAATTGTGAGTCTGTTCACGCCTTTTCGTACCTGCTGTTGCTAACCTTCCAAAAGACGTTATATTGTTTGCTCTTGCCACGACATGTACGACAGTAGTCTCAATCATCCAGCAGTGTAACTACATTGCCAACTGGCATGATTTGAGAATCCAGCAATATGAGCAGTCCATCATCGTCAAGGGCAATCCGGCGCTGGCGTTGGGTCCCCTGTCTCGAGGCTTCAATGCTGTCTTATTCTGGACAATCTTGTACTTCTATAATGTCGACTCAGTGACCATGCTCTTCTGGTGGGTCATCTATGTCGTCCTAAGAAATATGGTTCTAACAAACCTAGGGCTATCGCGCTGGTCTTTAGTGTCTGGAACATTCGCCCAAGATGGCTTCAACGATGGCAGAGCCACATCAGCTGGGCTTCCAAGGTCCTTGCAATTGTGCTGCCAGCCTTGTTCTCTGCCCTCCGCAAGGGCTTCCAGGTCAATGCTGGATTCATTGGCACCTTGATCTTGATGAACCTACTGAGTATGTTATCAACCGTGTTGGTCAGCACTATGAGATAGAACTAATTCGTGATAGTGCTTGTCAGCTTTGCTGTTGGTGCCATTTGCGTCATCCTCATTTTGTTCAAATACCTGCGAGCCAAGATAGGATTCGACAGCTATGCATCTGCCTCCAAATCATATCCAGCCGGCAGCGTAGTGACAGGTGATGCCACAACCAGTCGGATTGGTCACTCGGGACCGAAAGGACTCAAGGCCCGTGTTGATGGATGGCTGGTCGTCCGCTTCTCCATTGCGTTTCTGATTTTGAGGTAAAATATTATTCTTACTTCTCCGACAAGTCAACCATTCTGACATTCATTGCAGTGGCTTTGAGATCTTTCTCATCTCTTTTGAAATCAACCGATATCACAAGACGAAAAGCGCAAAGATTGCAGGCGCACCGGATTTTGGCATCCACGCGTCGGTGGTCGACGTACTCAACTACCTTCCTGGAGTTACAGCAAGTCTACTCGCTTTCTTACTTTTCGGAACAACAGCGCAGCAACGAGCCATGTACAGACCTATGCTCGCCGCTCTCCACCCCACAAGATGGCGCAGTCGACCAAAGTCAGCACGATTCAGCGGTAACGTAGATCAATGGCATCGTATGCAATCAGGAGAGTCACGGCCATCCGAACAGACCGCATATGGAGATATCGAGATGCAATTACCGACGAGAAAAGACAAAGTTGTCAGAACTATTGTTACGACTGTCGAGAGGGAGGAAGCACTTTTGAGCCCGTCACCGCCGAATATTGGTATGGGGAACATAGTGGACGAGGAAGAGCTGGGTAAGAGGACAGGAGCTTTGGGTAAGAGGTTGACGAGGTAACAATACGCCTCTATAACCACTGACATGAATATTGTCACTTAATGCTTTGAATACAACTTGATGTTGTGCATATATGCAGCAGACCACAATATTCAAGCATACTCTAGTAGCTGTTGGGCATAATATTGAGGCGCCCTCCATCCTATCAATGATCAGCGATGTTAACAAGTTTACTGGAGGCAGGTCGACTTACAATCAGCAGAACGTTTCCGTTGAGATATGCACCGGCTCTGGAAGTAAGGAAGAGGATAGCGCCTGCCATATCTTCCTCATCTCCGGTTTTCTCAGCCGGGATATATGACTTGTCGAATGCACCTTCTTCTCTTGGATCCATTGTCGCATGGGAGATCAAGCTAGTAGCCAACTCCGAAGGAAACACTGTCATCCCATCAGTCAGCCTCGAACACGTCACTTCTGAATGCAAGACTTACGACCAGGAGCAAGTGCATTACACCTAATGTCAAACGGCCACAATTCGCTCGACAAATTCTTCGCTATGTGCAAAACAGCAGCTTTGCTGGCCTTATACGCCATGCTCTGATTAGGCTGTTTCGAGAAGCCAGCAATACTTCCCGTAACCAAGATTTGACTCTTCGTCTTGCTCGCGACTGGGTTTTTATTACCCTTATCCAACAGTTCCAAAAACGCATATGCTGTAAACAATACAGCTGTGACATTGATATCGAATGTCGAAGCCACGGCATCCCAGGATTGATTCATAGCGGCAGTTGCGTATTCTGCAATGCTGACGTTTTTGTTATTGAGGCCTGTAGCTGGACCCATGGCTCCACTGTTGCAGATTAGGAGATGGATGTATCCGATTTCTGATTCTACACGAGCGGCGATTTCTTTCAGGGTGTCTTTGGAAGTCACATCGCCGACGACTGGGATGATGACGGAGGGGTTGTGGGATGCGGCTTCTTCGAGTTTGTCTTTGCGGCGACCGATGATGTAGATTCTTTTTGCTCCGTTTAATGCTAGGGCTTTCGTCATCATCAGACCGATGCCTGTGGTTTGTTAGTTCTGATTGGCATAGTGTGATTTTGATAAATACCCGTGGCACCTCCCGTAATTACTGCCACAAGACCATCGACTGAGAACAGATTGTTCCGTTGGTAGATATCAGTCATATTGCAATATGATGCACAAAAGAGTACCAAGGGGAAAAGAGTTTCTTTGCAGTGCTTATCTAAGATATTTATGTCCTTGTCGGATAGTCGGGTAGAAGAGCGAGCTCCGAATGTTGGAGAGCATTCTTGGTGGAGCAAACGTCATCGGCAATATATCTTTCGGAGTTCGGGGGTGCATCTGCTTTCTCCTAGACACAACACTGTGGTGCTTTTGATGCTCACGAAAGATGCTAAAGTACCTGTGGCTGGCAGATTCTTCTTCGAGATGGAATATGCAGGGTGAGTCGACACAAGATGTTGTGAAACATGACATCAAGGCGCGTACTGGCGCGCTGCAGCTCGCTCCCGTCGTTGTTTGTCCTATCAACAAACGAGCATTGTTTGCAAGCTGCTTCACGAACTTTCGCGCTTGAGCTGTATCAGAAGGGCGACGGGAAAATTGACGCAGTCGCGTTGGAACCCTCCTTGTGGCGCCCACGAGCACTCTAGCCATTTCAACGACAGTTGATTCTGACGACAAGAGGAACATCCGCTGGCGAAAAGTGCGGTGCAACACATCTCCATCATGTACAGATCGGTTGTCCGCAAGTGTTACAGTTCTGCTTCGGCGAGTGTCCTCCATGTAAAGGTCTTTGCACAGTCCCGCCAGAGATGCGTGTCAGCCATAGCACTACAGGGCGTGCGCTACTTCAGTCAGACACTGTCTTCCAATCACGCAGCCCCCGCTCCTTGTAAGTATGCTACCAAACAGGGAAAGCGCTTGTGCGACTGATATGTTCAGCATTCGACATTGACCACGAATTCTTCAACTTTACGCGTGGTCGTTTCCTCTGCGACGAAAAGCTTGAGCTGAAGCGTCGCCATCGCACCTTCAACGTGTACGAGCTGATGAGAATTGCAGCTCAGGCTGTTGGCGCAACGCACTGCAACCACATTGAGAAACTGCCCGATGGTACGTGCAACAGGATCTTGCTGCTATCGATGGATAACGGCAAGCAAGTCGTTGCTAAGATCCCCAATCCAAACGCTGGCCGCCCTCACTTCACTACGGCAAGCGAAGTAGCGACAATGAAGTTTGTGAGTAATCGGTGTTAGCCACTGGCACTGTGTTTAGAGACTGATCATGAGAAGATGCGCGAAGTCGTTGGGACTCCACTCCCAGAGGTGTATGCATGGAGCTCAAGGGCACACGAGACTCTCGTTGGCGCAGAATTCATCATCATGGAAAAGGTAGAAGGTATCACTTTGGAGGAAGCCTCGCTGCCATTGGACTCACCAGAAATGTTTCAAGTCGTCAAATCAATTGCCGAGCATGTACACGCGTGGTCTTGTTTGACATTTGAACAATATGGCTGTCTCTACTTCGCCCGGGACCTTGAACGCCACTGTCTTCCCGCTTTGCGATACACCGACAGCTCAGGAGTTCAGATATCGGACAAAAGATTCGTTGTTGGTCCTTTCTACCATTACGACTATCTGGACAAGACGCGAGACACAAAGAGACAAAACAATGGTCCATGTGAGTGCTTACATATAACACATGGTTGCTGCAAGCTGATATTATCGTCAGGGAGCTCTCTAGGAGAGTTCCACACTGCCATCGTAGAGCGCGGACTTGCTCGCCTAGAACACACTGCTCCCCTCTCGCCTGCGACCGGTATATATGGCCCCGGTCTATATCAGCCGTCATATGAGACAAAGATACGCGCTCTCAATGCTTATCTCGGAATTTATCACTTCATGATCCCTCCAGATCTCTCATTCAGCGCTCCACACATATCGCATTGCGACGTGGAAAATCGGCACATATTCGTGGATCCCAACAATTCAGCCAAGATCGTGGGGATCATAGGCTGGCAAACAACAGCGATACTGCCTTTCCACTTCCATCGGCTAGAACCTGGCTGGTTCCACCCCCAACAATCTGAGCCAGACTGTGATGATGATCCATCACTGCCATCAGATTACAAGATACGATGGAAAGAGCAAGAAGAAGCGCACTCTCTACAACTTCGACGAGATCTCCGCTGCCTTTACATGTCCCACCTAAAGGACCGGTCTTCAAAGGCTCTCCAATGCCTCGAGATATGCGAAGACCCAGTAGTCCATGCATCCACGTTTCCTTTCACCCTATTCGATGTGAGCGAGACATGTTTCCTCTTTGCGATTATGATGCTGGAGCACGAATGGGAAACTCTACCTCGCGCCCAAGGTATGGCTTTTCCCATCGAGTTGTCCGACGAAGAAAAGCAATCCATCGTCAGTGACATTCTAGGAGTGCGCAAGGGCGTCATGCTGATGAAATCGCTGCGAGAGTCGCTTATTGAACTTCATATGATAAATGACGATGAAAAAGAGGAGCTGCTGCTAACAACAGACGACCAGTATTATGCAGCACTCAACGTGTTGGCAACATTGGAAGCACTGATGATTGGCGAATACGCAAAGAACGCTGAGGAAGCCGAGGAGTGGAAGGCTCAATGGCCTTTTAGAAGAGAGTAAATCATAAGGGCGGGTTTACTCGCGTTCTGAAAGGCTATGAATACACTGAACGACAGGTCGAGTATGCCATGGGCGGGGATGTGGTCTCAGCGAGGATTTCATCGCGTTGGTTGCTTTTTGCGTCTGCGCAAGCGCTTCGATTTCGCTTTATCTCCACTCTCTCGCTTTGTACTAAAATAGGAACTAATTCCACTCCGATCTAAAACGATGTACTGGTTGCTTTGTAATCCAATATCTTGCCAAGTGTGAGCAGAAAGATGGCGTGGGGCGTAATCATGCAGAGCAGTTGCGCAGGCTCGATCTTGCCCCCATCGAAGCGACCATGTCCATCAACTATGATCGATCGTGGTGGCCCTCGTATTAGTGTGTGCAGTATGCAAGCATCGCATTATCAACTGGCTTGAAGCATGGTATGTATGTGGACTAACACGGACGGCCAATCAACATTCGGTATTGGAGGTGACTCACATGCGGAAACTCGAAACATCTCCGGCACAGCACTTTCCGAAGCTGGCTGCCAGTGGCAGCACGAATCCGACACCGAAAAGTGCGCTTACCAACATCACAATGCCAGGCCTACAGGATCTTCCATTTGAGTTACTCGAGCACATTTGTGAACTCATTGCCGGCAACCAATCTCGTAACCTGATTTCCTTTTCACAAGTCAGCAAGCTCTGTTTGGCAACGTCATCTCAACCGCTCTGGCATACCGTTCCGCTCAGAATCGTCAGGCGTGACCAGGTTCAAGATAGTGTCAATAAACTCAGGCATGTCCTCAACAATCGGTTGAGCCGCGATGGACGCGTGCGTTGCATCTCGATCAGAGGACGCAAATCACTGGACGAATCAAGCGGCAAGAGATCGAAGCTCAGTAATCTCCAAAAAGCACAATTGAACAATCTGGCGTGGCAGCCGCTTGCAGATATACTGACTGAGATGCCACCTTTGTTGGATCTGGAATGGGAGCAACACGACTTACCACCTTGCATCTTGCAATCACTAAATCGTTACCACTACGGCTGTCAATTACACATTGCAGGAGTGCGACTTAATACAGACAAGACCTTGGACCCACACGAGAGGCCTACAGCGACGTCAGCATTCATGTATGAAGCATCGCTGCCCCTTGATGGAGAGTATGACCTCTGCGGTGAGAGCCTAAGCGCAAGAGGAATTCGCGCCTGGTACGGAATCCGAGTGAGCCTGGCCACAATCGGAAAACTATCTAGCCATTTGACGACTGCAAGACATCCGATCTGGCACCAAGATTGGGCAAAAAGATTAGTGCACCAACCTGGTCCTGGAGAGTTTGAATTGCCGCTGTTTGACTCAGAGGGACCTGTAATGCGTTACAATATTGCTGCCCCAACAACTCTAGACCTATCTAGCGAGTATGAGTCCACAGGCTCTACCGCAGCTGAAATCCGATGTGATGATATCACGATGTGGAGTAAAGTCACAAGGTTTTCCTCCCTACGGATGCTCAAGACAGGACGCAGTGTAGACTGGAAGGCGCTGGAATGGATGGCCAAAAACTGCTCGTTTGCTTCTTTGAAAACACTCAATTTGGGCCTTCACGACGTGTCTATGGCGTTGAAGCCATCAACCTTGGTCGAGTTTCTATGGAGTCTTCCGCCTCTAGAAGGTCTCATACTGACCGGCGAGACTGATCCCAGACAATTCAAGGACTGGATAGGCCATCACGCACCCACGCTGAGGCGATTGGCGCTGGAACCCGAAGAGAGTTACAATAGTGCTTTCGACCTGGAGTACTTGATGATATTGGCTGAAACTTCACTACCACTCCTTGAACGCTTGAGTATCAACATCAAGCGTACTAAAGGCAACTCGGACGAAGTCAGTATTTACAAGATGTTTGGATCAATGCCAAAGCTCCAGAGCATCGTATTGAGGCTAGATTGCTCAGATTGTGCTTTTGGTCTGCTGCCTCCCTGGGAGAATCATCAGTCACCTTCTGACGAGATTTACTCCTTGGCAATGCCAGAAGACTCCATTGTTGACTTTTGGCAACGAATCTGGGCGACTGATACGAGAATGGACGCACACGTTCGTTCTTTACATATCAGAGATGCCCTTATCAACAGTGCTGTGGATGCGAAGCTGGCACAGGCCATATTTTCCACCATACAGAATGGAAAGCCTGCTCGGTCACTGCCTCTGGAACGACTAGAAATACGTCCCCATGGTGGTTGTGACTTTGGAGGGCCACTGTTTCGTTTCAGTGCAGATTGGTCGGCTGTCATGCAACATATTGAGCGATCATGGCTGGTCCAACGCCGATATCCAGGTTTAGGCTCAAATGAGTTAACAGTCAATCAGCTTCAAGCCGAACGTCCAGGAAAAAAGTGTCGATTACCAAAGAATCTCAAGACACAAGCGGAAGCTGTATTCCGCAAGGTCTGGCCTGTGCCCGCAGGCGCCGAGGGAGACTGGCAGAAGGACTGGCACAGCTTTCCTCTTGCCGTATGACAGGTTTCGGTTGCGAAAATGGTTGCTCGAGAGTCACTCTCTTCCGCTTGGCCGAGCATTGGCCCTGCTTGGAGTCATTGTACAACCAAAACCAGTCTAGAAGAGGGTTAGGAAAGCCAGCACAAGCCATTGATATTGCTTTTACCACTGCTCTCACATTGCCGTCACCAGCGTCAGAGGTCGAAAGGCACGCGGAATGCATACCGTTGTTGACACGTTCCTCGGGCACAGATCATCCCTCCATGTGCTTTTTGAGCTCCATCTTTTCCGACCTTGTGACCGTTCTTTTGAAAAGCACGATGACGTTCAGTTTTCGCAACTCTGACTGGTCAAGTACGTGTGGCTGACGACCGCGTCTCGTTCCCTGAATTTTGCGGCTCAACTACTATTAATATCAACACTGCACCCATACTTTTCCTACATACCACCAAACATGGAGAAGACGACAGAGAAGACATCTATTGTTTCTAGCAGAGAAGATGTTGGCAATGGCAGACTGCTCACATTTGACGAAATTCGTACGTCACTCGGAGTCATTGGCCGAAGATGAAGTTTGACTAACCATGTTTTGTCACTAGCGTCCTGGCAAAAGTGCGTTTGCCCTTATAGGAAGGAACGATGTAAGGGAAACAATACTGACACTTCTCAAGATACAACGAGCATGTTCGCACAGGTTACCGGTAAGACGATATCAAGAACATCGCGATGTTGGTAAATCTGATTTTTATCAAGGCCATTGACCGGATCATGGACGCAATCACTGAAGAGCATGTTCGATTGGCATAATGAAACTGGTAATTCTCTTTCATGGCAGTCAACTTGGAATGGAAGCTGACCTGGGATCAGTCAACATACACTCGCATTTTATCGGAGCCATCATCTTCTCCATCATCCTACCATTTCACTTCTATACCACACTTTACCAAGCAGTACCAGAAGCACAACCCATAGATGGCGTAGTGTTCTTGATATACTTCGCAGGAGTCGCAGCTTGCTTCGCATGTTCAGCACTGTAAGCAGATTCTCTAGGATTTTGGTTTGACTCAAGCTGACATTGGACAGCTTCCACACAGTCGGCAATCACAGTCAACATATACATGGCATCTACAACAGAGTCGACTGCTGCGGTATCGTCCTACTCATGTGGGGCGCAAGTCTCGCATCCATACATTTCGCCTTCGTTTGTAATTCTCACCTGCGAAGTCTGCACTGGCTCCTGGTATGCTTAGATCATTTGCAATCCTCCGCTCCTTCTGTTACTGATGGCCCAAATAGAGCTCTGCCAGTGCATCCGGCTGCATCACATTCATCCTCGGACCCATGTTTATTAAGCCCGCTTACAGGACTGCTCGAGCACTCACATACCTAAGTCTAGGACTCTTCGCCATCGTTTTTATCGTCCACGGAATCTACCTCTACGGATTCATGATGCAGAGGAAGCGATTGGCATTAGAGTGGATGGGTTTGATGGCATTATTCAATTTCCTTGGCTGTACTGCTTATGCTTTCCGCGTACGTTGTTTCTAAGCATATTCATGCTTCAACACGAATATGGTGTGCTGACGTGTCTGCAGTTTCCTGAAGTAAAGTTTCCTGGTAGATTCGATCTTGTGGGACATTCGCATCAGATTATGCATGTTGCTGTGTTGATTGCTGGGTTGGTGCATTATCATGGGTTATCACAGGCATTCTTGGAAACAAGGGGAGGTGCGCTGCATATTTGTTGATCCTATCGTCGAAACGATACCTCTATGCCAAATCGAGTATGATCACATCCAAATCTATACTTGTATTCCAACATATCGCGATCGACATTCTTAATGACACTCTGAACTCAATCCGTGATTGAAACACCCCGCTGTTGTGGCGTTCCAAGGAAGTAGCGCACATGCATGGTCTGCGCCTCATGGCTGCCTGATGGAGGAGCTGAACGTGGCTGCTGACCTAAGCTCTGGCAGAAAGACCTACTCTTCTGGCTTATCCACCCTTCAATCTTGAGGACTACACCCACTTTGGTGCTTCAAGCCTGTAATGTTTTCAATCGACGAAGCGCAAGGAGCGACTGTAGAGTGAGCAGTATCCGCGTCTTGTAGGAATATTTGCTGACTGCTCTAGCATTGTCTATCTCGACAAATTTCAAGTTCTTCTGAATGAAGAAGGCCGTCAGCTGCACATGTGCCAGAGACTCAGGAAAAACTTTCCTCTTTCGCGAATGATGTGGTGGGACTACGATCTACGCGCTGAAGAGCCGATATCGTACTTTATTAATCGTGAGGCGACAGATATAGTGACTCAGTTGCACAAAACGAGGCAATGTGAGGAGAGACCGATCATCTTCGTTTGTGTTGGCCTTGGAGGGATGGTGCTTAAGAAAGTGAGTGGCTTGTGATGAACGTTACATGTAGAGAGCTGACTACACTACATACAGGCTTTACTCGTGCTTCACCAGGGACTGTTTATCAGGGTAGCGGGAATATTGTTCATTGGGTGCAATCACGATGAACTAATGTTTGATGGCACACAATGCCTTTTCCAAACCGTGGCCTCGGAGACTGGCTTGATTGAAGAAACCAAAGTCAAGGTCCTCAATAAACTGGTTGGTCCTGAGTCATCGACTGTCGTGATCCAGATCACCAAAGCCTTTAGAAACCTGGATTTGCCATTCCCGGTGGTGAGCTGGTACGAATCAGACCCGGCGGCATACTCAGTGGCCCAAAGAAGATTTTTCGGTAGACGAATACAGTTTCACCTTGTAAGGCTATAGCTTATGACAAGGATATACCCAGGAACACTGACTACGCAGTGTAGATCTGCCCCCAGCGTCCAAACGTACTTAGAGCTTCATCGCAAGAAGTAACAGTATTACCGCTGGATCACACCCAGCTTTGTAATATCTTGCGACACAAGTCTAAAATACTTATCCCGTCGCTATCTCAAGCTTTGTCGAGACTCATTCCTGTGGCTTCGACCAGAAGAACCATAGAGAATGATCCTGCGAGACCTGCGCACGCCGCTCCAAACAATGTCCAAACGCTTCCATTGGAGTCCGGGCCATCGCTCTTTGACTACAAAATAGGATGGATTAGTGCGTTGCCATTTGAAGCAGCGGCTGCCGAGATAATGCTCGACAAAAAGTATCCGAGCTTACCATCTGATTCCTACGATCCGACTATTTACACACTCGGGCGTGTCGGCCCGCATAATGTCGTGATTGCTTGCCTTCCAGCGGGCAACACTGGAACTTCAGCCGCAACTGCTGTTGCAGGACGCATGCGGCATAAGTTCCGCTCCCTCCAGTTTGGATTCATGGTTGGAATAGGGGGCGGTGTCCCTAGTGCTAGGGACGACATTAGGTTAGGGGATGTTGTAGTGTCTCGACCCGATCTCGAGCATGGAGGAGTGGTTCAATACGACTTCGGCAAGGCAGAACAGGGCGGACGTTTTCATCGAACAGGTCACCTGAATCAGTCACCTACGCTCCTTCTAAACGTGATCAACGGAGTTCAGAGAGACTACGAACTCGGCCAACAAACCTACAGCATCCACATGCAGCGATACCTCGAGGATGAGAACTTGGAAGAATTCACTCGTCCGACCACCGAGCCCGACCTGCTTTTCAAGGCCACATATCCACACATCGACTCTCTCAACTGCAGTGACTGCGACACGTCCCAAACCATTTTCCGACCTCTACGCAACACCAAAATCGCCAGCACAAGAATTCACTATGGCACCATAGCGTCAGGCAACCAAGTGATCAAAGACGCCGCCACCCGCGATCGTATCGTTAGAGATCTAGGTGGCCGTATCTTATGTTTCGAGATGGAAGCTGCAGGATTGATGAATGATTTTCCCTGCCTGGTGGTCAGAGGTGTAAGCGATTATTGTGATTCGCATAAATGTGATCGATGGCAGAGGTATGCGGCTGCCAGTGCGGCGGCGTACACGAGAGAACTGCTGTTGTTGATGCCATCGGATGAGGTGGCCGGTCAAACGTGATGTCAGGGCGTCATCTGGAATCGCAGAGTCGAGGATGATGACTCGATATTCTTGATTTCTCGTAGGAAAAACATGAAAGAACATATCTTGATAGACTCAAGAGTGGCGTTGACTTGTGCTTCTTTTCTGACTGAATCTTCGTGTGCCTTTGGATGCGATAACAAAGAATCAATATATCGTGATGTGGAGACATCACTCCAGATTGTTAATATTCGAGGCGTAGTACTGACGATCTACATTAATAACCCTGCGACACCCAATCACCGACACCATCCATGAGGTCCTCTCCAATCATAGTATTTGGTTCGAAAGGATTCTGAGAAGGCCACATGGTATTCAATCCAAAAGCATCCTGAGCACGCCGCATCGAATCTGAGCTTGCTGACGTAGGGGCAAAAAACGATGTGAAATTTAGATGTTGTGGCTCCGAAGTGTAAGGAAGAGTCAGTGGAAGGCTCCTTTCCGCTGAATTTTGCGATCGTGATGTGTGAGGATAGGATACAGATTCAGGGAAAGTATCTGGCTCGGATGTCGGTATAGCGTTCTCCCTTACTCTGGGCCTGTTAGATCCCGGTGACTGCCGCCACGAGGCCGAGCTCTGATCTACGACCGAGGACCAGGTCCCAGACGATTGCATAGCGCCACGATATATCGATAGTGGAGCGTGAGATGAGGAGCTGTTTGTTGGGACCGAGAGATTGAAGCCTTGGGGGAAACTAACGGGATCGGAGACGAGTGTAGGAGAGAACAAGTTAGGGATTTCTAAAGCGGAGACTTCAAAGTCTTTGGTATAAGCAGAAGAGCCAGGATTGTGCAAGAAGCTTATGCCCGGAGTGAGATCGAAGTTCAGAGACTTGCTTGACTCCCAAAAAAGGTGAGAATCGAAGTACGCAGGACTTATGACATGATCTCTGAACAGAAGAGTAGGCTCAAGTGATGCAGTGTTGACCCAGAAGTAGAAAAATTCTTTATCAGGGTGGGATGTCGAGGAGCACAGCTCATGGACTACTCGGCCACAAAGAGCAAGCGGGACGTTTGATCTCAACCACGTCCAAGGCTCAGCGTTGTCGATATTGTCAAGAATCTCGAACTTAAAGCAGTGATAGGTTCTACCGCCAATCACGTTGGAGTCTTCCCTGATTGACAACCCAGATCCGATCCAGAACGGTTTATCTGGGAACCTCTCACCGAGGACAGCGACCGTCACGAGCTCTGGTTTCGAAGGTCTGGGACTGGCTAGCCGTCGGCGTTTCCGTCGATGAGGGCTTCCATCGTTGGATGCACTGTTCTGGAGAGCGTTTGTAGCTTGCTCGTGCGCAGAATCCAGAATGCATCCTAGGAAATCGCCTTCCTTCTTATGTTCATTCCAGAGAAGTCTTGCTGACGGCAGAACATGCTCCAATGCTGATGTCTGGCGAGACAGGAGACGTGTCAATTCGGTCTCAGCAGTTAACGTATCAGGATGACGCGATCCGAGCACTTTCGTCCTCGAGTCCAGAACTTGCTCAAGTAGGTATTTGGCTCCATCGAAGTCCCCTAGATGCATCTTGATTTTGGCAAGGTTGTACCTGGAAGTTGACGTATCAGGGTGATCCAATCCAAGCGTTGACTCAAATTCCCTAGCTACATTGGCTTCAGAAACCTCAGCCTGTCGCCAGCGACCCCTCAGCCCCTGAATCAAAGCTAGATGACTAGTGCTTCGTAGAGTGCTCGGGCTTTTAGCCCCAAGTCTCTCAGCTCTTGTTCTTTCTAGTACGACCTGACTTGCTAGTTGTTCGGCCTCTTCATATCTTCCGAGTCGGCAAGAGCAGACAGAGAGAGCTTTCAGGCTAGAGATAGTGATGGGATGAGTGGGTCCCAGCCATGCTCGGCTCAATTTCTCTAGTTCGACCACGATCATCTCGAATTCTTTCCACTTTCCTTGGAAACCGAGCGCTTCTGCAATATTCCGCATGCTACTCAACGCTCCCGCAGTAGATAAACCGATGTTCAAACACCTCAACGCGAAAGTCTCTCGATGTAGAGCCTCTGCACGGCTATACTGCCCCAACAGCATTAAGTCTTGACCAACATCCTGTCTTTTTTGTAGTGTTTTAGGATGCCACGGACCCAAGTGTATTTGTCTCCAATCCAGGACGACCCGATGGCAAAGTTCGGCACTGCTGTAGTATCCAAGATCGCGTTGGCAGTCGCCGACGCGGCTCCACAGCTCAATGGTTCTCTCATGCTGGGTCGAGTAATGGCTGAGAAGGTGCAGGGCATGCCCAACGCGCAACTGATAGTTGATATGATCATCATAGCCTCCATGTGGTATCAACGGGGTAAGCATCTGTATTGCACTCTCGGTGCAAGTGGTCCAGGTTCCAGCGTTCACGAGCCAGCGTCTGGCTGTAGTGTGGACTAGAGATTGCACATCGTAGAGCGAGTCATCTCGGTGGCGTATCAGAAATTGATAACCGATCAACATCTCTATGGCCAATAGGCGCAGTAAAGGATCCGAGGTTCCGGGTAGCATTATAGAATCAGGAACATCAAGCGGAGCGATACAGGCCAGGAAAGACAACAATCGGGCCGCCAAAGGGTTGTGGAATTGCAGCTGCTTGAATGAGAGATGCCATGTTGTGGTAACAGCGTTAGCGTGACCGAAATAGCGGTTACGGTCATGAAATTCCTGAGCCAAAAGGTCTGTGGACTGATCTTGTAGTTTCTGGTATCTGAACAGCTCAAGGTATCTGCTCTCGTGCAAGCTGTTCTCTCGCATGAACATGACTGCTTGTACTATAGCAAGTGGTAAGAATGCAAGCTCTTGGAGGAGCGCATCCACATGCGAGTCTCTAGTGGTGCTTTCAGAGTACGTTAGCGATTGGTACAGCTCTCTAGCGTCCGGGAGTTCGAAACTTTCTACTGCGATGATGGAACTAGGTCGACGAACAAGCCGGATTGCATTCTTTTTGCTGCGGGTCGTGAACAAAGTCATGCAACCTTTCTTCGAGGGCACATCCTCCAGCAACGAACACTGAACACCGTTACGCACAAACGATAAAGAGTCTGTATCGTCTGCGTTGTCTATGACCAAAAGCCATCTGAGTGCGGTCCCTTCCATCAGTTTAGCTTTCACAGCCTCCACGATATCTTTTTCTAGATTATCGGCCCCAGGTAGCTCATAAAAAATCGCGATCTCTCGGAAAGCCTGTCGAAAATGATAAGGGTCAATGGCGGGTACCCAGAAGACCGCACAGCTAGGTTCTCGGTCGTGTATCTGGTAAGCGAATTCCGTTGCTATTGCGCTCTTTCCGCAACCACCAAGACCCCAGATGGCGGCCTCACCTCCTTGCAGTTCCATGAGTCTATGGAGGTCATGAAGAATTTTCTCTCGGCCAACGAAGTTGAGATGTCTCTTGAAACGAATGTAGAAAGGCACTGAGCGAAGGACAGATATTAGTGTCCGTGAAGAAGACAAGCAGGTCCCAAAGGGCTTTCATCGAGACCAAGATGTGTAGAACCATGACCTAGGACAAGGAAGACCCTTACTGACCTCTGTGTGACACCTCTGCAGCCGATACGGGCTCGGATGGTTTGATAGAGTCCAGAATTGACACAGCCGCCGGCGGAGTCCACATTAACAACTCCTTCGTATATGCAGCGGCGGTAGCGGCTGCGTATCTTTGCCATTGATCTTGCTTGTGAGAATCGGCATAGTCGCATATGCCCCTGACGACTAAGCATGGGAAATCATTCATGAGACCTGCTGCTTCCATCTCAAAGCAGAGTATATGTCCGCCAAGTTGTTCTGAAATATTGTCTCTCAAATTTGCATCCTTCATGACCATGTTACCAGAAGCAATGGTTCCAAAGTGGACCTCAACAGTACTGTCTGCCCCAGATGGACCGTCGACTTCCCTCAGCGGTCTGTCGAGAAGCATCTCAGACTTGCAATTTTCGCATGTTGTTCCTCCAGCGTGGTCGTATGTGGGCTGGAAAAGCTTATCTTGCCCAGTGCTGTTGCGAGAAAATCGTTTCTTAAGGATTGTCGTCTCGCTAAATTTCGCTAGATACTGAACGTGTTTACTTTCTCCCACTTCGTACCTGGCTCGGGCTAGTTTGACAACACTGAGGAGAAGCTTCGGTGGTGTGTTGAGATGGCCAGTTCGGCGAAAGCGCCCTCCAGCTTCAGCTTTCCCAAAATCGTATTGTACAACACCTCCATGGCCCATGTCTGGCAAGCTAACAACGACGTCTCCCAGACGAATGTCAGCCTTTGGGCTTGGAACACCTCCTCCAATGCCCACCATGAAGCCGATTCTAACCGATTTGAACTTGTTGAGCATTTGTGTGGCCACCGCAGTCGCTGCACTAGTGCCTGTTTGGCCGGCAGGAAGACATGCAATCACAACATTGTGTCCGCCGATGCGCCCGAGCGTGTATTGGTTTGGGTCTCGCTCGTCGTAAGGAAGTCCGGGATATTCTTCGTCAAGCATGACAGTGGCGGCAGCCAGCTCAATATGAAGCGCAGCAATCCAGCCGATGGTATATTTCGACAGATCCGAGGTCATTGTGAATGATGGGGCCGTATACAAACGCGACGACTACGTTAATGATAGAATCTGAAGATTGTTCTCATGGCTAGGGATGGAGAAAGATTGGTGAAGCAGGCCAGAGAACTTGCTCAGCTCTCACACAGCCTCGACAAGTTGTGGCTTATGCACGTCGGCCTTCAAGAGTCATCGATGATTCGTCGCCCATTCTGGCTATCACGCGGCAGCAAGCCACCGAGAATGCCGCAGCAGCTGCATGGGCCTTCGAAATACGTATCGCAACGTCTCGGTATTGGTGAGAAGGTCAATGGAATATTCCGTAGATGAGGATTGCAAAGATAGATGTGATAGTTTTCGTGTGAGATGAGGTGGAAACGAAAAACACCTCTGTTGATTTTCCAGAAGGGAGATTGTGGAGAGAATTAAGGAAGGAAGGTTGAAGCGGAGGCTCGGGTGCACCTTCCGACGAAGTTTGGATGCTTGATTGCTCTCTCCTTCGACTGTCTGTTGCATTTATTGCATAGAATTATCAAGTCAAGGTCTTCCAATAGCTGAAAGGGTGACTGATTCTTTCCACTGCTTTCCTCCGAATGACTCTTGGAGCATCCATCCTTTCCAAGCGCCTCGAGGTTGTCATCTCTGTTCCCTCCCTACCTCTCTCGTTGTTCATTCGCATCCAAAGGCCCATAGAATCGACGACTGTCGCTATCTTTTCTTCATCATCCTTCTTCCTCCTCATTCGTTCCATTCTCGCTCTTCTCCATCTCCTTCAACCTCTCCTCATCCACAGCATTCTCCCCCTCCCACCTAGCAATAGTGTCCATGACACTCTGCACCCTAATCCTCAGATTCATCATCAAGTGCATCTGGAACACGCTTCCCTTGCGCAGACCTCTGCCTTCTTCTTCATGCTTGAGCTGGTTGCGGATGTAAGGTGTGATGTGTTCTTGGATACTCTCGATGTATTCGGCGTAGAGGGTCTTGTAGAACTCGATGTTTTGGTTGCGGTGGAGGATTGTGTTTTTGAGCTGTGGAGGAGTGAGGTGAGTGAAGCGGTCTTGGGGGAGGGAGGAGGGGAGGCGTACGGTGGTGAGTTCGTTGTTGGGGGGTTCTTCGGTGGGCTTGACCTTGGACTTTCCGATGGCGCATGTGCAGGCGATGGGCTTTTTGCCCTCGGGGCAGTTGTGGTCTTTGGGTCTGGAAGGTAGGTCAGTGATGTATGTTGGGTATGAGGCTCGATGTGTTACCTAGAGTAAGGCATGATTGTGATGGGTTCACGCTGTGGTGAGATTTGGTCAAAGATCGGTGGTGTGTTGGAGGTGTGATTGTGGAAAGACAAAAAGACAAGGTAGTTGTTTGAGAAGTGTGAAGGAAACCAAAACCGCCGATGGAGTATGAAGGAAATCAGAAGCGTAAATGAAATGTGAAGGGGTGCTTGTGAACGCAGTGAAAGCGGAATTGTATCAAGGATTTTTGAAAGTGATTGTTTGTACACAAAGTCATGAGATGCGCGCAAACAAAGTGATCAGATTGGTACACTTAGATTTCGACCATCACATGTTCCTTAACCGGCGCCGAGCTCAAATATCCTTCCATCTCCAGACGCTCCATTCGACCAATCTCTCGTCATTGAACAAATCTTGACTGGCCTCTTCTCTTCCCTCTTCAAAAGCCTCCATACCGCCCTCCTCAAGTCTCTCCCACATCTCTCTGATATAGTCGATGTAGCAAACTCTCAGCGGGTAGGCGATAATAAATCTGGCCTCCTTGTCTTTCACCAACCATTTCAAGATGACATTGGCCAGCAACTCAGGATGCTCTTCTGAGTAGATAGTGTCCGCGGCAAAAATGACGTGAGCCTGTGTTTGAGGTTGCTGCTGGTCCTTGACGATCAAGGTGGTCGGATGTTTCCAGTCCAAAGTTCCAGCCTCCATATGCGTGTTTGCGGTCCTCAGGCCCTCAGAGTTGAGATCAATGTTGGCGTCCAAAGCAGGAACCAACGGTGCCAAATCGGTAAGCACAACTGGTTGTTTCCATAACGTGGCCGCTGTAACACCTACCAGACCTGTGCCAGCACCGAGTTCAAGAATAGGGAGGACGTCTGAGCTAGGGGTGGGAAATTGGATCTTAGGACCAATGTGGTGGAGTTGAGAGGCCAGAATGTGAGAGGCGGCCCAGGTCTCCAGGCCTAAGTTCTCCGAGGTGAGGTTGGGCTCGCTAATGCGAACTTGAATAGTTTCGCCGGATCCATTCGATGGTACAGTAAAGTCCTGTGTCTTGAAGCTACGCTCTTCGGTGGCCATGATGGGCTCGAGATTATAATATGCAAAGACAGATGTGTAGTCTTTATTATGGATATGGATATCTGGAAGGATATTGATGTTGAGCGAGATCGAACAACTTTGGTGTTGATGTGTATATTGAGATATGTGACTCGATGGCAGAAAAGATCGAAGTCGTTGTCGCCAAAATTTCTTGACGACTACTTTTGACTTTTCGTCCGTGTCCCTCGACATTTTGCGGGGAAGGGGCCTAGAATGATGTCTGGTATGGACAATGATTCAACCAACACAGTCTTGGACGAGTTTCGCACGCAAGAAGCCCAGAAGGCACTTTGGGCCATCATGTTGAGAAGAAAATAATACATTTTCGAGTGTTCAACATCGAAGGTGTGATGGCGAACGAAGATCTGCCTTCATAAGCAGAAGAAATACCCCGCACAAGGCTAGCCCCAAAACAGCAATCTGTTTATCTGAGAAGGGTTCTCTTCAAGAACTCGACCTCTTTGGCCAACAGTGTCTCAAAATCCTTCCCTTCGAATATGCTAAAGTGTCCACCAGGAAGCATTTGCAACTCCTTTGGCTCTCTGGCACGACTGTATGCTTCGAGCATTGCTGTTGTAACGCCAACAACATCTTTCTCCGGTACTTGCATCAAGAGCGGCGTGGGTCCGATTTGGTGAATGCGAGCGGATGGGAAATACTCTATTATGCTTTCGAAACTGTGATGTACATTGTAAGCAAAATATCTCGACACCAGGAAAGCCTGTTGCATACCTTCGGATGGTCAGCTCGTTTTTCCAGCCGATCTTCTCGACCCAGGGAGAGAAGAAGGCAAAGCTTTCGGCATGCGGTAGTGCAGCCTGGTCGACTGGGTTCTCCACTATGACTGGCATCTTTCCAGGCTCGTTTCCTGCTGCTCTAGACAGTCGTTCTGTATAGTGTGAGCCTTTCTCAGATTCCGACCAAGCTCGACATTAAATACCTTGAGCAAGCATTCCATGGACCGTGTCCTCAAAGTCCGTTCTCAGATTATTTATGAGAATGTCGCCTGTGGAGAAAGGTGCCACAGCTATGACTGCCTTGACACGACGATCGATAGCAGCGACCCAAGTCGAATGGCCACCACTGTAAGAATAGCCCCAGAGACCTATCTTCGATGCATCCACATCTTCTCGAGACTGAGCATAGGTAATGGCATCTTGGAGGTCGCTAGCTTGTTGTGTTCCGACAATCTCGTTACGAGGCTCGTTTTCCTTCTGATCGCTGGACCCATAGCCGCGGTGGTCGTAGACCAAACAAGCGATCGGCAAGACGGAGGTGAGACGTTCGGCCAACGTGTCCAGATACATCTCTTTCAGGCAGGTCAAGCCATGCGAAATTATCAGGCAAGGGTATTTGCCTTGTGCATCTTTCGGTTTGAAGATCCAGCCTCGCAATGTGACATGGTCAATGGTCTTGAATTCGATATCTGAGCGTTCGGTCATGTTGCTTGCGAATAGGAGGGGGGAAAGTGGCTATGATGAAACATGAACACAAAGGGCGATGCGAAGATCTTATATGCCGAGCGCGGGACCGGTGTAATGCTTACCGTCAGCTGAAATCCTTCGAGCGTCTGGGCTTACCTAGATAGCGTAACGCTAAGAGATCCCATACCATACGCTTTGCTCGTTCTGAGAATCTGAAAGAGCCATGAATCCTAACATCAGTTACAACTGCGAAACGTAAGAGCCCAAAAATGTCAATACCATGCCGTGGATCGATCCCTGGTACCGCTCATTCTTGGCAAATCATCATATTACCGAAGTCTACTTCACTGGCCAGAATGGACTGCATGACAAGCGCTTTCGTAGCGCGTCAGTGAGCGCGGGTTGAGGGTTGAGTGCGACTGTTTACTCGAAGCAATTGGTATTGCAGCGCGCATGGTTGGCAAGACTGCCGAGTGGAGACTCGCTTAGACGATGAACTGCTCAGACAACCGAAGAACGAGGGCTTCAATCATTGGGACATCATGCCCTCAGGCGAGCGGCGTAGAGATGTTGAGTAAGCACTGCATGGAGGATCCAGGGTCAGACGATGATGTGGCATTTACATCGTTCGGGGGATCTATAATATCCCAGTCCAGAGATCTCGACTGCCAGCCTGCCAGGTCTGCAGCAAGCATCATGTACGTAGCCGCGCGACGAGGCTCGAATTCGCCCGGTCGGGTCATGGATTGATGCCTGAAGATGGTAAGAAAAGATGGCTTGCATACTCTATAGTTCATTCCTCTATACAAGTTGCAGTCAACTGAAACATTCTGAATAAAGTCGGAGGTGGAAGCCGAAGAGGAGTAAGGCCCATACGGCGGTTGCGCGTACAGCTGATGGATGCCGGAGAGATGGACTGGGGAGCAAGAATCTATGGATCGGTAGCGGGATCGATCGGATCCCGACATGTCGGGACCATGGACGGACCTTGAGGAAGCGGAAGATGCGATCCAGAGTAGGATCGACTGCTCATGCAGAAGGTAAATGGAGCGAGATGAAAGAGTGAGAAATGCAAGCGAGTCGAGCGGAGGGATGCATCGAGAAGTGGATTGAGATGGGCAATTGATTAAATATTGACTGGCGTAGCAAAGCGACGAGAAGGAGATGCATCTAGTGGCTGCTACGCAGCTGTTCAAAGTGCACGTGGTTGTTGAGAATCGAAGGGTTGATGGATACAAAAAGGATGTCGGGCCTCGGTCAGGGTGTTCATCTTCAGCAAAGTGTTTGTCAACGGCGCAAAGAGTGGCGTCAGCGTCAGTCCCTCTGCCCCTCCTCTGGACAGCTCCTTCCCTAAGAACCATCCGTCCTTGACCATCGTCGCCTTTCCGCACCTTCCTCAGAGCTTCATTCACCAGCCATCTCACATCCCGAACTTCCGTCGTCAACATGTCTACCTCAGCCCGCCGCCGTTTGATGCGCGACTTTAAGGTACGGACAGTTTGATGGCTATCTCGAGGCGAAGATTGTAGCTAACGGCTATCTTTCACAGCGCATGCAAACCGACCCTCCCGCCGGTGTTTCGGCCTCGCCCATAGCCGACAATGTTATGACATGGTAAGCCTCGCTTTAGAACACTTTATGAGGACACACGTGCTCATCCAGCGCACAGGAACGCAGTCATCATCGGACCCTCAGACACACCCTTCGAGGACGGCACCTTTAGACTCGTCATGCACTTCGAGGAACAATACCCCAACAAGCCTCCGGGCGTCAAGTTCATCAGCACCATGTTCCATCCCAATGTCTACGCCACGGGCGAGTTGTGTCTCGACATCCTACAAAACCGCTGGAGTCCCACATATGATGTCGCCGCCATCTTGACCAGTATTCAAAGGTTAGCATGGCAGCTTGTCTGTCTCTTGTTCATGCTGACATGGTTGACAGTCTTCTCAACGACCCCAACACGAGCTCACCAGCCAACGTCGAGGCGTCGAATCTGTACAAGGACAACCGCAAGGAATACTACAAGAGAGTGCGCGAGACGGTCGAGAAGAGCTGGGAAGACTAAGGGACTAGCACTTGATTATAGATGTGCTATGATGGTTCAGCGAGGCGTTCGGCAAAGGCGTCGCTACATGAGGAGTTTCACCAGGGACTGCATTTCTGCTGTTATTTTACTGCGCATAAGACACGAAACATGACACATGGGGGCAAGGAAGAACAGGCTGTTGGGATCATCTCGGCCTTGTCAAATACAGACACTCACGAACTTGAGATATTACTATCGTTCTGATGCAGTGATCCAATAGAGGCAGAATGATGGCATGGTCATGCACAGCGCATAGCGGCATATAGGCTCAAGTGCACAAGGGGCTGATATAGGGCTGACTCGGTCTGAAACGCTGAAACCGGGGCTGGCCGAGGCTGCTTGGCCAAGGAGAAAGTTGCATGCTGGCCAAATGTTCAAGAGGCACCGAGAAAGAGAAGACCCATATTCTTGCTTGTCACTCTGTGCAGCTATCGTTGTCGATAGGAAAAACGAGCATCCTCTCAAGCAGCGCGTATTATTTGTACACAACGGCGGTTGCTGTGAGGCTTAATTGAGTTTGGCCCTGGGCCCCTTGTTCATTCAACTCACGGTCCACCACGAACTTCTCCAGACGTGCACCGGAGGGCGTGCATCTTGCATACACGACCGCTTCTACTTGCTAGCCCCTCTGTCGCCAGCCTACCTGCCCCTCGGTCGAGAGAGTCGATTCCCTACCAAGCAGGCCACGACCTGCGCAAACAAGGCCATCATGGCGTGAGTCGACGCTGCCTCCCCCACCAAACAATCACGAGCCTGTACTAACAAGCCACCAGGAGCAACTCTATCAAGGGCACGTCTACCCACCTTCGACTCTCGCATCGACCCTCGCACTCAGCTAACTTTCCACAGTCGTCGCTCGTTTCCGGCCGCAAAACAAAGTCGAACTCGCCAGCGGAGGTACCCCGATAGTCCAATTCGAAAGCCCCGACACTTGCAATGTCCAGTCAAGAGATGGCGGCGGCGGCGCCTTCACCTTCGACCGCGTCTTCGACATGGCCTGCCGTCAGTCCGACGTCTTCGACTTCTCCATCCGTCCCACCGTCGACGATATCCTGAATGGTTACAACGGAACCGTCTTTGCCTACGGTCAGACGGGTGCCGGAAAGTCGTACACCATGATGGGCTCAGACATCGGCAGCCCCGACCACAAGGGTGTCATTCCGCGCATCACTGAGCAGATCTTCGCATCCATCATGGCCAGCGAGAGCAACATCGAGTACACGGTGCGTGTCAGCTACATGGAAATCTACATGGAACGCATTCGCGATTTGCTCGTTCCTCAAAACGACAACCTGCCAATCCACGAAGAGAAGAATCGCGGTGTCTACGTCAAGGGTCTTATGGAAGTCTACGTCAGCAGCGTCGACGAGGTCTACCAAATCCTGGAGCGCGGTGGCATGTCTCGCGCTGTCGCTGCTACAAACATGAACCAGGAGTCCTCCCGTTCCCACTCCATCTTCGTCATTACCGTCGGTCAGAAGAACGTCGAGACTGGAAGCGTCAAGTCGGGTCAGCTCTTCTTGGTCGATTTGGCTGGTTCGGAAAAGGTTGGAAAGACAGGAGCCAGTGGCCAGACTTTGGAGGAAGCGAAGAAGATCAACAAGTCGCTCAGTGCTCTCGGAATGGTCATCAACGCCCTGACAGACGGCAAATCCTCTCACGTCCCCTACCGCGACTCGAAACTCACCCGTATCCTACAAGAATCTCTTGGTGGTAACTCGCGCACCACCCTCATTATCAACTGCTCGCCCTCGAGTTACAACGACTCTGAAACCGTCTCCACCCTCCGTTTCGGTATGCGAGCCAAGTCGATCAAGAACAAGGCCAAGGTCAATCAAGAACTCTCCCCTGCCGAACTCAAAGCTCTCCTCCGCAAAGCTCAGTCTCAAGTCTCAAGTTTCGAAACCTACATCTCCAACCTCGAATCAGAAGTCGGCACCTGGCGCAAGGGCCAAGCTGTCCCGAAAGAGCAATGGACTCCCACTCTCAAAGATGGTCCGGTCAGATCTGCGCCTCGTCCTGCCACCCCATCGCTTCTCGGCGATCAACGAAAGGGTGCCGAAACCCCCACTTCGACAAGGCCCGACTCAAGAATGGATTTGGAACGCGCTGGTACACCAACGACTGCTATGGATAAAGACGAGAGAGAAGAATTCTTACGACGTGAGAATGAGTTGCAAGATCAGCTTGCTGAGAAAGAGTCTGTTATTGCCACAACTGAGAAGGCACTACAAGATACACGACAAGAGCTTCGCGATTTGAGAGAAACACACGGCCGTGTGAACAAGGATAACGAGAAGCTCGCTGGCGATGTCGAAGGCTTGAAGATGCAGGTCGAGCGCATCACTTTCGAGACCAAAGAGGAGTCCATTATGATGGACAGTCTCAAGGAAGCCAACAACGACCTCTCTAACGAACTTGATGAGCTACGAAAGGAGTTACTCGAGGCGAAGATGAATGCACGTGAGACATCGGCCGTTATTGACGAGAAGGAGAAGCTGAAGAAGGAACGCATGGCTCAGATGATGGCTGGCTTCGATCTTGGAGATGAGGTCTTCTCAGAGAATGAGCGCAGCGTGCAAGAAGCCATCAAGCAACTGGATGCCCTTCTTGAGTCTACCTCCAAGGGCGAGGCACCTGGGCTGGAATCTCTGTCGAAGTTGAGAGAAAGATTGGTTGAGACACAAGGTGCCATTCGCCAGGTCGACCACTCCAGCCAGGGAGGCGCTCTCGAGCACAAGCTCTTGGCCGTACAAAAACAGTACGAGGAGCTCCTGCAAACAAATCTTTCAGAGGCCGACGTCGAGGATGTCAAGCGTCGTCTGCAAGAGTCACTTGCATCGCATACCGATGGCCAGACAGGATCATCGGACCTCAACGCTGCCCTGGCTCGTCAGCAAGAAGAGAACCTCCGTATGCGCAGCGAGGTTGAAGCTTTGAGGCGTCAAACAGTCAATGGAGCAAATGGCGCCAAGTCGTTGCACCAACAACTGGCAGATTTCGATGCCATGAAGAAGTCTTTGATGCGCGATCTGCAAAACCGTTGCGAGCGTGTCGTTGAGCTTGAGATCTCGCTCGACTCGACAAGGGAACAGTACAACAGCGTCTTGCGCTCAGCAAATAGCAAGCAGCAACAGAAGAAGCTGGCCTTCCTTGAGCGCAACTTGGAGCAACTCACCCAGGTCCAAAGGCAGCTGGTCGAGCAGAACGCCCAACTCAAGAAGGAGGTCGCTATTGCTGATCGCAAGCTGGCGGCACGAGGAGAACGCATCCACGGTCTCGAGCAATTGCTTGGTGAGAGCCAGGAGAAGCTTATGCAGGCCAACCATCGGTACGTTGCCAACACTGATCTTGACGCGATGAAACTTCCGCTAACACACACTCACAGCTTCGAAGCCCAGCTCACTGCAGTAAAAGAACGCCTCGAGGCCGCCAAAGTCAGCGCCGCCACTCGCAACGGCAACATTAACGTCGCAGGAGGTGCAGCCCCCAATGGCTTCGGAAGCCAACTCGGCAGCCGTATCGCAAAACCGCTCCGTGGTGGTGGAGGCGAAGGTCCCATGGTCCCGACACTCGCCGGCCTCCAACAACAGCAACAGCAAGAAGGCCCAAAACGCAGCAGTTGGTTCTTCAACCAGAGAACCTGAGGTCTGGCGAATTAACTCTGGCGGTCTTGTTCTTACTGCTCGCATTTGGGTTGTTGGTTTGGTGAGACTGCGGGTTTGCAGTCTTTCTCTCCCATTGGGTGAATGATCAGAAAGTGCATTTAGAGGGCGTTTTCTCCATGGAGTTCTTTCATACAAGGGCGGTTGTTATTGTTTTCACTGCCTTTTCCCCTTCTTGCATATCGGTGCTGCCATTCCATTTGAGCGCCGTAATCCCTCAATCTTTATGAAACACAAACAAACAAATTCCCGATCTTGTTCTCACACTGTTCTCCTTTTTAACCTTTTGATGTTATATATTGGTGACAATCTTTGGCCCATCGCCGTGCTTGTTGGAAGAGAACATTAACTTCCCGTGTAGGCAAAGAGAAACAGCATTCGACTCTAGCAATTGACAACCAATTATTCTACTAGCTCGGCCGATGTCAGGCCCTGGTTTTGGAAGTTGAACGGTTACACCCTGTTTGACTCGAGGAAAGCTATACTTGCCGCGAGAGAGCAATCAATAGACAGTACAGCGTTTTCTAAGCGATGAACTAGCATAGTCATCGACTGCTATAGAACAGTTTCTAACCACTCCATTCTGGACGGGGGTTTAGATGGCTCTTAGACGTTGAATTGAACCATGTACTGAAGCCTACCATTCGTACAGCTTCCGGGGTCGCAAGCCACTGGCTGATCCAACATGCTTACCTCACTGTCGATACCCTGGACGATCTAAGCAGAAATTGACCCAGAACACTGCAGAGTATCTGGTACCTTGTGATTTGCGTAGGGGTTGGATCACTTGTCTCCCGTCCAACCGAGCAGTCCTACAATGAAACAATGAGTCGTGCTGGCTGGCCACGACAAGTATCCCCTGGAAAATTACCATCATCGAAGATAGTGAAGGACCGCCTCGTATACTCCAAGCGTTATCGTAGCTGAAGGCACAGCGCGCAACATGTGTGGTGTAATCCCTCCATAAAACGCAAGCACCCCTTCTTCTTTCCAGATCGTTCGGGAACACTGAATCAGCGATGTGTATTTGAGCTCTCCACTGGGCAGTGGAGCTTGACGCAAACGTGTCCGTATAACCTGTGATATCGTTGTGTCAATTGGTGTGTTGTGAGGACGAGTTGTGCGTTACTGACTTCGTGGGGATATGCGATCACCCCGGCAATTAGCTTTGCAATGCCAGCGGAGCCGCCAATTCCAAGGTAGGATAGGATTCGGTACCATGGTGTGCGTTGTGATGGTAGTTCGCAATCTACGACTTCTGGAGGTATGTCGACACTGCTTTGCGAAATCTCCTTGATCCTTTCATAAAGAACGAGATGAAGGGCACTCTCCGCGACACCGAGGTAGCTTGCACTGAGTCCACGGTAGAACCCTCGAATACCCTCTTGTTTGAAGATCTGCATGGCATATTGGAAACTGTTGCGGTGGCGAGGTAGTGAAGTTGATGGCGAGTTGTCTAATTGCATCCGTGTCTTTATGAGCCAAATTGGGTTCGTGGCTGTTCCGGTGAGGATGCCTGCAGTTGCGGCAGCAGCTGTATGGACACTTGATGCACTATCCTCGACATGGAACCAATTTGCATAGATGCGTTTGCAATTCCCGTACGTGTAGAACTTGATCGCGGTCGCTGGGGCTATCCCAAGAATGCTCGGTCCAAGTCCCGTGTATAATCCTCGCCACCCTTGTAGCTTTTGTGCTGACATCAAGTTTTGACTTGTGGTTTTTGCGCGATCAAGCCATACTCTTGTAAACGACGCCTGAGGCATGGTCGTGGCTGCAATGCGTTGCCGAAGATGCGAGTAAAGATTCGATTGTAAACGTGTGCGCAAAACGTCCAGAGGTGCCGTAGCTATCGCAGTCGCTATACCGCCGGCCCTGTACACCAATATTAGCATCTCTCGAGACAAGAATACTGAGGCAATTTACCCGCCCGCGACGAGATGCGGCCATGACTTCTCCTGCAAGCGGACATGTTGCGCGTCCGGCATGGCGACGTCGCGCAGGAACCGTCCTTGAGCAAGGTGCAGATTATCAAGCAAGTGCTGAATGGCTTCAGAATGTGAAATCGGCACAAACTTGATACATTCTCACCGATAGGATGTCTTGACAGCCAATCAGAAAATGGACACATTCGGATGTGTGTTGATCACCTCAGTTGACATGCCAACTTCCGAACGTGAACCAGTTCGATGGTGTTTTACGATACACAACCGCTTCGGTGCATCCCAGTGGCAAACTCGAGCCGATGAGGTAGACAACTCCTAGAAAATACCAGTTTTGTGGTCGCCTTGGCTCCATCGATGTTTGTTGGTGTGGGCGCGAATAGCATGGCTGCATAAATGTTGCCGTAGCGCTATGCTGCATACCTCTCGCTGTAAGAGAACAGATCCTATTCTGGCCTAGACGTAAGGCTCGAAACAGATCCTCGCGCAGCGTCTCCAACCACAGCTTGGATCCTGATCCCGGGCGCCTCGGTGACTGCGTTTGTAGAGGGATTGCGTCAGCGTTAGAGTATGCCTGTCAATCAACCAAGGACTAAGTTTACCATGCAGGCGTGTTGATGGCGTTATACGCAGGACATGGCAAAGCGCAGTGTTGTAGTAGCGAAATCGTGCAGATGTGTCGGTTGCAGGCGTGGTGAACGGAAGAGACCTGTTCCCGGTTTCCAGTGTTGCTAAATGTCTCTCGCCGCAACGAACGACCTCACACGTTTGATCAACACATCGTCTCATATTTCTGGCCAAAGAACTTCCAGGCATCATATCTGCTTGACACAAAATGCACTACCAGCTGTCAGAAGTCAGTATCAGCGATGCCGAGGCGTTGGTCCGTCAGTGCCAATTCCCGGCAATGCGACAAGACCCTCTGCGAAAGATCATGTTTCCAAAATCGAACGGGGAAAAGGAAGAAGAAGAAGAAATAAAGTGGACAATTGAAGGTCTTGAGGAGAGCTTGGAGAACAAATCATGCTATTTCCGACAAGTGACTTACGGCTCGAATTGCGTCGGCTTTGCTATCTGGACTCTAGAGTCAAGCGGTGATGGAGCGACGAGGAGGCAGAAGTCGAAGCCGACTCCACTTGAAAAGCGCGAGTCCTGGAATCCCGCAGGACTGGATGTTGAAGCTTGGAATAAAGTCTCGATGCGTCTGAGAGAGGAGCGTCAAAGGGTGTTGCTTGATCAACAAAAGATATGGAGTAAGTCTACAAGCGGCCCTCACACTCGATATATCAGCTTAATCCTATCAACCAGGGCTCAATACGATATCGGTGGCGCCAGAGCATCAAGGAAACGGTGTTGGAAGTATGCTTGTACGCTGGGGTTGCGACATGGCGGACAAAAATGTCCTGAATTGCTTTGTTATGGCATCTCCCGGAGGACTTGCCTTGTATAATAAATTCGACTTTCTAGTCACAGGAGAGGTGTGTACAAAGTATGGTTCCTTCACTAGTATGTTTCGTAGACCAAAAAGGCCGATGGAGTGTGCTGGATAGCGGTTGTTGATTAATGATATTCAGACAAAAATTTCGCCCCCAAGCTCTCGTCCTTCGAGCGGGGTAGTCCTTTCCCTCTTTTCTCATGGAATTACAAACACACAAAATCTTGATCTTTCCCCTCTTCTAATTTTCTCTGGATACCGGCATTGTGTAGTAATAAAGGAAGTGGAGGGATGTTGACCCACTTTGTATATTTTGATTAAGGATCAACGCTGACCTGAGCGGCAAACTGCAGACGCGATGTAGCACGCTGCGGTAAACACATCCGTCACAGCCCACATATTATCGCGACACAAAGTAAGAAGTATATTGCATGAGGCACACGGTGTATTAGTGTACTTATCTCTGCATCATTGACAGACATCAACAGAGCAGTCATGATTGTCAACTTCGTCTCTCGCACTCCATAACCCATCTAGCTATGGCGTTGGAAAGGTGGAATCGCCGTCTTGTGGGTTTATGCATTGCTTTCGTCTTGTTCGTCGCTATCTTCCATACTCAAAAGATCCTTCCTGCCTTCGAGCCGCTACCTGGATTGGACCACCACTTCGAGTACGGTCAGGCGATAACTTTCAAGCAAGATTACGAGTTGATACAATCACTCAATCTCAATACGTCGATAATTGAATATCGTCGCTACTGCTTCACGGCAAGCCCCCAAGATGGCCTTAGAAGACAATCGCTAATGGGGCTGGACTGGCCGTTCCTCAATGACACCCTAGCCGACCGTGTTTTCGTCAATCCGCCTTTCAGCAATGGAGAGAATCAGGCAGTATTCCCCTTATGTCAACAGACGCAAACCGTACAAGTTCCTCTGGATAGAACTACTCTCCATACCGATACTGGCACGCTCTTGCTCGGTACCGCCACTTTTCTCACACGCCTAAATGAGAGCTTACCGGAAATGGCTCATTGGCTCGCCAACACCGAAACGAAACTTCTGGTCGTCCTCCGTGACGAATCTCCAAAAGAGGAAGAGATGGAAGCTGTGATAAACAAGGCAGAAGAATTGGGCATAGCAGTATTCCTCATCTCAGACTCTTCCATGACCGGAGAGGCTGAAAGCAATTTTGGACTTGCAAAGCATCTATACACACATCTCTCTTATAGCACGAGGTGGATTGGCGTAATCGACGACGACACGTTCTTTCCTCCTTTGTCTAGGATGCTGGAAGCTCTCATGCCCTACGATCCATCTTTGCCCTGGTACATAGGCGGCCTGACAGAACGTCATTTGGGTATCAGCACTGAAGGCTTCAAGGCTTGGGGAGGCGCAGGTATCTTTTTGTCAGTGCCACTATTGACTCTACTGGCCGACAATCACGATACATGCATCTCAATGTCCCGGACTTGGGGAGATGCGCTGTGGCGTGATTGCATCTTCAATATTACATCGCCAACAGTGCATCTGACCAGATTAGACGGATTGCATCAGCTTGATATGTTTGGCGATTTGTCTGGCTGGTATGAATCTGGAGTGGCGTCTACACCTCTGAGTCTGCATCACTGGAAGAGCTGGCACTATTTCAACGTCCCTTCGGCGCATCTGGTCACCAATATTGCAGGCGTAGATGCTTTGTTTCAGAGATACAACGCGACCGACAATGTGGTCTTCACAAACGGCTACAGTATCGCGCAATATCCAGGTGGTCTACCGGATATGGGTCTCGTCGAGGGGACCATGTTCCCCTACCCAGGAGCTAAGATGCCCGATGCGGTTGGCGAGCTTCAAGACAGTCTTGGAAAACTAAGGCCGGCTTTGGAGGAAGGTAGGGAGAAGATCAGCTGGCGATTTGTGACAGCTGTCAGTATGGGTAGTGCATGTGTCAGGCAATTCTATGTCAGGGGAGCTTCTGCAGGACAGAGCTCTGACAGTGTAATTGAGGTGGACTGGTGCCGAAGCTCGCGCTAGGTACAGAAAACCATTGATATCATCGCTCATAGAAACGTAAATATTATATATCATGAATGCGCACAAGGGAACTCAACAACAACGTCTCAATGAGACCAACATCTCGCAAAGGTCCATCATTCGGGTCTGGTTGGCTGGCTAGAGACACCCGGATGGTATGCCTGGTATCTCTGTCTCTCTCCTTCGGATCCTGGTAGCTCTCTTGGACTCTTCATCGGCATCTCCACTCTACCGGCCATAGCATCCAACTCATAACTCGCATATGCATCCGCATCATATCTCTTCAGATACTCAGGCTTCACGGTACTTCTTATCGACGACTCCTTTCCAATCCTCGAGGACGTATCATCGCTCAATTCATAGACTTGGCGGCGACGATAGCGGCGCCAGAGAAGCGGGCCGGCGACGAGGATGGCGAGGAGAGGTACTGCGATACCAACACCTACGCCGATTCCTACGCCTGTCCAATCGCGTTTTGATTCTGGAGGTGTTGCTGCTGCTGATGATGATGATGATGTGGTAATTGTGTCGATGGTGGGGATGCTGCTGGTGGGGACTTCTGTCTTGCTGCCCGTGACTGTGATGAGATTGGTTCTCGTGATGATGGGTTCCAGTGTAGAAGATGAGGAGGACGAAGTAGACGACGAGCTTGATGAAGTTTCCGAAGACTCCGAAGACTGCGATGTAGATGTAGATGAAGAAGCCGTTGTGGAAGAAGACGCTGCAGATAGACTCGATGACGACGAGGAAGTTGTAGACGAACTTGTTGAAGAGGAAGTCGCAGCTGACGATGAAGCCGCAGCTGATGACGAGGCCGAAGAAGCAGTACCTGCGCTGAAATCCCAATTGCCTACCGGAAAAATCTGAGTTTGGTTGTTGCAACATGTCGAGCTATCACCCGCACAGCAGAAATAAATATCGTAATCTGTATTCGTGACTCCAGTCCTCGAGGTACAATTGAGTACCATGGCACCTCCTTTGTCTAGAATCTCGTCAGATCTCAAATAGAGTTTGTTGAAAGATGGACGGATACTCACAGGTGGTGCAAAACTGTGGGCAGTTGCCCGATTGCCACGATTGATCGGTGCAGCTTCCTCTACTTGGGTTCCAATCTTGTTCACTTCCCGAACACAATCTGTTCGGAAGACAATCTCGACCAGGGCCGCAGCATGGTACTGCCGTATCAGATGAACTGGATCCAAGTACACCCGTACATGGCACATCGTTTTTTGCGATGCTGCCATCTGGAAAGTAACAACTCTGTTGCACAGAATGTTGTACCAAAATAAGAAGTAGAAGCAATGGTGACAAACGCCAGCGAACCATCTTGAAATAAGCAGACTCTGACGACAGCTTTCAACAACGTTTCGTCCAAGAAAGCACAAACTCGTTGACCAGCTTGGTAAATGAATCTCATCAAGAGAGTCGAGGAGAACCTGTGAAGTTTTCATCTCTTCCTGTCCTGCCGGACTGCCATCATGGATTTTCCAGGCGGCTACTCTGCATGAAAGCAGTATGTCAGTCGGATAGCACGGCGATTAACACCACAAGACCATTTGCCATTATATTGAGAAGTCGCATCATTTAATCTGATATTGTTCTTGCAGGCAGCTCTTGTTGGTGACACTGCCGGAATATTCTGTGCTTAGACGAGGTCGCCGAAGCGCCCGGTCCCCGATTGGTTGCTTGAACCCGTTGTAATGGTTCGTTCGCGGCTGTCTAAGTTTTGTCTGTGACACTATTTGCGATTCCTGGCAGTGCTTTGTTTATGGCCGTGGTCGAAGTTCCAATATGGCACACCTTCCAGAAGCGGCATCAGAAGGAGATGTTGCTGGTAAGTCTGATGCCATCGCAACGGAGAAAAGCTTGAATGTACGTCCTTCAAGATCAAAGTGTAGACATGGACACATACATTATACAATAAACACAGACAACAGAGGCCTTGGACACTTGCATATGATCACCGGGTAAAGTGATCGAGTTGTGTGCCGAAGCGAGCGAGGGAAACCAGTGGCTCCGTACAAGGCTTCCCCATCAACCACCTGGCAAAATATGCTACAATCCTCTCCCTTCAGTCCTCAAATCTGTCTTGACCACCTGCTGGGTTAACCACTGACAAGGAGCCTACATGGAGCCCTTAATCAGAAATACTATCATTGCTGAAGCACAGCGTCTGAGATCTGGTGATGGGAGTGTGACGCTCGAGCACAGCAGTCTCTCAGAACAGGGACGGTCTCATTACATCTTCGTCGTCACCTTGGCAGATGGTTCCAAAATGATCGCTCGCGTAGCAAGAACACAAGGGAGTGAAAATCTCGAACGACGTGCAATCAACACTCTTGAGCACATTAAGGCCTCCAATACGGATTGCCAGGTCCCCCGAATTCATTGGCACAACCTCGATCAACCTCGAGAAGTTCCTCCAGTTATACTCGAAGATTTTATCCAGGGCAGATCGCTGAACGTCTGGAATTCAGCCATACCGGAAGAGCTCCAGCACGCTTTCTTGGACTCTCTTGCTCAGTTCCTCCTTGACCTTTGGTACATCGAGGCTCCAGAGAGCCCAAGCGCTTCGTCGACCGTAAGACCATACTCGAATTGGCTGGAGAACGAGATCGACAAGGCCATCCGCAGATGCATAACGGGCTCTGGCAAGTGGGGAACGGCCTCTGACTATCTGGTGATGCGATCTATGATCCCACAAATCGCTCACCGCTTTGACGACTTTCAAACTATCGGGATTGCGCATGGAGACATGAATGCGCACAATTTCATCGTGAACGAGAGGTTAAAATTGATGGGGTATGTTAACACAATTCATCTTTGATACCCAGCGTACTTACGATACAGTGTTGTTGATTGGGATTGGACATTTGAAGCTCCCCTGCCAGCCGTGGTCCAGTATCCGTGGTTCATCGCTGACGTACCAGGCTGGCATAACGACGGCGTAGAACTCGGAGAGACTTTTGAGCATAACAGAGACTATCTTGTGACAATGCTCAAAGTTAAGGAAGAAGCAACAAGGAAGATCGATACAGTATCCATCTTGCTTGGCCAAGCCTCAGAACGACAGAGATTTCAGTCGGCTATCAGTTACAGAGACATTCACAAAGAGTATGTCGTATCAGACCCCGTATTCCTGGAAGCAAAATCTGAGGATATCAGACCACAGCTGGAAGCGTTTCTGATGAAGCATCCGGAATTGAAGGAAAGTTCCACTGTTAAGCAGATTGAATGCGCCAACCAGATCGACTCGTCCCAATGAATGGTCAATCAAGATATATGATTAATATGATATGCTCAACCAGCTGACCATAATCGCGGCCCGAGACGAGTTGAGCCCATACGGAGTCGTCATCCATGCCTGCAATATGTTCATCCGCGCTACCGACCACAGAACGTTTCAAGTTTCGAAGCTGTGGTAGTATGTCGACTTCTTGTAGAGCAGCTACTCTTGTTGCAGAGGATTCAATCTCTTCCAACATTACCCCTTGTACAGGTTTAGTGCAGAGTGTTCACGAGCCGTCTCTGTTGTCGAAATTCATTACTTTCGGGACTAGAATAATCGTTATTCCCTTATGCAATCAATGCGTAACTGGTCGGATCTCGATGAGATGGTATGTATTGACAGCTTAACTCTCCTCGCTCTTACGTCTAACATCTTTTTCCAGATGACATACTACCTTGCCCACCAAGACGAAGCAATGGCAATCGCGCTAAACAACTACGCCACCTTCCACGAACGTTATCTCACTACAGCAGCAACGGCATACTACTGGCGTCGGTTATTCGCAGCATGGGCGAGCGTACAAGGCTTCAAACCGCAACTTTACGAAACACGTGCCGATGGCGAAGTGGTGATTCGAGGTATACCTTTCGAGGCTTATGCTTTGAATGCTGAAAAGCCGATGCCGAATCTCTAGATCGTTTTTTCGTCATTTTCTATGTTAGCCTGTTGTATTGATACCATCTGTCCTGTTCAACATAACATGTCTCCAAATCGAAATAAGATGTGTATGTATACGTCTAATTTATTGCACCACAGATATATGTGCGGGTGCAGTCATGAAGGAAGACAAGATTGGTCTGCATTATCGGAACCACCAATTGACAGAACCAATCATACCCTGACCAATACCCTTGATGCTATGCCACCATCCCTTAGGGATGAACAGCCCATCTCCAGGACCAACCTCGCATTGAAGGCCTTCAGCAGTCCAGAAAGCATCCGAATGAGGCTCCCAAACAGCCCGTTCTAGAGCTATACGTTCGGCACCTTCCATCATTTCGGCGCCTCTCATAGTGGCGTTCGCAGCCCCTCCAATACTAGCTTGGACATGATGAAAAATGGCATTACCCAAGTCTGGCTTGAAGAGGCGTATCTGCTTCCTGCCGGCCAGTTGGACAAACAGATTGGGATTGGGATCGCGGTGTAGAGGCGTATATGTTGGTGCTTGGCCTAGCCAGATACTTGTGTCATAGACATCGCCTTTGCCAGCTTTGAGCACAATCTCCGGAGTAGGCAGATCCTCCAGCAGAGAAGAGGGTAGGTCAGACAAAGAAGCCTGAGCTAGGTAAATACTGGCTTTGGTCTCGAGCTCAGTGGCGCTATAGTTGGTCAGCAAGCTGTTCCTAATCTCAAGACGCATGGATCACGCACTCGAGGAAGAACTGAAGAGGCTGGTGCACTTGAGCAAACTGGCCGCCTTCATTGGTGATCTCAAGAGGAACAACAGTCGAGCCCCATTTCTTTAGATAGGCAGTGTTGAGGATCGGGTGAGAAGGTGTCCCCGAGGAAGCATCAAACCATTTGGGAATGGCAGGTATCGATGAGAATGATCCTCGAGGCAGAAGAGATGGCACAGCAGGGATGAAGGCGTTGTCCCGAAAGGTGGTCAATGAGGCATCGCCGAGGATTGGTACAGCACGAAGACCAGATGGCTTGGAAGTGTAAGTTCTATTCTGTCGCAGAACATAGCATCGCAAAGAAGCAGATCTTGTTAGCATTTCCAGGATTCATGATTGGTGATGCATCTCGAGAATGTTGATGAAGGAGCATCGGGAAAGCCAAGACAAATGCTCATCATCGGCCGAGGTGCGGCAAGCTCCGCCAAATATTTGTTCGATGCGACAATGAGTCTAGATCAACTTTCACCATCTGACATCTTTTAAGTGTAACCCCAGATTTGTATAGACAAGATGGTCTACTATTTCACAAGTAACGTAATCTCGCCATCGGCGTACATTTACATGGGCAAGGACAAGGTCGAAAGTCAGCAATCACTCGTCGCATTCAACATACGAAGAAAGCGCTGACTGGCCTAGAGACGAGGACCTGATCGCTCACGGATGGGAAGAGGATGTCTGGGTATGGGAGACTGATATGCGCCGACACTCAAGATGCGCAGTCTGACCGATCAACCACAGTTCCACGTCGACAACCTTTCCAGTGCCCACGTCTACGTTCGTCTCCCCGAGGGAGAATCATGGGAGGACATCCCGAAGCCGCTTCTGGAAGACTGCGCACAGTTGACCAAGGCAAACTCGATTGAGGGTGAGGACGGCCATTCGCAAGCTTCAAGAGAATGGGACTGAGACGGAACAACAGGCAACAAGAAGGACAACATCACAATCATCTACACACCATGGTCGAACCTGAAGAAGGACGGCAGCATGGCCACCGGCCAGGTCGGCTTCAAGGACCAAAAGAAAGTCAAGCGTGTCTACGTCGCAAAGAGGGAGAACCCCATCGTCAACCGCCTGAACAAGACAAAGGTTGAAAAGTTCCCAGACTTCAGACAAGAGAAGGAAGACAGAGCAAGAGATTTGAGGAAGAAGGACCGGACTGTCATTGCAGCAAAGGTGCGACAAGCGACCTACCACCACAGGAGAGACGCTCTAGCTGACTCTTACACCAACAGGCAAAGGAAGAGGCTCGAATCGCAAGAGAAAGAAAAGAGTTGGCATACCAGAGAGATCACGCATACGATGAGTGGAACTCGGAGGAACAGGTCATGGCCTCTAGCAACCAGAACCGCGACTCGGACTGGGAGGATGACTTCATGTAGGGAAGACAAATCAACGAAACCAAAGGTAGTCGAGATATCAGAGTCGTAAGTCAGGTGAATGACACTCTAGCGTTATTCTTCGCGCATAATTCGACCAAGCACACCGGCTCTCACGTCCTCCTGCTCGAGTACTCGAGTAGTTACTGTCTCTGCTCTGAGCTTCTCCACATTTCGGGAAGCGCGTTCTAGCCATCTTCTGAGTGTTTGTTTTCTCTTTCGTCTTTTCTCCATCAACCCTTTGACCAACGAGCTCATCAACAAAATGGCCAAGTCATCTCACGCTGAATGTATTGCCACACCCACCGAACTCTACACTTTGCTCAATACCCTTGGCGCTGTGTCACATTGCCCACCGCTTCTAGCGCCATATTACGATATCAATACTTCTGCCGCTGAAGCAGCAGGCTACACACCAGAAGCTATCTCGCCGATGCGCGATTTACCATATCTCGACATCGAGCTCTACGACCGCGCATTCGAGCTCGAACCAAACACGTATCTAGTATCATATTTGAGTGCTGCAGACAAAGGCGATTTCGAATCTCTACACGAAATGCTGCATGATGAATTTATGCCATCTACAGCTTTGCGATTGCCCTTCCTGACCTACGGCCTATCTCTTGGTCTCTTCTTGCCCGGCGTATCTCATGATCAATCTGTGCAGTCACCTATCTCAAGACAAGCCTCTTCCTCACAATATCTTTGAAGCATCCAAGGGCTCAATATCAGAACGCACAAAACGAAGCTGTGCGCGATCCTCGAGCTTCAGCTACAAAGAGACACGGAGTTGTCAGCAACAACACGATCGAAATTCAGACACAACTCGACTTACTGAAGCAGGTGTATCGGTATCGAAAATAATCTTCCACTCGTCGAGGTCGCCAGTTTGCAACACATGTTTTGCGGCGTAATCGAACTTTGTTCTGAGCAAAGAAGCCAGCTTTCCGAAAGACGAGTTCCGGCGCATTTTGATCTCAAGCCTCTCGTATCCGCTTATGGGTTTCTCGACCATCAACATCACGGTAATTGTGGGTTCCAGCATTTCGGGGTCGGTGGCATAGCTAGTCATTGTCTGCAAGCTGTCAGTCTTGATTCATCAGAAACGGCTGTGCTGCGTTGTCTTGTTGGGGCCTTGGTGGCGGGAGTAGAGATCGTGGCATAATAATCCCGACATATCTGCCATCAACTCCAGGCAGGCGATACGCTTTTCCTTGATGTTCGAATTCGACTTACAGGGGCAGCGAACTGCATATCTGATGAACACGTATCAACACTCTCGTTGTCGAACATGTCTTCCGTCAGCTCGGGCATGATGCTGTACTTGAGGTATGATTCGAACGAATGATCAGAGCATGGTAGGTCGATAGATGCTTATATATCACAATCTCGCCCGTCTGGTGTGTTCTATCGTTTGCCTGTATCATGTATGATGCGGATCTGCCTTTGTTGCTGCTTGATATAGTCTGATTGGAACAATGATGTCGTACAACCGCTAGTCAATTCCGCTGTGTTCCTTTCTTGTCTCCTGTTCCTGCTTTGTCAGATCAAACATGGTAGGATCTGCATCAATGGCCAGCGAGATCTCGTTCAAAGCCGCCTCTCTGGAGCCTTCAATCCTTGTTTTCACATCTGGGACACAAGATCTTGAACCGCAACGTTAAGAGTGCGAGTTATTAAGGGTCACGCAAGCGGCAAATTCATCTTAGCATTTGTTTCAACCAACACCATCAAAAACAAAAGGCGAAAAGAACCGTCGCTCGAACGGATTGAACCGCCGTAATAATCGTAACAAAAACAAAAAGTTGACCACTGGTCCAGTCACCCAGCCACCACCTCAGCTACTCATACGATTTGTAGTTTTTTTTGGGGGGGGATTTTCTCGTCTGTGGCTGGTCTCTTCCGGGGCCAGTGGCCAGCAGATTGGAAAGGCGGTGTGTATATAAGGGTTTAGAAATTTGAGTGAAGGACTTGGTTCAAAAAGAAGATGGTGCGAATTTTGGTTTTTGGTCGGGATGGAATTGCTGGTTGCTCTTGTTGTGATGAGGTGTTGAGTTGTAACAGTTCTAGTGCTTTCTTTTCTTTGTTGTTTGTTGTTTCTTGACATTGATATGGTATATGATGGTGCTGTGCACCCGCGTGTACTGGAGACGTTCCCCCCGAGCCTATGTTTCCCTAGATGATGCCTTGATACAGCTTCAACACATTCAGGTATCATCGAAACGGGATCACATAAGTGACGACATTCCAGAACAAAGAGCTTCTGCAGCTGCAACATGAGTTTGTCACGCTCCACAGAAAGTCTTCGACACCTATTTGTAATTTTTATCCCTTTGAAGAGACCAGACGCCTAAGAGACCCGCACTCAAATTTCCCTTTCACAGCATCTTTGAAACATCCAAGGCCTCAGCACTAGCATAATCAAAACAGAAACTCGCACGATTCTTCAAGCCGAGCTACGTCAAGGTAACAAATATTAGCAATCGCAATCGACATGTTCAAACAGCGGCAAGTCTTACAGAAGCAGGCGTATCACTATCGAAGACGATCCGCCATCGACTAGCAACCGATCTCTTTGGAGCAACATCCAGTTGCAGAACACATTTTTCAATGGGATCGAATTTGGACTTTAGTATCCGGACCAGATCTCCAAAGAACATGTTTCGACGAAGCTTGATTTCGAGGTTTTTGAGTTCGCGGGACGACTTTACTGTCAGGCGGATTGTGATTGTGGGTTCGTGTTTCTGAACATTGATCGCTTCACCAGCGACAGTCTGCAAGCTATTAGTCGTTTAATCATCATTGGTATGGCATTTTACTCACGGATGTAGGGGTCATCATGCCAGTCGAAGACGCAGCAACGCTTTCGTTGTCAAACATATCCTTGGTCAAGTCATACATGATCATGTGTATCTGTGTCAGAAAGTCAGGTAGAATGAATCGGGAAAAGGTGTCAGACGGCGGCGAGTTCTTATGCCATCTATCCTGACTCTCCAGGTAGTCCTATCAAGCGGGGTCGTCTCTATTAAGATCTGAGTCTGAGCATGATTCGAGACTGTCGTAGTCATACGATCGCATGTGTCTGAGAAGTAAGAATACGAGATCGCTGACAATCGATCTGACTATTGACAGAACGTGAGCTTCGCGCCTTTATCTAAGGGACAATCAGACACCAATCTGACACCAACCTCAGACACCATTCTGTCCCAAGTTTGATATTGCCGCTATTTCCAATCTCCAAGCCAGATATGGCTCCACAAGATCAAATCGACAGATCTGTTTAACTTGATCACACACCAGTCACCTCATCCACTCAAGCCAAAGACATGTCCCACACCTCTACACCCCCCTTCCTCGCCACAAATCTCAACTTCGATCCATCAACCAAATCAATCTACCCATAAGACAAACCCCCAAAATCAGCATTCATTTCACATCTCTCCCTCGCAGCAAACATCAAAAACACTTACCATATCAGGCGTATCAGAGTCAAAAATCTCCAACTCCCTCGAAAGATCCGCCCAACGCAAAACATGATCTTGGGAAGAATGATATCTACGTCGAAGGCGTTTTACCAAAACACCCAAAGGCATGTCGCGGCGGAATTTGATTTGGATGTCATCTGTGGGGGCTCGGTGGTTGATCACTGAGGAGTGGGTGACCGTTACTTGAAGTACCACTGTCGTCTTTGGTGGTTTGAGGTTCGCCCATTCTGGACAGATTGTCTGGAGATGTGTCAAGTGGGCTCGAGAGCTGGTGGGATCGTTGCGGGAATGTACTGAGGTGGGGGTGTCTACTCCTGATTCAGGGGGAGTTGTCTCGTTGATAATCTGGTCAGTCATGTCGACCATGATGTTGTGTGACAAGGTTGATGGAGTGCAGCAGAGGAAACACCAAAGCTGTCTTGTCACTCCTTCAAGCTCTGGAAACATTAAAGCATCTCGTTTCCGTCATGCGGGGTCGTCTGTGTATCAAGGTTGGATCTGAGCATGATCTCCAGATAAGATTATCATTCGACCGCATCTGTTTCCACAAAAACCCTATACCAAGACGCGTGTTGCGCTAATTGTAGCAATAACCATCAATGTTTACAAACATGGGAAACCAACACAATCTTCACCTTAAAGAGAGACAGCTCCATTTCTCCGAAGCTCGACTTTACATCAGTCTACAGTGATGAATGCAGAGACGATTTTTCCTGAGGACGAGCTGTGTTCAGCCGGCGTAGCTTTTCGTGACGCTGCTCGGAACGAAACCACTGACACTATGGAACGATTGGTGTATCCTGAGCACACGCCAGATCTGGTCGAAGTAAGCAATGGATCCAATTTTCTCTGTAACAAGCACCAGCTCACAGAGACGCAGGAACGGTCGGAAGATAACTGGATCGATATCGACGTGATTGGCCGTCAAAACCAGGAAGATAACTTCGTGGCTGTGATGGTTGAAGCACAGAAGCGTGCCTCAGCACGCAAGATCGAAGAAGCCGAACACAATGCTGCTGAGATGACCAAACAATTGGAGAACATGCTCAAAGGTGCCTGTGAGGAAAGAGATGATGCAAAGGAGTTGTGTGGAAAACTTAAGGATGCCGCTTTCGAAGAGCGTCGACTCCTCGCAGACCAACTCAGCATCGCCAGAGCGGAATACGAAACAGTCAGAAATGAAGCACAAGATCTCGTACATCGTCTTCAAGCCGAGATGGACGCACAGCGTCTGCGACATACAGAGGCAATTGCAAATGCCAAATTGGAGTATCATGAATCTCTGGCATCTGCAAACCGCTATTATGAAGAACTCCAGATCATCCGAGGGCAAGAACAAGAAGCCCACCAACAACAACTCGACACCGCTAGCTCAGACTGGGAGGCGCGCACAAAGGAGACACAACAACATTGCGAGAACATCAAAGCCGAGATGGACACAGAACGTCTGCGCCACACTGAAACAATCGCCGATGCCAAATCTCTGGAATCCGCAGGACGCGAGTGTGAAGAACTTCGGGTTTCCTATGCGCAAGAGAGAGAAGAGCTGCGGGTATCCCACGATCTAGAGAAAGCAGCACATAAGTACCACGTCGAAACCATCAACTCCGAATGGAGAGCGCTCACCAGAGATGCACAACAATGTTGCGAGAACCTCAGGGCTGAGATGGATGAAGAACGTAAGAAGCATGTAAGGGTATGCGAAGACACCAGACTGGTCCACGAAACATACATGAGCTGCACAGTACGCCAACACGAACAGGAAAAGGCGGTGATACTCGAACAGCTGAAACATAGCTCGGAAATAGTCGAAACTCTGGAAGTCAAGATCCAGAACCATTGCCAGGCGATTGAAGAACTCAAGGAAGAGCTAATTACCCAGGTCAATGCCGCAACGCAGCGCAATGCTGATATCCAGTCACTTACGAGTGAACTTGCTTCTGTCCAAAGAGCACATGACGACATATTCTTGTTGTGGAAAGATCAGATCAGAAAGACTGAAGTTGAAGCCAAACGAGTGAGGCGACTGACCAGCGAACTCGATTTCGCTGCAAGCGATAAGATAATGCTTGAGAAAAAGGGTTCTTCAGTGGAAGACGAGTTTGAACGGGCACATGCATACCACTCGGACCCGGCAAACGTCAGATTACCCGATGACGAGATCGAGGAGGAACTAGCGGACAAGACCCAATCTCTCTGCGAAGATTGTGTTCGCCTCAAGTGGGAGAATACAGAGCATAGTATGATCATTGACGGCCTTGAAGTTGAGCTCATGGCAGCCCGGACCGAGACCTGGGAGACTCGACAAGAGCATATGGTAGAGATTGGTCGTCTGACCAACCCCTCTGAACACCCTCTCGTTGTCCGCGTCGTCGCTTACGCTAGTGACCTACGCCATGGATGGCGTGAAGTCGCTTTGATCAAGATGAATCCAGACACGTCATTCCAGAGTGTCCTGAAGAGTCTCCGCCAAAGCCATCCACGAAAGGTTTTGCAGGTTGAGGCTACTGGCAGGTTTGTCTTTGACTCAGACACGCCGACTCAAGTAAGTCATGACATTGTTTGGTGGTAGACCTGGATGCTGACATCTACAGCTGGGCCTCAAAGGTGGAGAAACCTTGCTTTTCTTCCAGGAGGGAGACGAGCCGAAAGTTATGCTAGATGCGACGATGGCCGTGATGAGTGATTGGAGGGGCAATAACGCCACCATTTGATGAGTCAAGGGTGTGCAAGATCGGTCGGATATATCGTGATATGAAGGTGTTGTGAACGGAGACGCGGAGTTGCCTGATGGTCGGGTTGTTTTTTCTTTGCTTTTTCCCGTTTGACTCGGATAGATAGGTATAGTAGTATCAATGGAGGAAGAAGACATCCTATGCTGAAGATTGCTACCTGTGAAAGAAGGTTCTGCTCGATGGATGATGGGATGTGAATGTGAAGTCTCGATCTCTTGAACGGGAAAGCCAGAGCGAATTCCAGTCAATGGGCTTGCGGAAGCCGCGAGGAACAGCCACGTTGCCCCAAGGAATGCTGTATGACTTGGCGAAGAGCAGCACAACTAGGGAAGGTACATTCACGACTCGAAACACGTCAGCGCAGATGATCAAACATAAAAAATTACATACCGCTATCTAGGCCTCGCGACACGGGTATACAGTCTATACAAAATTATCAACACAACAAATATGCAAATCATATACAGTTTCACCTTTTCCCACTTCCGCACTCAGCACATCGCGCATCAACCCCTGATATCTCCTTTCAAGCCACCTTCACCACCATGCGTAAATCTGTACACGAATGTGACTGTTACGGCGGCGAAGAGAAGAACACACAATGCGCTAGGGCCCCATTTGTCGTGGTAGGTGATGGCACGGCGGTTGCGGATTGATTGTACGCGGTAAAGGTAGAGACCCATACTGTAGCAAATGGCGAAGAGAGCGACGATGGTGAACGCCCAGGCAGAGGCCAGTGCGGTGGTATCACCGAAGTTGAGGAGTGTAGCAGCGATACTGCCGATGATGATGCTGAACTCGAGCTGGGACTGGTGTTAGTAGCGTCAAACAACCAAAGGTGTGGATATCAAAACTTACCCATGACAAGAAAGTACGCTCAGCTGCGAAGAAGACCTTGGGCTCGACACGTACGGGTACGTGAATCTTCTTGCCCTTGGGTGCCTTGTATCGCTTCTCACGAATCTGATCCGAGTTTCTGGCACTCGGGATTCCCATCGAGGCATCCCCATTGGAAGGCATGGCAGTAGGCTTGGGTACAGGTGCAGCAAGTCTGAAAGCGCTCGCAAGCTTGTCACCAACCTTGTCGGCATAGTGTGCCATCAACTTGCGACGGTAAGTCCAGCCACCGATGCGCTTTGCCTCTTCGAGGTCATCTTCCTCATCATCACTGTCATAGAGTGGGTAGTCATCTTCGTCAGCAAGAGGTCTGGCGGCCAAACGCTCTTCCTCGTCCAACGAGTTGGGGTCAGCACCTCCGTTAGTAGTGCCGTAATCCATGCGTTGAGCAATCTCGTGCTGCTCGAGCGCATCTCTGGCAGCTCGTAGGCGGCGGATGTTCTCGTTGTCATCGCCGTTGGGCAAGTCAGCAGCATCTTCCATCTCATCATCAGTGTCATCGTCCATCTGGCCGCTGGTGGAGATATCCGTGCTTTGTCCGGGACGCTCGATACCGAAGCGGTGAGAGACGGGCTTACGAATATCGACATCCATCTGAGGCATCCAGAAAGGCAGAAGGTCAATACGGGTAGGGTTCAGGGTTGCAGTGCCGTGGATGAACTTGGAGAACTTGGGAACAGCTTCTACCAGGTGGGAAGCGACAAGCTCACGAATCCACTCAGGGGGTTGTTGGCCGGCCTGTGTTTGCAGCTTGACTTCCAGAACAGCGTAGGGGAAACGCTCGGCATCTTCTGCGGGCAATTGACTGAACGGCCAGTCGATACCAATGTCCATGCGACGCCAGTTCTTGCCAGCACGATCGCGTCCATCAAGGTTGTCCTCACGAGTCATGGTCAACTCAGTGTCGAGCGAGACACGAACGCGGGCATCTCCAGGCAGCTGGAAGGCAGTACGGTTGTAGAAAGAGCGAGTGACGGGTTGCAGCTTGCGTGTGATGACGCGGTACTGAACCTCTCTAGCAAGCTGCTCGAGGTCGCTAATCTCCTTTTCGCTCTTCTTGCCGTCACGACGCATCTTCTCAAAGGCCTGCTCGACAGTGTAGTCGCCACGCATGAAGGCGTTCACGTTCTTCTCCTTAAGTGCGAAACGGGCCTTGACCGACTTCTCGCCTGTCCAGTCCTCTCTGTGCGTCTTGCGCTCCACAAAGATTGTGTCGACATTCATGTCACCGTACCATCTGAGACGAATGGCCTCGGCACCTTCAGTCTTCTTGAGACGGCCCTCATACAGCTCCCAGGTGTCGGTGTTGTCGTAGTAGATGGAGGAGATGGCTGAGTCCTTGATTTCGAATTCCTTGCTGGGGTTGAAGACGAGCACAGGCAAATGCTTGAGGATGATGAGCTTGAGCTCGGTGATGTTGTCCGGGTGGACCCAGTACTTTGTGGTTTGACGGACGAAGTTCTGCTGACTTCCACCGGCCGAGGAGTCGCCTTGAGTGGGGTTGCCACGAGTGCGGACTTGGTCGTAGAGTTGTGACAGACCGACAATTGACTGATCGTAGTTATCCTTGAAGAAGGGCTTTGCATTGAGACGAGCGGCGAAGAGAGGCTTCAGCTGTTGGTCGGGGTAGAGTTTGTCGTGCTTCTTGATAATCTTCTGGAAGCCAGTGTAGTTGAGCTGAGTGAACTTGGCCAAGTCGTGGACGTCGGCAATGATGTCGGACAGATCCTCTTCCAACATGGCAAAGTCTTCTTCGCTAGGGGCCTCATTGTTTCGCTGCTCTTCTGATTGACCTTGGGCAGCCTTTGCGCGTGTGATGACCTCGTTGACCTCGCGCTCGCTGATCTTGATACGGCGTTGAATCTCACCGCTCTTGACCTGCTGGAAGTTGGAGACCTTGTCCAGCTCAGCCTCGAGCTCGCTGTAGAAGCGGGTTTCGTGTTCGTCGTTCCATGCCTTCGAAGGCGGGTTCGGGTTCTCGGCTGTGGGCTTTGTTTGCGGTTCGGGCTGGAGGAGCCTCTTGAGCTCGTCGTATGAGATGTAGTAGTAGTACCAGTCTTTGATTAGAGAGCTTTGCAGCTGCTGGCCGAACCTGTTGACCTCAATTAGCTACAGTTTGCGGTGGGTGGGGCTGGTAGCCGTCGTGTGTTACGAACTTCATGATTGCGTCTTTGTCGCGCGCTTCCTTGCAGCAACTCGCGGGTGTCTGATGACTTCCTAGTTCTCGATAATACAGCACCCCTTGCTGAAGTAGTACGACAGTCGTTCGATTGAAAAAATCGCAGAGAAAATGTGCAATTCGTCCTGATGGAATAAATTGACCCTTTGGCCTGCTTGTACCGCTCCAGCCAATAAACGCTCGCACGTGTTTCGAGACGCCCGCCGACTCCACAAATTTTCTGTCTGTTCGAGCGTCACAATCAACCTGACAATCGTGAATCTCACACCATCTACGGAGTACTCGCATCTACTCGTATACACATCACATTTGCTATGCACAAGAAGTGTTTGTATCACAGTTTGTTACTCGCTGTAATTCTATGTTATCCACCTTATCCATAATCCGTCAAGCAGAAACCAGTCCTTGCCCGTCCCAGTCGTGCGAATTCGTTGCATGATGATCCATCCGATCATCCCATTTTCCTTCCCGAATCCCACACCATATGCCAATTCCCATTCGTTAATCACATTTGTGGAAGCTGCCATTCAATAGCTACTACTCCCAATCACTCTAGGAGGCGTAAGTCTGACCGAAGGTTGAAGGCTCAGTGCCGCTGATGAGGGCGCCGTCAGAGGCCATGAAGTAGCTGTAGCGCTCGACAAAGTCTTGGCTGTCCATCCAGGGCATGACATCTTCAAGGAAGGTTGCGACCTGGGAGTCAGAGGCGCCGGTGGGTGCGAACTCGGTGACCCAGACGGGCTTGCCGCCAGCCACGGTAGTGGCGTTCTGGACGTGCTCCTTGAAGTAGGCAGTGTTGGATGCGCTGTCATACCAGTGGATGCTGACGAAGTCGATCTGGCAGCCATCGCAGGCCTCGAGGAAGGCGCTGAGCCAGTTGAGTCCCATGCTACCACCACCGTTGGTAACGGCAGGGGCACCAAGCTTGGCCTGCCCGGCAAAGGGCATCATGTAGGTCTTGAAGGCCGAAGCCGCGTCTTCGGGAGACATGTTGGCTTGAGCGGTCATGTCGGGCTCGTTGAAAGACATCAGGTGAGTGGAGCCACTAGCAATGGCAGAAGTGGCGCGCTGGTTCCAGACTTCGGTGTGGCCGTTGGTGGTGCCCCAGAGAAGAGGAACGTAGTTGAAGCTGCTTGACAGGCCGGCGCTGTCAGAATCCCAGTTGTAACCCCAGGTGATGTGGTTGTTGTTCTCGAAGCAGGTGAGCAGAGAGGCGGTGTTGTATGCGAGACCACGCTTGCCATTGCCGGTGCTGCTTGACTGGGCAACAGCGGAGGACGAAGTTGAGGTGGCCTGGACTGAAGAGCTGCTGACAACGACGGCAGAGGTAGGTGCGACGTAGATGCTGGTGCTGGTAGTAGAGCTGGAGCTGGTCGAGACGGGAGCAACGGATGCCTGGCTGGTGGACTGAGCAGCGGCCGAGGTCTGAGCGGCCGAAGTTTGAGCGGCAGCGGTGGAAGCAGCATCAGTGGAGGAGCGAGTCCACTTGCGGTGACCCTTGTTCTGGAGCTCGAGGTCGACCGAGGCAAAGGCGCTGCTGGTAGGAACAGACACGACGGACACGGAGCTGCTGGCGGAAGTAGAGCTGCTTTCAAAGACCACGGCGCTGCTGAGAGCGACGGAGCTGCTGAAGAGGACGGCAGAACTGCTGTAGGGCTTGGTGCTGAAAGTGGTCTGGACAGCAGCGGCCTCGGCAGAAGAAGCATGGACAGTGACGGTGACGCGGTTGGTGTGGGTGACGCTCACTACAGAGTCAGTGCAGATGCTGGTAGAAACACCGGCGACCTCGGAGGAACCAGTGTGAGGACCAACAGCAGAAGGGTGAACGAAAGAGTGGGGGAGACCAGATGAAGCGACGAGACCGTTAGAGCTGACGGCAGTGCCAGTGCCCCAGATGCCAGTAGCGTTGGCCATGCCATAGGGAGCCCCAGTACCGGTAGCAACTCCAGAGGAGCCGAAGAAGTGCTTGTTGTGGCGGTGGTGCTTGCCGTGGTGACCACCGTGGTTGAAGCTGGGAATGGCGACGGCAGAGCCAGCAAGGGCCAGGATGGCGAACTTGGTGTTGACAGAAGACATCTTTTCAAGAGTGATGATGAGAAAGATAGAAAAACCTTCAAGATCTTTTGTTGTGAATTGGAAGAGCGTAAAAAAGTGCTGCTGCTAGAGCGCCTTGAACAAAAGCCTACCAGGGCTTAAGGGTTGCTGAAAGAAAGAGAGTGTAGTCTGTATAGACAAGGGAATGGAACGAGCGAATGCTCTTGAAAGAGTGTGATGGTAAGGTGGATGTGGTTGAGAGAGGAAGAAAAGTCGAGTCAAAGTGCGGCGGCTATTCTGATACTTATAAACGCGCACGCCGTGAAATCGTCTACTTTTCACAACATGCAGGTCCACGACAAACGCTCACTCGGCTCCGTGCTCTCTCGTCACTTCCTTCTTCACATGCAAAGCGGCAAAACTTCCTACAAAGCCTTCACAAGGGGTAGAATGACCACGCAATCAGGTACCCGTTTTCCACTCGGTGTACTGCAGAAGACACATCGAGCCGCGGACAGCTAATCGCTGGGGGCTACAGACTGGGGCGGCTGTCACATCGGGCCTAGAAGAACAAGGGGCACGCAAACGCTATTCGCTGATGGCTGATATGGGGCTTGCACGGATCACAAGTGTAGCGCATGTTGGAAGTGCTTGTGTGGCGCCCGTAGTTTGGATCGTATCCCGTTGCCCATGTGCGAGACGCTCAGAACGTTACAAGATGCCTTGCGAGATGATCAGTGAACTCTTTCGCCAGTGGACAAACTGGAGATTGAGGAGGAGGATGAAACGAAACGCACACCGTTCTCAGCCCGATGCCTCGGGTCTGCGGGAGATCGGCCAAGGATGGCACGCAAGACGGTCGGTTTCAGATTTGCGCCTTCTCGGCCTGGCCCGGTAACCTTCTCCAAAGAGCCGAAGTGATTGACAGGGGCAGAACAGTGTGTTCATGTTGCTCAACAATTGTCACTTGCATTCCAGCTGTTCAACGACAGCTCGACGCATGTATTGAAAATCAACCTTTAAGCCTGCTTCATGCTCTAGAATCTTACATGCGACGACACTTCTCATCTTGCCTGTTCTCCACGTGGCGAGTTGATTCAATTGTCCGGCGGCAAGGGAGCTTCTGGCGAGCCTTCTTCTCAGCAGGGAAGACTTGCCCGAGTGGCTCCACCACACCACGCAAAGTCCGGATCAAAGGCGTCGCCGAGGGGAAATGAAAGCCTCCGACAGCTCTCAAGATGCATTCGCAATCGCAGCACAGACGGACATCCACACCTCACCACATGGCCGATGTGGGTGGAGAGAAAGCAATAGTTCGCTTGATGCCTGCCGCAGGTGGAGCCTCAACGACAGGCAGAGAAGACGTGGAAGCATTTTTGCCTTTGATTAACAACGACTTCTAGTCCCCTTCAACTTACTCAGCTCGCCTTGTCCTCGGCGTTACGCATACAAGTACCTCTGTACCTTTCACGGGAAAGCCCACGACGAAAAGCAAATTGCCCAGACTCAAGGTAAGGGAAGTCATCTCTTGCTTTAGTCAAACGGATTCGCAGGAAATACCCTCATGTTGCCGCACGATGATGGGATTCGACTGAGACAATAACGTTTGAAGGCCGCACAAGCAGAACTAGAGTGATGTGCAAGGGGACGTCGTCGATAGCTTCGATATGCAGGAGTGACAGCCTTGCCGTGCCGTCTTACCTGGATCCGCGTAGCCCTACATGGCTCAACGACAGTAATCCGGACCCGGCACATTCATTGTCTAACCCATGTATCCTTGCATCAACCACGAAGATATCCTGCCGAGTCCCTGGTCTTCATCGCTCAGTCAGCTGGCTGGACAGCACATCAAGCATGGATCTCGAATATTGGAATATGCAAAGGCGGTTATATATCAGGAAGCATGACCAGCAAACGCGCCTCGAGCTGTGTATGGTCGCCTTATCTGGCTTCTGGCTTACCATTGACGCTCCCAAAGAGATTCATACTTGGCTGAAAATCGAGTTGCGGTCGTCCTGTCGGTCTGGAGTTGCGACACGGGCTACAAGCTCTTGTTGTGTAAATACTAATCCGTAACGAGCTGCCATACAACACGCGAGATTTCTTCGGACCTCATTTGCCGGTGCCATAATGAGCCGTGGTTTTTTAGATGTGTTCGTGAAGATCGCCTTGTTATCCACCCTCGTCCCCGTACAACGGTGCGACAGTGTCCGTCATAGAAAGTGGTGCACTGTGGTTTCGTCTTCTTCTTCTCTGCCTCGTTGTTTGGCAGAGGACTCATCAGTGTCGTCTATAATCAGTCAGGGTCATGACCACACCAACTCTATTGATCCTTCGCGTCCATCACACTTCAAGCCTCAATTAAGTAAGTTTAGACATCAATCCCTCGTTCCATACCATCCATCTGCGCGTCTCGACCACAAACTTGCGTAAAGGCATGTCATCTACATATAGGTAGCTAAGCATGTATGCCTTTCTTGCGTGTTCAACTAATAGTGCCGCGTAGCGAATCATGGGCTTTCTTCTGTACAAGCACGACCGCAACTGGGACAAAGCAACGACATGATCCCAATGATTCACGAGCTACTCGGCCTGCCAACGAAACATCATTCCAAGACGTCGAAATAACTACTACAAATCCACCAAACCACCATACAGCACTGTCAGAAAATCGGGTGCTAGAAGAAATCCAACGACTACAAGAAAAACTCAATCAGCTCAAGCATTCCATGTAGATTAATTGAACTTCTCCCAACAACTTTTTGCTATACTGACAAGGACACAAGCCCATCGAATACGCAATTAGAAACGTCAAAACCATCATCTCAAATCCTACAAGCACCTCCCACATCATCAACAACCACAAATCAAACCGCCACTATATCAGCCCCTGCACATCTCCCTCGCTGTTGGCTTCCTTGCTGCAACGGCCGCACTTTCTCTAACCAAAGCAATCTTGCCAGACATCAGCGAGAGAAGCGAGGCGGAGGTGCCAAGTTGAAATGTTCGTTTTGTGGTGTTGGGTTTAGTCGAAGTAGTGCGAGAGATAAACATGAAGCAGAGAGACGATGTCGGAATGGTAGCGCGAACAATGATATAGAAGACAGGTAGATGAGATTAAGATTACGGAGATTGCAACATAAATCATGCGCTCCTTCAATATGCCAAGATCCGATTATCGCCAAACGAGGAGCAAAAAGAAACTCTCGCTACGACGAGAAGCAAAAGAAACCACCCGCCAATAGGCGAGTGGAAAGAAACCGGCCAACCGATTCTCCTTATTACGCAGAGCGCCGCGGGTCTCGAACCCGCGACGCGTCGTTGTCGAGGGTGGTCCCCAGCCAGGTGCGCCACAGCGCCAGGGGCGAGGAAGCGAGTGACGCTCTCCTTGGCTGGAGACAAGAAGAGCAGAAGTTTTGGTGTATATGATGGTTGGGTGGAGCGCGGTGGAGAAGGGTCCAAGGTCAACAGTGCACATGGTGATCTTCCAAAATATTGGACCAACTGTCCTTGGGAAGTTGCGATCCCGCGGCATCAAACACCATTAGCGGTACTCTGAAACTGTTGTTCGTCATCTTAGACATAACTAGTCGACTCTAGCTTCGTCCAGTCTTATGGATCAGCAGAACGGCCATTGCACCTTTCATAACATGTCCTTGTGCGCAAGTTGGTGCTTATGACTTCTGTGCTGTGAGACCAGAGTGCTGCTCAGTCGTCGGCGGTGAAGTCACTTCTCATCGAGGGCTTCGGCGGTCCTAGAGCAGTCTCTGCCATGACGGTGTTGGGCATCACCGCTCGATACATGGCCAAAGATGTCACCATCTCGTACCAAGCCGTGAAGCACGGGAAGTGTGCTCTCCATTCCTTATCAAACACGTTCGCGAAGCCAAAGCTGACGAGGCCGGCGCAAAAGGGGTCAGCTAGTGTCAAACAGTCTGCTACAAGATATCTTCGGTCCTGTAGATGGTCTTCGAGGATTTGGATGACTTGGGCAGTCTGCTTCTTGGCCATCTCAACGCCTTCTGGCGAGTAAGGCGCTACGCCAAACAAGGGCATAATCCAAGCTGCCATCCGCTTTACGACGTCGGTATTGCAGAGTGACATCCAGCTGACGATGTGGATGAAGTCCATGTGAGTAGGTCCGAGCATTTTTGATTCAGGATCTTGACTAGCCACTGTACGGGTCTGGTCAGCTCTGGTATACAAAGTGGTATACCGAAGTTGGCCGACACGTACCATGAAGTGCAATAGCCATGCATTCGGTCAATACCGTGCCATCAGAGCCGACAAAAGTTGGCGTCTTGCCGAGCTTGTTCAGCTTGAGGTATTCTTCGGACAGTCCAACTTGTGGATTGGTCTCTACTACTTCAATATCGAAGTCTATGGCATGCGCTACTGCAAGAATACCAATCGACCTTGGGCCGCCCTACTGAATAGATGAGTAATGAACTACCTTAGACTGGATATGTAGCTAAGGACCACTTACCTTGTAGGTGTACAGCTTATTATGATTCATCGTGGGCGAAAATGTCAGCCCGCATCGGCCATCTCAAGCGGTGTCTGGGAAAACGGAAGAGCATAGAATTTGTTCATCATGAAAGTAGTTACTTGAAGAGGACGTCGTTGAAGCCTTGGGATTGATCCCTCGGTGATCTGCGGCGCCAAGCATGATCCGTCGGCATCCATCGGCATCCTCGCAATCCTACACAATTCTCCAACAAATACCACAATTGAATCAAGAACTCGAACAGACTTTCAGAAAACATGTTCAATAAACATTGGGTGGAGTCTAAACGCTGTGATTTGTTCTCTGAGACTGACTATGTCTATCCCTATTCATAAAACAAACGACATTATGAAATTGAGCGAGAGGCAGGTGCTATGCATATAATTTGTTACCTTCCGCATGGTGAATAACTTGATCATGAGGAAGTCATCCTTCGTCGGTGCTTCCTAGTCCAACACCGAATCAAGATTGATGGATCAGCCAGTCGCTATTGTATAAAGCAAGAGCTCCTACCTCGCTTTCCTCTTATCCCAAGCATCTCTCGCCTCTTCAACTTTTTGATCCCCTGTCATCTAAGATAATCTTATTACTTCTCTAGCAGTACCGAAAGCCGAGAATACACTCTGACCTATATCGAATTCAACGATGGTCAGCCTTGACATCGTACGCAAGTTCAACGGCAGCCTCAGCTCCAGGCTACCCCGTCCTGTGGCACTGTTCGTCGGAGGCACCAGCGGCATTGGGCGAAGCACACTACGCCAACTCGCTTTGAATACCAACGCACCCACGGCCTATATCGTCGGACGAAGCGAGAGCAATGCTCGACCGCTCCTCAAGGAGCTCGGCCAACTCAACCCTCTTGGCTCCTTCAAATTCATCGAAGCAGACGTGTCGCTCATTCGCAATGTGGACAAGATTTGCGAGGGCATCAAGACCAGAGAGAAGTCCCTCGATCTTCTGTTCATGACGCCTGGTGGACTTTCACTAGTTGGACGACGAGAGACGAGTGAGGGTCTTGACAAATTGTTTGCTTTGCGTTACTACGCTCGCATGCGTTTCGCACAAAAGCTTATGCCCTTGCTGGAAGCCGCAGAGCCAGCTCCTGGTCGTGTCGTCAGTGTGCTAGGTGGAGGTTTTGAAGGCAACATCAACCCGGACGACCTGGACCTCATCAAGGGCTACAACATTCTCAGCTGTGCCATGCACTCTGTCACCATGACCTCGCTGGCTATGGAGCATCTCGCCGCCTCACGCCGGGCCTCATTCGTGCACGTCTACCCGGGCTTGGTCGGCACCAACATTTACACCAACAGCTTCCCACCACCATTGGCTGCCGTCTACAACTATGGTATGTGGCCTCTGATGTACCCTTTCTCAGTCAACATTGACGAGAGCGGTGAGCGTCATCTGTTCCACGCCACATCTGAACGCTACCCTTCCAAGACGATTGGCAATGATCGCAGTCTTGCCGCCCGGAATGAGATTGATGTAGCCATGGGGTCCAACGGGACCTTTGGAAGTGGTGCATACTTGATGAACTGGAAGGGTGATATATCGGCGGCAGGAAAGAAGATGCAGAAGTTGAGGAAAGAAGGCATGGCCGAGAGGGTGTGGGAGCATACGACCAATCTTCTCGATCGCACTGTCCGGTAATCTGGAGACGATTGGCGGTCCAGATTGTGCATTACTAGTCGAACATCTTTGCTCCAGAGCGACAATGCACATTGAGCCGTATTCGGCACCTATGCTAGACCAAAAGCATTATGCCTCCTCATTAGTATTTGGTGAAACACCTCGCCTGGTTAACAATCTATTTCTGTTGCAATACTCGTAACCGTACCATACGATCTAGTCGAAAAACTGTATCATAGACTGTAAATTACCATCAAAGTCGAAGGTGCTCGTATTCAGATCCGTCCCGAACCAGTCATTTAGTTGAGCAATATCCAGACTCGCTGATGGTAGCGTATTGTTCAAATCGTATTGTGAGACGTTTGCGTTCGTATCCAGTGACTGCCATATTAGGTCGTCGCCGTTAGGCACAGAAAGTATTGCTGTTTCCCCGATCTCGGTGGAATGGGCTTGTTCGGGATCTTGCTGCTGCTCAGCTAAGGTTGTATCATGTGGATTCGTATCGAGTGGGGCTTCTTCCAGTGTCCAGACGTTGAGCCATGCTAGCTCTGATGGCATTGCATTGTTGTCGCAATGTCGTACCATTTCCTTCAACTCCCGAAGTTTGTTTGCAAGCCTCTGCATAGGCCACAGTGTTCTCCAACCACTGAACTTCTGCATCAAACGTGCGAGATAGTGGTTCATTTGTATGCTCTGCGTCTTTGGTACCATATCTGCAGGATCTGTAAGGCGTGTTGCTGCGAAGTGGAGTTTTATCAATACGATGGTGGCGTGTATAAGTCGTATGGAGTATGAAGTGGGTAGCGTGCGTATGGAAGATATGTCGAGGGATAGGAAAGTATCGAGTAAGTGATGGGCGGTTGTGGTGCAGTCGATGAATTGTGCTTGGTTGATAGGTGGTGACCCTGCACACATTGCCATCTCGTGCAGGTAGAGCGTTGCGAATGGATGGGCTAGCTGAAGTGGTTCTGTCCGATATCAGTACGCGTTCAGTCTGAGTCAGAGCAAGAGTCGTACCATTCCAAATGTCGATCGAGGACGCCCAGTCCGCAAGTTGACGCCTAAAAGCTCTGTACGTGACTTTCATAGCTGTAGGACCGAGAATGGAAGAACGTAGCTGCCCTTCAACATCTTCGAGGATATGCTGGAGGCGAACATGAGAGCATAGTATCTTGTCGGAACCCGGACTAGCAGGATGTATCTCCAGTACTTCCAGACACTCTTCCATTTGGCGGGTCCAGCGTATGATACCGGGCGTTTGCATCGCCATGGAAGTGCTGTTGAGTCAGCATCGACTTGAGTAGCGCAAAGAATTTCCAACGTACTGTGAGCAGACGTAATAGCAGGCCAACCAGGCTCTCCTTACTTCTAAGCTGGCAATTTGGTAATCACTAGCTGGACCACGCACACTGGATGACTGCATCGGCATAAAACCACTCCAAGAGTACTCTTTCAGTATATCACCCAATCCAATGCCGATAGCCATGTTCGCAGCTGCATTGCTAATCCAAAAGACATCCATTTGCTCTCCAATTTCCTCTGCCTCGACATCTCTATACCATATTGCCGAGATGATAAGGGCTTGTAGTGTCGACATGCTATACACGGCAGTCTCACGCAGAACTGTCGAGTATACCTGCATAAAGAGTTTTCGAAGCTGCCTGGACACTTCGATATTCCAGAAGCCATCGCCTGCGGCATCCAGGATTGCGAGGAAAAGGATGGGGTTGTTCTTGCGGGTGTCTGCTATGACGTTGTCGACTGGCAAAACCATGAAGGGGAAGGTTGGCAGCACGTTTGTTGTGAAGCGGTCGAATACCATGTTCGCAGTTTCGTCATCAATGGCTCGACCGATGGTCGCCTCAATCTGAACAACTGAGTGTTCGTGAGAAGTTGAGGAAAGATAATCCGGGGTTTCTTCCGCGTCCAAAGTGGCAGTTGCTGTAGGGTGACTCGCTCTTTCCGCAGTAGATTCATATATCAAAGCAGAAGCATCTGCACCTTTTCGTTGAAGATGATCCGTCAGAGCAGCCAGTCTCGTCTCAATCTCAGATATCGAGCGGCTGCCATCTCGCTTCTGCCTCTTATTCGACTCCTCAATGGGAAGACATGTGCGACCTTGTCTCCTACATCGCAGACATGGCTGTTCGTGATCAGGTTGTACACATCGCACTTTTGAACTTCGGCATCCTTGACATGCTTTACTCGGTTTCGCTTGATGATTTTCGGCAGGACGTTTTGTAGAGATCGGATCGGTGCCAGTGGACCTCGGAAGCATTGTCTATGCGTGATGGAGCAGCGCTAGCATTTCAATATGGAGCCCGCATTTGGTCGCCATTGGAAATGTTACTCCAATGTCATGAGGAGAGAAATTGGCGCAGCAGAGACTACCAGTGCATTGGCTAGAGTAAGTTGAATCCTTCGAGACGTCGAAGTGGGCCTGCGAGAGTCCGAGACGCGTCGTGCTATCTCTAATCTCCGTGTTACTTCCGGTCAGGGTTGTGCTTTAAGCTACTTGTGCAGAGGTCGGCGACGAGATTTTGGTTTCACGATAAGCTTAACAAGTTCCGATTCTGGTCCAAGCACATCCATATACTAATTTCCATATTCTCTGATTGGTAAACGTCACGATCCAAGGTCTGTTCATGGATCAAAGGTGAAAAAGATGATCTGAATCTCGGTCACACAGACAAAATTGGCCTCAAAGCAAGTAACAGATGCTGACGACTGTCAATGTGTGGACCAATTACTTCTGATCTCAAGCTATACTATCTTACATGTCTCTACCTGTCTGCCTCTACGGTCCAACAATGTTTCCTAGCATGATGCGACCCACTTACAATAACGATCTGAGACTCGCGAGCTCGGGACTCACAGCCTCCTTACTCTTCAATGTCAAGACAGCAGCCTTTTGCGCGATATCGATAAGCTCTTCAATCTTTGCATCCTTGCCCCGCTTAGCAAGACCGGCAATGATAGTGCCCAAGAAAGTGTCACCGACACCATTGACACTAATAATGTCCTTCTCCTCGACCATCTCAGCAGCAGGGAAGAGACGCATGTAGACACCACCGACGCCAGCAGATTCTTCGGGCAGGTTGAAGCAACGACTGAGGATGTACGGCGAAGATGCAGGATCTGACAGGCGCGGATCATCGGCAGGTAGAATTTGAGTGAGGAGCACACCATCCGCTCCGAGCTTAACGCAGATAGTCGGAATGAATGGCAGGAGCTGGATGGTCTGTTGAGGAATCCCGGCGTCCACGAGAGCAGAGTTCGTTGCCATAGTCATCGCTACACGAGCCCCTGTTGATGGGATCCCTAGAGCATCAATCACAGCCCACCAATCATTGCGGTCGAAGAAGCCAAGAGAGCGTGCTGCTGTATACATGGCTGATAACTCCATGGAGTTAGGAGTGCTCAGATGGATTGAAGGGTTGGGGAATACTTGCAGAGGTGTTCTGGGCGGGAGTTGAAAGATTTTGAGGGCCTTTGCTGTGCTCACAGGTTCAAAGGCGACGTGTGCGGAAATTGACTTTGCGGCCTCGAGCCAACGGGCCAAAGATGGTGGTTGCCAATTTGCATCCAAGACTAGATGAGTAGGCTTACTCTGTTGTAGTTGCGGCAGCCAAAAGTCGTTGAGTGTATCGCTTGCTGTGGATGTTGAAGTCGAAGGTTGTCCAGGCTTAGCTGCAGGCTCGTCCAGGATGTTCATGTCTGCCATAGCAATGACCAGATCTTTGCTAGCGTTGTTGACCGCGACATATTGGGCAGTACTGCTACCACTCTTGGTCTTGATACCACTGCTGTCTAGTCCTTCTGTCGCAAGCGCATCTAGAGCAGCTTTGCCTGAGAGATCGTCTCCGACAGAACTGCAAAGACGCACCGGATCACCTACAAGATTCGCTGCTCTGGCAACGTTATGAGCTACACCACCTAGTGACTGACCGATCTTGGCTGGGTTGGAGGTGTGCAAGACAGGTTCTTTGCTTGCGGTGGAAGAGATTGGAGCATAATCACAGGAGAAGTCAACAGCGAGTGCTCCGGCCACAAATACGGTTGGAGAGATTGCAGTATTGCTCTTAACCGAGCTAGAAACAGCCTTGGAGACACCGGAAGTCGTGTAGTTTGAGGAGCCAGGTCCGACTATCTGCGATTGTGGTGCTGGCTGAAACATTCTACCAAAGTCAGCCGAAGTGACTTGCAAGCCCAATCATACACTCACTCACGAAGCTTGATCTTGCTCGGTCTCAAGCTGTAGCTTCACAAGCTCAGCTGCGACCGACGTGCCTCTTCTGACGTTGTTCTCAATCAGAGCCTTGTTTGACTTGACACTGTTCTTTCCCGTCAAATCCTTGATCTTTGCAAGGATGAAAGGGGTGTTAGCAGCTCCAGTGGCACCAGCTTGTGCTGCTTCCTGAAGAGCTTCATCGATGACCTTGTCCATCTCGGCCTTTGCGATACTAAAAGCTTCAGGAATGGGGTTTGCAAAGAGCAATCCAGACTGCAAACCCAGTGACTTGTGCGCGTGAATGACTGCAGCGGCAACCTTCTCATCGTTCAAGATCATAGGGCTTTGAATGCCACTTTCTCTCGTCCAGAATGCAGGGAAATCGACCTTGCCTTCCCGGCCGTCAGCAAATGTGGCAACTGGTACGCCCTGAGTTTCGAGATATTCCAAAGTCCTTCCGATATCGAGGAAACTCTTGCAACCACTGCTGACGACAGCGACTGGAGTACGACCAAGCTCAGTCAAATCGGCTGAGATGTCCATGGTACTCTCAGCGCCTCTATGAACACCACCCAAGCCTCCTGTCGCGAAGACCTGGATGCCAGCCAAATGAGCCAAGATCATGGTACCCGCAACAGTTGTGCCGCCATTATAGCGTCTTCCAGGTGAACCCAGACCACAAGCAAAGCCGAGATCGCGTCGCGAAATCTTGAGAGTATCGGATTTGCCAGCAGCACCAGCAAGGCGGATGACTTCTTCAGCGTCCAGACCAACACGAGCTACGCCATCGAGAATACCAATGGTTGCAGGAACGCCACCACCAGCTCTGACAATGCTTTCTAGATGAGAAGCCAAGGCGATGTTGTCCGGATACGGGAAACCATGAGTGTAGATAGTGCTCTCAAGTGCGACAACGGGTCGATTTTCATGAATAGCTTGTTGGACCTCTTCAGAGACCTTCAGATAAGGACTCTTAGATGAGAGACGGCGAGTACCACGCAAAGTAGACGAGGATTGACGCCATGTCTGGCTAGATAGAGCACTTTGACGCAACCTGAACATTTACAACAAGCAGCAAGTGGAAAATCCTTCTGTTGGTCGGAGATTGCTGTAAAGAACGAAAGTCTTTCTGAACGAAGACGGTAGCAGAAACGATATTCTGACTACGGCGATAGAGAGAGTCCTTGAAGTTCGAGCTTGACGACGGAATAGTTATGTTGTGACGGAAGTACTTGGTGGATTGGTGGATGGAAGGCGTCGCGATTGGATGACGCGGCAGATCGGGGGAAGGTGGGCCGAGAGCGAGAGGCCACGCTTCCACCAAAGCTGGAGAGCTATCGGCTAGATGCTGCTGCTGCTGCTCCTCAGAATCTCACCAAACCAGTCAATCAACATGAGGAGTCTGAGTTTGCTCGCAGGCTGCGCCGCAGCTCTGCTTTCGTTCGCAAAGGCCGAGGCCAACCTCAGCAACCCCGACGTGTCCAAGCAGATGCTCAGCGGCACCTTCGAGCCGCCGCAGGTCTTCCAACATACCAACCTCGTTCGCACCGTCAACCTGGAGAAGGAATATCCGCGCGAGACAATCAATCTTGTTGTTGAGAACATCGACTCGAAGCCTCAGCAGGACTACTACCTGCCCTTCCCTCAGGACCTCATCGCCAGAGTCGGAGGTCTGGATGTCAAGGATAAGAACAAGCCCGACGCCATCTTCCCTAGCCCTGAGATTGTTGGCATTGACACATACAGGTGAGCCATTGCTACGTTTCTGTTCGTTCTTCATGCGCTAACAAGTCAGCCCAATCGAGTACTACCACATCAAGTTCCCCTCTGCCCTGGCTCCCAAGGAGAAGCTCACTCTGTCCATTACCTACTCGATTCTGTCCGCCCTGAGCCCTCTGCCCGCCACCATCAACCAGGCCGATAAGCAATATGTCCAGATTACCCTCAATGCATACACCAACTCGGCCTACAAGACCATCAAGCAAAAGACCAAGCTGAAGATGCCCACCAACGACGTCCCTGAGTACACTGTTGTTGGAACCAACGCCGAGGGCCAGCAAGATCCCGTCAAACAGGGCGTTACCTTCACATACGGTCCCTACGGCGAGGTTCCCGCTGGTGCCAACCAGCCCGTCTCGCTCAGATACGAGTTCACCAAGCCTCTCCTTCATGCCACTCTGGTCGAGCGCGACATTGAGGTCAGCCACTGGGGCGGTAACATTGCTACCGAGGAGCGTTACTGGCTCGAGAACAGAGGTGCCACCCTCAAGAATCAGTTTTCGCGTGTCCAATGGCAACAGACTCAGTACTTCAACCCTCCCACCTCGGCCCTCAAGGAGCTGGAGTACCCCCTCATCATTGGAAGTGCCAACCCTTACTTCATTGACGATATTGGTAACGTCAGCACTTCCCGCTTCCGTCCCAGAAACACCCCCAAGGAGGCTCTTCTGCAACTCAAGCCCCGTTACCCCGTCTTCGGTGGCTGGAAATACAGCTTCAAGGTCGGATGGGACAACGACCTCAAGAGCTTCCTGCGCAAGCTCAAGACTGGCGATGGTTACGTTCTCAAGGTTCCCTTCCTCGAGGGCCCCAAGCAGCCCGAGGGTCTTGAGATTGAGAAGCTGACCGTCAGAATTGTCCTCCCTGAGGGCGCAACGTGAGTCTTGCATTTCCCTTCAAATATTTCCTGCCCAAGCTAACATCAATACAGTAACATCAAGTTCGAGACCAAGGTCCCTATCATCTCGTCAGAGGTCAGCACACATCGCACTTTCATGGACACGATTGGCCGCTCGACTCTCAAGCTGACAGCACTGAACGTCGTCGACGACTTCCGCGGCAAGGATCTTGTCGTCACCTATGACTACCCCTTCCTCGCAGGCTTCAGGAAGCCAATTGTCATCTTCACATCCCTTATGGGCACATTCGGTGTCGCATATCTCATCAGCAGACTCGATGTCAGCATCGGCAGAAAAGCGTAGATTGTTCTTGTACAATTCAAAGTCGTTTCCCATTTATATCTATACATGTACGTGTATGTCATGCAGATTCTCAAGCAATCATCTATTTTACATGGCGGAGAGGGTAGGGGAGTTGAGAGGTATTATGGCGGCCTCGCAGAGGTTTCGTTGGTGATGCAGGCCAGCTGCGTTGGCGGAGTGGTTGTAAGACTTGATCAAGGCTTCTTTGTATGTTCGGTCTGAGTACCGTCGTCCCAGAACTCCATGTCACTCTCAGAGTCCAGGGCACCCTTCTTGAGGAGCTGGCCTTTTTGCGCAAGAATGTCTTCCAAGGTGATGGCCTTGTCGGAGAAGATCTAGATGCGTCAATAGCTGTCGCATGCGAGATTCGAGACTTGAATCACAAACCTTCAGGTGGTCGGCGATAAGGTGTCTGTTCTTGCAGCCCGGACATGTGATCAAGATGGTTCCATGGTGGTAGCCTTGCTTGGACATGCGGTGTGAAGAACGGGTAGAGCATGCCTTGCAAGTGAAGGTCATTTCATATGAAGGCACCTCCTCTCGCGGTTCGACCTTTGGAAGTTGGTCGGGACGGTCGGTCAAAGGCCTTGCTGTTGATTCACATCGTCGCTGTTGTAGTTGGAAGGCGGGAATGAGATGTGTAGAAGTGCGGAGGAGAGGCGGGAATGCCGACGAGGGTCGCGACGAGAGGTGACGGAGTTGTTGACGGCATGCCTGGGCGACTGGAGATTGGCGCAAGAAGGAGCGCTGCAGAGCACGGGCTGAAGATTGAAGACTCATGGCGTGCGAACTGAGGTGGAATAAATTGCTTGTGAGAATGGTGAGTGAGACGGAATTGACCAGGGTCGGCTGCGTCACTAGGCGGCGAGGAATTCTGCCACATGCCCCGTGCGTCGTGCTTTCCGAATGCGGCGGGCAGCTGCCAACTCGCTGCTGATGCGCCTCATGAGTGAAGGCACTTACTTATTCTCACCAATCAGTCACATGTCTCTATTCCACATCAGCTTCCCTTAAACCCCCCGTCTCACTTGAATCAAGTTCGGTTGGAGAAAGTCGCAGAAACCCGGCGACAAAGAAAGCGTGCGGCCAAAGCTGTCCGCTGTCACAACGGCCATCCGAACCCCGCCACCATCCAGACACTTGATCCAGCTCCGTGAATTATTTCACTCCAAAACACTCAACTATGAGCCACCGCGTGCGCACCAAGATCCGCGCTCCTAGAAGGGTGAGTGAAGTCCGACTTTTGCAACATTTACAACATCATCTACTCCGCTTGCGAAGCCTATTCTTCTCGGTCAAACTCTCATCGCACAACTCATACTAACATGACACGCAAACAGGGCGTGGCTGGAGCCAACGATGTCGACTTCGATGATACCTGGACCACCCTATCACACGCTTTCGGCGAAATTCACACCAAGAACGCCTCGGCCCTTTCCTTCGAACAGCTTTATCGCGCCGCTTACAAGATAGTATTGAAGAAGAAGGGCGACGAGTTGTACAAAAAGGTCTCCGAATTTGAGAAGCATTGGCTGTCTACCGCTGTTCGTCAAGACATCTCTCGTACTCTGGAGGGTACAATTCTTGCCAACAACCTGGACAACTCTGCCGACACGACTTCTACTGCTCCCGAACGTCGCGAGGCTGGCACTCGCTTCCTCGCCGCCCTGAAGACCGCATGGCAAGACCACCAGACTTCCATGAGCATGTTGACCGACGTTCTCATGTACATGGACCGTGTCTACTGCACAGACACCAGACAGCCTTCCATCTTCTCCAAGGCCATGAGTCTGTTCAGGGATAGCATCCTGTATCCGACCGCAATCACCGTGGGCGAGCAGTCCCGCACTTTCCTCGACGTTTTGAACCGCATCATTCTCGACCAAATTCACATGGACCGCGACGGTGACTACATCGACAAGTCCCTGATCAAGGCCAACACGTACATGCTGGAAGGCCTATTCGAGACGGACCAGGAAGGAGAAGATGAAAAGCTATACCTCACAAAATTCGAACTGAATTTCCTTGCCAGAAGCGCCGAATTCTACCGCGAAGAGAGTGCTAGACTTTTGAAAGATTCGGATGCTGGAACATATTGTCGCCATGTCAAGAGAAGGATAGATGAAGAAGCCGACCGCTGTCGTTCCACGCTCTCCGAATCAACCTCTTCGAAGATCATCAAGGTCGTCGAGGATGAGCTCATTCGTCAGCAAATCAAGGCCTTGATTGAGATGGACAGTGGTGTACAATTCATGATCACAAACGACAGGCACGACGATCTTGGTCTGGTCTTTGAGCTGGAAAGCCGAGTGGACCCCAAGAAGCCGGAGTTGACAAGAGCGGTCCAGAAGATCATTCAGGAGATGGGAACAAATGTCAACAGCAATGCCCTGAACCTATCGACCGGCCAGCCAGCTCCTGTAGAGGACGGAGAGAATAACACCGAGAAGGAAAAGGCGAAACCAGTGGAGAAGGTTGTCAATCAGCAGACTGTCGCAGCTCTCAAATGGGTCGAGGCTGTGCTGGAGTTGAAGGACCGCTTCGATCGCATCTGGAAGCTGGCTTTCAAGCAGGATCAGGTTTTGCAAACGGCCCAAACTCGCAGCTTCTCAGACACCATCAACGCTTTCCAACGAAGCTCCGAGTACATTTCCTTGTTCATCGACGACAACATGAAGAAGGGCATCAAGGGCAAGACAGAGGAGGAGATTGACGAAGTTCTTGAAAAAGCCATCACGTTGGTGCGCTACCTACAAGATAAAGATGTCTTCGAGACTTACTACAAGAAGCATCTCTGTAGGCGCTTACTTATGAATAAATCTGTCAGTATCGACGTTGAGAAGCAGATGATTTCCCGCATGAAGATCGAGCTTGGCAACAGCTTCACGGTCAAGATGGAAGCCATGTTCAAGGACATGACGCTCTCGGAAGAGCTCACATCAGGCTACCAGACATATGTCTCGAAGCTTGGCGACAACAGTTCGAGAAGAATCGACCTCAGCATCAACGTCCTCACCAGCATGACTTGGCCGATGGAGACCATGAAGGGACTCGATGAGGAGAGAGATGGTACAGTCAAGACTGTCTATCCTCCTGCTATCGAGAGGATCAAGACGAGCTTTGAACAATTCTACAGCACCAAATACTCCGGTCGTGTTCTTAGCTGGCAGGGAAGTATGGGCACAGCTGATATCAAAGCAACGTTCAAGGTCCCTGGCAAGGACGGCGGTCCCCCGAAAGTCAGAACGCACGAGCTCAATGTGTCAACCTATGCCATGATCGTCCTGACCCTGTTTAACGAACTGCCAGCCGACGAATCACTCACGTGCGAAGACATCCAGGCACAAACCAACATTCCACGAAATGAGTTGTTCAGAACATTGCAGTCGCTGGCAGTGGCACCCAAAACTCGTATTCTCACCAAGGAGCCGATGAGCAAGGACGTCAAACTCACTGACCGTTTCGCCTTCAACGAGAAGTTCACCTCCAAGTTCATCAAAGTCAAGGTCGGCGTCGTCTCAGCAGGCAATAAGGTTGAGAACGACAAGGAGCGCAAGGACACGGAAAAGAAGAACAACGACTCTCGTGGTTTCGTCATCGAGGCTGCCATCGTGCGCATTATGAAACAGCGAAAGGATTTGTCACACTCACAGCTGGTCACGGAAACGCTCACGCAGTTGAGTCAACAGTTCAAGCCTGATGTCACCATGATCAAGAAGAAGATCGAGAGCTTGATTGAGCGCGAGTACCTGGAGCGTATCGAAGATGCTAAGGTTCCTTCATACCGCTACCTTGCATAGACGTGTTTTCCTTCGCGCTTTTTATCCTGCATTTCGTTACCGGCGTACACATGGCAAAAAAAGGGGTTCACATCAAGCACTGGAGTTTTTTTTTCTGGAAGTTGAGCGCAAGATATGGCAATCTTGGAGGGAGGTCATGACGGAGCATTCACAGAGCGAATTGAGCAGCATCACCTTCCATATCATCCCTTTTCTTTCTTCAGGCGTCCAGGATGATATGGGAGAGGCTTGGGTGAAGGATATATTTTAGCAATGGCGCTCATGGTGTTTTTCTTTTTCTCTTCAGATGGATAGAGAAAAGGGCGAACGGTCACTTTTTCTCCTACAGGTCAAAGAACAAGAAGTTTTACAATCATTCTATACAAACTCTTCCTGTGCTGATGTTTGGGAGCTGACGAGTTGTACCGAAATTGAGCTCTGATTCTGCTGATGTGTGTTATGGATAGCTATCGAAGGGCGCATGTTGTTGATGACGGGATATAGGTTGACTGAGAGCAACATGCCTCCATATTCTCTACGGGAATGATCAATGTTGTATTTCCTGACTCGTTGGTACTGAGGAGTTATGGTTAGCTTATATAGCAACGTCTTGGCGCCATCTGAAACCATCGACTCGGCCGAGCTCTCCCAAACTACATTATCTGTTTTATCTCCCTCTCAACATCAATTGATGACCGTTTCCAAGTCAATTGCAACATGATGTCTTTCCTCACACGACCAGATGTACTGGCCTCCCTCGCAGCAGGCTATCTAGCAACAGCACACTACCTCCGCCACCACCGCCAAAAGCAAAAACACCACCAATACAACTACACCGCCAATCTTTCCGCAATAACTCTAGACCACGCCCAACAAATCCAACTCTACCTCTTCGAACTAGAATTCCCCTTTATCGCGCAAAAAGCATTGGAATTCGCTCTTTTCCGCACCTATGGCATCCCCAGCATCAGCGGTTTACTCATGCACACCAAACAATTGAGCACGAAAGCTCATTCTTCAAAACGTATGATCGATACGTCTGTTTTGATGTTGGAGGTTATTAAGAATCCGCCGGGGAGTAAGAGGGCGGTGGAGGCTTTGGCGAGGACGAATTTCTTGCATGGGTTGTATGGGGGGAGGATTTCTAATGAGGATTTGTTGTATACGTTGAGTTTGTTTTTGTTGGAGCCGGTTAGGTGGATCAATAGACATGAGTGGAGGCAATTAACTGACGTGGAAGTAGCAGCTATGGGATTGTTTTGGATGAAAGTTGGAGAGGGGATGAAGATTGATTATGATGTCTTGCCTGGAGCGAAGAGTGGTTGGAAAGATGGATTGCATTTTACGCGGGAATTGGAGAAGTGGTCGGATGAATATGAGGAGAGGAATATGGTGCCGGCGGAGAGCAATAAGGAGACTGCTGATCATACTACGGCGTTGCTGTTGTATGCTGTTCCTGATGCTTTCAAGGATGCTGGGAGGAAGGTTGTGAGTGCGTTGATGGATTCGCGTTTGAGGAAGGCCATGCTGTATGTTGATTCTGACACGTATGATGCGAAGATACTAACCTTTGATGGCAGATACCCCGATCCGTCCGCTATGCTACAATGGCTTGTAGACACAGGACTCGCAACAAGAAAGTTAGTACTGCGACATCTCACTCTACCAAGACCATTCGCCTGGCGCAAGCGGATTGTCGCAGACGATGTCAACGCACACGGTCGTATCTTCAAACTGATCTGGGACACAGAGCCATGGTAAGAAATCTTTCGGTACGATGTTGGAATGTCAAACTAACGACAATATTCAGGTACGTCGAACCAACATTTGCGAACCGCTGGTGTCTGCAATCTTGGGTAGACTGGATGGCAGGAAGACCCATACCAGGAGACGAAGGAGAGAAGTACTTTCCTCGAGGTTTCAAGTCATCGCATATGGGACCTGCATTTCTGGTAGGTAAAGGGCTTGCACAGGCAGAGAAGGACGAGGACCAGATACGGCAGATCATGAGGTGTGATGCTACTGTTAGCACTTGAGCACATTTCGAGCTCACGGAGGGGCGCTTAAGTGGCCCATCAAAGTGCAGAGCCTTTTCCAAGACAACAAGGTTGGCCAGTGTGAGCCTTGAACCAGATCAACTTGCTTTGGACAGACTGAGGGAAGTGCTGTGCCCTCTTCGGACTTTGCGCTGAGGTCGAAAACCATCTTAGATTTCATCATCGATCCTTTTCAGCACATCGGTCGAGTGGGATGCTCTCTTGGCGGTCCAATCGAGTCAAGATGCTCGAGTGTGCACCAAAGTCTGAGTATCGTCCTGCGGCCTTTCGCCTTGTAAATCACTTTATGAAGATACAGATAACGAGACCTCTGCATCATGTTGGGCCCGTGATCGTCAACCAGATGCACATACATCCTGGTAATGGAGATTGATCTGAAAGCGGCTGTACAATTGGGGTAACCCGTTTGTCGGAGATGTATGGAGCCTTCAAATCACTTGTCTCTCATCCGTAAAGTGCAAGAGATGGTCGGGCATCGACGAAGGATGGGTTTCAAGGGTCTCGTCGGCAGCACCTTCCGCTGCCGGACGGCAACTGGCGGTCGCGCACAGACCCGAAACCTTATCAGCCACGACAGGCATGACAGACGCCAACCTTTGCCATTCTCGACTTCACACCATCATGACGACCATCGATCTTCGAAAGCATCAACCAGCCTGCGAGATCGCATCCTTCCCAACTGTGTTTCGACTAATCGTGCTGATCGACTCCGGCAAGCAGGAGCACGAGGATATCAGGTCCGATACCACGGTTCAACGATTGAACACGCGTTGTGATTAGTGTTTCATCTTCCCAAGGCTCAGCCTGCTGATCACTATGGAACGATATACAAGTATCCAAACTCATTTGATGGCTGCACTCCGAGCTCGCAGCCCTATCACAAAGTTCTGGGGTCAATGCTTGGATACGAAATCTCATCCTAGAACAATCAAACATGGTTTTAGGATTCTCTGCTTCCAAAGTGGCATATCGGTTACCGTTGCTAAGGACACAAGCCCTACCCTCCGAGCGCTATCTAAGTCACCAACTCTCAGTCTCGTTTGATCAATAGTACGGGTTCGATGTACTCGTGCTTGCCTTTGAAGGCATAGTACACCAGTGCAATGATCATTACACCACCAAACATGGTTGATGACCAATTCATGTCAGTTGCTGTGACCGGCTGCGCTAACGGCCAGAACATGAAGAACCACACAGGCAGCAGTAAAGCTACTGCCGCTATGTTGATCCATAAACCAGCCTGTCCGAGGGACCATCGTCGACGCGGCAATGGAGCACCATACAGACGTCGCCATATCAAAGCACTGATAGCAATGATGTAGGACGTCAGGATTGCTACTCCACCTAGGGAGTTGATAGCATTCAGCGCTGCCGAACTGCCTAGGTTGATACAGGCAATGGCAGAAGTAACGACGAGAGAGACGCTAACAGCGCGAATGGGAATGTTCCAACCCGGCGTTACTGTCGCCAACCATCTTGAGCATGGCAAGCCTCCGTCGCGAGCAAAAGACCAAATCTGCCTCGAAGCTGTAGCCACTTCGCTGACGGCGTTGCACATCAGCATGATGATAATTGTTGCGCACATGGCGTTTGTCGCGCCATGGCTGTTCGTGGCATTGAAGAAGATCTGGATAAAAGGTTCGTTGGTTGGCGTCATGGCGATTGCATCTGGGTTACCGACAGTAAAACTCAAAGTTATACCCATGAGGAATGCCATCAGCGCGTTGGGTCCGACCGACCACACCATGGCTTTGGGTAATGTGATCGAAGCATCTCGAATCTCTTCAGCTGGGGGTTGATCAGTACTGAGTCCACGAGTAGTCTCAAGCGACTTACCCATGTGGACAGAACAGTCGAAACCAATCAAGACCGACAGGGGGCTTGCAGACATGCCAATCATAGCTGACAGACTTGTCGATGGCCAGCCTCCATTGTTGGTGAAGTTCAAAAGCGTATCGTATGAGTTGCGGCGAGGTCCCATGACCCAGAGAGGTATAATGATAGCAAAGAAGCCAAGCATATGAAGCAGCAGTGCTACGCCTTCGAGTACTGGGAGTTGCTCTGCCAGCACAGTGTTGAACATGATCGCTAATATCGCAACAGCAATCGTGATCAGAGTTACGTGCCAGGGCTGAGGATCGTAACTGTCCAAGTTCAAGATCATCAGACCTTGGATGATCCTTCCAATCATGAAGCAAACGCCTGCAAGGTACACTTGCCACCCTATCGCGCAGAGCCACCCTGTTGTATAGCTTAAAAGCTTTCTCACAGAAACAGGGGCACACTCCGACACCCAGTGGTACCTGTATACTGTAAGTATAAGTGCTAGCCACGGTTTGGGTCATACTCACTGTCCACCACTAGTGGGAGACATCGAAGCAAGTTCTGCGATGCTAGCATAAACCAGGCCCATGATGAATCCGACCACTATAAAGCCCCAGAACAGGATAGGTGTGCCTCCATCGGTCAGCACAAAGCTCCAGAGTCTGGGAAATGGTTAGCTGACATGATTAGAACAGATCGTATTGTTTCTTACGGCAGTAAAAGTTCCCATGAAGACATCACAGTGCTGGCAAATCCTAGCATTGTCACGAATCTGAAGTTGCGCTGACACTATTAGTGCGATGCATCCTTCAGCGGTTGACTATATACTTACCCGCAGCTCTTGCGGTTTACCAAGCATAGCCATGTCTTTCTGGTCTGCATGTGTTCCTCTGAACCGAGGAGGAACAGTTATGACCGCCGCATTCTTCTCTCCATCAGAAACGAAGCTAGGCGAGATGTTGACACCAGGCGGTTTAAAATACATGGCCACAGGAAGAATGCTGGGATGAGAAGTTGTCACAATGGCCAGAAGGATGGAGAACAATTCGTTGTGACAATGAAGGCAAGCACTTCAATCTGGAATCATCTTCTACTAAGTACGTCGAAGGGGCAGTGAACCCTACGCAATGACTTGAGAATCTTGACAACTCAGCCTTCAAGCACACGGCATATGCCCTAAGAGCATCGATAAAAACTCGGTCATGAAGGAGTCAGAAAATTGATCTCCACTCAGCATCTTTTTTGGTGCGCAGTTAATGATCTACGGAAGATGTTGGAGCGATTTTTCTGACCGTTGAACCTGATATGGATGTAGAAAATCTGCTTTGAGAGGCAAGATAGGGCGAGAGGACGTGATGTTGGGGACCCCCGGCGTTTCACGGACAAGACCCGGGTCCTTGCGAACGTGTTGCAGTGACCCACCTCCGCACGGGGAAGGGTTCATATCAGGAAGTGATCATCTCGGCCCGCGAATCATAACACACTTCTTGCACGAAGGATGGAAGCGTAAACCTACTTCACAGGACAGGATATCTAATCACCGACCACTCTACCAACTAAGATCAAGCATAATATGCTTACGAGCAACTAACTTTCCTCGCAACATCCCTGATACCTTGAACCCTAAGAACTTTTGCGGATCTTTCTCTTGGTCCAAATGAAGAGCAAGGCTCTTCCCAACTGAATGGTTGCGTGTCTGATCTCTGCAAACCATTATAACGACATCGACTTGCATTTCTTTCGGCGAAATGTCACCTCTTCTGAGCCCATACATTGTTCAACTAGATGGCGCTACTTAGGCATCCCGCGTACTTGGTACCTCCTGGAAACTCGCCTCCCTTTGCTGCGGTGACAGAACATGATCATGCAGCATGGGTCATCATTGCGACTGCATTAGGTCTTTCTTGGAGCCTCACGTTCGGAGTGATGAGGCTCATAGTCCGAGCCACTACTAGACAACGGCACGGTTATGATGACTATGCTCTTGCAATATCAACAGTATGTCCAATCTTGCTGGAGCAATCAATGTCTACAGCTGCTCACCATGATCATCAGTTCCTGGCTGTCATTCAATCCGCGATCGTACTCGGTGCTTGCGCGAATGGCCTTGGCAAATCAATCCATCTTTTAACGCCTGATCAGATTGAGAAGGTGCAACAGGTGAGCACTCCCCTGCCTTGACCAGGATTATGACTAACGTAGGTTATCAGATGACATACACGGGAATGCTCTTTTGGATTCTGTCCATCGGCGCGTCGAAGCTATCTGTTGCACTCTTTCTGCTCCGCCTGACTCCAGTCTGTACCCACAGAAGAGTCTATCAAACCTTCATTGCAATCCTCGTGGTCTGGATTATCGTGTATATTTTCGCTTTCGCTTTACAGTGCGATCTATCTGAGCCTTGGATCACTATCGGCGCAAGTTGTCCTGGAGTGGTAAGCATATCTACATTGGTTACTCTTGGTGTCATCGCTAATTACATGTGAATAGTACGAACGATGGCAGACATTTTGTGCCTTGGACATCTTGTCTGAGATCGCACTGGTCTGTATGACTGTCTATCTAGTCTGGGATCTCAAGAGCTCGACATCCGCCAAAGTAAAGATCATCTTTGCCTTTAGTTTCCGTCTTCCGTAAGTTCTTGGAGCTATTGTATCAACGGCTCGATGCGACTAACACACGCAACAGTCAAATCATTGCCATCGCCTACAGACTCAAGACATTCCCCTTGGATGGATTACTGACGGATCCCACCCTCACGGAAAGTGAACTCGTTGTGTGGACACAGACAGAACTCAACTACTCCCTCATGTCAGCCACAATCCCCTGTCTCCGAACCTTCGTCAGCAGTCTCTCCACCAACTACGGCTCCATCCGCGACCCAAAAGCCGCCCACACATTCACCTTCTCCGACACCGTCACTAGCCGCACCCACTCCGACGCCGCCATGGCCAGCCAAAGCTTTCAAATGAACACCTTGAAATCTGTCGAGCAGGCTCACACTTCCACACATGTACCTGCCACGCTGCAAGAAGAGGATGGGTATAGTTATGGTATCAGAGGGCCTACGCCTGGAGGCGCTGAGAGCGTGAAGGCGAGAGATGTGGTTAGATTGCCTAGTATGCAGAAGGATAATGAGAGTACGGATAGGACTAGCATGGGGAGTAATGATAGTCAGAGGATGATCATTAAGAAAGAGGTCACGTGGACTTTTGAGAGGAATAAGGAGTGGTAGATATGTTGTTAAGGAGTGTATTGGAACGCTGATTGTTGCGTTGATTCGTCCTAGCTAGGACTGTTCATCATTCGTCCATATTTGCTGTCTCTGCCACTGAAAACGATGACATTGACTAGCTGATGACTTTAAAACTGAAAGACGCATGTCCTCATCTTCCCTCAGAGCCCTTTGGTGCGAAGCTTCTCCTCTGCTCGAAAATTAGTTATAATTCTCACAATTCACAAAATCTTCCTTACCAGCTCACGCCATCACTTATACTTAGCAGCAATGACTCCAACGACAGACGCGCAAGTCAATTCAAACAGGACGCGAAGAGATGCCTCTGGTGTGATTATGGTTGGGTGGGCACCCCGGAGAAGCACCTTGTTACCCTTGCTGGGGTGAGTGACCAGTAGAGCACAGTATTGGTGATTGAGGTTGTTGAACCCTTGATAGTTGATCTTCCTCAATTCCTCCGGAGTCTTCTTGCGGTATTCGATGATGATCAGCGCATCTGCGTTTGCGGGACTGATGAGGCGATAGTTCTCTTCGTATGAAGTTAGCGCGTGGAAGTTTTGACTAAGATCTGCGTGGAACTGACCGAGGATCTGGGTACGCAGACCATTAAATTCGATGTTTGAATCCATGATGGTTGTTTCGTAGGTGCAGTTGGTTGGAAAAGATATCCTGGAATTGACATGAGGATCACAGAGTTGATATAGGTTAATGAGCTCTTTGTGACATGTTTGCTAGTACAAAATGTGTTTGCTCATGGACGTGAATGGTAGTCTCAGGAGATGACCATCTCAGGCATAGATAAAGCATGTCTTTCACCTTTGTATGCGAAGCAGACCCCGCAGTTCTCTGGCGAGAAATAGACAGACTGATCAGGGAAGAACACACAATCATATCGGGCTCGAAAGTGTAGCAAGCAAAAGGAATGATCGTATTGTATTCAATGTGAAGATAAAACTTTTTTCATCCTTACAAAAGGGAGTGGTTTGCTTAACGGAAAGTGGGATAAGAAGGTGGGAGATGATGAAGCGACAAAGCAAGCGGACGATGAAATATTGTTTTTTTGTAGATGGAAGAAGGAAGTGATTACAAGCATGCTTTCCATGAGAATCGGGACAGCTTGTCGGAGACGAAAGGTATAAAACACAAAAGTGGAAAGAGCGACTCCAAAGATTCTGTCTAAGAAACCCAAAACAATTCATCGAAGACAAAGGGCGAAGAGTGTATAGCACGAGAGTGGAAGGAGCGGCCGGAAAACGAACACCAGCAAGAAGAACTTCTGAACCAAGTGAAAATTACAGCACAACAACACCAACAAATACAGCGAGCTTCCAAAGAGCAAAAAAAGAATAAGCACCGTAGGCAGGATTCGAACCTGCGACCACCTGTGTTCATCGGGACCACGTTTGGATGAAAGAATGCGCACGTGCCCGAACATAACACGAAGTATGCTACCACTACACCACCACGGCTGACTATTGTAAGGGACAAGAAATATCTAGTATATAAAGGTAGGCGCAAGGTAAGCGGCGGTGAGTCTGGTGGCGGAAAGGTGCGGGAGTTTTAGGGAGTTGTGACGATGGAGAAGCCTGGTGAGTCAGGTATCCAGGCTAGAAGCCACGAGATGCAGGAAGTCGTCTAAGGCAAGACGATCTTGATAACGTGGTGACAGGAGATGACGGGTAGTGTGATACGTATTAACAGATGAAGAAAAGCAGATAAATGCCGATGGCGGAACACGAGATGGTTTGGAGACATGCAAGAGCGACCCAGCAGAACTTACCTCGTCACATTATGCTGTGCAAGCGATCGAGACAAACCCACCTTAATACTATCACTGAGCAACACCAAGTTGAGAAATCTTTCCTGACACAGTTTGGTTATTGATATATCCATTTGTTCTTCGCCATGCTATGTTTTCATACCGACATACAATTACAGGCGACTAGAAGCAGCACCTTGTCCTTTAGGCATCTTCTTGTCAACACCCAATGCTTCGACATCCTTGGGTTTGTAATAATGTGGCGCAACTTCTGACAGCCACTCTGGCTGGAGTGGGAAGCATGATCGCATGAACTCCTTGCTGGTGAGAACGAGTTCGTGGTAGATGGTCCACTTGGGGCGGTTTCCGGTCGCGGCCAGCACAGATGAAGGATGCAACCAAGTCGTTTGGTTGTTCTTGACAGTACGGTAACTGTCTCCTCCTCTTTGGATGCGTGCCGCATTGGGGAAGAAGCCCGCAGTGAGGGCCTTGAGGATTGGTGGGATGTTGCTTGCTCCACATGAGCTCACTGTAACTTCAACACGGTCGCAAAGCTTTGCCAGCTGATCACGCACATCTCTGGCGCGCGTGAGACTTCGTTGTTGGAGGAAGTTCTCCTTTGCCCAAACTTGGGAGAAGTCAGAGTCCACCCATTGGTTCCAGATGTTGAGATACGTAAGGTGATCACCACCATCCTTGACAGTGAAGCGTTCTCTGGTGGTGTCTGCTTGCGTCTTCTTATCTTTTGGTCGATAAAACAGTGCACTTGCTTCACCAAGCATGGAGACGATAGATAATACTTCTTCAACGCATCCCTCTTTGTCCGCTGCGAGAATTGCTTTCGCCAGCAAGGGATCTGTAGGGAACTCGGCCATTTGACGACCAACGCGGGTAAGTTCTCCTTTATCGTTCAGTGCCCCCAAGGCGTACAGCTGTTCCAGCGATCTGATGAGCATATCTGGTGATGGCGGATCCAGGAACTCGAAATTGAGCAAATCATTGATACCAAGCGATTTCAGAAGCAATACCACACTTGTGAGGTTAGTTCTCTGAATCTCGGGAGTAGTCGATTCTGGTAGATCGTTGTAGAAGGCCCATTTTGTGTAGAGACGGAAGCATTTACCGGGCCCGGTACGACCTGCTCTTCCTGCACGCTGATTCGCAGAGGCGCGCGAGATTGGCACCGCTACCAGACTCTCCATGTTGGTGGCGGGGGTATATCGGTTCTCCTTGACATATCCAGGATCGATGACATAGACAATGTTATCGATCGTCAAACTTGTCTCAGCAATATTGGTGGCCAGAACGACTTTGCGTACCTTTGGCGGCGTAGGTTCGAAAATACGATTCTGCATATCGGTAGGCAAATTCGCGTAGATGGGACATATCATCAACTCTCCAGCGGCAGCTCCAAGTTTTCGAGCAGTTTCTTGAAGTGATTCATTCGCTTGCTCAATCTCGTCTTGTCCAGTCAAGAAGACTAGAATATCGCCAGGCATCGGTTGCGAAAGGTGAATTTGAAAGACAGTCGTGATGGCAGCTGACAGGTAGTTGGCTTCTGGTTGCATGCTGTAGTTCATTTCGACGTCGAATGTTCTTCCGGGAATATTCATGATAGGCGCATCATCAAAGTATGATGAGAACTTCTGTGCATCGAGTGTGGCCGACGAGATGAGGATCTTCAAGTCTGGTCTACCACGCGCAATGTCCTTGATAAGACCGAAGAGAATATCGGTGTGCAGTGTGCGTTCGTGGGCCTCGTCAATCATCAAAGCAGAATATTTACCAAGGTCCGGCTCCGTCAAGAACTCACGAAGCAACATACCGTCAGTCATATACTTGAGGATAGTCTTATCGCTCGTTGCATCCTCGAATCGAATAGAGTATCCAACCTCATTACCGACTTTGACGCCCATTTCTTCTGCCACACGAGTGGCAACGGACATGGCAGCAACTCTACGAGGTTGAGTACAACCAACCATCTTGCCGTCTTTGGTCATGCCGTGCTCATGTAAGTATTGTGGCAGTTGAGTGGTCTTTCCAGATCCAGTTTCTCCGACGACGATCAAGACTTGATATTTGTCGACGGCAGCCAGAAACTCGTTCCGGTATGTGTAGACAGGCAAAGTCTTGCGCTTCTCTTCGATAGTCTTCGCTTTCCTTTCAGCAGCGACAAGCTGTTGGGTAAGTTGGCGTTCTTCTGCGGTCTGCTGCTGCAAGCTACCAGACATGACGCGGTCAGTCATCCATTGTATTTGCTGGTCCTGATCGAAGACGTATTCGTAGTCGGCCTCGTTCACGCGTTCAGAGACCATGATTTGAGCCTTTGTCTTGGCGAGTTGTTCGTTCTCCCATTCTTCATGTTCTGTGACGAAGCGTTCTCTTCCGTATTCATCGCGATCAACGTGACGACTGTTCAAAGCATCTGCTTTAGCCTTTCGACTGATCTTGCCTTTTTCAGTAATGTAGTCATCTGGTAAGGCATATCCCTCAAGATGGTCGTCGATGCGTAGACGCTCTTCAGCGATTTCTAGCGTCCTCTTATTCTTCTCGAACTCGGCCTTTTCCTGAGCTGTGAGTAACGGATTCTCACGAAGTTCCATCTGCTCCTCAGCGACTTGCTTGCGAAGCAGGGCTAGTTCTTGAGCCTCTCTCTTCTTGAGATAGTCCTGACGAGAGCGTAATCTGATGTCCTCGAGTTGTGCCTTTCTCTGGTTGGGGTCATCGGCTAGGGCGCGTCTGGATGCTGAATCGTGTTTTGAGCGGTCCTCGACGATCTTTTTGGTGCCACGTTCATCTCTTTCTTTCAGACGCTTCTCAAAAGCGATGCGCTCCTTGCGATCGCGTTCTTCTTCGTCCTCTTCAGGTGAAGCAGAACGGCGGCGTGGGGAGGCGGAACCGTCGTCCAGTCGTGCACGCTTGAAGGCTGATGGGCGTGGCTGCTCCTCTTCCCCCTCCTCTTCCTCATCATGGTCTTCATCGCCCCAGCGGTCGTCGAAATCTTGCTTGTCTCGTTGGCGCAAACGCTTTGTATGGCGATCGTGGCGATCATGGCGGTCGGAGCGTTCCTTTTTGTCTTCTGTACGATCGCGGCGGCGAGTGGTTGGTGGTGGTGCGGCTACTGAAGGTTCGTCCTCAACTTCCATGTCGAGAAGGGCATATCTCTTCTTTGAATCCTTCTGTGGGGCATCTTTGGGCCGAGAAGTGGTGGAGGACTTGGACGAGTTCGGTAGACGAGCAAAGAGTTGGTGACTGAAAGTGCGCAAGTCCTTGTCGTCGGCATCGATCATGGCCTGGAGCTTGTCGTTCAGCTGGTCTGGGTTCTTGACCGAGCTGGCCGTCTGCTGTACAAAGTCGATGATCATGCTCTCGGACCCGCCGACCAGCTTGATCAAGTTGTCCGATATAAAGGTTCGTACGTCCATGGTGATTGTTCCAGGACCCAGGATCCACTTGAGCAAGGTCGTGTGCAAAGAAGAGAGGTGTTTCGGCCAGAAACATGTCTGGATGCGCAGCCGAATCTTGCCAAGCGTGCGTCACTGATCGAGCATGGAATCGCTACAACTGTTCCTCTTCAGAATAACTAATAAACTAGCAACATATATCTTTATAGCATATGACCAAGACGGGAGGTGGACACTGACTCCTAATCGGTAAATTACTGAAGTGCCGCTTGTTGGTTGAAGAACACCACCTTCTTTGGTGCCAAGACAGGGCATACCAAAGGCCTAAGTTGGAGCTTCCGGCCAAGATCGCGACCATCTTTGTCGTCAACAACCATGTTCACTTTCACGCCGCTGCTGGGCGCGCAGTCTGAATCGGCAGCTTCGCAGTCGTTGTTGGAACTGGATGGAGGTGTCAAGATCCTTGTCGACGTCGGATGGGACGAGTCCTTGGACGCCGACAAGCTCGTCCACATTGAGCAGTAAGCACTACCGCCTACTCCTTCCTCTTTTCTGTGACGATAGACTGATTGTCAATATAGGAACGTGTCTACAATCTCGCTCGTCCTTCTTACACACCCTACGCTGAACCATCTGGGCGCGTTCGCGCATTGCTGCAAACACATTCCGCTATTCGCATCTATCCCCGTTTATGCTACCACCCCCGTCATCTCTCTCGGTCGCACTCTCATCCAAGATCTGTATGCTTCCGCCGCCCATCAAGCCTCCATTGTACCCGCCTCCGCCCTGGCAGAGTCACTGTCCAAGTCGCAAGTGCCTGCCAACTTCCTACTCCAACCTCCCACCGCCGACGAGATTGCCTCATATTTCTCCTTGATCAACCCTCTCAAGTACTCACAACCTCACCAACCGATTCCCTCGCCCTTTTCTCCTCCTCTGCAAGGCCTCACCATCACTGCCTATAACGCCGGTCACACTCTGGGTGGAACCATCTGGCATCTTCAACATGGCCTCGAATCTATCGTCTACGCCGTCGACTGGAATCAGGCGAAAGAGAATGTTTTGTCAGGTGCCGCTTGGTTGGGAGGTGCAGGTGGAGGTGCTGAGGTTATCGAACAACTACGCAGACCCACTGCACTAGTCTGCAGTACAAAGGGTGCCGATCGTTCTCACCTCGCTGGTGGCCGCAAGAAGCGCGACGATGCTCTTCTCGCTCTGATCAATCAAACAATCTCCAACGGTGGTACCGTGCTCATTCCCACCGACTCTAGCGCTCGCATGCTCGAACTGGCTTACATTCTCGAACACCACTGGCGACAAGGTTCCAATGGTCCAAACCAAGAACTCTACCGTAACACAAAGCTAGCATTTGCTGCCAAGTCCGCTTCCGCTACGCTCAGGTATGCTCGTAGTATGATCGAATGGATGGATGATGCCATCGTACGTGAAATGGAGGCTGCTGTCCAAGGAAAATCCGAAAACAACCAAAGAAGCCAGACTGGTCGTGATGAGGACACTCCCTTCGACCTGAAATATCTCAAGCTTGTCGAGAAGAAAACACAGCTACACCGCCTCCTGGATTCTGGAAAACCTGCTGTCATCCTGGCAAGTGATCGATCGCTAGAATGGGGCTTCTCCAACGATACCATTCGCAAGATCTGCAACGACCCACGGAACCTTGTGGTGTTGACAGAACGAGCCGCAAACCCATCGCCGAATAATAAGGGTATCGGCCGCTTCTTGTGGGAGTACTGGCGCCAGCAGGTCGAATCACGAGATGAGGACGCGAACATTGTCGAAGTTTCGGGTGTAGAAGCACAAGTACGCCATCTGGATGTTGCTCGCCTCGAAGGAGATGAAAACCTGCTCTACCAACAATACCTCGCTCGACGACGTCAGATGCACAGCACTTTACAAGGCGACAACACTCTCACAAAAGAAAACGCTGCAGAATTGGCTGATGACGGGTCGTCGGACAGTTCTGAATCTTCTGACGAGTCTGAGAACGAGCACCAGGGAAGAGCACTCAACATCTCTGCAACCATGACACACAGGAGGAAGGTAGGCCTGACAGATGCTGAGCTCGGTGTCAACGTTCTCTTGCGACGCAAAAATGTCTACGACTATGACGTGCGGAACAAGAGAGGACGTGAAAAGGTGTTCCCCTTTGTCGCCAAACGTGGGCGCGCCGATGACTTTGGTGAAGTAATCCGACCAGAAGAGTACCTGCGTGCGGAAGAGAAGGACGATACAGAAGGCCAGGACGCAGCCGAAGCCAAGACGGAAACTGCTGTTGGACAAAAACGCAAATGGGACGAAGTTGCACCCCGCGCTATCCAGAACGGACGACCTGGCAGATTTTCCGACAAGAGGAACAAACCTGATGACCGCGACGCTGCAAACTCAAGGTCGTCAACCAATCAAGATCACGATATGAATGGCGATGCGGCGAGCGAGTCAGAAGAGTCAGACTACGAGCCCGAAGAGGCGCTTCCTGAAGGACCCCTCAAAGCTATTTTCACCGAGGAGTCGTTACAACTGAACGTGAGAATAGCCTACGTGGATTTCTCAGGTCTACACGAGAAGCGTGACTTACAGATGCTTATCCCTCTCATTCGACCAAGAAAGTTGATTCTCGTGGCTGGAGAAGAGGCGGAGACATTGGCACTGGCCGAGGATTGCAGAGTCTTGCTTGCATCTGGAGAAGGAAATGCTGTCGATATCCTCACACCTATCATCGGCGAGACTGTCGATGCCAGTGTGGACACGAATGCATGGACGCTCAAGCTTAGTCGAGAGTTGGTCAAGAAGCTTGCCTGGCAGAACGTCAAGGGGCTCGGCATTGTCGCTGTCACTGGTCGTCTTGAAGCCGTACAGAAACTACTCGCTGAAGCCAACGGTGATGAAGCTATCAAGAGGAAGAAGCAAAAGATGATCGAGGGTGGCAATGCTACCGAGGATGCCGAGACCGTAACAGAGCCAGTCCTCGATGTGCTGTCGACCAATCCAGCAGCTAACAATCAGATCACGACACAACCACTGCACGTCGGCGATCTTCGTCTTGCTGACTTGCGAAAACTGATGCAAGCATCTGGTCACGCAGCAGAGTTCAGAGGCGAGGGTACGCTGTTGGTTGACGGTGTTGTCGTCGTCCGCAAGACTGCCAACGGAAGAATTGAGATTGAAGGAGGCAACTATCTGGCTACTGCAAACCGCCGTGAAGGCGCGTTCTTTGCAGTAAGGCGCAAGGTATATGAAGGCTTGGCCGTGATCGCTGGTGGTTAGAGAAAATTCTGCAGTAAGATACCCAAATTCATTATTTCGAAACAACAAGAGCATGAACGCACCAAAAACACGTGCTTGGGCACGCAATCACGATCAGGTTTAATTCTTGGAAGTCGCGACCCTGTGAAACTCCGGCGCGTGCCAAAGCAGTTCAAGCTCCTGAAGATTGACCAATATAAGACAAGCATATGCTTCCGCAACCACTCACGCTCTGACTATACCATCACAATGGCGTAGCATCTTCACACCCCTGACCAGCACGTGCTCATTGACACGCGCCCTCTGGACCTATAAAGCGCCGCCCAATCCTCCTCTTCCTCTCTCACTTCAACCTCAACATCAACAATCAACTTCAGTCTACCAAGCTTGCCTTGTCTGAGTACCTGTTACTCAAGCACAACCAAGGCTCCTTGATCAAACACAACCCACATGTGCAGTTCTCCACCTTACACTTGGAAACCACACGGCTATCAACCCATTTCCGCACCTCCGCCGCCACCCACCCCAATGCTTTTCGCTATGCCTGTCTTGGTCGCCACTCCGTGCATTGCCGTGCCTGTCAAACCCTTCTGCCCGCTCAATTGCATGACAGTCGCCGGTTCCGAGACGGCAGCAAAGGGCAAGGAGTTGGTCACCACAAAGACGACTACTGCCATCAAGGGTACTTCTACCAAGACCGTCACGAAGACGCCTTCCAAACCTGCTTCCTCGGCTGCTAAAGCCCCCTCAAAGGCGCCGTCCAAGGCGCCGTCCAAGGTTCCTTCGAAAGCGCCATCGAAAGCTCCCTCGTCTGCCAAATGCCCCTGCAAGCCCGCCTCTTCCGCGCCAGCCAAATCTACCGCCTCCAAGAAATCTGAATCCTCAGCCGCAAAGACCAGCGACGCCGTCATCTGCAAGACAGTGGTCTCCTGCACTGTCGTTTCCAAGTCCTCAGCTGCCACAAAGGCCTCCTCCAAACCACCCTCGGCGCCTCCAGCCTCCGTCAAAGCCCCTTCAGAGGCCGCCTCCGACAAAACTACCGCCTCCCAGAAAGCCCTCAAGATCAAGGCCATCACGCTTCCCACACCTCCTCTGCCGGGCATGAAATACATCTACCCAAAGCACAGCACCTGCTTGCACGTCATTCCCAAGCAAAAGGTCTGGGAAGCCCCTTGCACCAAGAACTTCACGTGCAAGACGTTCCAAGTTCCTACGCCCATCACAGTCAACGAGCTCGTGGAGCAACTGCTCGGTAGAGAGGGAGACAAGTGTAACGGCTGGGCACTCACCGAGGTCCAGGAGAAGGGCGATGGAGAGTTTGAGAAGGGCAGTTGTGTTGAGTTCGGCGGTGACAAGGCTGGAGGCACATTGGCTGCCGTGGGCTGGACGGAGAAGAATGGAGGAGAGAGACCACCTGTTTGGTTGGTTCTGCACAAGGTTTGATGATTGCTGGAGGAGGATAAATTTTGCTTCCAGCTCTGTTGGATTGAATCGGTTTGCTTTGCTCTACTTTGCTGTTGTTCCACTGGAGGATTTCTCTCTTCTGTTCTCTCGGAGGAATGCTTTTCTTCTCTTTGCTTTTGAGAAAGGCACACTGGGCTCTCGAGGAGTTCATGGACATGTTCTTGTTTGCTGAGCACGCATCTTTTCTGCTATGGAGGATTCTCACGAAGATGATGATGGGAAAGTTGGGTCGAATGTGATCTGGCTCAAAAAGTTGCCATGGGAGGTTATGGATACTTGTTTCTTTTCCCTTGCTTGTCGAAAAACAGCTTTTTTTCTGAATGTCCTTTTTGTCATGCTTTGCTACTTTCCTTCAATCTCAATGTCGAACATCAACACCTTGGCAAGTATTCACTGTACAATACTTGGGTCTATCTTTGAGTCTTAACTTGTAGTTGCGACGTTCCCTTCACCTTATAGTTTGATGACTTTAAAAATCTCACTAATGGTGTTACTTGTGAAAACACCAAGTGATGTAAACGAAGCCGCGAAAAGAAGAATTCATCTAAAACTAGACTCACTTTCGTGTTCTCGATCCATTAAACTCAGTGATTGCAAAAACAACATGGTTGTTTCGTGTCATCCCATGTCATGCCATCTGCACACCAAAACATGTCACGCTTTTCCTGAACTGTCTTTGATGAGCCGAGCTTCACGAGACAGCACAGGGAAACCGAAAAAGGGTGATGGGTAGAAAAAGTGAGTTGTGTGAGATAATAATATACAAGACGGAGGGTAGAAAAAGAAGACTCGGTCCCCTTTCTTTGTGGTGGTGAGGAGGGAGGACCTTTTGCAACAAAAAAAAATGCTTTGGTCCATAAAAACGCTAACAACGCTCTTTTCTTTCATACAAAACGAGACAATAGATGACGCCTGGCTAATGACAAGATTCAACCAGTTTTTCCGGAATTAGGAGAGAAGGTGTATGTTGCTTAGTGCTTTGCCCGTGTGGATTCGAAGCTCTCGAGTACGCTGTCGGTGACACTCTGGTTGCTGGATGAATCTTGCTCGGATGATTCTGAAGGGGCGGAGATCTGCTTGGATGCCATGGCGCGGGCCTGGCTTTCGTTGACTTTGCCGTAGACGCCCATAGCGGTGGCAATCATGCTGCCAATATCTCCGACGTTTCCAGGAACAACAACGCTGGTACCCTCCTTGGCCAGCTTGCCGAAGGCTTCGACGTACTTCTCGGCGACACTGAGACTGACAGCACCCTGGGCGCTCTCCTTGCCTGAAGCGATGGAGTTTGCGACAGCGTCGATACCAGCAGCGGTGGCCTTGGCCTTGAGGAGGATGGCCTCGGACTCACCAGTAGCCATGTTGATCTGCTCCGCGCGCAAGGCTTCGGATGCAAGGATGACACTCTGCTTGCGACCCTCGGCGATGTTGATGGCACTCTGGCGCTGACCCTCAGATTCCAGAATCTCGGCACGCTTGCTACGCTCGGCAGTGACCTGACGATGCATGGCCTCAACGACACCAGGAGGAGCGTGGATATCGCGGATCTCATAACGCAGGCAAGTAACACCCCAGTCCTGTGCAGCCTCGTTGATGGCCTGAGTAATGTTTGTGTTCAGAGCAGCACGCTCTTTCAGGACGTGGTCGAGGGAAAGCTGACCAATCTCGGAACGCATGGTGGTTTGAGCGAGTTGTGAAATAGCGTATTCTGCATCCTCAACACCGTAGCTGGCCTTGTAAGGATCGAAAACGCGAGTGTAGAGTACACCGTCCAGCTCGAGAGTAACGTTATCGGCGGTGATGGCACTTTGGGAAGGGATCTCGATAGCAGCTTCCTTCAGACTCTTGACGTAGGCGATGCGATCAATCATGGGGACGAGGATGGCGACACCGGGCTCCAAGATGCGACTGAACTTGCCCATGCGCTCGACGATCCATGCTGTTTGCTGGGGTACAAACTTGACGATGGTATTGGCGGGTAGTGATGAACGCTGGAAGTAGCTCGTAGGCTCATTGGAACCAGAGGAACGGGAGAACAGCGAGTCGGTGGATGGTAGAAGGCGTGGCGGTTGCGAACTGAAGGCGGCTCTTTGGGTGGTGAAGCGGCTGTTGGCGAGGACGGCCAGGGAACGGCGCGATGCCGGTCGTAGGGCGCCCGAACGTGCGATCAGGCTCATGGCGGTCTCGGCCATTGTGGATGTGTTGCTGTTGTATGTTTGATGGTGGATGGACTGACTCCAGTCTCCAGGTCATCGCACATCGCCGCTGCTTCGACTTGCACCAACGTGGGGCAGGCCCAAGCTTTCTTCAAACTTCGTCATCGTTCTTTCCATGGCCATTCCATTCTCAACTACTCAAGTCGCAAACATGTCGGAATACTGGAAATCGACGCCCAAATACTGGTGCAAGTTCTGCTCGACATACGTGCGCGATACAAGCCTCGAGAAAAAATCTCACGAAGCCACGCCGAAACACCAGAACAACATCCAACGCTCGTTGCGCGAACTTCACAAGAAATCCGAACGCGATGATCGAGAGAAGCAGCGCGCAAAAGATGAAGTCGCTCGATTGAACGGCCTGGTCTCTGGCAAACCACAGCCTACCATTTCTGTCGCTTCTGGCTCGCAACTTCCTGTGCCAAAGCTCAAGTCCACCGCGCCTTCTGGACCTGCTTCGGTCGCCGAGCGAAAACGGCAGATGGAACAGCTTGCTGCTATGGGTGTCGCCATCCCTGATGAATACCGACGTGATATGTCTATCCGAGGTGAATGGTCCACCGTTTCCGAGACACCCATCTACTCTAAGCCCGTCAAGTCTGCATCGGATGACGAAGACGACGATACAAAGGCCTTTGGTGTGAGAAAGCGAAAACTAGACGAGGATGACGAAGATATCAAACTGGCTCCGAAAGCCTGGGGTTCACGCTTGAAGACTTATCCCGGTGCAAAAGCCAACGATGAGGAAGACCTGGATGCTCTGTTGTCTGGTGCTACTGCAAAGAAGGAAGTCAAGTCTGAGGAGCCTGACTTGTTGAAAAAGGAGGGTGATGCTGATACTACTGAGTCTATCGCTGCTGTGCCAGACATCGCCGAATCCGGTCCAGCTACAGAATCCGAAGCCAAACTTGAACTCAAGGTCGAACAAGATGCCCCAGTCGTCTTCAAGAAGCGCAAGTCTAAGCGCTGAAAAATACATGACGGACTCACAATCAATTCATTATCTACTGGACAAGTATACTCGAGTACATGGACGGCCGCTTCGGCACCTTGCCCTGCTATCGAGGCCGACATGCTATTACATACGGCTATCCAGATCATCTCGCTATTGTGTAAGGCACGCCAGCGAATGTGGGCCTACAACATTGCCATAGCATGACAGGCCTGAAACAGCGCAGGCATCAGCATCAACGGCCATGCGATACTTGCAAATGCATAATTCACCGCACGAATATTCAGCACAACAAGCTGTCAAAGTAGCGATCCAATTCGAGACACGCTAAGCACAGGCATGGAGGCGGAGGACAAGACGCAGTCAGAGACAGCCAACGGCTCCTGCGCACCTCCAACGAGACAGCAGACCAAGACATAGAATAGTATGGATGAAAGTAAAGGAAGCTCCGATTTCTTGTTCATCTCGTGAGAAATGGAAATATCTACTTGGATTATTCAGAAGTGTTGTAGCTTGTGCTTCCTCGATGAATTGCGTAGATGAAACTTAATGAAACACGTAATATGGAGCTAGCCGATCAATTTTGGTTACGTTCCTGTCAAACCAAATTGATTGCTGGCCTTGCACAATGAATAGTTTGGCTGGCAAGAATACATCAACAGTGGTTGGGAATTCTACAACAATATGGCAAGGAAAGAAGTTATAGTTTATATGCAAAAGCATATTCAGGTCCCTGGAGTGACGCCATCTGTTTTGTTATGTCTTGTATAGGGGTTCAATCAACGGTCTCGCAGCTCGAACAGACAAGCTGGCATGGACAACCATGGCAACCCAAACATGGTGGTTCAATCGCAAGCGAGCCTGTCTTCCGCGAGAGCCACACTGTTACACGTTGACAGGAAGTGCGAAAAAGGAGACGAGATTGTAGGGAGTTTCGCACGATCACTCAAGCAACGCGGCTGCATCGACTTGCGGAGATTAATATTGCCCTGGCGCGCCGTGACCGACGACGGCATCCAGAAAAAGTGCCCTTGAACCGGGTTTGAGGTGTCATATCTCTGTCTGTCCAACTACCCGTACCTCGAACAAACAGCACCAGCATCAACATCAACACATAGCCCTTCAACATGGACGCGTCTTCGACATCCCCCCTTTTGCGTCCGTCGTCTCCTGCCTCGAATGTTTGTCCCTCGCCAGCCCTCTACCCCGGCGCGTGTCCCTCATTAGACGCTCGCTCCGAACGCTCAGTCTCAACACCATCGACGATATCTAGCAGATCAGCGTCCTCATCTTCAGCACACTCCGACTCAGGTCGCCGCAAGAATGGATACATGCGACCACAAGGCACCGCCTTCAGCGACTCGGCAAGAAACCGCGACAGCGTCATGAGCTTAGGAAGCATCGCTCACATGCAATATTACTTTGCACGCACTGGTCTTCTGGACGGCAAAGGCGGCCAGTATGCGAAACCGAAAAAAGGCGTACGACAACTAGATACCAATGTCGCTATCTACACGACATCAGAAGATGGCTTGGTCGAGAGCCCCAAAGACGACAGCGAGGAATGGTCAGAGCCCATCATGCTACCACCCACTGTGTCAACATACGCCTACAAGGAACCAAACGTACAACCACCACCAGAGCTTCCCATGCTTCGTCGACAGCTTCGCGAAGCCCTAGACGATGCTCAGAAAGTCCTCGAGGAATCTGCCGAAGGCGTCTCGTACGACGACGCTACTCGAGAAGCCATTGTAGAGTCTGTACGAGCACCCACAAACCCTGACGAGCCACCGATCGCCCAGGGATGGCACGAGATTATGGGTCTCCACCTCCTTGATATTATCACCCTCGCCATCCGTGCCGCCAAAACATACTACACGTCACACCCTCATCCACAACAACTCTACGCGATTCAGTCGGAACGCAAGATTCGCGGAGACTTGTACGAAGTCCTTGACGTTCTCAAACGCGCAGCCGCAAGAGAGTTCCGTGGAGGCGTCAAAGATGAGGAAAGAGCTGGGATAAAATCTTGGATCGATAGCATCAATGACCTGATGTCACAAGAGCAGTCGCGAGAACAAGAAGAACAAGCTTCACGAGATAGCTGTGCCTGGCGTCAAGGAGACTGGACTGGTCGAGAGCGCGAGAGAGAATGGCTGTTCATGTGCTCTTTCGACACCAACTCAGATGCTCTTCCTGCGTGGACCGAATCGACTCCTGAAGGGCCATCTCCGTTCCTGCAAGCTCTGCAGAGTGGTCTGCGTCTGGTACAGCTTCACAACGAGATGGTCCGTCGTTCCGAACGTCCCTTCGGTGAGATCAAGACTTTCTTCACAGATGTAGCGAAGCCATATCGATGTGCTGAGAACTTGCGCTTCTGGTCGAAAGCCGCAGAGCTTCGATGGGAGACCCTCCTGTCTTTTAATGTGCTTCACGTCGTACACGGCAAGGATGAAGACGCTTGGAAACAGTTCGATGAGACCATTTTCAAGTGGTGTCAGGGAGTACGAGAGGAGATCTCCAAGGAGTGGGCGGAGGCCGAAAGATCTGCGTAACAAGGAACCTGACCTTGGTTTGCGAGGTTTTCGACAACAGCGCGGTAAGCACCTTGCTGGGTGCCATCATTTTTTCTTTTCTTTTGTCCTGAGTTTCTGCTTCAAAGTCACTTAATGCCTCCAGCGCAACACTAGATACCCCAGAGGCTGGCTGTTTTGATTTTCGTTTTTTATTCTCTCCTTTTGTTTTGCATCACTTCTTCAGATCAAATTGGACAAAAGATTTGAATCTTCAAAATCGAACCATCGCTCACTCACTGTGAACCCAGTGCAATTCAAATTTTGACGTGTTCGGATGCTTCGGCTCTTGTCACTACCGTCTTTGAGAGGGGGTGTGGATCCGCGTCCGGTCTCACATTGACAACTTGGCGCCACGCGCTCCCCACGCCAGACAGAGGGACATTACCCCTCATACCAAGCGTATAGCGATATCTTTCCAGCGTCTGCCTCACGAAGCTCGAGTCTGACAACGATCACTACGACTAATCATAGCAGGATACGGAGGTCTCAGTGACCTGGAAAGTGTCCACTGAGTGCCAGGTCATATTGCTATCTTTCAATGGACAATTCCTGACCTCTCTCTTCTTGAACCTCACAGTCGAGATTGTTACAGTATCTAGTGCCTGGAGACGGAGTCGGCCACCGTCACGCTCCCTGATCCCAATGCGCTTGGTTCTGTCTCCCGGCCGAGACGGTAAAATCAAATCCCGAACTTTGTATAGCCAAGTATCAGGTGAGGTCCAAATTGGACTGTACATGAGTCGTTATTGGCTCGGTTTCCTGTTCTTCCAACAAGAGCCCTGCATGAACCCCACATTCCCCCGCAATATCAGGTTCACCCAGCGCCGCAAGCAGATGTACGTACCAGGGCTTGTGCTCTGAGACGTACCTTTCCCAGAACTCCCCACCATCGCCCCGCCAAAACTAGTCAGGAGCTCACATGGGTTGCTATGATAAACTCAGACCTCATCTGATCGCTGGGTCACAATCGAGTACCCATATGCTGAAGACCATGACAATTGCTTCGCAGAGATTTATCGACCATGTATGTACTGTACTACAAGACACGTTCTGGAGGCTTACACATCCATGGAAATCTGGTACTCGGAGCTCTAGATCGTCTGTCCAACCATCTCTAACTGCATTGCGGTCAGCTCGAACGCATACGTGCGGGGAACAATCTACGTTCCCTGCTGCGTGGTTCCAGAGGAGCTACTGCAGCTACCAGACAGCCATCTCGAGACATGCTAGGATCAACAGCTCTGCCTAGCTATCGTATTCCCCCAAGATTGGACGGTGCACGCGCTTGTTCGACTGGTACAGCTAGCCCAGCGAAGATCGATCTCGTGAGGAGAATGAGGAAACTCTCGATGAACTACTAGCATACACTCACCTCATCCTCAAATTGCTCGATACGACATGGTAGAAAAGCTTCACGATCCAGGATGCCGTGCAGTGCTCGACGCGGCTCGATCTTCATCCACGTACTGTGCGAGCTTGCTAGCTGCATGGAGGTGGATCTGGACAAGGATACCACTCGATTGCCATCTCATCCCGCGCCGCCTTGATCACTTAGCCGCCGTTCAGACGTGGGTTCGTACCTGATAGGCGCCCTTTCCCCTCACAATCATACAGCTTGCCAATCCCATATACCCGAGTTACTCTGAGATCAAAGCGGGGCTGTGTTTGGAGGGACGCGTAGCTGTTGGTGGGACTCGAGGTATATATGGGAGGTGTTGAATGCTCTGGAAAGACCATCAGACCCGCTTCTGATACTTTCTTGAGAAGTTTCGAAGCAAAATCTATCATCATGGTTGTTCCAGACGAGGTCGACATCATCATTACTGGTGGAGGATCATGCGGGTGGGTCTTCAGTCCATTGATATTGACGTTCTTAGACTGACCTATTCTAGCTGTGTCGTTGCTGGCCGCTTGGCCAACTTGGACCACAACCTCCAGGTTATGCTCATTGAAGCTGGAGAGTCCAACCTCAACAACCCTTGGGTCTACCGACCCGGTATCTACCCCAAGAACATGAAGCTCGACAGTAAGACTGCTTCGTTCTACTACTCGAGACCGTCTGAATGGCTCGGTGGTCGTCGTGCTGTCGTACCCTGTGCCCATATCCTGGGAGGCGGTTCTTCTATCAACTTCATGGTATGCCTATCTGTTCATGTTACGACTTTATTCGAACAGTCGTACTGATATATTGCCCAGATGTACACTCGTGCTTCTGCTTCAGACTACGATGACTTCCAAGCTAAGGGCTGGACCACCAAGGAGCTCATTCCCTTGATGAGAAAGCACGAAACATACCAGAGAGCTTGCAACAACCGTGATATTCACGGCTTCGAAGGCCCAATCAAGGTTTCTTTCGGCAACTACACATACCCCGTTATGCAAGACTTCCTCAGAGCTGTCGAGTCACAAGGTATCCCCGTCACAGACGATCTTCAGGACTTGCAAACCGGTCACGGAGCTTGTCACTGGGAGAAGTGGATCAACAGAGACACTGGACGTCGTTCAGACTCTGCTCACGCATACATCCACAGCACTCGTTCTGTCCACAGTAACTTGCACTTGGTCTGCAACACCAAGGTTGAGAAGATCATTATGGAAGGTGGCAGAGCTGTTGGTGTCAAGACTGTTCCTACTAAGCCCCTGACTCCTGGACAAGACCAAGCCAAGGTCTACCGTGCAAGAAAGCAGATTGTTGTTAGTGGTGGTACTCTCAGTTCTCCTCTGATCCTTCAACGCTCGGGCATTGGTAAGTTCATACACCTCTAACACCATGTTCTCTGCTAACATATCATCAGGCGACCCCGAGAAGCTCCGTGCTGCTGGTGTCAAGCCTCTCGTCGACTTGCCCGGTGTCGGTTTGAACTTCCAGGACCACTACCTGACCTTCTCGGTCTTCCGTGCGAAGCCTCACATCGAGTCTTTCGACGACTTTGTTCGTGGGGACCCCGTTGTTCAGAAGCAAGTCTTTGATCAATGGAACATCAATGGTACTGGACCTCTCGCCACCAATGGTATCGAAGCTGGTGTCAAGATCCGACCAACTGAGGAAGAACTCAACCAAATGGACTCCTGGCCCTGCCCCGAATTCAGATCTGGTTGGGACAGCTACTTCAAGAATGCTCCAGACAAGCCCGTGATGCACTATTCGGTACGAGGACACTGCGACTTTGCCTTTGAGCGTGGATGTGCTAACCGTGGCTTAGGTGATCGCTGGTTGGTTCGGTGACCATATGCTCATGCCTCCTGGCAAGTTCTTCACCATGTTCCACTTCCTCGAGTATCCGTTCAGCAGAGGCTTTACTCACATCACTTCACCAAGCCCCTATGGTAAGCTCATGTGTACGTACTAAAGATGCAACATTTGCTGACCATGTGACAGATGCACCCGACTTTGATGCCGGCTTCATGAACGACAAGAGAGATATGGCACCCATGGTCTGGGGCTACGTCAAGTCCCGTGAGACTGCCCGTCGCATGGACGCCTACGCAGGAGAAGTCACCTCCATGCACCCCTTCTATGCCTTTGACAGCCCCGCCCGTGCCCTCGACATGGACCTCGCCACCACCAAGGCATACGCCGGTGAGAACCACATCACCGCCGGCATCCAACATGGCAGTTGGTCTATGCCCCTCGAGGCCGGCACTGCACCTTCCCCATCCTTCCTCAACAGTAACAAGCAGGACATCCGCGAAGACCTCACCTACACCAACGAAGACATTAACCACGTCATCGAGTGGACAAAGCGCCACGTCGAAACCACCTGGCACAGTCTGGGCACCTGCTCCATGGCACCCAAAGAAGGAAACTCCATCGTCAAGCACGGTGTCCTCGACGAACGCCTCAACGTCCACGGTGTCAAGGGCTTGAAGGTTGCTGACTTGTCCATCTGTCCCGATAATGTGGGCTGCAACACTTACAGTACTGCTTTGCTTATCGGAGAAAAGGCTGCTATGCTTGTGGCTGAGGACTTGGGTTATTCTGGTTCTGCGCTTGATATGAAGGTGCCTAATTATCATGCTCCCAGAGAGATTGCTGGGTTGTCTCGTCTGTAGATGATGTTATGAGGCTGTGGTGCTGGTCGCTGCGTTTGTTGATAGTTGATGACTTGAATGATATTTTATGATTGCTTCTCAAAACTGCTTAGCTGTTGAAGCTATGTTTGTGAGTTTTGTTGTACGTCAGAAGTCAGGATTACTTTGTTGTGAGCTCGTTGGGCTCTTGGTCAGGCTCTTGGTCAGGCTCTTGTTCGTGACAGGGTTATACCTTTGACAAGCATGATTTGACCATATTCCGCTATACCACGGCAGCTTTTGTGTCTAATCATTCGTCAAACATACTAGACGGTCAGTGGTGGTTGAGGAACATGGCTATGTAGGTTTGAAAATGTTGTGCTGGCGCTGACGCATGTAAGTGCGTTTTCTTCTACATTCGAATTCGAGTTCCAGGATCTGGGTGACAAGTCAACAATGACAAAGGCTGATTTAAGGACAAGTGAGTCTTCGAACCAAAAGTGGTTCAGACTCGAATGATTAGACACATACACACTCATCTACTTGGTACTTGGCTATCCCACTGTGTGTACGTAGAGTCTTCGCGTTGTGCTATCAAGATAGTACCATTGTTGACTCTCAATTCTACGTAAGCAGATATTGCCTATGCTACGAAGTTGCAAAAAACCATTTACACGCAAGTGTTTCAGTACCCTAGAACTGTCTAAAGGTGCTGAAAAGGGCCTTCTGAAAATGTTGGACATATACATATGCTCACGTGCGATAGTACCGAATTAGGAAGTGGGCCAAGAGGAGAGCTAATGACGGGAAAAGCAGGTACGACGTCACTGGCGGTGCAGCGCACGGACATGGTGGAGAGTGAACGGGACGATGTTCTCGATGGACGGGTCGTGATGCTGACTTTTTCCTCACGCTCCTATCGAACAGTCGTGAAGCATTGATGGATCCGCGCAATTCCATCGCAGACATTGCTGGACCGGCGGCCATGGTGAAGCCAAAGGGCCCCCAGAAGTCGTATGCTTCAGCAGCCGGAGAGGGAGCAAGCTCGACTAGAGACGGCACGGCCAACTCGTCAGTAGCTGGTGGCAGCAAGAAGAAGCGCCATCGCGCAGGCAAGAAGCGTCGCAACCGCAGACAGAGTTTCGCCGCCCCTTCCGAGTCGACTGCTGCCGAACGCGACGACGACGATCAGCCTCAACGACCGACTTTGACGACCAGCAGACCATCGGGCAACCAGACCAGCTTCTACCGCCTTAAGTCGGCCGCACGTAGCAACACCAGCCTCGAGAGTGACGCCCTCCTTGACCACCGCGACCACCAGCCCATTCGTCCTCGCCGAGGAAGCGTCCAGCAGGCTTCGAGAAGCACCGCCGGCCTTTTCCCTCGCAACCATCGTAACTCCCAGCATGGAATCTCTCAGTCCAGTCCCGTCAAGCCTCGCCAGATGCACTACAGCGACGATGACGACGAAGAAGCCGTGACCGACCGCACTCCTCTCATCTCCCAGTCTTACTACGACCGCCCTCCGATTGAGCGCAACAGATCAGGCCATCGCGCCTACGGTGGTACTCGTCGCAGACAGTCTGCCACATCGCGCACGTCCAGTAAGAGGCTTAGGTACCCAAGCGGCAGCGACGACGACTACGATGTCAACAACCCTCCGTCTATGCCTGGTTCCCCTAAGCTGGGAACCCTCGACGACGTTATGATCGCTCAGGAATTCTCTGGTTCCCCAGGCTCTGAAAACCGTGATGCTGTCATCAACATTGACCGTGATAACAACTCGGATCGCTTCCCTTCTTCATCGCCCCCTACTCCGGGTGCCGAAGCTCGTAGACGAACACTCGCCAACCTCGCCGAGAATGATGTCTGCTATCCCGGCAATATTGCCGAATCTGAGATGGGTGAAGACGACCTTACACCCACTGACCAAGGTCAACGACGAACCAGTCGTCGTAGACGCCATCGTCAATGGCCCGACCTTGATGTCCTGGATGAGTGGAGCCGTATCGAAAAGGAGGAGAGAGATCACACTGAGCAGATTCGCTCGAAGAAGATCAGCGAGCCTGTCATGGTTGGCGGACGTCTGCGTCCTGCAAAGACTCAATGGCATCGCGAGGAAGATGACGCCCCATACCGTTACACTTACTTCAACGAAACTTTCGACGGCACCATCCATAGCAGGACCATCTCCGAGCTCTGTCAATTCGGTGCCACCTTCCGTGAGCTCTTCAACCCTGACCCACCGGAGCTCAGTGATGATAGCAGCTCGGAAGAGGAGGATTTGCCAACGGAGGCTCCTTCTGGTCGCGAGTCGAGGCTAAGCTCCATCGCAGGCGATGGCAAAGATAGATCCGCCTCGATAACTCCTGCCCAATCACGCCCCCGTCAACCCAAGGAGAAGCGTTATGGCCCTCGCCCTACTTTCTGGCTCGACGTTCTCAGCCCTTCAGAGACCGAGATGAAGATTCTTGCCAAGGCTTTTGGTATCCATCAGCTTACAGTAGAGGATATCATGATGCAAGAGCCTCGTGAAAAGGTCGAGCTGTTCCAGAGCTACTACTTTGTCAACTACCGAAGTTTCGAGCAAGACAAGGACAACGAAGAATACATGGAGCCCGTCAACATGTATGTCGTTGTCTTCAAGGATGGAGTCATCAGTTTCCACTTTTCCATGACACCCCACCCTGCCAATGTCCGCCGTCGTATTCGTCAACTTAACGATTACATGTCTCCGACCGCAGACTGGATTTCTTACGCCATCATTGATGACATTACAGACGTGTACGCTCCTTTGGTCCAGGTCATCGAAGATGAAGTAGACGAGATTGATTACGAGATTCTTGCTCTGCACTCATCTGACGAGAACTCGGACGAGAAGGCCAAGAATAGCGCAAAGGCCAAGGAGCTTGAGTACGAAAAGATGAACAAGGTCGCGGGAAGCGATACTCAGTCTGAAAAGGGTGAACGCACTGCCGGCGATAGTGGTGGTGACATGCTTCGACGTGTCGGCAACTGCAGAAAGAAGGTTATGAGTCTTTACCGCCTCCTTGGTAACAAAGCGGATGTCATCAAAGGCTTTGCCAAAAGATGCAACGAGCATTGGGAGGTTGCTCCCAGATCTGAAATTGGTTTGTACCTCGGCGATATCCAGGATCACGTAGCCACCATGACTGGCAACTTGTCGCACTACGAAAAGTAAGTCTCAATCGAGAGCAGGTGCTCCTAATCCAGCGACTGACCATGTCCTCTAGTCTCCTTTCGAGAGCACATGGCAACTACCTCGCCCAGATCAACATCCGTATGAACGAGCGTGCAGAGCAGACTAACGACGTCCTTGGCAAGCTGACCGTTCTGGGTACTATCGTCCTTCCCATGAACATTGTCACCGGAATGTGGGGAATGAACACCAAGGTATGTGATATTAATTGCGCATCCTAATTGAGCATACCATCTAATGATCTTCGTAGGTGCCCGGACAAGATGGCGAGGATCTTACCTGGTTCTGGGGTCTCACAGCCGGTCTGTTCGCTTTCGGCATGATCAGTTACTTCATCGCCAAAAGAGTCTATGGTATTGTCTAAAACGGCCATGCACTCTCGGCCAGAACATTGCGCAAGCAGGAGCTATATCACTGGCGTGTGATGAGTTATGTTTTCTTCAGGGGTCCCATTCCAACCTAGGTGTTACTATTAATTCTATGACGACTTAAATCAGCGCTGAGCGTTGCATTGCAGCTTTTGGCTGAGCTGTCCACTATCCTTCTTTCTTCTGAAGTTGCACAGAAACTGCCTATCAAAACCTGTCGTGCATGGAATACGAATCAGGTCGAGCGTGTCCACAGCGTTGACATGCAGCTGGCGACCTCAGAGGATCTGACTCAGGCAATCCCTCTTGGAAGCTGATATCAAGCGCATGGGATTTTCTGATCCAGTCCATGCAACTCTCCTCCTATTCCCCTTCGGACAGCTAGTGCTTTTCAGCGGGTTCCAATGCCGGCAGATCTTCTTGCTAGAGCCTCTCTGAAAAACAAGAAGCGCAGTGGCGTAATAGGCAGGGCTGAGGCCTGACTCGCAGCTCACCAAGGCATGTATGAAACGCATCCGCGATGCACCTGTGACAATCGTTGGGGCCTTCTGATAGACGCTCGAGTACCATCTGTCGGGCACCAAGAGTGATCTGCCGTCTCGTGTGGAAATCTTCTCGGACAGGCGCGGTCCGTAGTTTCGTGATATGCAAGCCCAGTGGCCCAGAACCAAGGCTTCGGGACGGTGATCTGCAGCCACACGGAGGATTACCAACACGTCCATCCAATACCCTTTTGTATGCCTACCAACCACCCTTGTAACCAAAACAAGAATGCGCAAGTCCATATGCCGAGTGTCCAACGCTTCGGTTTAGCTGCATGTCGCACGTCAATAGTTTCGTAGCTGACAAAATAGGAGCAAGTGGGATAAACAAGGAGTACCAACCTGGTTTAGACTATCCCATGTTGACTGAATAGGTCTACGCTGCAACTTGCATGTGGCACAAAATTTCTTCTATCGCGACGGCAGTGTTGATCAAAATCCCCAATCCTAGGAGACACATCAACACCTGGTACCAGTCCCAAGGTTTTGACACTCAGCGAGGCGCCACCTGGGACGTTAAGCCCTCATCCGAGCCACCTGCCTTACTCCACATAGCTTCTCTACAGGCTTCTGTTACGGAAGGTAGTTAGCGTGCATCTTGCGGAAATGCCTATTCTCCCCTTGGCAGGCTTTACAATTGGCTCAACAATAACTCCAAAGTCATGCAAGAGCAAAGAGATGTCTTACCACTCTCGCCGTCGGCAGATTTCTCCTGTCTGAGGTTTACCTTCTTGTGAGCCATGCCATGCCTCGTAGATTGTTTCGGGAGTCATGCGTCCTTTGCTCTTCTTTTGCCTAGACCTCTCCGTGGCTCTTCTTCCTTTTGCATCCGTGACGGTGCAGTTCACACACTGGACTGTCGTTCGTATCACCCGTGCCCTGCAGAGAAGTCGGCTTCCATCACCCGTGTCCACAGGACAGCCACCGACCATCTGATCGGTTTATATCTCTCCTGATCCTCCGCCTTCGTGGGCCCATGGTGTGGTGCATATACTTTTCTGTGACTTTCGAAACCCGAACAAGTTGCAAGGCCAGATTCAAACAAACTCCGTCGATCCTGTTCAGATCCATTTAGATCCATTCGTTCTTGTTCGTTGCGTGCGCGAACCCACAGGTCGAAGAATCGATTCCGGGATGGCGGAGTCTTCGTCGTCACCACCGGTGGCTACTAAATCGGAGCCGTCTGGTAGCTTGAGTCCGAGTACCAGTGTCGAGCTGCACAGGAGGAGTAAAACCGGTTGTATGTTTATACTTCAAGCAGGTACCCAGATCGCTGCTGACATTTCCTAGGTAAAACTTGCCGACGTCGGAAGAAGAAGTGCGATGAAGCAAGGCCAGGCTGTAAGACTCTCTTTTCCCACCTTCATATGTGCAAAGCTCTGTCACAACCGTCGCTCTCCTGCCATCATCTCCTCAGGGGCGATGAAGCTGAAGTGATGCACGATGTGCTTTCACCCTGTCAGAGTTGTCCACGGAGATGAGGCAATCATGCTCTCACTGGGCACGACTCTGATTCGAAAAGCACCATGCACTTCGACAGGCTGCACCAAAGAAAACGTGGACACTTAGAGAAGATAGCGACACCAGACTGCAGTCTATGACCTCGACTTTGAAGATCAGAGAGCCATCTTCGAAGGTCCAGAGTGCTAGTTACCAATGCTGACACAACCTCAGGTCAGAATTGCGCAAAGAACAACATCCTCTGCGGTGGATATGAGATGAGGAAACCTTGGAGGAAAGGCGCTCGCAGTAAAAGCTCTAGTATGTCTTTGACCTTAGACGAGCATCGTGTCGGTAGACTGACAAGCCTCAAACAGCCGTGATAGTGTCTGAACTTCCACAAATCATCAGCGCGATGGACAACCCCTTGGACTCACAGCTATTTTCTTACTTCATCACCCACGCGGCTCAAACATTGAACATATACTCCGAGACCAACAACCCATTCGACGGGTTTGTGATAGATATGGCGATTGGGAACACTGGTCTTATGCACTCGCTCCTTTGCCTCTCCGCCTCCTGCCTTCTCGCTCATCAGCCAAGTTCGGCGCAGGAAATTGTTGTCCGCCACAGCCACCACTTCGACCGTGCTGTCGTCACGCTCAGAAAAGGCGTCGAAGCCTACAGCTCAGACAACTCCACACAAAACGCAGACTGCATCATGCTGCAGACGATACTGCTCGCTCTGGAGGCGATTGTCACAGGAGAAATACATGGCAGCTATCGATGTCACCTGTTAGCCGCACAAAGACTTGTGGACAGTTGTGGAGATTTGAGCTCAGACGTGCAGAGTTTCGCCCGACAGTTCCTACAGTACCACAACCTCGCCAACACAATCTCCTGCCTCGACCCCGTCAATGTCGTGAAGTCGTCTATGCAAGGATGTCAGACTGAAACAGCGGAGCAGGGCACTTTCTCGGGAAGTTGCGTCGACGGAATATTGCATGGCCTTCTAGACCCGATGTCACGCACTCGGCAGGTCCGAGATGCCATAAGATATCATCGGGGCATAGGTAATTCGAGGTGGTTCATGGATGAGCAGCTCCTCAGCTTGGCGCTGGGTGTTGAAACACAGCTACGGACATGGCAGTCTCGCCTTCAGCCCAATACTCCACAATACTGGTCCTCGCTGACATATCGGCAAAGCGCCTATGTATACCTCTACCGCACCATCAAGCCATCCAAAGCGAGTGCGGAATTGACTCAAGTCGTGTCGGAAGGGTTGTCGTATATATCGCTTGCACTGCGAGATGTCACGAGGAGCAATGGCATGAATGGCTGGGTTTGTGGTGTGTTGTTCCCACCACTGTTCTTGCTGGGCTGTGCATGCTTCGAGGTATCTCAGAGGCAATTGGTGCTCGAGAGTTTGGAGGATCTTCATGCATGTAATCAGCGGACGAATATCGTGCACGCCAGAGCCATCTTGGAAGAGGTCTGGTCCAGGATGGATGCCGCACATGGTGCCGATGATGCCTGGGATTGGGAAGCTGTGATGAAGGATATGAGCGTGGATATTATGTTGTCATGAACTAACGAGATCTCCATCTCTTCTTGGCCAGGGAATCGGTGCTCAGTGCTCGTGCTGTGCTCATTGTGCTGCTGTTCACGGCTAAAGTCGTAGTGGAAGTCCCACTTCATCCACTGTTATCAGATCCAGCATTTCACCAGTTTCGAGAGGCGACCTTGATGGCGGGAGGTTGGAAGACGGGACTATTCACATGCCCATAGCGTGAACCCGCGGATGCTTCCACAGATTAGAGACTTAGTAACAGAATCTCACCAACTCTCACCGTTGCAAGCACTCCTGCTTTCTAAGCAATACATCCACTCAACTGCTGACATGCTTTTTCGCCCCTGTTGTCACAGAAGCAAAGCACAGCACCTTCCTTCCTCTTTGCGCAAATTGCGCATGGCGTTTATTGAGGGCAGGGAAGCTGCTCCCGTGAACGGCCCAGTTCGGGCAAGTTTGATATGCGCCCCTAGCAATGCGCTGCGAGGAAGTTGCGACGCTCAGCTTACTATCCGGCTGTCTCCATGAGCAAGTTTGGTTCTTTCTGCGGGTCTTGAAGATAGCATGTTGATGGGCCTGAACTTGTGTTCTGGAGATTGACGTGTGTCTGGCGATGGTGTAAGGAGTGAGGTCGGAGTTGGCTGCGCGCAAACGCCTATAGCTAACGTATTGTGAGTAGGAGAGCTAATTCAGGCATCTTGGTCCTACAAAACATGATCGGCATGTGACCAGACAGCATGTTTAGAAGCAAAAGCTTCTTGCTGTATAGCAGAATAACCATCATCATCGAGTGGTCATCTACAGCGTGTCGTTCTGGACAGAAGGCTGCCATTGGTGCATCGGATCCTTCTCGGCCGCACCACTTGTTTCAACTTGGCGAAGCGACCCATTCTCCCCCGCACAACCTGCGAAAACCATCACCAAGAACCATCAAGATTATTCTGCATGAATGGCTAAATCTTGGAAAGCTTGCGGAAGCTTGAGAGCAAGTGAGACAGGGGTCGAATAGGTGAAGAACGTGGTCGAGACCTCCTTCGCTCTCCTCCGTGTAGGCTGAATTACATGATATTGATCAGAAAGCAGGGGCATACAGATGATCCCCCCACACAGTTCCGCCCCCGGATCGGTCCTTGGAGCACTAAAAAGAATAGGCAAAATTGGCAGCAAGGCTTAGCAGCGGAATAGGCTTGTGGGTGCTTGCTTCAGGTTGTGCGAATGTTGTGGAGTGAGCTTGGCCCCCCTTCTCGTTAATGTGTTACAGCCCAGCGTAACGAGTCCAACTCAACATGTCGCCATCTTGATGAAGACACCCTGCGTTGCTTTGTCGAGCCTGGGCCGGATCGTCAAGAGGCAATATGGCAAGAGAAAGCATATAAGTAGACCGCAGTCCCTCGTCGTATTTCTCTTTTCCTCATCGCAACAACAGTTCTCTTCTCTTCTTCTCTCCAACTCAAAACAACACCGTTCATTTCCAACACCGCAAGCATGCACTTTTCTTCCCTCTTCGTCGCCGCTGCGGCCTTTGTTACTGCTCTCGCAGCTCCCGCTGCTGAGCCCGTTACTGGTAACGGCATGTCCTCGCTGGTCGAGCGTTATACTCCTGCCGGAACTGGCACCAACAACGGTTACTACTATTCCTTCTGGTTAGCCCAAGGAGGCAATGTGAATTAGTGAGTCTCTGGTTCTCGAGCTATATCTAGAGCTCAGTAACTAATTCTGTCCAACAGCAACAACAAGGGTGCCGGCGAGTACTCCGTCAGCTGGCAAAACTGCAACAACTTCGTTGCCGGCAAGGGATGGGCCACCGGCTCTGCCCGCAACATCAACTTCAAGGGTAGCTACTCTCCCCAGGGCAACTCTTACCTCTCCGTCTACGGATGGAGCACCAACCCTCTGGTCGAGTACTACATCCTCGAGTCCTACGGCACCTACAACCCCGGCAGCGGTCTCACCCACATGGGTACCGTCACCACTGACGGCTCCGTCTACGATATCTACAAGGGTGTCCGCACTCAGCAGCCTTCCATCCAGGGTACCGCCACCTTCAACCAGTACTGGTCTATCCGCAAGAACAAGCGCTCCTCTGGAACTGTCACTACCGCCAACCACTTCAACGCCTGGGCCAAGTTGGGCATGAAGCTCGGCCAGCACAACTACCAGATCGTCGCTACCGAGGGTTACCAGTCCTCCGGCTCCGCCGACATCACCGTCTCCTAAGCGATCTTCGCCTAGAGCAGACGTATTGAAATGTGGAACTTGAGCCACTTTGTGACGCATGGGAGATCTGCGAGATGATGGTTGTTGAAAAAGAAAACAGTTGGTGAGAAAAAGGGGTGTTGATCATTTCTTTTCTTTGAACCATCCGTGGTTGTTCTTGAGTTGAACCATTTTTGTCCCTCTTGACACTTTAAATCAGTCAAATGATGTATTCTGTCTTTTACCCAACTAAATAACTGTTTGAAATGAACAATAGGTGGACGCGCCTATGACTTTTGAGCAAAACCCTGATCTCCCACCTCCCATTGGTGAGGGTTTCGACCGTAACAAGGCAAGAAATTCTAAGAATCAGGAGGTATCACCAGGGAGAGTCTGCAATCTTTCGGCCTTCCCCGAACCTCTCACTCAATTTCAAAACCCATTGCGCATTTTTTCCGAGCCATCAAGGTAAGTGGGGAGAGCTTCCGCCATGCATGACCCCAGACGTGCCTTCCTTCCACGTGATGCATGAGACCCAAACAGTGCCGCAAGCTTCTTTCTTCTCATCACGGTAACCTCAAGCCATCAACTAAAAGATATTATAATCGCTATCGTCGAGTGCTTCGTTTGCTGACAGCTTCGAGAAGACTCTAGGTTTCACCAACCATTTCACTCTTGGCCTGCTGCCTTGCACCTTCCACCTTTCACCTTTCCCATTGATCATTCTCCAACATTCGAAACACGCCATCGGTTCGAATCGCTGTGTTCCACTTCCGGACAACTGCGCCCATCTGTGAATAACTGAGTTCGATCCTCTAACTTCTGTGTCATCTCCTCTCAAGCTTCCCGACTTTCAACGTCCTCCGTCTCTTGATCTTCCAACATGGAGACCAATCCGAAAATGAAGACGTGGACAATGCTTGGTGAGCTACCCATGCCATCGTGACGTTGTGTCTCATTCGAACAGAAACTCATCATAAACAACAGAGAACAACCCTGAAGTGATGAACCAGCTAGCAAAAACACTTGGTCTCTCTTCTGACCTCCGATTCTATGACGTCTACTCACTGGATGAACCCCAACTACTCGCACACATCTCTCGACCTGTCCTGGCCCTACTGGTCACCATACCACTCACACCAGCTTGGGCACAAGACCGTAAGAATGAAGACGCCGACAAACAACCATACGCTGATTTTGGCCCCGACGAGCCGGTCATCTGGTTCAAACAGACCATTGGAAACGCTTGTGGCTCTATCGGTCTACTAGTCAGCTTGATCAATGGCCCCGCTTCCGACTTCATCAAGCCCGGCTCCGACCTTGACATCATACGAAAAGATGCCATACCGCTGAACATGACCAAACGCGCCGAAATGCTATACAACAGCGAGCCATTCGAAAAGGCTCACAAATCAGTCGAGCGAGATGGTGACAGCTATGTGATCTCTGCAGACGGAAACAGTGGTAATCACTTTGTCAGTTTTGTCAAGAGCGGAGGGAAGCTTTGGGAACTTGAGGGTGACAGGAAGGGTCCTTTGGACAGAGGAAGTCTTGCTGATGATGAAGATGTGCTCAGTCCACGTGCGCTAGAGATGGGCTTGAAGAGGATCATCAAGTTGAATGCGCAGGGCGGAGAAGAGAGCTTAAGGTTCAGTTGCATCGCTTTGGCTCGCAAGTCTTAGACACCGGCTGGGCTCAATGTCACACACATCACGGACATGTTACGCGATCACGAAAAGGGATGAAGGGGCCAAAATCAGGCATAGCAAGAGGATAGCAGCACAACCATTGCCCAACAATGTATCCAAGAACCAACAAACATGACACGATCTCTGAGTATTTTTGCACATCCCGAATTCCAATGTGACATACTCTATACTGGACGGAACTGCAAGATTGCTTTTCACATTGGCATGATCTGTCCCAAAGAGAATGTAGTGCACCAAGAAGTTGTTCACGCTCAGCGGACGATCGCCTGAACATGGGTCCAATCAAGTATTTTGACATCATGAAAGGGCTTGTTACTAGCAAGCTGAGATCAACACAACGAAGTTAGCCTGATGACCCTTGGCTTGGCCCCTATTGCCTCCTACTGCCGATAAAGGTTTCAACATGCACAAATGGTCCAATGAAATTAGGTACGTAGACCAACATCGATGCAATTTGTCCAAAAAAAAAACTATCATAATATCATCATATCTTCTAGATCAAAATCTACAACTTGCTACCAGTAGTAGTCTTGCAGCACACGTCGCCAGAGCTACCAACAATGCCTTCAACAGTAGGTTGCTTATGCGTCTCACTAAGCAGCGTACTCTTGTTGAACTCCTGTGTGCTGGGCGGCACATCCAAAGCGGGGTTCTTGTCGAAGAAGTTGACAGGCTTCATCGACACCTTGATGATCTCACAAGGCATGACGGGGAAGTCTTCGATGCGAGGGATATGGTTGATGCCGAATTGGACGTATACGACCAAGTCTTCGTCGACGATGTTGTCTTTGCGGTCAGCCCAGCTGCGCACACCGGTACCGCCGCGAGATTGGTTTGTGTATTTGCCGCCGGCGTAGAGTTCGCCGTCGCGGTGCTTGACGGCGTAGATATTGCGGTCGGAAAATTCGACACGCTTGTAGTTGAAGGAGTCCTTGTCGGCGATACCTTTTTGGAATGGAGGAGCGTGGATCTTGTAGGCTACGGGCTTGTTGTTGATGGGGTTGCGGACGTTGACGTTTTGGATTTTGAAGGTGCGGTTGGTGTCGGGGTTGAGGTCGTAGCCGCCGGATTGCGAGACGAGGGTTTCTTCGGTGTAGTAGCCTGTGCCGTGGGGGTTGAAGTCGCTACGGGGCATAGGGAGAGCGTCGTCGTATACGAGGCGGTTGGAGTGGCCGTCGATGGCGGGGTCGACGCGGAGGGAGAAGATGTGCTGGTGGTGGGTTGCCAGGACCCCTGGGTGGACGACAGTGCCCCAAGGGACGCTGATGCCGTCGTCGATAGGCTGAGTTGAGAGGATACCAGTAGCTCTGACCTCGTAGGTGAGTTCACCGGCCTGGTTGAACATGAATGCCAAGATGTACTCGTAGTTGGCAACGGTAATGATGCTCTGGAGAACGAGTTCACGGTTGCGGACAACGGCAGCACGACCGGTACGGTAGTTGGTGTGCTTCCAGCCAATACCACCGTCTTGCTCGTGAACACAAATGCAGTTGGGCATCTCAACAGCCTCGCCCTTGTCGTTGGACACAATGCCGGAAAGGTACTGGATGGAGCCAAGGCAGTCACATCCCAGCTTCAGGTCATTAGCCATGATACCGGCACCAACATCACCAAGATCGAATGCAGCCTTCTTGTGGAAGGGGTGACGAGGGTCACCGTAGGGGATAGACATGTCGGACAAGGAGAGACGGTAGAAGACGTTGCGACCATCGTAACGGACATTGTAAAGAACCATGCCCTCTCTTTGATTGAAGCCGACGCGGAACGACCACTTCTGCCACTCCATAGTGTATGAAGTGCCTTCCTGAGCAACGCTGAAGCTGGCGCCCTCAGGCTGCAAAACTTGAAGGGGCTTCAGGTCGGAACGCAAGTCCTGAGCCTCAGGGATGTATTCGTTGGCGTGGACAGGCTTCCAGGGCTGTGTGGGCTTGATGGTGTTGTCCTTGCCAGTAGGCATAATGTCAATGCGGATGACCTTGCGTTGATCGGCACTGAGAACAGGGGAAATGGCCAGGGGGAAGGCGTAATGGTTCGAGTCCAGCTCGTCGGTGTTCTTGGGGTCACGCATGTACAGGAAGCACTGGTACATGCGCTCATCATCACCGACACCGTCCGAGCCGTAGATCCAGGGGTCGCAGACAACAGCGGTGCCTTCGGGAAGTTGTAGCTTCGCAATCTCTGCTTGTACACCCTCATCCTCAAGAGCCAGCTTCTCAATGTCCAGTATTTCTTCTCCATCTCCTGCAGCGTGTACGTTGGGTCCGAGTCTGGCGTTGCTCTCGACGGTCGATGTGGAAAGGTTGACGACGGCTTCGTGGAGTTTGTTCTATATAACTGATTAGCCCACTAGACTCTGTCTAGCCTATAGACAAATGCTTACAGTCTTGCGAATGTAGTAGGCGACCATAACTCTACGGTCAATGCTAGGAAGGCGTTGCCCCTGGAACTCGGCCTCCAGGTAGGGGACCATCTCAGCCTTAGCCGGTTCATTGAGTGTGATGACCTTGAACTGGAGGTCTGTGTTCTCGGGCCATTGGTTGTAGATCAGAGAAGAGGCCGCTTGAATCTCTTGTGCTGACAGTGGCGCAAGTGGGTGTGTCACCGACTGCTTCGACGTGCGAACGGGCAATGATGTGCTTTCTTGGAGAGACATGGTGGATATGCGGTATACAGAAGAGCACAAGAAAAAGAAAGAGGACAGAAAGGACCTTTATAAACGCTACGCAACGAAATCACAAAAAGATAAGCGTACAGAGTGGCCGGTGGCACTGTGGAGTCCAAGATCTGCAATCAGGGTCGCGGGGCTTCGTGCCTATCTCCGTATACCACCATTCTACCTCGAGGGTTGCCCGCTCATGCAGAGGTACCGCGTCCAAACGTACTGAGACTCTTACTCTACGAAGGATAACACATCCTTCAAAATCGCGGTTAGATCGATTGTTGAAGGCTAATAGGATATAGACATATCGACAAGCAGTTTGTCAGTCAACGAATATCAAAAATTTGGCCGACCCCACGTTGACCGAACCGGAAAGTCCATGCGATATACCGCTCGAGCCGTAAGCGTGGTAGGATGGCCCCCTGTGAGTCGCACTTCTTGTCCGAAAAGGGAAGGATAAGTGAGAGAATTGTCACGAAGGCATGTAGACCCTCGCTATCGGCGAATGACATTACTACCACGACGTCTACATTTATCAGCAGATTTTGGTGATAGGCCTTTTTCGATTACTAGATACAAACCGGGTGCTGTGAGTTGTCCGAACGCTAAGGAGATGTTGTCGACCTTGAGGCTTTCTATACCGAGCATGCCAAACTCTGCTCTCCCTAGCCAGTGGAGTCACTATCTCTAGCAAGACTGCACGAAGTTCTCGAGATTGGGAGGCTCTCTGTAGACTCTTATTGAGTTCTCAACAGGTATGATTGTGCATTTTGATGGTTAGATGAACTGGTTGCGCTATCTGCTTAAAGTACTCAATTTGCGCCCCATAAGCAAACCAGGTACGTTTGGTAATGTCTCCCGGGGGCTTGAGGCGGAAAAAGTCTAGGGCGGCTGCAACTTTTTACCACTGGCAGTGCGCGAATACAGCTTCCAACGCGAACGTACAGCCTTACTGTAGTTTCAATCCGGCGAGGAGGCGTTCTGAGGGAGCGGAAGGCTTACTCAAATCCGAGATGTTAATGTTTCGACATACTCGATTCAACCTCAAAGGGTCACCCTGGTCGGCGTCAATTAGCCGAGCACCCGACATCAGGCAGCGGCGCCCTGGCCGCATTGATGCAAGGTGTCAATCAAACACCTCCATGAACGTTGCCACTAACTCTTCTATCAACCACATCAAAGTCATCATGGATCCATCGAAGAAGAAGCAATACCTCGCGGACAGCCCGCCATCGGTCGTCCCCTTGCAAATTAAGCCTCATTTTGAAGCACTTGGCAAGACTGAGCAACTCTACTCGCATTACATCTCCAAGGCCTGTTTCGCTGGTACTAGGGTGGTTCTCAGACAAGTCTCTCCCGAGTCTGAACCTCTCTACGACTTCATCATCAGCCTGCACAAGCACTGCAATGGTGACTACTCCAAGCTCAAGTCTGAGACCGGACTCAATGACGAGGAGATGAACCAGTGGTTGCATTATGCTGCTCAGTTCCTTGGCAACGCTGGCAACTACAAATCTTTTGGTGACTCCAAGTTCATTCCTCGCTTGGCTCCTGAAAAGCTTGCTGCCCTGGGCAAAGTCTCGGACGCATCCAAGCATTACGAACTGTGCAAGGATTCGCTTTATGAGACCAAGGTTGAAGATCTCATGCATCTCGGTTACCCACCTCAACATCTCACGACCTACTACCCCGAGTCGCCTGAAATCACAAAGGAAGAAATTGCTGCCATCGCGGACTTTGTCAAGGAGAATGGAAACGTCCTTCCAGAAAACACACGTCTGAAGAAGCTTACGTCAGGCGATTTCGAGCTCCTGATTGCATCTGCACAGACGGATCCCGCCAAGTCAGACAGAGATGTTCCAGAGAGCTCATGGACGCTAGATGTTGAGCCTGTAAAAGGCAAGAAGATATCTCTTGTCTATGGAGACCATGCAAAGGAAATGGAGAAGATTGCCTCTTTCCTCGCCGAAGCCAAGAAGTACTCAGCCAACGAATATCAAAGCGATATGCACAACGAATATGTCAAGTCATTCAAGACTGGTTCTATGACTGCACACGTTCAATCCCAGCGCCATTGGATCAAGGACAAGGGTCCGGATGTTGAGTCTAACATTGGTTTCATTGAGACATACCGCGACCCTCACGGTATCCGTGGAGAATGGGAAGGCTTTGTTTCTATGGTCAACAAGGAGCGTACCAAGGCCTTTGCACACCTCGTAGCTGAGGCACCCAAGAACATCAAGAAGCTCCCCTGGCCTGCCGAGTTCGAGAAGACATTCGTGGCACCTGATTTCACAGCACTTGAAGTCCTCACCTTCGCCGGATCAGGCATTCCTGCAGGCATCAACATCCCCAACTACGACAGTGTGCGTCAAGATCCCGATGGCGGTTTCAAGAACGTCAGTTTGTCCAATGTTCTGTCTGCCAAAGCCCCCAACGAGAAGGTGCCATTCATCAAGGACGAGGACATGGAAGTCTACAAGAAATATGCAGACGCCGCCTTCGAAGTCCAAGTCGGTCTTCACGAACTTCTTGGTCATGGTTGTGGCAAGATCCTACAAGAGACCGAGCCTGGCAAGTTCAACTTCGACCACAAGAACCCTCCTATTTCGCCCATCACACAGAAGCCTGTCACCTCGTACTACAAGCCCGGCGAGACCTGGGGATCAGTCTTTGGTGGTATGGGCCCAAGTTACGAGGAGTGCAGAGCCGAGTGTGTTGCTATGGCTTTATGTCCTGATTACAGTATCCTACAGATCTTCGGTTTCGGTAATGGACAAGAGGTACGTACTGCAAAGTAACCCTCGCTCTCGCGCGTATGCTAACTTCGAGCTATAGGATCTCCACGGAGAAGCCGGTAATGTCCTCTACGCCGCATATCTATCGATGGCTCGTGCCGGTGTAGCTGCCCTGCAATTCTACAACGTCGATGCGAAGAAGTGGGGACAAGCACACATGCAAGCCCGCCACGCAATTCTCAAGGTGTTCCTCTCGGAGCCAGAGTTCTGCAAGCTCGAGTACACCAAGGATGACCTCAGCGACCTTACTATCAAGCTCGACAGAACCAAGATCGCCACACACGGACGTCCTGCTGTTGAGAAATTCTTGCAGAAGCTCCAGGTCTACAAGGCCACTGCAGACCTCAAGGCTGGCAAAGAGTTGTACGAGGGTATCACAAGCGTTGACGAGTGGTTTGCTACTAAGGTTAGACCTGCTGTTCTGGCTGCTGCTCCTCCTCGTAAGGTCTTTGTGCAGGCAAACACTTTCATTGAGGGCGACAAGGTTGTCCTCAAGGAGTATTCTGCTACCCCTGAGGGTCTGATCCAGAGTTACGCTGACCGTGATTACATTTGAACGTTAGCATAGCATAGTTGATAGCATTAGCTAGCATTCACGTGAAATCTGATAGTCCTCTTGTGTACCAAGATACACATTGCCCGTAGCCTCAAAAGTGCATAACTATCTCTTTCGGACAAAGCATTACTTACAAAGTCCATCATATGTCAAGTAGACACCCGATCTAGACAACGCGCTGATCTCCAGAAGGGTTGCATCTTGACAGATATGGATCACCTACTCCATTGATCACTACAGGGAAGTCTTTGTGACAAGCTTTGAAGTGAAGTGAAGAAGGAAAGACACACACAAAGCCCAACTTACAAATGCTTCTGCAAAGGAAGTCGCATCCATTCACTTCCTTCCCTCTTTCTTCACTCCAACGCTTTGCAACCTTCACCCATCATCCACCCAACCCATACGTACTTTTGAACCGCCCATCCATCATCAAACAAGCCGCGGTAGTCTAGTGGTAAGACATCTCAGTCCGATAAGACCTTTATTTGTGTATCATACACAAGTCAAGGCCATACAGGATAATGTGAAGGTCGCGGGTTCGATCCCCGCTCGTGGCTTGCTTCACTTTTTGCTCTATACGCCATATCACTACTGTTCTTGACCATTGCAAGACATGACTGGCAACGGTGCAGGGTAAGGTTGACGTTTGATTTTCTATTGCCAAGTTTGAGACAACATATGCAGAAAGCAAAAGCTTCAGGTGAATTAAGTAGACCATCTCATCAAGCGGACAGCCCGTGATATGCTACGATCAAAATGCAAGATGTTTTTCCAACTTTGAAGAGTTGCCCAGAGGGAGCTTCCCCTAGATTACCTCCGAAATGCCGACAATAGCCGTATTCAGACCTTTTCCAGTGCATCTCTACCACCTGACACCCTCTTTCACGGCTTGGCAGAATGTAAAATAGGGCTCAACATTGACGAATTGGCCAAAGAGAGCAGTCTCTGCCAAAACTTGCACTGGTCAAACTCTCCATCTCAAGATTGTTCGTGCATTTTGTGGACGAACACGGAATACCCGCGCAGGCAAACTTTTTTTCGGACACTCTCGCTGAACAGGGCACCGGTCACAGATGCAATCGTGCTAAAGCTTGACACGGCATGGAGACGATGGTGGCAAATGAATAATAGACAATATTAGGAAATCATTCTGTTCATTCTCGTACTATACCCTCAAACCGCCATCATCATAATCATAATCATGCCTCCATAAGAATATGTATAGAAACTTCCAGGTACCGAAAATTCTGTTCGTCCACTCCTGTTCATCATCTCAAATCATACCTCCACTCTCCAATCCAGAGATGACACTCTGATTACTGTGCCTGGGATTGTCTATATCCATCGCACCACTCAGCACCCTGACAACCTTCTTCCCTTGCTTGGACCCAGCAACAAGGACTTGTGCAGGACACACCACGATCTCATCCTCTCCTTCACCGACATCATCGCCTTTTTTGACTACCAGAGGGAATAGCACAATCTTGACTACTGCTTGGGAACGCTCGAGTTCGTCGTTGCTGGTGTAGTCGCCTGATCTTTCGTTCATGAGGGCGGCGTTGAAGTGGACTTTGCGGACGAGGTCACCGTGGGTGTCGTACTCGGGCTGGAGGGGTGGCAGCATTATGTATTCGGCTTTCTGTGAGCGCATCTCAATTGATAGCTCGACAGCTAGGCGAAGAACATTGCGCAGTGATGACAGAATTTGCGGTTCGAGTTGAGCTGGTGGCGGTAGCAAGGCAGATAGCACGCTGAAGATCTCCTGGGCGACAGCTTCAGTGTCTAGGTTTCGCTGTGTTGCGAACGCTGGCCGGCGTGACAGGAGTGTTAAAGTAGTCGCTCTCCATTGTGCTACTGCTCGAGCAGGACCAACTTCGGAGAGTATCTTTTCCAGCGATTTGAGCTTCTGTCGCTGTTCTCTATCCATGCCGAACAAGTATCTCGTAAACACGTATTCCCAAATCATTGTCATAACAACCGACATGAAGACGTCGCGCCGGCGAATGCGGTCTCCGAGGAGTTTGTCAACATCAGAGCCATCCAGGATGGCATTATCGAGCCTGGCTGCGATCTTGTCGTCTGTCAAGTCTGAGGTGAGGCGACACATGCGGTTGTCGGAGTACTTGGAGAAGCGCAAGACCCATTGCTGGACGTGTTGACATAGCTTCTGGCACGACGTATCGAAATAGTCCTCATCGCGAGTCGTAAGGTAATTATCGCCTTTCGACGCGAGGATCTCGCTTTGAAGGAGGCGGATCTGTTGACTAGCAAGATCGAGCTCATCGCGCAGCTTTCTGATCTCAGCATTCTTTTCCTCCAATGCGTTAGCAATCTCCTGGCGAACAATGTCTTCCATGTTATCGCTAAGCTCATGGTGCTGTTTCTTGAGACCTTCGAGCTCCTGGCTCGTGTGGTGTAATTGCTTGTGGGCATTCGCATGCTCGCTCTGCAAGGTAGCGTAAGGGATGTCATTGTTTCCAGTGAAGCTGCGATTGACTTCCGAAAGATTGTTGTTGACTTCGGTCAGCTTCGCAATTTCTCGTTGAAGAGGTTCAAGCAAAGATCGGATCTCTTGAATCTCGGCATCTTTCTTTTGCAATTGTAAGTCACGTGTTTCGAGCATCTCTTGGAGGCTGTTGTTATCATCTGTTGACGGATGGGTAGGTGTGCTTTGACCGATGGCATCTTGTAGGTAACGGTTTTCCGAAGCAAGTCGGTCGAGTTTAGCTTCTAGGTCAAGAATATGCATGCTTTGGCGTTTCCGCATGCTAGGCGGTCGCGTCGGCGAAATGGTTGGTGAGCTACGGACATCGCCCCAGCCCTCCTGAAGAACAAGTCAGTATTGATTGTTTGTCAAAATATGCGAATACTTACATAGATGTTTGCCATGTCCGAAGGACGGGAAGCACCGTGGCCGTTGAAGTCTTCGTCTTGCAAAGGCGGTGTGGGGGGAGGTTCAATGGGGATTGTTGTTGGTCCATGCGTTCTACTAGCCGCCCGCAAATCACCTGACAAGCTTCTATTGATTCGTCGCAGGGAAGGTGCGGCTGAGTTGTTGCTTGCTGCGCTTGAAGATCGAAATTGTTGCCTGTTACTGCGTGTTGACAGATTACTGAGCGAGCTGAGTGGTCGTAAGATCGGAACCTGGTCATCCGCGACTTCCCTATCAATTGATTGCGAAACTTCTGGCTGGTGATCAGTACCAGAATGCTCTCGGAACAGTTGTTGTGGTGTGGCAGTACGTCTGGCGGCTTTGGTAGCATGACCTGGACCAGGAGATCCAAGATCGTAGATACTCTTCTTTCTGGTCAGTGGAGGCGACTGATCGGGCTGTGGGTTTGGTGGCAGTGGAGCTAGAGGAGTTGCAGGCCTCTTCAATGGACTTGGTGGAAGAGGCACTGGAGGCGTTGCGGCTCTCGGAAGTATGGGAGGAAGAGGTACATGGTCTAGCTTGGAAGGACTTGGCGGTAGAGGTACTGGCGGTGTTTGTGGCCTGGCATGAGAAGTCGGGACACTGCGCTCTTCTTCCGATGAGGAGTTGGGCTCATGGAACCTAGTCTTCTTGGTAACCTCCGGAAGTCCATGGATCGCCTTCGCGAGACTGGAAACGTCTACAGGCGACTGAAAAAGATACGATGTTCTGTCCTTGGTGGTAGATTCCACGGGCGAGACAGGTTCGGCTTCGTTGGTTTGTCCGGTAGCCTCAGGTGTGAATAAAGAGATGAAGGGGTCGTCTCGTTTGTCTTCTTGACCAGAACTCGATTTTCTCTGCACCGTCGGTGGCTCTAAGTTCTTGAACGACCATGTCGGTGTCTCCTCGGGGAAATGGCTAGCAGCTGCTTGGGGTTGCACTTCTGCGGCTAACTTCGCATCGCCATCTCTGGAGGTTGGTCTTGGGATCTCATTGACCATTGCTTCGAGAGTTGAAACATCGGCAGATTGCTGTGGGACTTGATCTATGCGCTCCTCATTTGACTGGATTGGCTGGTCAATACGGACCGGCAGGAATTGCGAGACTTCGGAGGTGTGAAAGAAATTGGTTTTGGCTAACCTCTTTGGCGATGCTTCGGTTGGATGGTGAGTATTCTCAACAGAGTGAGTAGCTGTTTCGGCTTCCTCAGGCTCCCGCACATCCTTTGACTGCTCAGGACCTTCGCCTGCGTCTCTCGCAGGTTCTGCTGTCCCTTCTTGCTTGCTACCGTCGTAGGCTGTAACAAACGCAGCGCCCTCAGACGCAGGTTGGGCAGAATCCTCCGTGATGGCCGTTGTAACCACATCTGGAGTCATAATACTAGCTTGTCTACCCTTCTTGTTCTTCTTCTTTCTCTTTAGCATAGCAAATGAGGATACATCTGGCTCGTCTTGAACATCCTTCACATCCGTTGATATGTTGGCGAGTGTACCCGGTGCAAAGCCCGAAGCCACCAATCCAGCGGTCAATGCGTCCGCAAAGCCATCGTCTGCAGTCCCTCCTGTCGGCTCTGTCACGGGAACCATCGACTTCTCTTGAGATGTGACTAGCGGAGGACTCACGGTCCGACTATCGCGATTATTCCTCTTTGATCTTCTTGTGGTTGTGAATGTGACCTCTCCAGGATCGGCTTCGCCTACACTTGCAGGAGATGCTCGTCGGTGAAACACAGGATCGTCGATGACAAGATTGGGGTCAAAGCCAGAGTCTTGTAGACCTGCCGCCAACGTGGCTGCGAAGTCGATATCTTGAGGTACCTGGTTCTCTTCGCCAACAACAGTATCCGCAGCTTGGACGGTCTCTTCGTGTACAAAGACGTCTGCGTTTTGACCGTTTTCGGGGACCACAGGCTCAATCATCTCCAACTTGAGAGCATCATATGATGACTGTGAAGCATCTCCTGTGTCTGGCCCTGCGTCAACCTGTGTCTCAATCTTTGAAGGCTCCGTGACTTGAGTTTCAGATGTCAGATGCTGGGGTTCGAAAACAGGCTCTACCATCTCTTCGGTGTCAATCATAGAAGCAGACTGTGGTTCCTCGTTACTAGTCAATGCTTTCTTGGCCTTGCGCTTCTCCTTTTTCGACGGCTTTCGGGAGAAACTCCAGTCGTCTTGGGCATCAGGATCAAGCAAAGTCTCCGGTTCTGCTGCAAGGTTCTCTGATTCGACCGTCTGGAAGGTAGTTTGAATGAAAGGCTCTTCGGTGTTGTCTAGCATTGCAATCTCTCTTGCCTGCTCTCTCTCGGCTTCCTTGATGAGTGGAGGCTCTTCTGGATTCTTGAGCTTTTTAGCTTTGCGTTTATCCTTCTTCGACTGTTTCGTAGGAAGTGCCCATTCGTCTTCCGGGACAGCTTCTGGAGCTTCTTCGACGACTGGCTGTAAATGCTCTGCGATCTGGGCAGCCAAAGGTTCATCTTGATCATCCTGAAATTCTCGAGTACGCTCCACAAGATAGCTTGCTGAGTCCTGCACCGGTGTTTCCTCATCTGCTTGAGGCTCGATAGCCTGAGGTTGCGACTTCATTTTTTCGCCTTTCTTCTTGTTCTTCTTAGAGGTTGTCGGGGTAAAGAAGTCATTCTCCTGATTGCGCCTTGACTCGGGTTCTTGTTCGGCAGTCTCTGTGTTGGAGGCTGCTAGATCATGGGGTTGAGAGAAAGCCTCAGGGATGTTGTCGCTGTCTACATCTGCAGTCTTGAGTCCTCCAACATTCTCCAATTTGATCTCGGTCTCTTGTTCGCGATGGTTTTTCGGGCCGGCTGGCTCATCTCTGATCTCGAGAATCTGCTCACTTGTGTTGGGATCTGTAAATTCGATAGCTGGTGAGTCCTCATGTTGTTCAGGAAGTGGTTCAGTAGGCACAATAGACCCCGCAAAATTCTCTTCATCATTGCCAGCAGAAACAGTGATGGGTTCGATGGGCGGTTGCTCAGCGGTAGGCTCGAGCGAAGCTCCCGATTTCGTGTCTTGCTCTTGAGCCATGACACTCTGGTCTTCTTCCTCTGGCTCGAAGCTGGCATCTCTGGCTTTGAACTTCTTAGCCTTCTTCTTAGCCTTTTTTGATAGTTTGGCTGTGAAAGGCTCGGTTTCTTCGACGAGTTCTTGAGGAGCGAACTTCTCTGAAATTCCAGTGGGGTCTTGACTGTCTGTCACTGAGGCCAAAAGATTGCCTTTTGAGAATTGTTCAGAACTTGGGGTACCAGGGGTCGGATGTTCCACAGCTTCAAATTCTCCGAGCGGATCTTCAAAGATTTGTTTCGTTTTCTTGACCTTCCTCTTTTCCTTCTTCGACAGCTTTGCTGCAACAGGTACAAATCTATCTTCCAGGTCAGACTCTTGATGCGCTAATGACTCTTCAGGTAAGTCTGTTTCGGGAGCCTCGGTCATTGTTGTCTCATTCGTCGGCGCGAGCTCTTTTGATGGCTCAATGTGTGTTGGTTCTTCGGGTGCTTGGAGACGCTCGTCTTGAGGTTTAGTGTCACCCATATTCTTAGGTGTCTCAACTTCTTCCGAAGGTTCAGTGGAGTTATGATCAGAGATTGTCTCGGCCATGATCAATTGGTCGAGTACACTCGGAGCCTGGTCTTCGACGACAGCGGGCTCAGGGTGATCGACATGAGCATCGACGGGCTCCCCAATGACACTTGATCCGAGATTCGTGTGTTCCGATCCGAACGCGATAGACGAGGCTATGTCTTCTTGAGCATCCCTGTGTGGTTCGACGACATCTACGGTGCCAAACTCTTCATCGATGGAGAGCCGTTCAGCCTGTTCGGGCTTCGGGCTCTCTGTCGTCAATTTTCCTGTTCCAGCAGTGTGCTCTTCTGACTTGTCTTCGGACAAAACCTCCTCCACACTACCAGGTTTTTTCGCATCACATGAGGTCTCCAGACCTTCCATGTGACCAATAGCATCAGGCTCAGCGGTATTTGCATCATTGTGATGAGTCTCAGGAATGATTGCAGCATCTGCAGGAGACGACTGTGCGACCTCGGTCAGTGTGGCCTGAACAACCGAAGATTGGGCCACCTGGTCTGACTTGTCAAGAGGATCCGAATTTGTGTCTGGCCCGACCTCAATGCTCGACTCTGGAGGGAGCTCTACTTGTGTCGGTTCGAGGGCTGAGCTTGGCTCAGCGGTTTCCGGGAAGTAGCTCGTGTCCTTCTCTGATGTTGACTGTTGTTCGGGAGTCTCTGCGAAAGGTGAAGCTATGTCTGCTGGCGTGGACTTCTTCGCTTTTCCCTTCTCCTTCTTAGAGAGCTTCCTTGCAAATGGCTGGTAGTCGTCGACATGGGGTTCAGCTTCCGGCATGTGTGGAGGCGCGGGAGTATCATCGAAATCAGACGTTATAGGTTCTTGATTCTCAACATCGATGGAGCGTTCGGACAGTTCCTCGGGCGCTGTTGAAGATGTTGCTTCGGTCGCCTCATCTTGGACTGGTTCGGCTTCAAAACCACGCTGCTTGGATTTTTGCGCTTTTTTCTTGTCTTTCTTTGATCTCTTGGAGGAGAATGCTTCGAATGGGGCTTCGGGCGCAGCAATATCGTGAAATTGTGATGTCTCCGCAGCAGGGGCCTCGATGTGGGACTCTTTGTCTTCCAAGTTGACGTCGAGACTTTCTTCTGGCTCAATGACAGATTCTGCTTCTTGAGAGGCGTCGGTATATTCCCTTGACCCTTCTTCTCCTAGGTCGTCGAGGTCAGAGTGTGCTGTGGTAGATTGTTCGAACACGGACTCTTGCAAGACGACATCGGCGTGATGAGCAGTCTGCAAATCGGTCTC